TCCCTAAATTAAGCCATCAGAATGATAGTCTTAAGGAGAGGGTAATGTTATGATTTTTCATCTTTTTCTTGACTTTAACCCCTATTTATGCTTAGTCAGGATGCTAACACAGGCACTTAAGGCTGTGAGACAAGGCTTAGTCATCACAACAGATCAAGTTCATCACTATCTTTCAATGCAACAGCATTGCCCAACAACATACAATCATTCTTTTATAGATAGTAGTGATGCCCAAAGACAATAGGCATAAGAACCTCAACAACATACAATTAGTAGTAGTATATTTAGATGAAATCCTGTACAGTACTTAAGAGGCTCACTCTTGCTGGTAATCCTCAGCTTCAAGCTAAAGTTTATTCTATATCATTCTATCCTTAAGCCATATTTTCAGGCCTTGTGACACACCATTCAGATTATGCATCAGTGAACTTGACTATTTTACCCAAAGTATGAGGTAGCAGTCATTTATCACATGTAATCAGTTCACATAATGCTTAAGTCTAACATATATCCACTGAGCCTGCTTCTCCATGCCACCAAACCTTTTGAATCTTTCATACCTTGCAGAATGGCCTCAACTATCTCTCTTCTTTCAAACACTGATCTTCTGAAATATTCATCAGATTTTCAATCTGATTTCACTTCTTTATCAGCATTGCACTGGTTACAGTCTCATCTCAGAGCTGCATATTCTGATACCAGGATGCAACAGCATGCTTCATATCAGGTCAGATGACAATGCAAAACTTTTTGGATAATAGTGTATTAGAGTTCTCATCTGCATGCTATTTGATTTTTATATGAGATGCCAGTTTCTGTGAAAGAGTTGATTGGGTAAAGAGCAATGCACCTTTCTTTTAGTTTGTGAAATGTGCTACAATGTCAGCATGTCAATGGGAAGAATGGTTATCAACATGCTTGAATACTATGAGCCAGTCTCTTATTGTAAAGTGTAAATAGGAGATCTGCTTTGGAGGCTGAGTTGATGATATATATATTGGGACTTTCTTCTTTTGTTTTGTGTGCTCATATAGATTTTCAGGTTTAGCACATAGTTTTCATGTTGGTTCAGAAGATATGTTTATAGAAATATAGACTGTGCTGCTTTACAATAATTTTTTTTGTGTTTGTCATAGTTTATACAAACAAATTATATTCTTTATTGTTCTAATATATGCATAATATTATATCAGCTTATTACAATTTTGAATCTGACAATGTGTTATGATTTTTCTTACTTTTACTTATTAACCCCTATTTATGCTTAGTCAGAGCACCTAAAGACAAGCACTTGAGGCTGTGGGACCAGCTTAATCATCACAACAGGCCTGGTCAGTCATTGTCTCTCAACACAATCGCATCTCTGACAATGCACAATCATACTATTGTAGAACATCATGATGCTCAAAGGCAATGAGCATAATAGCACATGGATACACAATAGATAGTAGTATTTATAGCAGAAATCATCTGTTGTATATAAGATAGCTCACTCTTGCTGAGTATCCTCAGCTTTAAGCTAAAGTTTATTCACATACTATTCTACACTCAAGCCAATTCCTAAGGTCTTGTCACATCACAATCTATATTCACATCAGTGGACTCTAACATTCTCACTCAAAGTGCAAAGTGACATCAGTTTATCATGTGTTTAAGATCACATGCAGCTTGAGTCTAACACAATGCATATTCCTAACTAAAACTATATGCATTATGCAATATGCATTTTTAGCCCATTTTTCTGCTTTCTGACTGTGTTTCAGTCTAATTCATATGCAAAGTCAGAATTATGCATTTTAACATCATGCATTATGAGATAGTCAACTGTATTTTCTTTTTTTCTCTTCTTCTTTTTATAAAGCCCTCACCAATTTGTATTCTTCTTTAAGGACAGTCTAATATTATCACATTCCTATACTCATTTCTCTTCAGGTTCTCTGACTGTCTTCTCCTTTTTGATTTTCTTTCTGTTTATATATCAGGGTTTGAGTTTCTATTTAAGTTCAATAGCCTGCTTTGACTCACTAAGTCAAAGAAGGATATCTGAGTCACCAGGTAAATAAGATACAAAGGTATGAATGGGCTTCACAATCCAAGTAAGCCATAGTTGAAGGCATTCAGGAGACATTATCTTGGAAAGCCATCAGAATGCTATCATGTTGAATCTATTGTCCAATATTCACAATTATATTGAACCTCATATAATTGAATAAGTTTGCTGAAGGTCATGTCCTATGATCCATTCATCATTCTTCACATTGCATTTTTGAGAAGCCACTCATGATGTGCATCTAGCTGAATATGAGTTGATGTCCCAGTCTTCAAGTTGTTTCTCTTGTATATTGTTGTGTACAAGAGCAAAGGCTCAGCAAGATGTTCAGTGACAAGTTCTGAGACATGCAATATAGTGACAACAGGCAGAGACACAGCATATCAGATATGTCAGGGAGGCTGCATGCCATAGAGTGGCCAGAGCATACTTGTGGGTACAAACAAAGTAAAAGGACAGAAAAATGTCGGCTAATGCCGAGAGTTCAAATCGGGTACTATGACCTATTACGTAGCCTGGCAAGCAACTTCACATAGATACTCGCGCAATGTGCGATGCTCTGTTCAAATTCTGTCGAAGTTCAGTCCAACTTTTAGTTCCTAGAACCTAGATTGCTGAGAATCACGCATTTCTTGTAGAGAAAGTTATAATGGCAAAAAAATCTCCTACAAACTTTCAAGTCGCAACAAGTTACAAGTCCGATCCAAGGTTTCGGTCCAGCCTTGTAGGTAGGCAGAGGCAGGGTCAGTAAGGAGTGCCTTCAGGGTTGAGTATACTAGTTGTACAACGTTCCCTCTCTTGTTCAACTGACCGATATATCAAACCTAACACCTCCATTTAAGTTCAATAGTTGTGGAATTTCAAGTCGAGATCTAAAATAACATTTTCCTTTGTTTTAGGAGCGGTGTACAATGGCGTGAGAACTTAGCAACGAGGTTCGATCACACGTAATCCCGTTGGCACCAAAGAACAAAAGATATCGGGGCTATCCCCATTACAAGCGTAGAAATACAACCGAGCCGAGGCATCTAAATAAAATAAAAGAGATAAAAACTTTAAGAATATCGAGCTGCATGAGTGCTCATTGTGCGGTAAAGGTAATAGCGGCGGGAGGAGAGGCGTAGGACGGGAGGAGAGAAAGGAATTTATGGATAGGCATGCAAGATATGTATGAGAAATATTACTATTACGGTCCTTCAATAAAATGTCCCATTCAATTTTTCGTTGGCGCGCGCCGCCTAAAGGACATTACAGCGAACAGCAGAAGTTCGGCTGCGGCTACTGCTCCATGGCAGAGTCCATGCCACCGAACTCGAACGGTGGGGGGGCTGTGGACACTGTAGAAGCCTGAGGCTGGTTCAGTGGCATGTTTTGGCTGACCTCATCGACAGCCATGGCGGTGGAAGAAGAGACGGAACCCACGTTCGAAGGTCCAGCCTCCGCCGAGAAATTGGTCACCAGGTTGGTGAGGGCGGCAATGGCCTCGTCGAGAGCCAAGGACTCCCGCGTACTGTGTTCGGGCCTTGCGGTTCGCAAGGCATCGCTGTGGAATGACCTCCGATGGCGGACCATGGCGCCGGGGTCACTGGTCACGAAGGAGCAGAACGGGGCGTCGCGACAGGCGCGCATCGTCCTCGAGGACCTCTGTCGACGTAGGGGGCTACGCGATGCCGTTGAAAGAATGGATGGAGATAGAGGTGGGGAACGTACTGGTATCTATGCATATGCGTCAAGAAGGAGGACCTCTGGTTGGTGGAATATATGCAGAGGATGCAGTTGAAACGTCTGTGGAGCGCGATGAGCCGGGGTATGAAGTAAGAAGACATAGTAAAGAGATCGCACCTGTTTTCGTCGGCGGGGGCCCTGCGCGCGCGCCTCGAAGAGTCTTCTGGACGAGCGAGACGCTTGACAAAGGTGCTGGAGTAAGTCATGTTGCGAAGGGGCGAGAGAGAGAAGGAATTGTAATGGGGCAGGTGGATGGTTGATGTTGAGATATGCGCTGAACATATGTGCCTTTTTATACATCAGGGGCTGGTGAATTGGTGTCGAATTGGTTGTCGATTTTCTTCCTTATAAGCCGATTGTGTAGTCTAGTGGCAACCAATTCGCAGAAATATCCGTTCTGGGAAGTCATAGCGAATTGGTTCTGGTTTTTGCCGTTTTGAGGCTGCCAGTAAGGGAAAAGGGTATGCCGGACCAGATTTGGGGATGCGGAGCTGGACCCTGATGAAATTATCGTCTTCTGAAGCGAGGGAATGCCCTAAGATTGATTCCTATCGTTCTCGTCTGGTTTTGTTGGGTAAGGAGCAGGACAACGGATTAGGAAGACCAATGAATCCAAGAGGCAGAGTTCTTGGAGATGTATTCGTTAGAGTGGCGCCTCAAATAGCGAAGTTCCAAGTCTCCGGGACGATCTACAGTAGCGAGACAGCGTAAGTTACAATGTCGGAGTTCTTTGGGAGACCTGACACGCAAGAACGATTCACATCCGCTAGTTGGGAAACATATACGAGTATATCCGTAGCTGGCGTGCCACTCGTGTGTCCTCCTTCATTGACAACACCGCGCACGGACCAACTGTTATATAGCATTTGAATGTCTTGAATTTGCAAAATATGACTAGTAGATAAAAAGGACTTCCCTTCTAGCTATACCCTTGCACTTAGTGTCCAGTATCTAGTAGGTGTCGGGAAATTTATTTTGCCATATTAACGATAATCGCCGTATCGCAGGTATCTTAATTATCCGGGCCCTCTGATACCACCCGCTCTGGAACTGAAAGCTATTTTGTTCCTCTGCAAGGTTGGTAAGTAACACAGTCAATTGCCGATGAGGTACCGAGACGGGTTCAAGAATCAAGAACTCGAGTTTAACTGTGAAGCTTTATATTTTCTGCTACGTTAATCATGTGAACTTCGCACAGGGCAGGAGAATTCATACCTCCAAAAGCTTAAGACCCTCGTTGTGAAACAAGAGCACCAAAAACGACCACAATCAACGCCATAAGTAAGGCAAACACGACGAAGACAAATGCCCGTGCGACGGGAAACAGACCTCGCGTCAAATACGTTTGCACCGAAAAAAATCGAATAACCGCAATGACGAGAAGTACAATGGCGAGTACGATGGTTGACGCGCCTATTGGACGTGCGTATATTTGGATGCGTCCGGGATGTATCGAGGCAATACTGAGGAACTGGACAAGCGCCACGCCTGCCGATGCTAGAGCAAGGCTCGTACGGACGTATGCCAGGAATGTACGTTCCGATGCGAGGTGGTCCCGGGCTACGCTACCGCTGTTGTGCAAGGTAAGGCTGACCTTCATTCTTAAGTAGTAGGGATGTCAGCGGGCCATCATATACTGCAAAACTTGAACGTCGCTCACGAAACTGCTACCGGTCGTCGTTGTGGTCGATTCGAAGAGCATGCTCACTACAGACAACGCCGAGCAGCATGATGACAGAACTGCACTAAATGAGTGAATTGTTGCAGCTTTGGTTACGCCATAATGCCATCCACGTGGGCATTCACCTTCCTTTTCAACGATGACCTCTGCTCAACAACACCGCCGTGCCAGCATCCCTCCCATACCCGACCTTCGTTTCGAGACGGCGTATCTGAGCAAGATACGGCCTTTTGTCCACTTTGAACAAGTACCGGCCCTTCGCGAGGCTTCGGATGACTTTGAGAATGACGACGTTTTATATGGGAACGAAGGAGAACAGCCGGCGAGAGATGTGCTGGAGATTGACTGGAAGAACGTCTTCTGGGTGACGTTCCGGGACCAAGTGCTGACGATGTGGGTGCAGGGTGCGCTCTGGTGCGACTATCTCAATATTTCGCTCTTTCTCTTTCTGATTTCTCTTAGGGCCATCATCGGCTTTTACCTACGGCCAATATACACCCAAGCTGGGCAGAGATTTAAGCGCAAAGAGGGCGGAGCCGTGTCATGGCTGAGGAACTGGGTCAAGGAGCTGGGCCTGTCTGCGAGCACTGACCGAGCAAGATAGGATGTATCATTATTGTTGGAGCCGTACTAGATGCCACTCATTCACCCACATATACCTCGAAAACAATACATACAACCGCCGGAACCAGACCAGCTGGCTCTTGTGCGCCCGCATCGCTCGATGGGCAGTCAAATACTCTTTCACGCCTGCAACAAAGACCGGCATGGTATCCGTCAGTCCTGGCGCACCCCAAAAGGCTTCGACACTATGCAAAAGTTTCGTGCTGGACAAATCGAACTTGGCCAGCAGAGGAGCGAAAATCCCGACATATTTCGTCGACGTGGGGACACTGATCAGAGCGAAGAATTTGGGAGGAGGTTGTACGGCTGTCGTCTCGATGAAATGCTTGACACCCTCTGGGAGCGACCGGTGGTTTGGATGTCCAGAGACGCCCGCTCGGTCGAACGTCAGGATCTACTGTGAGATCAGAGTCGTCTGCGAGAGAGAATCGGTCTCGCTACTCACTGTCGTAATGTCCAGGTCCGACACATATAAGCCCAAAATATCTGAGATAATGTTGGCTCCCCAGGACATGGTAATGTTATCCTGGAGCGCGCTGACGGATGGTAAGAAGGGAGGAACAGCATATACCTTCAAGGAAGCGTACGGATGGTCAACAACATGCCTATTTCCTTCCTTTACACCAAGAACATCCAGACTTGCCATCAACTCTGTCCTGCGAATATCTCCTAGACCATCGGCGTTTCCTGTAGATAGCGAAAGGACGTGGACTTGGACATGAGGAAGCAGAGAAATAATGGTGGGCGCAAAAAACATGCATTCGTCATCTGGGTGGGCTGTAAGAAATAGGAAATTTTCATTCTTAAGTGAAGGAAGATTCAAGGCATTTTCGCTTGCTGTAGGAAGGTATAAGACAGCACACAATAAGGGAATCAGAGCAACGATAATGGCGTTGATGGCCAACATGTCTTGACCCATCCGGTCCGAACGCCGGAACCGATTTACGAGTCGGAACCCTGAGACAATCGAGAAACGAGAGCTAAGGCAAAGAAAAGCTTGGATTTGAGAGGACGACTTTACATTGCTGCCCTGCATACTCTAAGTAATGTGTCAGAATTGAATTGAAATTTTGGGCCAGTGTGATTGTTGGATAAACGTGACAGAAACTCGGTGGTAACGCGGGATGAGTATCAACATGAGATGTAGTGCCAGACAGGCAGGGCAGTAGAAGCGTGCACCTCCCACAAATTTTAAGAAAAGTGGGTCTACACTGTTCGCTCGCCAGTGAAAGACACCGTTTTGCCGTGCAGTAACATTCTTGTTGCCAATGTCAGGAACTTTGCATTTATGTAAAAGGATTTCGGCGAATGCTCACCTCTCCTCCAAGTTAATAGGACTTTTGCTCAGATACGAGGGTGCCAAAAACAACAGCGATCAGAGCTACGAGAAAGGTGGATATCACATATACGAAAATTCGTGAGACCGGGAATAAGCCTCGCGTGAGATGTGTCTGCACCGAGTAGAATCGAATGACGCCTACGACGAGAAGAATGATGGAGAGAGCTACAGTGAATGCACCTATTGGGCGGCCATAAGCTTGTATATTCCCCAGGCCCGTTGAAGCGATGGCGCAGAATTGAACCACTGCCACACCAGCGCAAGCGAGGGCCAGGCTTGTGCGAATGTAGGCCAGAAAGGTTCGTTCTAATGAGAGGTGATCTCGAGCTACGCTGCCATTGTTTGCCAGTACAAGACGTATTTTCATTGCTTCCGGTGTTTTTGGATGTCAGCATGGGAGTCTCATTGTACGGGGACAGCTGTAACTCACCAGTTTTGTGCAAGTCAAAAGTGCTGGTGTTGAGTGGAACGACAACAACTCAGATATGGCGGAGAATGGGCGGCAGGGTCGACGCATGTGGAGTAAGAGAAGATAGTAAAAGCGCTTCTACTAGGACCGGTTATCCAGTCACCCATGAGTACTCATGACACTCAGATCCAAGCCCGAACTGCGACAGAGGCTCGACATTCAACAAAACTTGGATACTTGTACCTAGCTGTCATACTGATTAGGAACAAACTTTGCTTCGGTCTGTCGATGGTGATTGACATGCATCTGCAAATTTCAAAAGACTTGGAATCTGAAGAAAAGTATGCGTATCTTGGAACTGCTGACGCAGTAACTGGTTCGAATTGCGTCTTTGAGACGTGTGACTGCCAATTTTTTTTTTAACTCGCGACGTAATATAGCGGTGAGAGTGCTGAGTACTGTCCGAGCCTGAAAGAGATTCCGAGCCCCTGTCCGACTCGGAGACTGCCGCAGAGTACGTATGTAATGTTATGTCATGATTTCCGGCCACAGCAACCTTCCCTGCTTGCTCTCGCCCATCATTAGCTCTAGGCGATCCTTGAGCTGGACTGCGCCAGATCCATGCATACTGTCTTTACTTCCCGTACGATGAGCTCCAACCGTCGAAGTGGTCGTACAGGTGGACCAGCCAAGGCTTTACTTTCAACGAGAGCATTCATCGACCGTTTGGACAATGGACTCACCGCTGCGGAAGGTACATGAATTGGAATGTGTTTAGTTTCTTTCGTGCTGAAGAGATTAGGTGCCCAGGATGTGATATCCATGATAACTTCTCGACGAACGGTCACAAAGCTCATTCTTGGACATAACAAGCTGGCCGACGATGGATGTATCGTTCTCTTTCGTTTCTTGGGCTCTGCGGCTGGGAGGAAATATCGAATAACAGAGATTAGCTTGAATTCGAACGAGATCGGTGACCGGGGATTATTGGCTATTGCAGCGTATCTGAATGGGAACCAGTATCTCACCGATTTGTTCCTGCAGAATGTAAGCTCTTGATATACTCTCAAGGGCCAATTTTGACTTCTTAGTAGAACCGGTTTTCAGGAGACCCTTCAGTCATTGAGACTTTCACAAACAGCATCAACTCCTCCCATCTCGAAATGCTCTCTCTCACCACCAACATCGCCCTCTCTGACAATTTTGTCGGTGCATTCTTCTCCAGCCTCCGGTCAACGTATTTGAAGGAACTTCATGTTTCAGCTACCGGCATCACGCATCGCTCAGCACCACATATTATCTCCTACATTTCCTCTCACGAACGTTGTCGCCTACATACCTTCAAGTGCAACGGGAACGCCCTGGGTCACAGTGCGGTGAAGCGCATCATCAGTGCTATTGAGAAGAGGAATTTTGTTCTTTCCGGCATCGAGCTTTATTCCAACCACATGGCCACGGAGTCGGACGATGATGATACTTCATCCGACGATACTGATTGGAAGGAATTGGAAAGCAAGCTGCGGCTAATTCTTTCAAGGAATATGCACCTTAAACGTGTCGCAGAGAAAGAAGCTCTAGGTCTGCTCTGTTACTCTCGAACCCTCCTTCTTCCCTCAACATCCTCCGCCCTCTGTATGCTACCCACTGAAATTAAACTCCACATCCTCTCCTTCCTCGCCCCAAGTCTCTCACCATCTCAGCGCATCAATGTGTGTACTTACGCCTCGGCGCTCACAACTCTACCTCCACTACTTCCCAAATTGAGCGGTGGTGAACTCAAGATATGTCTACCGGATCCATTCAGTCTAGGGTTTGCTGAGGGCGAGAAGAAAGTATGGGAAGTGCGTGGTGCCACTGGTGGATGTGCATCAGGGAAATGCCTTGGCGCCGTTCTTTGCCATAAAGAGCAGCAACGAACGAAATGGCTTGAGGCTGTTGAGTGCTCGGCGTACGATGGACGTTCAGCATAGCTATCTTTATTTGATTTATAGGCAACGCAGGAACGACATCGCTATCTGAGATGATTGTATTGATTAGGCTTGTAACATTAGATCTCATCGGAACACCATTCTACTTGTCTGGCACGGAAGTGTGATTCGTTTGATGCATTCGCTGAGTATATGTGACCTTCAAGGCCCATGCATCTTGCACCATCACCAGCTCTTATTCGTCAGCAACCAGCTCAAATACTCCGTCCTCGGGTTACGACCAGGCCAGCTTCTTCTGACTCTGATTGGGTCCCAGGACTGTTACCGCATCACCATCTTTCAAAAGAAGGGGTGACAGTGAGCGAAGCGTCCCGTTGACTGGATAAGAAAGAGAGATGATATAAAACACGTCCGGCTTCGTGGTCTAAATCGTGCTCAGCTGCAACGTAAATCTGAGGTAGATAGCTCACAAAACGGAGGTCGCCTTCCTCAGCGGTCATACACCAATACTGCGTGTCGTAAGTAGCCTCACCCCTAGCCGGATGGAATAAGTATTGGATATCATTTCACGCAGAATGAATGGTTTACGCAAACTTGAGCCACTCCCCAACTTTGAGCAAGGAAGACCTCGACGGGAACACGATCGTCCCGTTTGCTGTAGGGCCGATGTCGATGAGATAATTTCCGTTCTTCAACACGATGTCAACCAGAGAATGAAGAATGTATGTTGCATTCCGGTAATTCTCATCGGGAGTACCTTGATTATAACCATACGAATAGGGATCAGAACCTTCGCTCGATTCCCACTTTCGCAGTTCTAGTACGGGTAGTTTGCTCCGCATCGAACATTTGAGAGGACATTTCTACCGTCCTCTTTTTCCCAGTTGAATCACCTTGGGGCTAAATTCACTGGACTTAGATAAAAATACACAAGAACATACCCCGTTCTTACCGATGTCAGGGAAAACAGTCGGCCTACCGATGCCACACCAAAGAATATCCGTCTCCTATTGGTACAATAGGGTTTCCATTTGTGGTCTCGTAATATCCTGTAAAAAGTCCTCCAGTGCATGGATTCATTGACCAGGGATCTATAGGACAGATATTCCGCTGGATGGGACCTATTATGACCATCAAAGCTTGCGAGATGGCCTTCTGTGGCGGCATCCTTGTTGTTGGGAAAGGGTGTAAGGTCGACATTCATGTGAAGCCCAGCAACAACGCCAACGAGAAAAAAGAGCGACCATTAATGCATGCCGTTCTTCTCTGAGATCTGCAGATGCTATCTTCATGTCTCCGTGACTTTATATGCCTCTGGAAGCAAATTGTAGCCGACCCGGATGCCAGAAGATAATATCTTTACTAGCCGACGATAGGCAAGCTACGTTACACCTAGTGCAATTTCAGTTCATATTAGTGTGATATTCAGTGTGAGACTCACAGACAGTTAAAGCCGTAAGAAACGAGAGGACGAACAGTGCTAACAGACGACTCGATGGAGAAAATTGAAGTTTGAACTCTATCAGCAGAGCATCAGTACCTAGGAGGACCTGCGCAGGAGGATATAATCTCGTAAAGAGTAATAATTCATGTTTCATTGAAAAGGGCGAACGAGATGAATCCAATTTGTAGACTTTCAGAATCGTTGTTAAGAGCCCGAAGCAAGATGGCAGACCGGCAGTTCGGCACGGTGTGGCGAATCTCTCCACGAAACGTGGCGCAAACTTACTCTCTGCCGACAACGAGCTCAATCGTCCTCGGGTCCGGAACTCAGAAAAGAAGATATACAAGCACAAGAAACTCAGCATTCCTCTGATGTACCCATTCGGAACTAGGCGCATGGCCAGCCTAGTAGCTAAATTCCAGATTTGTGACAAACTTTCGTCGATATGTCCGTTGTCACTGCTGCGTTGATGCTTTCGACTCTCCTTTTGTTAACGGCTGTCAAGGCATTTTACTTCACGAGAAATGACACGAGTGTGAGTAATGTATTGTACTCAGAAATGGTGAACCTCACATACGTTTTCGTCATGATAATCTACTATAATATCGGTACAGCATACAACACTGCTATCACTGGTGCAACGACGAATTACTTGTTTACCGCTTGAGGTGCTTGATCTCCTCTATATTTCCCTTCAACGACTTGGTTTATGTCTGTAGGGTTTAACTTGAGGTCCGAGTTGTTTGAGTCATGTACTTCGTTGGGTTCTACAAGGCCATCACTTACAACCGTGAACCTGGAACAATTAGCTCACTATATGTGGAGGCTGGACCCTCCTTGACCTTTATGTCTTGCTGCATCATAAGCATGCCGGCGACTGAGTGTTATACCACTGGCAACTGTGGGCCATGTAGTAGATCAGAACATTTTCTGATAGCTGGCTTTCGTGAGACGAACTAATCCAGGTCTAGGTTTGTTTGCCATATTGAATGTCTTCGGTCCTGGTCCAGAACTCCGTTCTGATAGTTACAAATCCTGCGAATCGACCGTTTGATTCCTGCGCCTTTATAAGATATTCCAGCGGATATTTATGACATCACCCAGACTATCACAGTCATGAACTCCTCAGCGTTTCACCACTCTCAATCTGATGACTGACGGCTGACTTATACTCGTATTTGTGGATACCACAGATCTCAGATCTATCTCTCTTAGCTACCAAAAACCGACATGGAGTCTCTGGCTTTCCCTGAACTATCCACCAAGAGATTGTCCTGGATGAACCGTCAGGAAGTACGCATAAGCCCACGGTCGAGAATACTCACTTCGCAAGACGAACCAAGACCTAGGAGAATAATTTGCCAGATGAACTAAGATAAAATGATGATTCAAACGACTCACCTGCATTTCCAATCCAACCAGGTTCCCAGTAGAAAAGACCAACTCCATGGTCGTCAGATAAGTCCTCCAACATGGTCTTGATGTCCGACATCTAGTATTTGGTGAATTACATATGTTTCTGGCCTGGTGTTGAACCTACCCAAGTTTCTTGCCCAGAAACGGATACAGAAATACTTTCCGACAAAACGACCGAAGAACACTCATACGGCCAGTCGGTTTCTACGATCATTATATCCTACGCAACTTTAGAAACCCTCCTCCCAGTGTATGACTCTAAACTTACCTTTGCATATGCAGAAACAACAGCGTTAAGACTCGACTTGAGAGCCGATAATGTTGCATCTTCGTCATAGAACGGATAGAAAGAGAAAGCCATGACATCGACATCTTCAAGCTCCAGTGCACCCTGATAGAAGATGTTCTTGTAGAAATACGACACACTGTCTTCGTCCCAGCCATTCGCCAGGTGGATGACAGTCTTAGTCGTTGACGATGCTTCTCGGACCGCACTGACTGCTGAGTGGAGCAACTCGGAGAGCGGCTCGTAACCGTTGGTCGATACCTCTCCAGTTGGCCAGAGGATGCCGCCGTTGATTTCGTTACCGATCTGGAGAAGTCGATAATTAAGGATTGAAATATATGCGTGCATGTAAGTATACCTGGATGTAATCAATGGTGGTTCCTTGGTCGATGAAAGCGTTGACGAGATCAAGGGTGTATCTAAGTTGCCGCAAATCAATACAGGCATAACGGAAGGGAACTTGGCTCACGTGTATATTGACGTGTTCAGGGAATCCAAATCTTCATCCCAGGCAGAGGGGATTGCTTCATGAACAATCAGAACTATAGATGCTCACTATATCTCAGGAAGAAAACCTTGGTCGGAAGGATCAGCCCCTACGACAACTATCAGTGAAGCACAGATTCAGCATGCATACACTTACATGTATCGCTATAGTGCAGGTCAATCAGCAGTGCCATCCCAGCATCGACGGCCCTTTTCGCCAAGGCAAGACCATAGTCCAAGCTATACTCGTCGTCGCTTTCACTCGTCCAAACTCTGATGCGTGCGATATTAGCACCATGGTTGGTCAGGATCGTTTCAAAAGCTTCAGTGCTACCCCCGTCGGAGTAAGACGTCCCTGAGTTCTCCAAATTTACCAATGAGGAGAAATCGGCGCCGATATAAGAAAGAGAGTGAACTCCCGCAAAGACAGCAAGGAGAAGGAAAAGAATGGATGGGAGCATTTTTGGGTGAGTGCAATGTAGGACTCTAGTGTTATATAGCCTAGAGACTCGTCACTGGCAAACGGCACCCAGTCATGGCAACAAGAAAAATATGATATTTGATCCGTGCCCTAAAAAGCGCAGTGTGGACTAGAACGAGGAACAGTACTGTTAATCGTTCTGAAGTATCCTTTAGAGTTCGAAGCCCAAGAGAGAACTACTGCAACGACGGGCTTGAGGTTCCGTATACGCGACAGGCCGCATTCAAGTTACGTGCCATTGAATTTATTTGAATGAAAAGTCACGACGGCGAGGTGGAATAACTCTGGAGAATTTCTACGCGGTCGCCAGCACGCTGAGGAACGAGTTTCAAAGAATCTGGAGGCTTGGCACGGAGACATGGATCACTCCTACTACAGGTCCGTCGCTGCGCGTTCGATCGCGTGAATTAAACAACGGGTAAAATCTGGAACACCATTTTCTAGGCGTGAGGTTCAAGTAATTGTGTTATACAACGGAAGATTTCTGGTAAAACGAAGCGAAGCGTTACGATCGATGACAGTGAGATGCGACGAGCGTGCGGCTTGTCGGCCCCCTGAATTCTGACTTTGGTTGTGCCCAAGATCGAGTCGGAAGAACTGTTGACAACGCACTCACCCTCACCGTTACATATTCAATTCGATGTACCGTTTCGCACCGCAAGGTGTCGGGTAGTCAAGGTTGGTCCCAGTGTCCAATGAAGTAGCACTGAACCAAAGTATATTCATATTCGAGACCATGCACATTATAATCTACAGGGTGCGACATCAGACACCAATCCAACAAGTACATAGCGACAAAATCAGGCCACTGAGAACCGTTCCTGTAAAGGTACCGTTAAGAGGCGAAGAATATCCACTAATCAAACCGACGTACTCGTAAACTCCGACCATAGAGCTGCAGGGCAGGTATAATGAGCACAAAAAGGCCCGCTACGATTCTGACAAAGAAAGAAAAGAAAAGTCAGGCGGAAGTTTTCCTTTTCCATATTTCCACAGCACATACGCAGCTTCGCAACCAAACGTTTGAAGAGCACCGTGTTTTTCCGCCCAAGGAAGTTGGAAATAGGCGACCGCAAAGCCTTTATCAAAGCAGATTAGGAACTCACACAGCTAGTTGAATAGCAGATGTCACATACCTCCTAAGACTCGTACCAGATTTATCAGGGCGCTTATTTCGCCTTGGTGTTTCGGGAAGCAGTCATTGCAATATGCGTCTGCCAGTGGTAGAATATCGGTCGGAGGAAAGGGATGAAAGGTCGGCGTACATACATATTGCGACGGTGTTGATCATGATAGCCAGCTCTGCGATGCCCCAGCCCATGACGATACCAGCAGTACTCAGGTGGTTCTGAAACGATGCGCCTAGGGTGACAAATCCGCATACGTACAAAGGCAGAGCAATATAGCAAGCCCTTTCATCTGTTCAGTATTAAAGTATAGCATCTCAGAACACAGACTCACCAAAGTCGGCTCTCAGCCTCGAAAACACCATGATTGCGCTTAACACTTATGTTCATGATCCAATCATTGGTATATCGTCCAATTAGTTCACCCAAAAGTACGGACACCTACAAACTCAGCGGTGCTGACAAAGTGGATAACACGGGAACTTACAATTGGAGTACAATATGCTGCAGCGATGGCGTCCTGGCTCCATCCGAACCCGGTTGGAGGAGAGCTTCCCAAGAACACGGCATTGGTGACCTGCATGATAAACAGTCAAAACAAACTGGAAAGACAAAGGCCAGGACCGTACGTTGATACCAATACCAAAGCCGAAGAGGATACCCTCGAAGAGCAGAACCCCCAAAAGGTGGGGCCGCCATATAACTTTGATGGGCGAGAGAATCGAGTCCTCCCAAGAAATGCGGTACTTGGCCATCTTAATTCCGGTGACGCCGATTAGGGTTTCAATCTTGTAGCGAAGACCTGTGGTGGACGGTTCCGGGATAGGTTTCACGGTTCGGTCGTATATTCTAGAAGGTGCTGAGTAGAGATGGGAAAGAATAGAGACATTGCTTACGTTTCGTCCATGAAAAGTGCGATTAATACACATACGACAGCGCTGTAGATGCAACCGATTCCATAAGCCCACCTCCAGTTTTGTCGGGCGACAAGGAAACCAAAGGCGAACGGAGAGACGAATGGGGAAACGATGAACCCCATTGTCCAAAAGTTGAGCTGAATCAACAATAAGAAACGAAATACATTACATCGTTATGTAACTCTACCTTCCGCGCTTGCAGGTGAAAAGGATATAGGTCCGTAACGATATACAGTCCCTGCCAGTGTGAGCATGTCTCAGAGAGGGCTGCATAGTAAGAATTAGGAAGTATTCCACACCGTGACTTGAGGCGCAGTTCTACCAGAATGTTTTCAGCATAGGAAGAAAAGGCCAACAACGAACTGACCCAAAGAAAGCTGTCAAACATCTCATGCCTGAGAGGCTATCCTTAATCGAGAAGATTGACAGCGAAGTTGAATATCCCACCAGCAAAAGTTGCCAGATTCGGCGCAAATGTACAGCCCACAAGGAAGCCAAGTGCGAAGACCTGTGTGATGGGCCAATACATCAACTGCGGAGTAGCTAGCGCCGAAAATAAATCCTCACCTGTGACCAGAATAGGATTGGAAGACGCCCATAGCGGCGAATAAGCATGACAGCGAATACGCCCCCCCATCCTTTGGACTGGTATTAGCGCGTCTTCATCAACAAGATACGTGTTGCGGACGTACCTAAGAGAAAGATACTCCAACTAAACGCGTCGGTATTCAGCCCAGCGGGGATGACGTTAACAAAGGGAACAAACCCACTTTGATGTCAAATTATTGATCACTCCGGTGGTAGTATCATACTGATCCGCAAGTCGAAAAATGGACGCGATTCCTGCGAAAAGAGGCGAATCGTAAGGGAGACGAAGCCACGAAGCACAAAGCGGAAGCTCTCACCTATGCCACTGTCGAAGTCCGGGACGATAGCGGCGAGCGTGACGATGATAAGGTGGATACTCTTGCGTGCATCGCTCCAGTTCTGGGGGTCCCGCGGTGAATCGGTCGGCTGGGGCCACAAGACCTTGGTCCCGTCGCGCGAGAGCTTGAGCCTGGAGGCGAAGGCCTCGCCAAACTCGATTTTCGCCTCTCTGTGAACGTGTCAGACGGCTCGGGGTGGAGAAGAGGTACTAGCTACACTGGATCGATGACCAATCTACCCGCATGTAGTTCGTGAAACGTAGCGAGGTCGACCTCTGATATGTCTTCCTGAACGATGACACTGCCAGAGTCTCCATGCTTCTCAGAGTCGATGCCGAGTTTATCGTGAATGGACATGATGGTAGTGCAAAGATAGATTTCAGAAATTTGCTATCATTTATACTCGGCTCAAAATGTTGCTATGAGAAACACGCGCCAGGGGAGCATCATGGGGTCATGTTACGTAGGTCAGACGGGCGGTCCCTCGCATTCCTGTCCCCAGATGGGAGGAATTTCTCGTCGTTTGTAAGGCAAGTCGGGTTGAGAAGTCGCCATGATATTCTTGGCAATGAGAAGCCAATGCCCAGCGAGATTCGGGGGTTATAGAAATCTTATATGACTGCAAGATATCATAGAAATCCGAGAGATAGGAGACGGGGTCCCAGGCGACAAAGACGGACAGGACTGAAGAAAACCCTTCATGTGTCCTTGTCTAGTACGAATGTGGGGAAAGACCCTTAAGTGCGGGGTAACATGATCTGCATGGGATCACCGTGACATCGGCGCACCAATTTCCTCTCCTGGCCTAGTCCTCCCTCAATCTTGGGTTATGCGTCTGGTACTGCCCTCTAGGACTCCGGTACATTATCGAACCCATCATTACAAAGCTGAAAGGGACCTACAGCCTTGGTTCGCTCCGGCGGAGTTTCTTATACTGTCATTTTCAATGAGCTTCAATTGCTGAAGTTACGGTCCTGAGGGTGGTGCTCAAGTCAGTACCGATGATCCACACATCGAGGATGCCGCCATGTTCAAGTCAGACAGTCCAAGTACTGGATGATGGCAGAGGACGGCAACCCCTGAAGTTTGATTGATGGCTCGTTTGGATATACAATATGTAGGTTGAAAAGTTTTTTCCGGCAATCAGTGAAGTACCGTGATCGTGACAGGGAAGCCTAAATCAAGGATTTGCCATGCTTATAACACTGTTAAGAACTTACATTCATCCGGGAGACCAAGTAGTACAGACTTTTGTAACTAGTAAGCATCAATGAATCAAAGGGTACATTAGTTACACCACAGAGAAACGTTTCTGTCCAAACGCCGTCGTGAGATGAGAAAATCCACAAATAAGATGGACGTACTCGTAAACTCCGCCCATATATCTGCAAGGCCGGCACAATCAAGAGGAAAATTCCCGCCACGATTCTGATCAAGAACGTCAGACGAACATTCTCGTTTTCATGTTTATGATGTACATACGCAGCTTCGCAACCGAATGTTTGGATAGCGCCATGTTTTTCTGCCCACGGCACTTGGAAGTAGGCGACCGCAAACCCTTTATCAGAGTACATTAGGAATTTGCACTGGCTGAATAATAGGCCTCAACGTACCTCCGAGCGTTCGCGCCAGATTAATCAAGGCACTGATTTCGCCTTGGTGCTTTGGGAAGCAATTGTTGCAGTACGCATCTGATAAAGTGTCGGTCCGAGGCAAGGAGTAAAATCCAAGCAAGTACACACATATGGCCACGGTATTGATCATAGTAGCCAGCTCTGCAATGCCCCATCCCATAACAATACCAGCAGTATTCAGATGTTTCTCAATCGATGCACCGAAGGTGACGAAACCGCAAATGTACAAAGGTAAAGAAATATAACAAGCCCTATCACTCCACTCAGCATGGGAAAGTAACATCCAAGCAAACGGACTCACCAAAGTCGACTCTCAGCCTCGAAAACACCATGGTTGCGTCTGATGCTCATGTTCATGATCCAATCATTAGTATAGCGACCGATGAGTTCACCAAGAAGCACCGCTACCTGGCGTGCGAATGACGCAAACGTTTAGGGAGGGAGGAAAACACTCACGATAGGGGTGCCATATGCTCCGGCGATCGCATCCTGGCTCCACCCAAACCCAACTGGACGAGGAGTTCCCAAGAACACGACATTGGTAACCTAAATCAAAGCAGTCAGACCAAGATATCCACGCCGTATGCAAGGCACCGTACGTTGAGACCAATGCTAAATCCAAACAGGACACCTTCGAATAGAAGAGCGCCGAGAAGGTGGGGACGCCATACTACGTTGATTGGTGAGAGAACTGATTCTGCCCAAGATACGCGGTATTTGGCCATTTTAATCCCGGTAACACCGATGAGCGTTTCGATTCTGTAGCGAAGCCCTTTGGTAGGCGGTTCTGGGACGGGTTTCACGGTTCGATCGTACATTCTAGGATGAGTCAGTGAAAACCGAGGGCATTTTGACCAGATTGCGTACGTTTCATCCATGAACAGGGCGATTAGAACACAGACGACGGCACTATAGATGCAGCCGATTCCGTAGGCCCATCTCCAGCTTTGTCGGGCGACAAGGAAACCGAAGGCGAAAGGAGAGAGAAATGGGGAGACAATGAACCCCATTGTCCAGATGTTGAGCTAGACGAGGGATTAGACATGAGAAGTATTGTATTCTGTAGCTCTACCTTTCGGGCTTGTAGATGAAAAGGGTATAGGTCTGTGACGATATACAATCCCTGTGAGAATATCTGAGGGAACGCGACAAATAAATTAAGAGATATTCCATACCGCGACCTGGGGCGCAGTTCTGCCGATGCAATGCTGTCAGCACGGGAAGAAAACACCAACATTGGACTAACGCAAAGACCGCCGTCAAGCATCTCATACCTAAGAGGTTATCTTTAACTGGAAGTTGACAACGAGAACAAAAGTTCCCACCAGCAAAAGTTGCCAGATTCGGCGCAAAGGTACATCCCACAAGGAAACCCAGGGCAAGAACCCATTCGATGGGAGACAAGATCAATTACGGCACCCCGATTTAGACTATTGCACTCACCTGCGACCAGAATAAAATAGGAAGACGACCGTACCGACGAATGAGCATCACCGCAAAGATGCCACCCCACCCTTTGAGCGAGGCAATCAGATAGACTATGAAAGTGCGTAGCGCAAACTAACCCAAGAGGAAAATACTCCAACTGAATGCGTTGCTATTTAAGCACAAGCTCAGATGATGCATCAAGCCCAGGTACTTACTTCGATGTCAGATTGTTGATCACTCCGGTGGTAGTACCATATTGCTCAGCAAGTGGAAAGAGGGATGCAATTCCTGTGAGAAGCGATCCTAAGGCAACAAATTCCCAGAGTACTAATCAAAATTCTCACCTATACCACTGTCAAAGTCTGGAATAATAGCAGCCAGAGTGACGATGAAAAGGTGGATGCTCTTGCGGGTGTTACTCCAGTTCTGGGGATCGCGCGCTGAATCGGTCGGTTGGGGCCATAAGACTTTGGTCCCATCACTCGAAAGCTTGAGCTTGGAGGCGAAGGCCTCGCCAAACTCGACTTTCGCCTCTCTGTGAACGTGTCAGATCGTTGAATATGCGGAGGAAGGGCTCGTACGCTGGATCGATGACCAATCTTCCTGCGTGTAGTTCGTGAAACGTCGCGAGGTCGACATCTGTGTCTTCCTGAAGGACGATGCTGCGTGCAGAGTCACTATGTTTCTCAGAGTCGACGTGCTTATCGTGAGCGGACATAATGGTCGTGAGGGGATAATTTTCCGAAAATCACCACCATTATATATCCCTGGTTCAAGTTTGCTCTGGTAAGGTCATGTCAGGGGAAAATCTCACGGGGTTGTATTACACCGGTCATACGATCGTTCCGTCGTAGTTCCTCTTCCCATTGTTGGGAGATAGTGGACAGCTAGTATGTGTTTCTCAAGCCGGTATCGAGGTATGCAAGGTTTGGTGGTTCCATCGCTCTCAGGGTGGACGAACGTTTTGCCTTATCGTTTAACTACATGATGGCAGGGATGACGGCAGAATGCCAGAAATAATAATCTATATTGACCTCCGGCAAGACACGCGCTTGTAATGTAATAGCAAACTTCTAGTAAGGCATTAGAATCAAGATGGACGCCGCGAGTTTCCTACTATACCAGAATATGAAAGAGAAGAGTGAGGTAGAGTGCAGGCCGAAAACAAGTCCATGTAATGTTATTCCAAGAGCGTGAATGTCCTCAATATATGCCTGCAGTGGGGACAGCTTGGAGGTGAAAAAATCGGAGCTCTGAGCTTAGTCATCACGTTGTACATTAGGAAACCCGGACCGGATTTTTTTGCTACTTAAAAAAAATTCTCCATCCGAGGCCAGTTCACCACGAACCAAATCGCACTGGATGCTGGGATGAACACGGAGCCTCAAAAATCCGGAATTCGCTCTGCTCTCGAGTACACCGGTATTCCAAAATCATGGCTCTCTAAACGACCCAAGCTGCCGTCGCGCAACTGGCTCATATTCCTCACCGTCACGTCCTCCCTTACTGGCCTCTTCATCTACGACCGCCAACAATGCAAGAAAATCCGACAAGAATACATAGACAAGGTCAAACATCTTTCGGAAGAGACTCCAGACCATCTTTCGTACCCTAGGAAGGTCACAGTATATGGAAGTAAATGGCCTGGGGACGAGGACCACGACCAGAGCATGAGATACTTTCGGAAGTACGTCAAGGTCCGTCCCATCCTCCCCGGTTCTGTGCTCACGCTCACGCTCAGTATAATCAGCCTATCTTGGTCGCGGCTGCAGTGGACTACGAGATGGTGAATGGGAAACGGCATGGAGATATCGCGACCCGGATAGCCGACGAGGTGAAAAAGCAACGGCGGTTAGACCTGGGTTTGGATAGCCCTCCAGAACGGAGCGGGATGCCCCCCCAGTACACGTGGCGCACGAAGGAGCAGCTGAGGCAGCAGGAGCTGGACGGGGGTATCGTTATCGTTGGACGCCCGACGTGGAAGGAGTTCATGACGGGCCTAAAGAATGGTTGGACGGAGCCACTCGATGTCGTTGACCATGAAGAGGAGCTGTCAAGAGAATTGGAGGCCGACGGGCGGTTCGACGAGCCTGACGAGCCAATGGAAGTCGCGTCGGTTTCCCCGGCACAGATGCATAATTCCCAGTTCTACGCTTCCTTACAGGCAAAGCCTTCATTACCGCCGCTGCCGCTGCCGTCGCCTTCCCCCACCATGGACGTCCCCGCCACGATTACCGCCCTACCGCCAATCCTTCTCGTCTCATTCGTCGACTACGTCGGCATCAAACTCGTACCCAATATGATCTGGGACTGGATGAACCGCCGACACCACGTCCGCGTGGGTGCTGAGGCTGGGTACCGACTAGTCATGGCCAACACACGTCCCATCAACCCCCCAGCAACCAAACCTCTCTTTTCTGACATTACGAACCCCCCTACGCCAGAGACGGACCTGGATTTCGACAAATCTATGGAAGGTTACTTCAAGAGCTCCCTACAGTCCATTCCTTCAGACATCGAGCGTACTCGGAAAAAGTATTACGAGCAGCTCCCGGCCAAGTTGGTCATTGCACGCGAACTGGCAAGGAATGTCAGGGAGCCTACGTCAGATGAGGTCAAGTACCCGCCGCCGACGGAGGTTGAGTTGAGGGCAGAGCGTATGACGAAAGAGAAACGATGGCGGAAGGACCTGAAAGGTTGGGAGATTGTCAAGCCGTCCCAAGAGGTTTCCTGGGATCCAAGATTCGAGAACGCGCTCACTGTCTTTGTTGACCCTCCAAAAGAGACGGAAAGCAAAGAGGAACCTAGTGTTAATGATACCTCATCTAGCTAATATTTACATTGATTGCCATTAAATTTTAGAAGCTTGCAAAATCGTACTTGTTTCGTCTTTTGAGGTAGCGTATTTAAAACAGGTGCGTTCTTATCGTACATCATTACACAAATGGATTTTATTTAGTTACTCCTGCTTCCCGTGCTTTCGATGGCATCTGCTCCATCCTTTCCCTCATCAAAATGATAAAACGGAAAGTCCAATAGAACAGATGCCTTCAACCATCGGGGAATTGGTTTGTACACTGCAGGAGGTATCGGAATCAAAATCGAAGTCTCGTTCAAGTACGCCTTGTAATTATTCCACGCTTGATTGGAAGACTCTGCTGTGGGTCCGTGACTCATGAGGAAAAACTTCGCCGCCTGGGGTTTCTCAGCAGTCGGGATCCCAGAAGCGAACATAAGTAAACTGGAATTCAAGTGTGAATGTATGAGAACATGTCAAGCTAATGCTTATCGACAACTCACAGCATGGTGAACAGGGGCGACACGATAGCGGCATATTGTGCAGATTTTGCAGAAGAAGGCAATGTCCCAGAAACTGTTGGAGACAGGCAGAGGATAAAAATACCCCACCAACAAAGTATTCTGATAGACCATGAGTAATATACAAAAGCGTCAGAACATCGCCACTTACTCTCCGAAATACGGCGGGTGGCGAGACCATTTCCATAAACCAGTCTTGCACGACGTATTAGACGGCCATTAGTATACTGAACCATTGCATACCGTCACCGGTTTATCCTTAGGATTCGACTTTTTGTTTTTATATCGGAACTATCAATAGATGTTAGAGATGTCCGAGCATATATGCTTAAAAGTATACCTTCTGAATGTCAGCAGTAGTCTCGACGATCCAACCGACGACCCAAAGGATTATCCCAACGGTGTCACAAGCAGTACCAAAAGCTGGGTTTGAACCAGACCGTCTTGTATCCGATATTGCAGGCGAATTGAGGATTGTAAGGGGAAGGGATACGGTCCACACCTTGAACTCGGCGGTTAGCTGACGACTCGGGAATGTGTGAATAGAACTTGCCCAAACTATTTGTCCTAAAAACATTACCCATCTTCAGAACAGCGATACTGAAGAAACAAGGGAACCAAAAACCTATCCAGAACGCTAATTAAACGAAGGCATGAATATAAGAAGAACTACTGACGTAGCAAGAAGCGCACCAAGGAATTTGAAGAAATGCGATCGAATGTCGTCGAAGCGAGTATCCGATCCCGCCTTGAGTACACGGTAGAATAGAAAACCTGTCATACAGTTGAACAGGACAAAAATTGCCGCGGTGAAGCCTAGCCACCTGCGATTCGAACTGCCCAGATCATAACGAAAATGCTTGCCACGATATTACGAGCAGGGTACGTGTTGCCCATGAGCAGAGTCAGAAGGGCTATAGGGCGATGTTGTTGAATAGAATCCAAGAGCGAATTTGTAGTTTCCCACCTAGAAGGAAGAAATTGGAGCCTGGAGAAGGTCCTGTCAGAGGCGGCATCGCTCGCCATGAGTACAGCGCGCACCTCCTGTGAAATCTGTAATCTTGTCGAACTGGAATATCCATGCTACAGCAAAACCGGAGAGCTGGTACGCGGTCGTCACCAGTATGGTGATTGCGAGGAAGTAGTGGTCGAGGACATAAGCGGGAGCCATGAAGGATTTATAAATGGCGACCGAGTGTTGAGACAGTCATGACGTTGGGAACGTATCGCAGGAGCCATGATCGTGGTCCCCAAGATTACGTGCAAACAGCGGGCCGACAAACTGCCACTACATCGAAATTTGGCTGACCATTAATAATTGTCCGTATTCCACCAACGAAACAGTAAGATATATGTTGCCTGTATTATACATAGTATATGATACATCTATTGATATTAGTCACAACACCCCTACATTTCTTGTGTCTGCATCACTTCGAAATACGCAGTGTACTCCTCTGGTGTCATTAAATCGTGGTCCTCTTCAGTCACTTTCGAGAGCGCAACTGGTTTACCATTGACTGTAAATTTAAGGGTTAGAAAGGATCAGCTTATTTGGAATTGAGACAACGTACCATAAACGATGGGATCATTGTCTGCATCCATTGGTGCGAGATCGAGCCCAGTCCCATTGTCTGAAACGTCACCATTCATGACAAACGGTGTTGTTGGCTCTTCTACTTTGGGAACCTTCATCTTCCCTGCCGCACCCTCATCCTCTCGGGAGCGAGACCGTTTCCGATAATCATTCAATGAATCGAGGTATTCGATATTCGGCTTTCGATCTTCCTCCTCGTCGCCCCCAAAGTCGTCAAAGTCCGAGCTGCCAGGTGCACTAAGACCCGATGGTGTAGCTTGCGCAGATGCGGCAGCGGAGGCCGCCAGAGACGCGTAGTACTGCTCATAATCTAGGGAGAATATTAGCGAAAAACTGGCCGGTGGGAAAAGACGCTCACAATCTGCTTCGCGGTTGATGGTCGGCTTGACGTCCTGCTCAACACTGATGGTCTCCTGTACACGATCTGGGCGCATCCCCACCACTCCAAGTCCTCGCAAGATATCATCGTTTGAACTAGGCGCCACGTTCCCACTAGCAGCCTCTGCCCTCGCATTCTCTTTTACGCCTAGTGCGGTGAGATCACCGGTAATAGTACTCTTCAAATGCCACGCCGGTAGTGCATTCTGTTGCCTCTTTGCTTCGGCTTCGGCGTCCCGTTCCTGCTTTCGTGTAGCCTCATCCTTATCTGTAGATATGACGACACCAATACCATCCTCCTCCTTCTTGTTGGGATCTGAGCCGGCAATCTTGAGACCTCCACCTGCCTGAGTGGCCTTCTGCTTTTCTGGGTCAACAGCATTGCTCTGAACCCATGCCGCGACATCAAACCTAGGGAAAGATTAGTCCACATTCAGCGCAGCATCAAGTCAAACGTACGCTGGCAACGTCATCGCCTCGCTCTTCTGGAGCCCAGCACGGATGAAGCGCATTTGATGATGAAACCTCAGCATTCGGTCCTTGCTACCCTGCTCATGGTCGGCGTCCTCGTTGTCAATGACCTCTGCTTGGCAGATTTTGCAGACCATTATGCCACGAGTAAAGTCCATGAGCTGATCGGCATCCAATGCGCTGTATGATTCTTTACATTGAGGACAAATATACCCCTTGTTGCCGAGTTGCTGTGGGGCAGTGAGTAGTGGCACAAAATTAGTTTGAAGGACGTACGTTACGGAGCTTGGAATCAATTTTGTGGTGCATCTTGGCAATCCTCCATTTTACTACGTTGCAGAAATGCTCATAGTCAATGTAGTAGTACTGCTTGCCGACTGCTCGTTGAGCACCTTCCCTCAGCTCGTTCTGCCTGTATCTAAATCGAACGACAGTGAGACCCCTAACGTGACATAAAGCGACCTGAACATACACTTTGACAAGTTTGTCATTCGACAAGACAGCGACAATCTTGTTCAGCTCCTTGGATTGTAGCCCCAGCCGACTTGCCAAATCATCATCCTTGAGACTGCCCAGGAAGAATAGAGGTAGAAAGAGCAGAACGCGAAATATATGCATGTTCAGCATCTACAGAACTCATCTGCAGTGCCAATACTTACACTGGATGTCGGGAAAGTTGATCCATGATGATGATGTACCGAGGCTCGTAGAAAGCTCGGGAGACATGTAGTACGAGGAGCCGCAAGGTTTCTTGATCCTCTTTAGTCGCCATTCTAGTGCCCTCTAAGGGCCTATGAGACCTTGGATCCGAAAACACGGTACACTTAGTGAACGAGTGGAATAAATGTCGTGGTACAGAAGGAGACGAGGAAGAAGTAGACACGTCACGTCTTAGCGTGACGGGCGTTATTTACCGTTTTCGACTCCTCCAGCATAATCGGCCCGACATTTTCTGACAAATATGTAGGGCTCCCCACTGAATATGCCCTCTTCCCTCACAAATGCTCTCCTTAATCGCTCAGTCCATTGGACGTGCCAACGCATCCGCCATGCCCAACTCCCCGACAAGTCTCCGAACATCATTCCCTACACAAAACAAATCGTCGAAACCTGTTTGGAATACCTCAATATAATAATCCTGGCCTGCGAACCACGATGGATTGTGCAGGCCATCGACAGCGGCTTACTCACATATTCGCAATCAACGGACCTTCCGAAACCATCGACCTTATCGTGGATATCATGGTCATTAACCTCGTTTGGCGTACGATTCTACGTGCCACACGCAGAACTATGGAACATATCAAGCCCGTATCACAGCCGCCTGGCAGAAGCTGACGGCAGTCATTTCCAATAGATAGGAATGTCGCAACCGTATCAGCACAGGATTCAATCTGTGTGGAAACGAGAAAAAGGTACCAGACTTGGACGCTCTCTCCCTTCATTGGATTGACTTCTATCTTCAGTGTCCTTTGCCTCCCAACAAACTGGCCAGGCTTCAGCGGTGCACAGGATGTGGCATCGCATTTTGCTCGTCGTCGTGCCAAAGGAAAGCAGGGGAAGATCACATACGTGTCTGTAGAGATCAACGACAAAAAACGAAAGGTGCGTAAGAGGCTACCCTCTGTCATATGATGCCACTCACGTACCAATGTTATCCCAGTTGGATATTCCGAGGGTTTTACCCATCGAGACCGCATTTATCTCCAAATGTTCATCAAAGACACCCTCATGAAGGAACAAGCTCTGATAGAAGGGAGAGTCTCTGAATGTTCCCGGGACAACCCCTCGACGGTTCTTGTACGTTTGGATTACATCTCTTATCCCCTCGCCATCTCCATCGCGCCCGTTGAGGAATTCCGGAAGTTCTATGCCGACTGTGACGATTGGCTTGAGGCAGTTTCGAGGGCTGAGGACAACGCATCGGTGCAGAAGAATTATAATTTAATGAAAGGCGAGGACGAGAAAACGAAAGGCAAGTACTGGTGACGTTTATCCCATGGGGAGGCTGACCTCGTGCGGCTATCCAATGGTTGGATAACGTCCTCGGTCACGATTTTGTTCTTTGCATGATCTAAGATACGAGTCTCAGCTTTTCCAAGAAATGATGCCCATGGATTCACTCATCTTGACACGTAACAGGGGATCGAGTAGACTCTTCGGGTGTGGCACGGATCTGAGGCTCTTCTTTTGCACAAGCACGAATTATCGACATCTGGATCAATAGCTGGCAGTACCATTATATGACGCTCCTTGCTGAAACATCCGTGAGCTAAGCTACTCAACTTCCTATGGAGGACGCTTTAAACCTTGTATGACACAAGGTAAGGGGTGCAACGGATTGACTATGTATTGAGATCAATGTTGTTCCCTTCCGGCTTCCTTCCAAATTCCATATAAACAATACATGTCGTCCCTCCAAATTCACTGACAGATGTACATGACAAAAAGGAAGTCCCGGTGTTTGACAAGATGGTCTGCTGAACCGGACATGCAGCTCGACCCTAACCGTCAGTCATTGCAATTACAACGACTTCAAGATACACCATATAGGATATACAAACAAATAATTCCATTCTCAAGCACTTTGGAGGGGAGCATTTGAATTGTCGTCAATGGCCCGCTTCCACACCTCCCAGTATCGATTTGTATGTGAACACGCTGGTGTTGACTCTAGAGTGTGAAAGGCAGCAGGAAGTAGTTTCTCCAACGCCTAGAATCTATTAGGAAGCTAATGAAGCACGCTGAGGACTCCATTGACGAACCTTGATTCTATCTTCCCAAGGAGGATGCGTGTCCTCTTTCTTCATGTTCTTGAAAAGCTTGCCAGACTGATGCTCTCTCGTTTCTATGAGCTCCTTGAGAGATAAATCCATATCATGGAGCCGCTTGATTGTCCTGTAAGTTTATTAGTCTGGGTTCAGTACATTGATATCCCGACTCACGCAACAGCCGCAGTCGGATTATAACAAGCCCGAGACATGAAAAGAAGACCTAGAGAGTCGGCTGCAGAAAGAACCATCAGGTACACTTGGACACAATTGAAAAGTCCGATATTAACCTTCGAATTCGTGCCATTGGAAAATATCCCTGTAGAACCAGGTCAAAAAGCCACTTGATAGGTTAATTTGGAGAAGGCTATTCTTTTCCAAAGCATGCTCTGCGACTGGAAGGGAACAGTGTTAAAACGATGAACACGATCGAAAAGACCTACCCTCATGAGCAATCTCTGTGTAAACACCCATTAAGACGAGAAGCCGGCCAACAGAAATGGCAAAGCTCACCATGAGCAAGACATGAAGCTACCATGTCGGTGTTTCGCAAAAGGTTGAACATACTTGCAGTAATGGTGATGATTCTGGTCCCTGATATTCTCAGACACTTGAGAGCCCCTGAAGGAAAAAAACGTACCTGACAGCACGCAAGCATTTGGCAGAGGCCCATCAAGTACATAGATTCGCCATTCGCGATCGTCGAGGAGGGAATCGTTCTCATCCACGCTGTCCTTGATAGTGTGTCGGGGCCCAAGATGGCCAAGATCAGAGGCAGAAAGAATACGAGACACAATATCTGAGCCAAGTTTGGATAACGGATGGTTGGGAGGAAGGATCTTTGTGCACGAATTCGGTTCCGTGTAGGACAATAACTCTTCTCGGGCTGACTGGACCAGCTGAAGTCGCGTGGGTTAGTTATTTGGATATCTTTCTCTTGTTTGCTTACCCTGGCCTGAATTTCTTTCTTTCTTGCGACTTTTCTACGCTTTCGGCCCGTAATTGGAACCTCTTCCCAACTACAACAACACGGTTAGAGCCGCATTTTCAACAACATTCCCATATCATACTTCTCCGGTTTAATGGTTTCCCTGTACGCCACATATATGATTCCAATGCTGGCTATCATTGCGACAGGTAAGATCCATCGTCGTATCCTTGCAACACCAGCCTTTGGTGTTGGAATGTCAGCGTGCAAGCCACGGCCGTGTCCAACGATTAGGTATTGTAATGTATTTGAACGTCGATGAGAAGAAAGAGGTGCAGCGTGAACTCTAAGTAGCCTATGGCGTAGCATGGAGAACTATAGGACAGGTCACACAGCACGGCACACACGGCAAGGGCGCGGTCACGTTTTCATTATGCTCCCCTATCTCAGAGCCTATCTCCCACCTTCGTATCGCCATGTCACTCGCCCACATAATGTCCCCTTTTTCTCCTTACCGAAACAAATGTTTCTGGGTAGCAATCCCTCCATGTCAGACCATGTCGGCCATGTCGTTGTCTACCATAAAGTCCTCTGACTCCAACTTCTTTTTGGGACTCCCAGTCACGGAGTATCCTCCCTATCTCAACATAGTATGGACTGAGGAAGATTTCTTTAACACAGACACCGTTGTCGCTACTTCCGTGTAAGTCAGATTCTATCTGGAACTCTATCCTGCTTGTACAAGGGGGCATGTGCAAGCGGAGGTTTCTTCTCTTTCCATAATATTTGCTGGAGTCGAGGATCTATATTCTCAAAATATCCAGTCGGACATGCCTGACCCACGTATCTCCATGCAATTTTCATGGCTTCTGTTCTTGATAGCGTCGCCCGCAGCAGCACTGGAAGTCGCGACCGCACTGGAGAAGCGTATGCCAATGCCGAGTCTCTATCTTCAGGAGTACATCCATAAACTCAAAATACCATCTCGGACACACTCGGACACACTCAACTCGGTGAGGTTGCATCAGGACTGTCACACAGTCGCTATTAACCACTGCGTTGCGCATAGACATACAGGACGGTCTCTCGAAAGGAACAATTCGTTTCGTTTATGCCCCAGGTTACATCGAAGGGATACCGCTACAATGTCCGCCGTTGCACTCTGTCTTCCGAGCACAAATGAACGAGGCGTCTCTGGTGCTGAGGTCGAACGTGTTGAGGCTCATCTTCGTCAACACGAATATTATCAAGGGAGTTTTAAACTTACCCGACGACGTCACTCGTAAACTTATTCTTGAAGGCTCCTTTCACCACCGGTCTGGAATTGGGATCAGTCCCACATTTGTTATGTCCGTACTGGAAGACTCTCGGGAGGCAATTGGTTTAATTATGGATCGCAGCCAAGAGGAATTCTCAGTAGACCTTGTGCAGGAGGTGCACAGATTATTTACAAGGAACAATTCCATTGCATTAAGTCCTAGGAGATCTCACGAGGCTCTAGTCAAGATACGTCATTTTCCTGCTGGACGATTCATTCTTACAACATTGTCGAGACCCGATGGCAAGATCCATGTCTTTGCCCCCCCACAGGACGTTAATACTGAACTTGTAGAGCAGTTTCGCCAACTTAATGTCAGTTCTTTTGTTCGTGATGGCGTCTGGTCCATGGCATGTATTTTTAGGAATATATATCTCAGGTTCTGATAATGTCTTCTGGCTCTCTGCATGATTCGCTTCGTCAATATTCATTCATTCCAGGTAAGCTTTATCTTCGCATTTCGGAGTGACATCGACCTAGATAGGATGGAAATGGACGAGTAACCAAAGCAATGGTTTCTGCCATCCTGGGACGTTTTTGGCTTCCTTCCGTTCCATGTTTCGACAGAAGTCAAAGAAGTATATCTGGATACAATGTCCCAGGTAAGCCTTGCGCAGCATATATTCTATGCACCTAGTAACGATGATAAGCTGACGATGGAGATCTCCATCCATTAGCTATGTTTTTCGTTCGCCAGTAACTCTTGGCTCATCTCACTGCTAAATATGATCCTGCGGCGGAGTGACGTCCTTTGACACAGTTCGGAAAAAATATATTACACTGGGTGGAGAATGGCCTGTCAGAGGCCCTGTCCAGATTGGCAGGTACGTACCATCGAGTAGTACAGAAGGTACTGGAAGTACCGAAAATACGCCTAGTGAGTACTTTATCCCCGACGAAAGCAAAACGGGATTTAGGATAGAAATGAAGATGTTTCATGATCCGGTCTGGCGGGAAATCAGTCAGAATACACTCAGTCCGGAGAGGAGCTAAAGGTACTTTATTTTATAGCTCTCTCTAACCCCTTACCCCAACATCTTTGTCGTATTTCTGACGAAACGCGGGAACAAAGGAGTGACGAACATCTGTGCCACAACAGCAGTTTGGTTTCCGGAACAACAAAAAATCTGGGAGGAACGACTTCACTCATTCTTAAATACGGAGGTTGCATTATTTTTGAAGTTCGAAATAAGTATTTGAACTGTTGTACAGGTGTCTCCAGTATTGATGATAATGCATGATGCCGGCGAGAGTCCAAACAGTAACGAAAAACGGAGAAGCATTTAAACAATTACACGATAGCAAGTCAACAGCGAGCACAACTGAAAGGAGATATCATAGACCGAGACCAGTAAGTGCAGCTAGAGCAGTCTTCATACGAGAGACGAATTCGTTGAGCCGTTCCCGCGTTTGTTCTGTAAAGAAGACGGGTTAGTAATGCAAGACTTCAGAGAAATGTAAGCAAGTAGTTTGATTTATCATGATCGAATCTCTCTCACCAAAGATGAAGGAAGGAAGAGACGACAGAGAGAATGGCGACATGCCTTGCTCTTTCTCGACCCCCATTATTTGGGATATCTTTTTCTCGAACTTCTGCACCGCGACTTGGCTTTCTTGTTTGGGTCGTGCCGATGCCCAGGCGTGCGTTTCGAGGATCACGTCCAGCAACATCGCACTGAGTTCTGCTTATATCGTTTGGCAATAAGAATATATGCGCGTCAAATCAACGACAGACCTTGAGAGAAGGCAGCATCCCGTGCTGATTCTTCTTCAAAAGGCTTGACTACAATGGAATGGTGATCAAACGACGGGAACGTTTGTCCGATAATCTCTGTCAGTGGACGATGACGGGGTTGGCTGGGCTTGTACGTTCCGTCTCGCGGGGTAGAAGGGATGGAGGACGTTTCGCCTATATCATGTGCCTTCATTGAGTTCGACGTTGCGGTCGTCGTTGTCGTTGTCGATGCTTTTGACGAGGCAGACATGATAGTGGAAGAGAAGTGCCGGTAAGGCCGGGACATCCTATTTAGGTGAAACTGTAAATACGACCAAATACAGTTGGCATATAAGGATGCCCCGCCCCCCCTGTTTCTCTTCCTTACTTCCCCGGTTGACTCAATGCTGCAATGCTCGTCTCGCACGGAACCTCACCGTTCTCTCTCGCGAGCGGGTAAGGTCTGAGCATACTGTCTCCCTTGATTGGCTCTAGCCGGGTCTGGCCATAATAGCTAAGCGACGTACCAGACATTTCCCTCCGTCGCTCTTTTTCCCCAAGACACCCCTTTTGGGGGCAAGGGATGAGCATCGGGTGGGTTGAAAGTCGTCGCGGAGACTGGGCACGCGTGCTTGATACATCCATCCGTTTTCTGGAGTACTATCGGCGCCTATGTGTACCTTCGGGAACGCTGGAAAGACACTCGCTTGGCTGAGCAGCGGCTAGTCTTTGACGAACCTTTCTATAGCCGGATGCCAACGTCGACTGCCTCACCCTGCTGTGTAGCCCCCTTGGTCTGTTTGCCCGTCGTGGCTCTTCTATGTCGCCTGTGGCCCGAGTACGTCCATACATCGTGAGTGCTCCCCGGGTGTAGCTCCTTCGCGCGCGATTCGCGTTTACCGATCAGAATGTTAATAATACATGTTGCATTTGCCTATTACACTACCATCCTTGCGGCGGCAGCAGCCGCGGTCCGGGGCAGGAGGAGTTGGTAGGACGTACGAAGGACATCTCTGGATGACTGGATGGATGTTCACATCAGTGTCCTTCAGTGCACTACGTGGCGCGTACTGGGCGTCCTCGACCGACCTTCGCGGATGGTTGGATGTCCAGGACGAAACTCGATTCAGACTATTCTGGGTCAACTGGATTGTGAAAATTTTTTGCTCTATCACTCTCTTCGGAGAGTTTTATTGCGATTCTTTTTTTTCAAAGGTATGTTCTTTCAATATCATGCCTTCCATCTCTTATACCCACTTTTCAGAGCGACTATTATATGTCTATCCATATATTTCCAAGTGGTTCGTGCATTCAGTTTGCTGTCGACATTTTCTGCGGTGTATAAAGCCAAAGCATTTTTTTTGTCTCTCTCTATCCGTAGTTTGCATAGAAATGCACAGCAGTCGTTTCACTTTCACGTTCGCGATACATTTGAACTACGCTCAACTTCAGACATTGGATCCGTGAATTCGAGCACATAAAATGTAGGCTTTGGCTACTCAGAACGCACCACTGCCTGTTTGTATTTCGCGGCGTGTTTGGCTTGGATGCCGTAATCTATTCTGACCCTGGTTTGGAAGTCCGGGGCCGTCGCTGTTTCCTTCTGTCCATCATCCGCCTTTCTCGTCTCTCTTTCGTTCACCTCTGTCTTCATACAGAGCGCCAGTTCAAGATCTACTATCGTCTCGCTCGTTTTCTCCGTCCTTTGCAAGGCACATTTACTCGAATCTCTATTTGTCCGGCATTCAGTTGTTCTACAGATTGGTCCTTACCAATACCTGTGCTACCTGGCAGAGATTTCAGATCTTCGTCATCCATATAACATCCCAATGTCCCGAAATCGCTCGTCAATTTACAGGGCAGCAGTATCGCGCCGTCGCCATCGCCATCTGCCGAACATGTTCGAACAGGAACTCGAGACTACTGTTCGAAACAGACCTCGCGAAAGACAGTCATAGGATTTCCTCGCTAAAATTGCAGATCGAGGGAGAACTTTCGCCCATCAGACGCCTTCCGACAGAAATCTCCATTGAGATTTTTCGTCACGGCGTCATTGTTGACGCGCTTAACAGCTTCAAGGTTCCCTGGATCTTGGCGCAGGTATGCAGCACTTGGAGGGAAATCATGATCGCGCATTGCCCAGAACTATGGTCCGCTATCATCATCGATGTTTGTACTTATCGTCACCAGGACCCTGTTTCACTTCTGAAGACGGTGCTCGACCGGTCGGGGCAGAGTGAACTGCACATTCATTTCTGGGAGACTAGCATCGAGGAACGCTTAGCTAAACAAATGCTCAGTCTATTGTTTGAAGTCTCGAATCACTGGAGCAACATCACTTTCGATCTAACGCCCAGTTCTTTGTCGTCCCTTTCTGCCGTGCACGGACGTGTAGAGAGACTATCAAGCGTTTACCCTCAAATATCACGGCTACGGTCACCCCCCTTCCCGCATCGATGCCTTTGAAATTACCCCGCTCTTGAACGACATCAATATCTCTGCGGGCGGAGATGACGATGTGGTCACCATTGCCCCTGCGGATCCGAAAGCCTCAAGTTTTACCGCTACGAACGTGCATATGGCGACGTTGACTTGCCCCGAGCCCTTCTAGATACTATACTCTCGTCCCCGAATCTCGACACGATCTGGGCATACTATCGTAATCACACTATAACTGCTCCTACACCGCTTTCTACACGTATCAGCGGCAGGTCTCTCCGGTTCCTTCAAGCATCTGAGAGTGCTTTTCTCGACAGCCTTTCTCTCCCAGCACTAGAGACTGTATGGCTTGGACCCGATAAATATCGCCAATCACTTTGCCCCAAAGACACACTGCCGTCGTTGCTACGCCTCATAACCGCCTCTCAGTGTTCTCTTACTCGTTTGATACCAGCAGAGATCGACACCAACCATGGAATCATCCTCGTCTTCCAACGCTTGACTCCTTGGAAATGTACTTTGCCTGGTGGCGCAGATCTTTGGATGACACCATGCAGCTTCTTCAATTGTTACCGCGACGATGAAGTCGAATGCTTCCCCCGCTGCCAGTCCTTTTCGACCAGCTATCCTACTCAGTCTGACTCGTTTCAAGATCTAAATATGGGATCTTTCAAGATTTGGAGAGGTGTCATTTATGAACGGCATGTTTCGTTCGAGCACTGTCGACACGAAAGACGATGAGTGCTGAGAGGGATGACAAACTACTTGAAGCTGTATCGGTCTCCCTCTTCAAAAGTCCGTTGCTTCGGACGGTGTCGTCTGGCGATTTTCAGACTTTACGAGATATGGGGATGAAAGCTGAAGTGGTAGTATCGGATGGCATGGTCTCTATTCCGTACTAGTATCTATCTATCCAAACATGCAAGTATTACTTCCTGTCAATGTACTTGCGTTCTCAGTGGTATGCGGGACCTGTCTACCTGCCTGTCGCCGTAAGCACCAGTATAGGAGAATAAGTAGCGGTTCGCTGCCGTATTTTGAATTTGGTGTTGGGGTCTTTGTCGTATTTGTCTTTTCTCATCATGAAAGTAGAGTTCAGATTTCGATGCAAGTAATACGTTGGACACCATATCTCAAAGTTGCAACAGTTTCCTTCAAAGACCTTGAATGATACGCCTTGTTTGCGGGCGGTAATAATGTAACCCATCTTGATTGATGCAGCCTAAGATACATACATCACACAGTAAGTAAACAACCGATATGCTAAACATTCAATTTGAAGCCATCCTGTCCAGAGTGTAGAGCACCTCCTCTTTGGATATCACTGGTGCCAACGTGAACAGAGTTGGCTTATTGTCTAGAGCAGCGTGGAAGATCAGGCGCGCGACTACTTCACCCTGAAATCAGGAGTCAGAAGTGTGAGGATTGACAGCATGTGTTTGCTTACCAAGTCTACAATGATAGCCACTACAATCAACCTGCAACAGTATAGACTTGGTGAATATCTTTGCTCTATTCGTTACATATAGGCGCACCATATCACTATCCATGTTATGCGCTCCATCGCCGAATTATTGAGATGCTCATGAATGGCGTCCAGCTGCTCCGTGTGTTAGAAAATTGCATCAGAAGAGTTCAAAGTGGACTCACAAAGTCACTCGCGATGCCCAGCTTCTCATTCAGCACCTGTACACGGCCTTTAATCTCCATGTATTCCCGCACCGCATCATAGAGCCCTTTCAAGCTCGCTTCGTCCCAGAACAGCTCTGGCACGTCAAGCACGTTGGAAACCAAGTTTATATCCCGTCTCAGCTTGAACAATCGACCTGTGAGCTTCAATGCTTCGTTTCGTCGCAGTTGTAAAGCTCCCGATTCAGCAAGCTGTTTAGGTATGGAGAGCGTCGAAGGTGATGAGAGTACGCGTTGTGCATTTGTCTCGTAGCGTGCGAGAAGGGTAGATTGCGCGAGAGCATGAGCAATGGACAATTTGAGTAGGTGAGAGCGTGATTTAAGCGCTGGCTGACATGAGCTAAACGTGAATTGATGCTCTAGAATGACTCACTGAAGAAGTCATTGTATATTCGAGGGTAAGCAATATGAGTGTCATACTGAAAATGAATTAATTGGGTGTTCATGGGAAGAATGGAGATGACATACTGCAAAATGGCACTCCTCGACCTCCCAATGGACCTCTGTAATCTTCCTATCCATGATTTTGGCGTTCTCGATATCTTCTAGTATGTTCCTTTCCTGCCCTTCATCCAGGCCGAAAAATACTACCACGCCGTACTCAAAAAACACGACCTCAGCTACGTCATCGGTATTAATGGTTTGCTCTGGCGGCTTCACGAATCGGACCTCAGGGGATTCTGCCTCACGCTCGGTATCTGACTGTACAGTGGTATGCTCTGCCTCGGATATCTCCATTTCGTAGGCTCCACGCGCCATGACTGGTGATGATAAGATGTAGCCGTCGCGATTGGGCGATGAAGAATTTGCTGCGTTATGGGGAAAATACGTTCCTTGGTATCCATTTTCCTCTGCTTCCGAGAGACGGGTCTGTATGTTCATGCTGGCATCACTACTGGCGAATGCAGATGATCGAATGTTGGAGCTAGGTCCGTATCCCGGCAAGAGAGGTAAATGGTACATCTGCACATCATAAGCCTAGATTCGTGTATTGTCACTGCTACGCACCGCATACATGGCCTCATCAAATATACGGGGTGAAACGTTGTGCTCGCGCTTCAAGTACGACGTCAGGAGCTTCATATTGAATACTTCTGCCACACAGTACGCCGTCAACCGTTTGTACCCTGCTCGATGCCGCTGCTCCTTTGACATCCGCTCCGCTTCGCTCTTGTACTCGCGCACTGTGATACCAGCATCTGTCTCATAGCCTAGCGTCAAGTCTTCATCGTTGTCCGCTTGTAAAAGTTTCGTTTGGGGTGCAGACGGTAGGACGACAAGTTTCTGTGATGTTTTCGAAGTTCGTTGAACCTTGGAAGCACTAGAGGCAGAAGCCCGCCGGACCTCGATGTGGCCATCGATGCCAGAGCTGATGGATCCGAGACGATTTGTTCGAGGGCGTCGCCCAGGCCCTTTGGATGTCGACGACAGGCGTAGCTGGGACATGGGATGGATGACGTCATCTCTAGGAGCATGTAAGACCGCGGTCGGGCTTAAAGCGTTAAAGATATAAAAGAGCACTCATTTCCTGGCATTTCAGCCATAAAATAAATAACATGTCCTCGAAAAGTACGTAGTAGTTCATCATGCGGGGGGTTAAGACTGTTTGAGCCTAGTTTTTATTTGGAACTGTTACTGTTCTCAAAATGTCAATTCTCTGTTCTAAGTGGTAAAACAGTGACACATTATAAATTGGCCACCTGTTAGTATAAACTAATCTACCTCGGTAGCTCGTTAATCGAAAGGCAAAGATAGTTATGAAGCTTGTTAGTATCATATCAGTATGCATAAGTAAAGAGGGTGTTGAGTGAGATAAGAAAGATGCAAGGACATAGATTTCCAGTTAGCTTTTGTTTTGTTGTGAGCTGGGCATATGTTCTGCTTCTACTCTGCCCATATCCTCCTGGCTAAATGGATGGATGCATTGTGCCATGTGTAAGAGATATGAGTTAAGACATGATTGGTGAGAGGTCCAGACAACCCTGTAAGTGCAGGCAAGGATGGCATGAGGAGATAGGCTGGAAGGCGAGGTGAGGCCGTATTTCTGAAATAAGGCAGTATCTGGCATTCCACGCGAATCGGTCCGACATATCCGCCAGTTTTGGCACGTGATTTATCTGCCCTCCAACTCTAGCCTCAACCGCGTTAGAAAATACAGCGACAGACTGCAACGACTGATAAACGGACATGACGAAGCATAGCAAGAACAACACAGCATCCTCCATATTCTCCTATGCCGAATATAAGAAGCTTGACTACGGAACGAAAAAGGTATGTCAACATTCACCTTTTCTTCATTTCTGACAGTGTTTTAGCAACGCCTTGGAAATGAATCTATGCGACGCTTTGATTCTTGCGCTCTATGCCTAAACAGCGCTCGAGAACCTCTATCGTGTCATGAGGGGCATCTTTTCTGTAAAGAATGCGTGTACACCGACCTCCGTGAGCGCAATATCTGATCCATCTTGGAGCCGGGCTGATGCTTGGTAGTCACACAGAAAAAGGATATCAAACAACAGAAAGAGAAACTGGAAATGATGAAGAAGGAGGTTGAGGAGGAAAAGGAGCGGGCTAGGCAAGCTGCTCGCGAGCGGGTTATTCTGGAGTTTGAGAAGGGCCAGTTAGGGCTTGCGGCTGTATCAGTGACGGGAACGACGTCTGCTGGAGAGTCAAAGGAGGATGGTGAGCTTTTCGTCGTGTCTGTTATGTCTGGGTCGACGATAACGAGACTAGGTCGGGGAACCAAGCGTAAATTTGCGTTCTACTCGTCCAAGGTCGAGAACCTTGCTCAAGAAGCTGAAGAAGCTGCCCTTCAACAGATAGAACGAGAACAGGCGGCAGCCCTGCGGAACAAGCTTCCAGATTTCTGGTTACCATCCTTGACGCCTACCTACTCATCTATTGGGCCACCTCAGACGATCAAAGATGTGAAGCTACAGACCACATGCCGAGGCGGGAATCCTGCTCATTCAATTGCGTGCGTCATTGTCGCTTCTTTCTGTTTCCTTCTGACGGCTCACAGGTTGAAGAATCTCATTCCAGTCAAATTCACCTTCTATTCCAAGACGAAATCTGCCGGTTCTGAGGCTGCCGGAAAGAATGATGAATCCCAACCGATGTGCCCGTCTTGCAAAAAAATCTTGTCAAACAGTATGCTGATGTTCCGTAAGTATACTCGCACCGGTCATTTCTTAGTCTATGGGCGTTGAACCTTTTCCCCAGTCATGAAACCCTGTGGTCATGTGGTCTGCAAAACGTGTACTGAATCGTTGGTACAACCTTCCCACGAGTGCATCGTCTGCGATGTCAAATTGTCAGAGAAGGATGTCATCGAACTAAAAAGAGAAGGTAAAAAGGTTTTTCCGAATAATGGCAAGACCTTTTTCACCAACGTGTAACTGTTTTAGGAACGGGATTCGCTGGAGGGGGACTCGCAGAAGCATCGAAAACGGGTGTTGCTTTTCAAGGTTAAGCAGGAATCTCTATTTCTGTTACAGTGCGGTATCGTGTTCTTAACTCTCCAAATACATTTCAATTGTATCAAATCCGGTCGACAGACGTTCTCCCCGATAATAGCAACTTGGGTTTAGCTGCCCATGTCTCAAAACTGCAATAATACGACAACGGTTGGTAGGGACGGTGAATTAGAGCTTCAATGGCCTCCGTGTAAATTTCCTTTTTCCTTATATGCGTACCGCTGCGCGTGTGTATGAGATTCACTGAATCTAGAAAAGCATCACATGGAAAAGAACCTTCTCCCAAGGTCTCCATCAGGGAAATCGCTTCGGCCTATGTATCCATGGTAGCGTTGTATCTCAGAGGAGCAGGATATTGTGCGTTATAGTCATATACGTCTCCTGCATGACATTCATCCTGTCGTATCTAAATCAACTTCTTCTCTTTCGTTTAGGACTGAGCACTAGAGGTTGAAGCGTTCAAATCGGATTTTCATTAAGGATGCACAGCCACACCATAGCCGAAGCCGAAAGAAGTACTCATTTGAATGGATCTCATCAACGGAAGCTAAACGGAGCAAGTTGGATGGTCTTGTTTTTTTTTTCCCTAATGATGAGGGGCTAACCCTTGTAAGTGCTCGTCATGGTTTCGATATCTCCCATCCAAGGTGTTCTCGCGCTCTCGACGCTCTGGGTCCTGAAAATCTTCGGGAGGAAGTGGGTAGTCGCGTCGCGTATTAGGGATGACTTACGGTGCGCGATGTGCATCGTATCATATGTTCTGCTCTCAGTGTGGCAACTCTCTCTTGTCAGGTCTCGTTGTCCCAGCGCAGAAATCTTGTGGATAAATCCTTTCAGGATGCTTGCCATTGTTTCTGGGCCATTTTTCCCTGCACAGGGCAAGGTGGGGCATTATTATGCCAAATTCTCAGGTACATTGCTGAGCCAGTCGAGACGAGTGCTGACATCTCTCTCTCTCTCTAGCATTTGCCAAGTTCGGAACCACATGTCTCAGTTCCGTTGTTTTTTGGGACGCTATTCCCACGTTCTGGATATCTGACGCTGACGCCATCAGGATCGTCAGCGCCGACAGACAGACTTTCACTAAAGATGTCGAAGCAGTGAGCATCATGATATCTTAGCATGACTCTAATAAAATATTTGCTGATATGTGGATCAGTATGAGATACTCAATATCTACGGCCAGAATCTGGTGGGTACAGAAGGTGCAGTTTGGAAAAGACATCGTGCCGTTGCCAAGTCTGCGTTCAATGAGGTACGTGCGCACTTTGCTGAGAGATGAGTGCGCTAAGTACAAGTTAGGCAAACAATGCTTTCGTGTGGACCGAAAGCATGCGTATCGCAACTGAATGGTTTTCTGATATCGACAACCGAATGTATGGTACTGCACGGGAGTGTACCGTCGACTTGCTAAAAGATCTCACGCAGGTGGGTCTGAGTTTAAACTTCTAAACGTGATCTGCACTCATGATCTTTTTTTTTATAGTTAACTCTTCTCATTATCTCGACAACCGGATTCGGACGGCGAGTTTCCTGGAGCGAAGATGCAGCAGCAGTTCCCCCTCCTGGCCACAAAATCGCTTTCCGTCCCGCCGTGACCTCAGCAATATCACATCTCATCCCAAAAATGTTGACCCCAGACCTTATTTATAACCTTTCAGACTGGGTGTACCTGCCTTTCATCTCTTCTGCTCTCAAGGAAACGACGGAGTCATTCGAAGCGCTCAAGTTTCACATGCTCGATGTCATATCTCTTGCCCGTGCCAGGGTTACCAATGGTAAGGCGGCGGATATGGATGCGGCGTTGCTGCGTAACTTGGTCGAAGCCAACATGTTCGAAGAGGCCGACTGCGGTTATAAACGCCTGACGGACGATGAGTTATTGTCCAACACTATGGTAAACATCTCTTTCCATCGTCAGGATGACTGTTGCCAACGACACCATCAGACCTTTCTTTTAGCAGGACATGGTGAGCGTCCTGACAAACAGTCGTGTCGAGAGCTTGAATTATCTGTAAGAAACGACTGCGCATACAATTTGTTTTGCCGTGGTCTTGTTGGCACTGTACCCGGACGTTCAGCGTAGAGTATATGAAGAAGTATCCAAATTCTGGCCAGAAGGCGCTCCGGCACCCGTAGGATTTTCGGCATTGTGCTATATTCTCACTACGCTGATCTTGCTTCGAAGCGCTGCAAGGAATCCATAGCTGCATTGGTACTTTGTTCTTACATCTTATACCTTATTGACTTGACGAATTCCGTTAGGAATATACTACTGGTGTCTTCTTAGAGACTCTCCGTCTATTCCCCCCGGTAGCTCGACTGGGAAAACTAGTGCAAGCGAATAGCGTTATCCCGGCTCGGCGATTTCAGATGTCTCCAGAGGGTAGACCTTCCGACGTTGAACAATTCTCTGTTGCCATCGACAAAGGTAGTCTTGTAATTATTGATATTTTCGGACTGCATATGAATCGTAAGTCTCCAGTGGACCATATAATCGATTTTCTAAAAGAAGCCCTAGCGATTCATTGGGGCGAGGACGTAGAGGAATTTAGGCCTGAACGGTTCATCGATACTAAATCGTACCGTTGGCCCCGCGATGCCTGTACGTCCTTGTTCAATTTTGTTCGTGTGTTCATTCATCAACGATCTTGGGAAGTTTTTGCTTTCGCTGGTGGACCCAGAAGCTGTATCGGTCAACGATTCGCTATAACGGAAGGGCTTTGTCTCATTGCCAATATTGTCCGAAACTACGAGATCTTGGTGCCGTACGATTTGTGTGATAAGGGCGTGGAGGAACAGAGAAAGATCCTTCTTCACTGGTCACCCAGTATTACCATTCTTCCAACTGAAGCCAGGGCCCTATTCCGTCGTCGCAAGTAATAGTACTTTTCATTTGGTTGGCCTCCTTGTGTTATCGCTACTATATGTTGTTCGTCTAGGCGCACTTCTTATTATCGATAATTATTCATAACTTGTTTATGTCCAGTAAAAACTAACAATACATGATCTCTGACTTGGTACAGCTCTCTACTTAGAAAGATCGTAACGATATTTGGGGCTTCGCAGCATTACCTCCGATTGTGGATGTGGCGCTGCCACCGATTGCCCGGCGCACTGATTGTTCTAATAGTTCTCGAGATGACGGTTCCAACTTCCCTGCCGCGTCCTTGAAGGCCACAGGAGAGGATGTTGCATACGACAGTAGTTGTGCAACGCTTTGTGTAACGATTGGCGAAGGTGGTGTTTGTGTGTTCGTGAGGAGGAGAGTGATTGTAGGCAGTATAACACCCAATAATCGCGAGCCTAGAACATAATTAAACACATGTCCACAACAGAAAAGTAGAAGACATACGATGCTCTTCTGCAACAGAGGCGAAGAAGGACGAAAAAGCTTTCCAAACTTCGCCGATAGCTGCAGCATGGGATTCCGTTATTGATCCGTCATTTACGAGAGGCGCCATTTTGGCAATATACTCTATCAGACTAGGAACCAAAAGTTTTGCGCACTGGCGAAGAACAGGGTTACCCGAGGTGGAGGCGATCATTAGTGTCTTAGCGCAATGAGCAGCAGTCAAAGACGCCTGATGCACAACATCAGATCGTGCCCCATGACAATGTTTCATTCTTACCTCGTCAGCATCAAGTAGCTTCTGGGAAATCAGGAAACAACCATGTTCCAGAACTGCTCGCCCTACTTTGATAGTCGGTGGTATCACGGTTAATATAAGTACAGCCGCTAACAGGTTGTTCTTGACTTTCTTGGTGGATATGAACCCTTGCCGTCCTCTGTGCAAAAGGTGAATGAAAGATAGATCGAGGTATATACCCTGAGGCACCTACCTCATACCATCTATGTTAAGCAAACAAGCCGATATGAGGCCATGCACCAGACGACTATATCGATCCCTCGAGTCCCGCGCCGTCAAGGTAGGAAGATCCAGCAACGCCTTAAGACAGGGGAGGGTGGGACCAACAAGGTCGATTTCAGACGATTCGTCCTTGAGCATTTCTGAATGCATATAAGTTCGTTGTCCCTTTCACGAGAAAGAGTAGGCGATTAAACATACCACTATAAAGGAGGATGGCTACACCACGTATATCTTCTCGCTGAGATGTATTTAGGGATGCCGCGATGTTTCCAAAGGCGGAGAAACAGGCCGTTATCATCTTTATGCGATTCACAATATCCCCTTCTGTAAGGGCATTCATGCCACTTTTTACAGTCCTTTCAACAGATTACTCACGGATGATAGGGCCCTGGGAAGCAGATGTTGTATGCCTAAGTATATAAGCACACGTTCTCAAACAGTGTGCTTTCGGAGAGTTTGCAGAGAGTATATCAAGTGAGCTGAGGCCATATCATCGTGTCAATGCAGAAGATTTCAAGTAGAGCAGCTTCTTACCTGTCGGTTAAGCCTTCTTGCGAGAGGGCGAAGACGGAGAGTACTTCAATGAGATGCGTTTGTATAGATGCTGTCTCAGTCATAGCCATGCGATAACAGACAGCAATGAATTCATCGAAGATTGTTGGATCCATTATGGCCTTCCCAGCGTACTGCGGTAGAACGAGGCACTTCAGAGCCATCAGTGCGCTCAGCACTGCGGATTGTTGAGTAGAACTCATTGAATTAGAATCAGCAGATGATACGAGCGCCTCATACGCCAATCCGAACACGACGAAGAACAAAGCGGAGGGTTCTTCATGACCGTTGCCATTTGTGGTGGCAATTCCAACATCACCACCTTCACGGCCATGCATAGCAGCAAGAATATGCGGGTCGTTGGCCTGCATTGCAGTAGCGACAGCCTGAAGTATGAGGGACCAAGATTGTGCATAGTACTTTATAGGCTTGTTCAGTATTGCATAAATTCCAGTGTGGGAGGACACACCGGTAACAGTACCTCCTTCCCCAGACTTGAATAAGTGGAATCCAACGCGACTGAAGAAGTATCATGAAGAAACTCTGAATCGATCCTGATGCTAGCATAATCTCGAAGAGAGACCACCCACAACGTCGCAAGGGACGTTCGGTAAGGATCTACAACGTTCTTGAGGTAGGACTGCCTAGTACTAGAGATTTCAAGCTCAGCCCACGCGGATACCGTCGATATTCTTAGCATAGCAGACGCATTGGGACTGAGTTCTGCAGTCTCCCCAAGCTTCACCATTCCCGAATCTGTGCAGATGAAGCTGGTTTCAGAAGCTAAAGAAAAACAGTCTGTCGACATGCCTGACCTTTTGACTGTTCGAGAGCAGTCGTAAGCAACTTGAGTATGCGGCCCATTCGGTTAACATCTTTCACTACACCACATCCAACGAACACTGCACAAGCCTGAACTGCAGAGGCTAGAATTTCTGGTGTCGAATCTGCGGAAAATGCCGGAGTCAGTGCAGCAGTAATAGGTGCTTGGTGTTGCTCCAAAAGAAGGGAGTCCTCAAATGCAGGGTCGGGAGATGTCGCGAATATCTGAGTTACTTTCAGCACATAGATTTCGTAATACCAGAATGTCAATGCACCTGAATAACATCACGCAGGACAACGAGTCCTTCCATCCGTATTTCAGTAACATACGCCGTGGATGCAGTGAAGGCCATTTTGATTAAATCTGCTACCCGAGAGATCAGGAGACCAGAGGTCGGTATTCCCTGAGTGCGAGCAAACGTAATATCCACGTGTTCTTTCCTCCCACTTTTGGCCACGATGGAACAGATCTGGTGCAAGCATTGAAGAGCAAACAATTGTGTCCTCCAACGCGACGTAAGATGTGCGCGTACGCTGTCGCTCCCATCTTGCATTATACCCACACTCAAAGATTCACCCTCATCGTCTCGCATATTGTGTCGGGTCGCAGCATCAGCCACCTGCTGTGACGCCGTTGTCCGAGACATTATCCGCTGGCATAAATCAATCCATGCAGACGGATTATAGACGACCGTTTGATGAAGCCAGCTGGTTATGACACTTCGAACGCCTTCGACAGATGCATCGTCATCAAGCATGCTAAAGAGATTCTCCACCAGCTGGTCTCCACCTATTTTAGACATAGCGAGAGCATCCTTCTGCACGAGTTGATATAGTGCATTAATCGATGCGACCTTCAACGGCCGACATGTAGAGGATAGGTAGCCACGGAAATGATTGACCAAATCGGGTATATCAACATGTTCGGGCGCGAACATTAGGAAATGTTGGAAGCATTTTATAGCTTCAACTCGAATGCCCTCGTCCACTTCCAAAGAGTATTCATGTACCAGGTTAAGAACCAGGCTCCTGGTTTTTGAAGATTCCTGTATATCAGGGCCGAGGACGGTGATGACAGCATCAATGATCTGACAGACCACTGGATAAGCGGGATAGTCACCGCTGAGGTTGGCATTAGAGAGTGAACCACCTTCACACTCATGGGAATCCATCAGATAAATTTTAAGAAGCATACCCAGAGTGCTTGACACGAACGGTGCATATGCCAAACTTGCAGCATTTATAACTCGGGCCAGCGCGTTCAGTGCCCAGAAGTGAACCAAAGGATGAGGATCGTTGCTGAGAGACATGAGAACGTTCACGGTCGTCTTCAGGAGCGGACCAGCAGCGAGGCCTCCTACATGAGTGTATACAGCGCCGAAAGTAAGAGCGCAGCCGGCACGAGCGTAAGGGTCTCGGTTGCTAACGATCTGATCCACTAGCTGCTTTATCTGATTCGTGAGGAAGTTGATACCTCCCAAGCTTGCCAAACGACCAATGCATTCACTTGTGGCTGAGCGCAGAACATGATCCCCATCTACTAGAGTATCCTAAGGACGGTTAGATTCCTTGGGCTGCTTAATTAGCGGTGGAGATCACCTTCAGAAATGGAGACAACAGGGTTGTCACTTGGCTACTACCAAAAGTATCTCGAGCCTGACGGTAGTGAGACGTTGTTGCGTTCCGTAGAGTAAGCGCTAAAGCAATCGTCGCATTGATTGTGGCAGCGGCTTTACGACCTGTGTTTTTCTCCAGCCTGGGAGAACGGACTGCCTCAAGTAGCTGTGTGATAGTCCTCACAGTTGATGTTGTGTCCTGCAACGGTAACAATCGAGCAAAGAGGTCAATGGCTGCATCCACAATTGCTGTGGCTGGAGGTGGCGGTTCTTGTTCAGCTTCGCCTTCTACTCGCATACGGGATAATGTCAATTTGTCGTGTTCGCGAGCGCCAAAGATCGGTTTGCGAAGCTTGGGAGTCAAATGAGCAACAAAAACACAGATTTAAGGGACAGGTGTTTCCTCACCAAGGAGTCGATCGATGCTTCGATAGAATCTCGATTCAACTGATCCTTTCTTTCGGTTGTGGAATCACTATGGGCGCCAAGGTCGCCATGGTCTACTATCTCGGTGAATGTCACACCATACGCATATCCATCCACACTGTTCCAGACCGAAGTGAAGGTACCTGAAGATGACGCTATAGCAGCCTGAACAGAGGATCCTGCATATCCGTCAGCACTTGCGAAGAGCGCGACAGCAGATTGGAGGAGAGTTGTTTGTGTGGAGTCTGGAATGTTTGAGAAGCCTAAGGCGGTGAAACATTCGTATACACGCCGTCGCAGCAAAGCCTCCCTTCCTTTTAGTGTCAGACCCTTGGGTTGAGGGCTAGGAATTTGAGTATCGGTCCCATCGTCGACTTTCTGATTTATGAAATTATTCGCAAACAACAGGGCGTTGCTTAGGACCATCGCAACCCTACGTCCGACATCTAAGGTGACAAGAGTCGAGGAGTTGTGTTTTAAGAACGACAGAATGGCACCGATGGCGCTTTCTCGTAAATGAAATAGAAACATCCACTCCTCCAGGGGTCGTGTGGCATTGTCAACAACATCCTTACTGGTTGGCTTGGGGAGTGCGTTCCGCCAGAGGACTAGCAATTGCTGAAGGTGTGCTCGGACAAAGTTGGGTCCAAGGGACATCAAAGATGCTATTAAAGTCCATGCAACTTCCACCTCGATGCCTGCAATCTTTACATCATGCTCTGCTGAATGCTTGAGCAATTGAATAGCCATGTCTAGGACCTTGGCGCTAACATCGTAAGAAACGTACAACGGACGCTCAGGTATAATTGACACGAGTGCCGATAGACCGTATGCGTGTCCAAGTGATCGCGGATTGATGTCAGAAGGAGCTGCCGGGGATAGAATGGTGGTCATATCTCTTTGCAATAGTTCAAAGACAGTGATGATGGTCTTCGGCAATCGTAGGGGCGTCGATGAACAGAAGCACCGAAGAGTCCACGAAGCATTCACTCTGATAGTGTAGCTCGGGTGGGCAAGTAATGTCACCAAAGGCTCTGCTACAACATCCTGTAATCGCAAAGAATTAACATCAAGGTCAGGAAAAGATAAGAGAAAAACACACCTGTACTGGAGGCGGGGCGTTCCCAAGTTGCTGCAATAATCCAGCCACCTCTTGCAAGATAATCGCTAGAACAACAGACGAAGGCGCTGTCTGACCCGGCATCAAGGCAGGCCACCGCTTCAGGTAAGAACTAGCTAGCTCCTGGATAGCACCTATCTGTCCCTGTTCGCTCAACATGCGGACTCCGATTAAATCTCTCAACAATATCTCGACTAATCGGCGAACTAGTAAGACTTCATAGCGGCTGCTTCCACTCCGTGGGCTCGAGACAATTTCCGTCATGAGATGGGAAACGATCAAGGAATAGTTGGTCTCAGCGAAGGCGCCCCCAAGCTTTATAATAAGTGCTGCGTAAAAATCGAACAATCCTATGCGGCACTTGCGAGACAGGTTCGGCTTGTTATATTGCATCGACAAGTGCGATAGCATTTCCGTCGGGGTGAGAAGGGGTTTCGTTACTTCAGACGCAGCAGCATGACCCGCTGTTGTGGAATCGACATCCAAGAGTTCGGCTCCGCTTTTCTTCACGGGGGGTTCAGAGCTTGGGACAACCCTTGGCGTCTGGGTAGAAGCCAACAGGTGCCCGACCAACTGGGAAAGAGAGTGCCGGGTAGCATGATCCGCATGCTCCAGATTTCGGACACTGAGAGCAATGATAGTGTCAATGTCGCCTATGGAAGGGTGGTTGTCGCCGGAATACATCACAATGAGCACCTAATAATGGCAGTGTCAAATCGGCCGCAAAGTAAGAGGGCAGAAGGAATGCTCGACCTCGGCAGATGCCCTCTGAACGGGATAACATTTATCAACCAAGGCGGACCTCATCTGCTTTATGATGTCCTTAACTGTGCTATCTGTAACAGCTCTTTTCGCAGAGAAGAGAGATTTCCGGAGTGCCACGATAGCATGGTAGCGCAGTAATGGAGACTAGAAAAGCTTATGTTGAGCAGTAGATAAGTATGCACTCGAGCAAACCGACGTTAGAAGAGGATTTCGATAGGCGCAAGGTTAATATTGCGATCTCGGCCATAAACGACATGAACTGCATGAGTCAGATTTTCAGTAAAACATCATCTAAAGGCGACCATACACGTACCTGTGATCCAAAAGCAAGCATTACTTCGCCGATGCAGTATAGTGCGGCTCTATTTTCCTAAGGTGAATCCTTCAATCACAGGAACCGTGCATACAACACGCACATCCGACGATGATCCCTATCCGCCGTCTTTGAGTCGCCGACAATCTTGAGGAATGCCTGAATGGTGTCGAACAGCGTCCGCGTCTCTGACCGTGCGTACAAAGAGACGAGACATCGTGCTACAACATTCCTGATGGCACGGCCTGGGAGTGGGAAAGGGCTGGGAGCAGTGATGATTTTCACCAGCGTGGTTTCAATCTCTGCTTGCTTTGCCTTGAGAGTGGACTATAGAAAAATATGTGTAGACTACGAGGGCAGCGATGCAATGACGACGCACCAGAGGCATATCCGCAATTTTTTTCTCCATCGACGCTATCCACTGGAATACATACATTTCACCATGTTCCTCTGTGATTTCCGTCTAAGTGGCATATCTCATAAAAGGATTTAATCCGGAGCTTGGCGACAGAACGCACCTCTTGGATATCCTCAATTATGGCACCATTTTCGGTAGACATCCCAGCGATAGAAACTAGCTAGAACTTGTCCAGTCAAACGTGCTCAAAAGTCGTATAATGGTAGAATCGTCCCTCGAGTACGGAGATAGAAATGGTAAATGGACGGACGTGATACGACCGGCAAATGGTTCGGCTTCTATGACATAAGCATTATGCGTGACATATTGGTATATTGCGCCTACATGCGCCCATACTTATGTCAGTTCAAGAGTAGGTTATCAACTCCCAGTCTTCTCAGCCTCCTGCTTTTACCGGCTTCTTAGGTTCAGCTTCTTGCCATACTTTCACTGCAGCCTCATAGGCTTCCCACACGGCTCTGCCTGTCGACTCTCCCCCAAGTTCCCCATCATCAGGAAGTTCCATCACTCCCTCCGTGGGCTTAGCCTTTGCCTTTGCCTTTCCTTTGGAACCCTGTTCCTTGACAGGGGCAGGAAAGTCCATAGTTGGCATCTTGAGCGGCACAACAGCACACTCAGCATACAAAGATCCTGGCTTGAGTATCTCCTCTGGTATCTCTACGACCGAGTTTTCGATCACGGAATCCGAATTGTCTTTGGGCTGCTTTGCCCTCGGAATAATTTTGAAAGGCGTCGGAATGAATAAGACATGCAAAACAGATTGTATAGCGGATATTGGTGACTTGAAAATAAGACGAAAGATTGGTTGAAAGAGGAGATACCTTGCTCAAGATCAGAGAAGGCACAAAACCTTGTAGGTTCACTCACAATACAACTCCCAGGTAAGACCGACCAAATTTTCCCGTCCAATCTGCATGAAAAAGGGGCGCGATAGTATCCACTCTACTGATGCCAGGAGACACGCTAACAGTAACGATATTTGATTTCTGAGTCTTGGCGTCGATTACTGGTATTGAACTACTATTGACATCTGTCTTGGGCACTTGCGCGGACGGAAGAGCATCCAAAACCCGCTGTATATGGCGTGTGAGAATGCAAGTCTTCAAAGCACGCGTACCCTCGGCGAGGAATATTGAATTTTGGGGGTTTGGGGGGGTTGATACAGAATACGAGAAGGGGACCGAGAATGACTTGTTTGCTGCGGCAGCGTAGAATCGGTTGACAATATTGATTATGCGAATATCTCGCTCCACGGGCGCGACTAGAAGCGCAGGAAGGAGTAAAGTGATCAAAAGAAAAGTCGCCAATGATCTTGTTTCGCGTTCTTTCTGCAGTTCTGCAGTAGCTGGGGATAGAAATCCAAATGAACCCAAATGTTGATATTCATGAGCAAAGAGCAGCGCGTCTAGTCGCTGATCTTGCCCAGCCATGAAACGAGTACAGAACGCATGGATGGAGGAAGGAGAAGATAGGTCACATTGCTCTGCATATATGTTCTCATTGGAAGTGGACGTCCGTAGAAGTCCGATGAGAATGGTGACTTCTGCAGATTCTACTGGATCTGAGGTCAAAGCAATGACATGGGCTCCCCGTTGAGCGAGCGCCTGAATAAGGGTTAAACCCAGCGACGTAAAGCCTCCCTATTATTTAAAGTAAGTATATACTATTCGAAGAAAGACGGCCACAACGCACCGTCACCAACACTGTCCTCGCATGAAGGTCCCGGTCGCGGTTCGTAGTTCGCCCTTGAGAAAAGGCGTGGACGAGGACCAATGATGCGGCCGCGGTCGCTATGTGTTGTACATAATTTTTGGGAAAGTACGCAGAATTGACTGCCGCATCGAGAATTCCTAGGACCATGGCTTGAGAAAGATGAAAGGTGGATGTGTACGAAACAAACCTTGCAGAGCCTTGGTTGCCAGAGGTTCGTCATCAATTTCCGTCTATTTATCATCGAAGCGTCAGCCAAACACACCCTTCCTTTCCACTTGAACGCGTTCACTTTCCTGCTCAAGAGATGTCATTGAAAGTGCCCAAATCGAACAATATCCAGCTCTTCAAGGATGGATACAAGGTGCAGTGCTCGGCAATGTTTTTATTTCTGTACTGAAACTGTAGGCAGCAACTTCAAGGCATCGAAGACGCCGTTCTCCGAAATATACAAGCTGTCTCTGAGCTATCAGATCTTGTAAGGACGAGTTTTGGTCCCAACGGCGCGTTCTGTTATTCTGTGTGGCTGAGGAGATGCTTATAAGGACTTCAGGACGGAACAAACTGATCATCAACCACCTTGGAAGACTCTTCGTGACATCGGATGCGGCTACGATTATCAGAGAGGTCGAGGTTATTCATCCTGCTGCAAAGCTTTTGGTCATGGCTTCACAAGCGCAGGAGGCTGAGGTGCGCTCTCTTTCCTTCTGACATTTCTTTCTTTACCAAAGGACAGATGGGCGACGCGACGAATATGGTGATCATACTGGCCGGAGAGCTCCTCAAGAAAGCCGAAAATTTGCTCATTATGGGCTTACACCCGTCTGAAATCATCAAGGGGTATGAAATTGCATCTGCCCGGGCTCTCTCAGAGCTTGAAAGTGCGTCGCATATATTTCTGCATTGGCTCGCTGATTGATGATCGTTATAGAATTGTCTACCTTTAGTCTCCCTTCGCCTTTGACAGAGCCAGTGCTGGCTTCAGCTCTCAAGCCTGCAATTGCATCGAAACAGTACGGATTTGAGGATACTCTATCGGCTTTGGTTGCGGAAGCTGCCCTTGCCGTTATGCCTGCAAATCCCAAAAACTTTAATGTGGACAATGTGCGCGTCGTCAAAATAATGGGTGGAAGTCTTGCTGGAAGTAGGGTTGTGCAAGGAATGGTTTTCGGTCGAGAGCCAGAGGGTGAGCTCAATAGCCCTTTTCGTCTTCATGGCTTACCAAAGTTTAGGGATGGTAAAAAAAGTGACGAAAGCTAAAGTTGCCGTATTCACTTCAGCATTGGATGTTGCACAATCCGAGACTAAAGGAACGGTCCTCATCAAAAATGCCGACGAAATGCTCAATTTTACTCGTGGAGAGGAGAAACATCTCGAGAAGGTCTGTTTTTTAATGTTGGCCGCCTCAAAATTTACTCATCTACGGCCAGATTTTCAAAGAGATTGCCGATTCGGGTGTCCAGATCATCATCGCTGGTTCAAGCGTTGGAGAACTTGCACTCCACTACCTTAATCGTTTCAATATCGCTGTTCTCAAAGTCCTGTCCAAGTTTGATCTCCGACGCGTCTGTCGCGTAGTTAATGCTACCCCTCTAGCTCGCATGGGCGCGCCTACTCCCGAAGAAGCAGGTTATGTCGATATCTTCGAGACCATTGAAATAGGCGGTGATCGTGTAACTGTACTTCGTCAATTATCTGAGGAAGATGCAAGTTTCGACTCTCGCTCGCCGGGAGGTCGGTCACGCACAGCGACAATCGTGCTTCGGGGAGCCACCTCTAACCATCTTGATGACCTCGAACGGGCGGTTGATGATGGCGTGAATGTGATTAAGAGTCTGATGAAAGACGCTCGGTTGGTACCGGGCGCTGGGGCATCCGAACTGGAGCTTGCGAAGAGGGTAGAAATATACGGCAGTTCTTTGAAGGGCCTCGCACAACATGCAGTTAAACGGTATGCTACTGCGCTCGAGGTGATACCCCGGACCCTAGCAGAGAATGCCCTTGGTGGAGCTGAAGGCAACGAGGTGCTCAGCCGTCTGTGGGCGAAGCATGAGGAGGACGGCGGCGCGGCTTGGGGTGTGGATGTTGAGGTCTGTCATCTTTTTTGGCGATCGTTAAATTATTATAATTTATCATCTAGGCCGAAACCGACGGCACCTTGCAATCGACCGCATACAAGATCTATGATTCTCTGGGCGCTAAGACATGGGCCATTCGTTTGGCAACAGAAGCCGCCGTCTCTGTACTGAGCGTCGACAGTATCATCATGAGTAAACCGGCAGGAGGACCTAAAATTCCTCAGCAGGCCGGCAACTGGGATGAGGATGACTGATTACACTTGTTATACGTGAGATATACTGACTATAATGTACTCTAATTACCACACCGTTCTGAAAATGTTGAGAAGTCCTCGACGATCTACATGCATTGGAATACGTAGGTTTCCAGACCCTCGGCATCATTGACATAGGGAAAAGTCGATAATTTACATAACATACAGCCTACTTCTACACACCCAGCGTACGCAGATCTACCACAAGCGCAAGCTCTAGACAAGGGAATTAGGCGCAATATACCTGGCCGTCGCTGCAATGCGGAAGTTAGATGGTAAAACAGTATGTCTGGGAGAAAGACGGCATGAGTTGTTGATGAGCAGAGCAAAGAATATTGAAATGTACTCGTAATATTTCTGGATATCTGCACCCTGCATAACCAGGATGTCGCCCTAAGTGCTATATAGTGACAAGATCATACACCAAGGCTTCGAATAACTCACATGTCTCAACACTAACGAAAAGACAATTTTATCTGTCTTCTCTTCGTTCTCAGGAACATCTTTGCGATACTTCTGCCTTAGCCTGCGGAAATGCATGAGAGCTGGAGATCCCAACGATAGACCAGCGACCGTGGGTCCTAAGCCACGCTCGCTGTCACTGTGGAACTGGAATTAATGATGATATCAGCAGACAATAGTCAGCAAGGGCAAAGATGACGTACCGCCATTTTCTGCTTTTGCATGTAGGCAGCGCTGATGGATTTTCTCACTCAGTAGAAGTCGTAGCCAATAAGGACTGACGTTACCTCAGAACCTCATTAAATTCGGATTCGCATGTGTCATCAAGAGCCAATTTAATGCGACGCTGCATCAGCGCCCTGGCTTCGGTCACTGCCGACGGAGCCTGATCCCATGTAACAGTGTTCTCAGTTCCACCGACATAATGGTAAGGCTCTCCACCTTGTGAACTCGGTTAGACAGTCAGACTCCCTGAAAATGTGCACTCACTGTTTTGAGAGAAGTAGTGAGTCAATAATTCACCTCGACCTATCAGAGTGGAGATATGAAGTATGAGAACCCAAGCAGACTGCGAAAACGCACATTGGTGCTAAAGCCTGTCAGGTGTCATATTCCAACTAGTCACGAATCATGGGACTCACGGCTTGCAGAGGCGAACGCCTAAATAAGAGCTTGCCATCCATCGCCTGTTCTTGATATTTGATGAAGATTTTATTTGCTTCCTGATTCATGCCAACACCACAGCCTTTGATGCGATGAACAAAACCTCTGTTGAAAACGTGAGATCGTGTTATCTTTCGTGGGAAAAACATACGCGTTGTCGGGAAATACGAATGTTTCAAGAGTTCCGCATCTATCGCCATCACGGAAGATTTTTTGCTTTGTCCTCTTAACACCTAAGATGGCTGTGAGTGTGTCACATCTTAAAGGTAGCAGTAATACCAACATGAATCAGAAGGAATGAGGTTATCTCCTGAGCTGTTCTTCGATTTGAAGCTAAGAGGTATCGACTGCAAATCACGAGCATGCTGAATCGCCCCTTGAACAGGGAGGGAATTCTGCTCCACGTTATGAAAATGCGCACGGACGATGGATGAGCAAAGGCCCTACCTTACAGTGAGCACACTCCCAGAATTGCCACTTATACCTTAGGATATGGATCAGCGCAGCCACTGAAGAGCTTATGCAGAGTTTCTACTCACCTGCAAGACAGGCGGCCACATTTCGTACAGTGCCAGCCTTTGGCAAACAATTCAGTTGTGGTAATTGTATCTTGGGAGATCTGAGGTGGTGGAAGTGGGAAAATATGCAAAGTGTCAGGTAAAGTGAGGTTGGGAATGAGCTTCAAGAAGCCGAGATTGTACTTCAGCCGCTCAGGCAGAACGGAATTATTTGCACCTATCACCCAGAAACGTCGACATTGAGGCTGAAGGCACATCCACCCAATTTCATAGACTTGGGGAGACATAAGTTCGCAGTCACAGCATTCCCTGTACACCGAGCCAAAGAACTGGTTCGGACTGGTAATGACAAAAGCTCGATCAAGCACGAACAATCTTTGATATAAGCTCAAGAACCTACGTATACAGCTTCTTTTCAATTGCCTCCTTTTTGACTAGGAACGTACACGTTAGATTTGTTAACCATCTAATCTTCATAAAACTGTTACCTGGCGATTTCCTGGTCCGGCGAGGCGCCGAGGAAGGAAGATTCACAGAATTGACCGACGTAGGCACATCCGCATCTGAACGTGGTTCTCGTCAGCGCAAGGGTAAATATCTGACATTTCAGCTTACCCATGGCTGGAAGGTCTTTCGACGTTAACCACCATGGTTGACCCTAGAGTTGGCATCTCAAACTGCTTTGCAGTAATCAAACCCCGAAACAACCCTACCTGAGATTCGTACCACTGAAATGCGAATTTATACCGAACAACACGTCCCCGATCATTATTTGCAGGTTGTAATTCCGCTTCAATGAGATAGATCAATCATCGCTCATGTACAAACGAAGAAAAACCCACACCAAACGTGAGTAATCTTGTAAAACCCGAGCACAGCATATGTGACATCCCGAGCGTCCAGGCTGAAAGGGAAATGCACGTATTTGTCGTCAATCAGAAGGGCGACAGGAATATCTTTGTGGAAATTTTTCAGTAGAGCTCGAACGGAAAAGTCTTCCGCGTTCTGGTCCGAAGCTGCTAGCGTCTCGTGACAACCTTTGGCATGATGGATGCTTTCCGCTTTTCCTCCACTGTTAAAAACGTCGTAAGATCAATGAATAAAAATCAAAGATCAAGTACCCATGGGAAATGATCAATTTTCCGTCGTGAAACCAGCCATCGCGTCTGTCATCGACATCAGTGAAAGGCAGCATAGAGATATGAAGGGAAGGCCCAACTTCGATGAGAAAGCACTTAGTAAATATCCCTTGGCTTCGTTCTGATTGAAGTAAACCCCTCCTTGATAGCTTCTGAACCAGTCCCATGTTTCGCACACCTCTTGACGAGACTGAGGGATCAGAGAAAATATTAGTTCGATAATCTGTACTGAAGTGACCACGTACTTACTTTTGCCCAAATGGGTGGATACATCGGTAAAGGTTGCCTGCATCCTATAGAAGGCTCTGAATCCGCCGATAGACGCATGACTGCATCCGTGTACATTGCATCATGTGACAACTCCTTCAGATCAACGACGTGGGAATCATCGGATAACCAGTTTCGCAATGTAGAATGGCCAACCTGGTCCTCGAGTTTGATCAGTTGAGAAGAACTGATAGTGGGAAAATGCTTTGGCTTCTTCTTAGGAGGACCCACGTCTTGCGACGCAGTGTAAGAAGCCGTCACCTGGGGCGAGTCACTTTCATGATTAGGACGCTTCCTTTGCCCTACGGAAGGTTTAGGTGGAATCCTCATCCCATAGGGTCGTACAGCTGCTACATCAGTGGGAGTGCCTCTCAGATTAGCACTCGAAGCTCTGATTTCGGCCATCGAAGGAGATGTGATTGAGATGTCCATTTGAAACGATCGGTCATCCACATCAGTGCGAGAACGTTTTCTGGCCCTAATCTTTGAGGTAGGCGCTCGTTGTGAGGAGGAGCATTCCGTGCGAGTCACCATGGTCTGAACTGCCAATGACACTGGCGAAGACATGTGCGATCTTCCAGGTGCACAGGCTTCATCTTCCTCTCCACATTTCTGCTGTTGTTGGGCAGCTTCTCTTGCACGTTTGTTGCGATGATTGGATTTTCCAGAGGAAACAGTTCCCAAGGTTAAAACGTCACAATTTGCTCTTGCAAATTCCTGATGCGTGTCTAACGCAGAATCGGCCGTGGAAGGCTCTGATCCAGCAGTAACGACCCTTGTCTCCCTGGAAGATGTAGCCTGTGGTGCCTTCTGAGTTTTTTTGTGGTTCGAGGGCGCGTGTTTACGCGGCTCCTCGTGTTGACATCGCGAGGCTACAACTTGTTCGTCCTTCAGGGGAGTGTAACCCGACAGATTTGGGGTTGAGGTCAAACTGAGTGCGTCTGATACTGCAACACGAACACCAGGCCTTGGCGCACAGTTAACCTGCATAAATTTCTTCTTCCTAGCTCGACCTGGGACTGGCTGACTCAAACCTCCAGCCGCAGCAGAAGGCATGCAAGGCCCTAGTGTCCGTGTCTCAGTATCCGTATGTTGACGTTTCTCCTCTTGCGGGAGCCAAGCTTGACCCTGGTAAGGAGAATCGGTGGTAATGCGTTTCGCGTCCGAAACCAAATGTCTGTCTTCTGCTTTATCAAGGATGATAATATAATCGGATCTCTTCTTCCTCTCTCCATTGAGATATTTGAATGCCGAAGTAAAGTCCCAGTCAGGCTTGCTGTTATAGAGGAGCCAATAAAACTTGACAAAAATGATGCAATCTTTGTTCAAGTTTAGGCTGACGGCCTTTAGATCTGGTTGAGATAATGCGTAAGACAGCCAAGCTCTCGCAGCCTTATTCTAGCATTCCCCGTTGAGCTGAGAAGTAGAAAAGCAAGCAAAGAACACACATGTTGGTCATTCTCGATGAGCCTCTCCACGTGATCTGCAAGTAACTCGTCCGCTACGACCTCTTGGTGTCTCGTCCTTCTTTTGACTAGCAGCAATGCCTGTAGCTGATGGAAGAACTTTGCAAGAGCTCCGTTCTCTGCGGGAGCCACGTCGTAGATGGAGCCTGGGACAGGAATCATCGCAAGGGGACTCGGATTTGACCTGACGACGAAGTGAGCTAGGGAAGAAATAGACGCGTTATGGGAAAGAGAAAAAGTTCATAGTAACGTTAGGACTTTATATCCAGACGACACAGTCGGTGGCTGCTGGTGGCTTTCAACAAGTTGAATTGATGGATGAACGTTGATAAGGATGCGGCGATCTTTTTACGGGCCGGCACGGACCGAGGCATGAGCTTGGTTGGCCTTTACTTACCACAATCACGGACTTCGAGTACTAATGGACTTTGTGCATGCGAGTTCTCTATTATCAATCTTCCTATGGTTATATCGAATCTGGTAGAAATTGAATCACTTTGTGAAAATACTGCTTCCAGTGGTCCTCGTCTAATCCCAGCCTAACATCGGTACAGATGTATGCGATTTAGACTGTCGCGCTAGCCATTATCCTTTGGGCATACACCTCGCAAATCAAGGCCTCGTGCCAGATGCAGAGCACTTACTGGGATTCTTTCCTATCACAAGGGATTTTTGCATGCTTAATTTCTTAAGCATCGCCTCTATGATAAAAATCGTACTCATGTTAAAAACGGACCTTTTAAGTGACATCTGTCGCAGAGTTGATGGGTCCTTTCAATTGCTGTGTAGCGCAATTTCGACTCTGTTTGTCCTGTTAATGCTGCAAATAACTATGGTATACATCTTTGAGCACCCGCAAGAGAGATCTTTTTCCCTTAACGTTGAATCCCGATCAAGGAACAGCCCGAATCTCATAGACTGATTTTCTTGTCGTTTTCTTTGCCCTATCCGTGAAATGTCAGCAGTCTACCCGTTTCCAAGGAGGTTTATATTCCATTTTCATCCTTTGGCCGCGATTCGCGACCTTCCTTGATCTGTACCAGATAGGCATAAAACTTACCATTTCTCTTTGTTCAACATACCTAGGGCTCTCGTATATTGACCTTGCCTTCGTGTCCTTAATTCTCGCCTTGAAATGCTGGGCTTTAGTTTACTCGCGCTGCCGTCCGTTGTCTATGCATTAGCAATGCCTTCGCCCAATTTGCATAATTCTCCCCAACGTTCAAGCAGCTGCAGTTGTGACCTTTCAGGAGCTCGACTTGTCTTCCCAGATGGCTCGGCGATTGCATCCCCTTCCGGCGCTCCTTCATTCATTGGTCTTGGTATAGGTGCACAAAATTACACCTGTACAACTGATGGTGTTTATTCGTAAGTTCACGACCTAGGAACCAATACACCTATATTGATCACTCACTTCCAGAAACATTGGCGCCGTCGCTAAAATATTCGACATCTCCTGCCTCCTCGGAACGCTTCTCTTCGACCATATACAAGACCTAGCTATTGCTGCATGGCAACATGCCCAAAACGCCGAGAGCGTGCCATCGAAGCTCTGTCTGGGAATTCGTGTGCTTGGAGACCATTTCTTCATTACAAACCCCGTCACAGGCTCAGGCATCAGTCCAAAGTGGGATTTCACCGCTTCGTTGCATGACTCTGAGGCCTTTGTTGTTGCGGCGAAAAGTGGATCCATGCCTGCACCGACTGGAAGCTCAGATATCGATTGGTTGGTTCTTGACCGAGTCCTTGGGTCGCTCGCGACTCAAGTCTACCGCGTTGATACAAGGGGTGGACAGCCTCCTGCAAAGGTACGTTCTCCAGATTCATTGTATATTTTAGTCACCGACGTATGTATTCAGTGTACCTCGGGATCTGCGCCTATCACCGTGAAATATACGGCAAAATATTGTGAGTGCTAGTAAATTATTGGAGGCGAAGCTTATGCCACGTCCTCAGGGTACTTTGGGAGTTTGCTGTAAAGAAGAGCAGCACCCGCCTCACTGACGAAATTATTGTACCTTTTCGAGTTCACGGTCCAATGTTAAGATGAGAATTCGTTATTCATTAACCCAGTTATTGGCGGAGCGACAATAGTCTGTAGTATACATATTTAGTATATATGCTGTTGAACATGAAATCATCTACCATAAAGACCCTACCCTTTTCCCCGCATCAACACAGTCTGCAACGCTAACACCACCTACACCAGCTCCAATGATCTCTAGTCTTCCTCTCCACACGCCACGTCTTAACACCTCCTTCAGCTCAGAGATACGATCCACATGCCCTAGCGTCAAGGTTGGTATGCACTTGTCATGGTGGTGAGTTCTCGTTAGTACAGGATCTGGTAACTTCGCTCCGAGGTGCTTCTCAAGATGGGAAATCACTACAGGGATCCTGGTGTGATCCTCCGTTAAAGGATGCGGGCCACCAAGCATAACGGTAATTTTCGTAAAAGAGTTGTTGGTGGTAGGAGTATCCTGAGAGGAGAGGGAACAAGAGTCGAAGATGACACCCAAAATACCCGGCATGGAAAGCGAATAGTCATCTTGGGGACGAGGGATAAGGTAGCCAAACCCTGGTGGATGAAAAGTATTTGGCGGGACGGAAAACACGAGGTTGATAAGCGTTACAGAGGAGGATGGATTGGCAGTCAAATGAGGCAGGGAGGGTAAAAGTGACTTAAGAGCCAGTAGCGGAATGGTAGACACGACGTGCGTAGGCTTTAGCATGCCTTGATTAATCTGCAGATGAGTTAGAAGAGGGCTAGTTTTCGATGGTGGGGAACGTTACCTGTATTTTTGTTTCACTCACATCCAGCGAGGTGACTGGGGTATCGGACAAGATTTTTACATTAGGTTGCTGCACAAGGTAGTTTTTCAAGGCGTCCGTTAGGGTAGACATCCCGTTCCGAAAAGAAAAGACAGATACACCATTCATGTTACGAGGTATATCTCCCATCTCGTAGTCGGCGAGGTCCTCCTCCTGACTTGAGCGCAAAAGCCCAAGGATGACACTTCCCCACCCTCTCTCCTCAGCCTCCCAGAGCAAAGGAAATGCAGCTCGCACACTGAGCTTCCTGGAATCCGCTGCATATATGCCATGGACCAAGGCGCTGCCCAACGTACGAGCCAAATCCTTGCCGAACCGACGGGTCATAAAACTATCAAAGCTTTCATCCTGCGATCCATGGGCTCTGTTGGCTTGTCTGAATGGTTCACGAAGAATCGCCGGTAGTAATATGGATCGAAATGGGGACACCACAAGAGACGAAAGAGACGCAGGGAGAGATTGAATTTGTTCGTGCTCAGGAATACAAAGAAATCGGTTTCGTGCTGCTGCTGCAGTCCTTGGGACTGTTATCAAGGAATCCTTGAGCCCCAGAAGATGGACCTAGCCTGTTCTTCAATGGAGACACGATATTTTCCAACGGGGTTCTGCCCACCAACTCCAAAATGGATTTTGCATTGGGCCTTATCGTACGAGGGCCGGCCTCAAGGACCATCTGCTGTGACGGACTGACGTCGACGCATTCGCTTTGTACCCATCCACCAAGACGATGTTGTTTCTCGAAGAGCGTGATGAAAATATCCGGAAATCGTCGAGAGAGATGAAATGCAGATGAAAGACCAGTAAGACCGCCACCAATGACTGCAATGTGACGGTTTAAGGACATTCAAAATCAACGGTGGCAACGTCAAGCACGGATAAAGCAAGAACCAACACGTGGCAGTACTGGCTTTGTACACGGTTCATTACCACCTTCCACTGCTTTCTCGTCGCCGGCCAATACGACATTGACGTCCTCAATGGCACGCTCAAGGAAAGTAGCAAACGGCCAGGAAGCATCATCTTCGAGTCCTACCCGCTCTCCATCGTTGCCACCGTCGCCAGACATACCCACAGGACCGCTCAGTATCGTCATACCCCACGAAGATCGCGAGGTGGTCAAGATAAATAATTCCAATTTGACAGATCTCAAGAATGCTTGCGACGATGCGGTGAAACGCGTATGTTGTCCTTTCTTCTTGACGGAAAAGAGTGAAACTGACGCCCATCGTCGGGCAGTATCTCTCCAGACCAGAGTTATTCAAACAGATATATCTGCACACAGATGTGCGATTGGCGCTTGGATGGTCAAGTGTGCTCGTGGCCGCAGGAACAGCGTTCTATGGCTACAAGGTCGAATTTGAGATCTCGAAGCCAGTCGTGTGGGTAGGGCTCAGCCTGTGAGTCAAGCACTGAATTTGCGATACATTGGACTGATATGCACAGATATATTTTCCTGACCCTCATTCAGACCCTTTATGCTTATTTTATTGAGGGGGACACTGTGTTTGTAGGAAAGAGGAAAACTTTCTCCAAGCGAGTACGTATCCAGCCGCCTGCCGCCTGCCACCCTACTCATCATATTGCCAGATTGTCACCGAACGGATAACTCTCGCTTCACGAACGGAGCCCGTCAAGCAAGGCAAGCCCCCTTCATACGAACTCACTGTATCCTACGTTCGTTCGACGAGTAATGGGAAATCACTCCTTGCCAAAGGCAAGACGCGGAGCAAGAAGGAGTACAACTCATTCTTCGACGAGAATGGCGTAATGAACCAAGAACGGTTTGAACAATATGTCGGCGAGCTTGTTGAGCAGGCCATGGAAGGAAAAGCAACGTAAAAATGTGGATTTTGTTTCGTTTGTAACATTGGTTGCTGCGTCTATTCTGTTATATTTCTCATGTGCCCCAATTTGCAGTTTAGTAGCCAAACTTTGTACCTGCATATATATATATACATCATGCGATATATTTCGAGTCACCTGGATGAGAGACGAAGTAGTCAGGGGTTTGGTTCCAGCAAAGTCCACGTGGCAGTGATTAGATTTCGTGTCCGCCACGACCCCTCCAATGCACACTTGCTTGATTTCGTACTTCACCGCCCCCGTCCCATTTCCTTGAAAAATCCAGAAAGGTCATTACAAGATTTACCAGACAACGGGTCACCGCCTTCCCCAATATGTGGACGTCTGCTGTATGGGTGCTGTTCACTGGCAGCGTTTTCGTAATTTGTTCAGCCGGTCCACCTGTTAAAGTTTCGCTGAGGTCGTCATGGCGTGCACCACCAGTCCTGGTCGAAATAATGTGTGTTTGCCTGTCTTGGTTCCATGACGAGCTTCACATTGACGTGTCGATAGTGAGACGGTCGCGCTGGAGAATCCAGATGCTTTTTTCCCATTCGTCGACAGTATAACGAATCCCGAAACACATGCGCTCGCAAAAGACCTTAGTCCCGAAGCCGTGCATCAGCTTGCACTGCAAGCAGCTGCAACAAGCGGGTTCCTTTCGGAACCGGGGGCTCTGACCGCGGTAGAAATGAACCTAGCAATGCACTCTGCGACACCGAAGATTGAGGCTTTTTATCAGTACTACTCTGACCTGAATTCGGAAGTTGATTGCGGCTCCTGGGTTGACTGGTATGGCACAGTTGTATGTGACGTAGAGACTCTGGTCCAGCTTGCGGGCAGGGAGACCATTGATTCGAAGCAAGACTTACCGTGAGTTGTCCTGTCACTTCGCACTCGTTCTCATTTTACCCGTTGTCAGTACTCCTTTCAGCCGGCCCAAGATCCTGTCCTTTGATCACATCAACCCTTCTCCCAGCCTGACCTTGGACATTCCGCCTCGCACGGCCATTCTATACGCGTCTTTAGACTCGGAAAATTTCCGCGAGCTACATTCGTATCTGTTATCCCATGCTTCTTCGAACAGCATTGAATACGTCTTGCGACATATTCCCCCCAAGCAAACCGACAATGCTCCGAAAAGTTTCTTGTCTGGCTACGGTGCTGCGTTGGACCTCAAGAAGATGGATTACTTGGCAGTGGATGATCGAAACATGAATGGCGTAGGTCCGTCATTTTCCCTGCCCGTCCTCTCGTCCTCCCGTGCTAACGTAATGAAACGTAGCTGGAGCCGCAGACGATACCTCGGAGGTTGGGAAACGAATTGACGCTGTGGCATCTTTGATAGAAGCGCATCCGGAGAATACCACCGCACCGGAAGCCACAGTCCCGCTGACAGATGAGGAAATCTTAGGTTGGTAATGCCGCAACCGTGGGTACAAGTCGACACTGACACTTTCCACAGTGCTGAGTTTGAAGGCATCTCAAATCATTGCCGAATCTTCCGAGCCTCTGGATACACTTAGAATCATTTCGCAAGACTTTCCCAGATATGCAACTTCGCTCGGAAGACGCGTTGGAGCAAATGAGAGTATCGCTCAAGAATTACACACCAATCAACTCAGAGTACAAGCCGGTGGACATGCTTTCTGGCTCAACGGAGTACCACTCGCAGAGAAGGATGTCACGCCGTATGGATTGCTGAGGGTGTTTCGTAAGGAGCGTGGAATAATGTCGTCGTTGACTTGTTTGGGTCTTTCAAGGGCTCAGGCGATGGAACTGCTCACGCATCCCATCATTGCAGCTGGTCAAGGTGACAAGACTGGGTTTGATGACTTGGTTGATGCTAGCGATCGACCTGAAGGAGGTGAGGTCATCACTTGGTGGAACGACTTGGAAAAGGATAGCAGGTACATTGCACGCACTCAACCACTGCTGGTGCGGCTGATCATGTTCGCAGATATCAACGTTGGAATCCAGCTCTTTCTATGGTACGTATTCTCGGCGCGTCGTACTTGGTCCCATGGTTGATCTCTACCAGCTCCTCCGGCCTTTGCATCCAGGACAGTTCCATAACATCAAACTGAACATATTCAACATCGTTCTGGTACTAGACTTATCTCAGACCAATGCATTGACTTTCATTGGCGGCGCAGTTTCTAACATCATCGAAAGAAGCTTTCCTTTCCGCTTTGGCATAGTACCTAACATCGAAAGTGAAGATGGTGTGTAAATTCCCTTACATCCATGTTCAATGAGGTGACTTCAATTAAAATGTCAGGTCTCAAGATGGCCCGGTTATTCTACTTCCTTGTGGATAATTTTGGCAGAAAGAAAACGATGGGGTACTTGAAGAAGGTCATTGCATCGTCCCCTCTCAAAATAACGATATTAACTGTTCATCATAGTTATCGCCGGTCGGTATGCCGCCGCATCATAGGAAAACGCATGTTCAATGGGACCTAGTCCGTTCAGAGTTTGAAGATCTGTTGGATGCGGAGGACTCGGAACTCGAAGACGCGATCTTTGATAGCATTCTTAAGGGACAAGTAGAGGCCTCTAAGTCTTTTAAAAAGATCGATGTATACTCCAAGCGTGTAGGTGCCTCTATGTCTTCCAGTCCAGAAGGGCATTGTTTTGTCAATGGGAAACACTTTGACATGAGCGAGGTAAAAGGATATGGTGTCTTGCGACAATATCATCTACTAAATTCATTTTAGACCTTCCTTCGCAGCATGCAAATAGAAGTGAATAGACAGGTACAACATCTTCAAGAGGAGGTAATGTTATTCTTGGCAGTGGTGCCTCTGTAGCTCACAATGCGTGCAGTTATACGAGGGAAAACTAGTAGATGATAATGGCGGTTCCGTGTCGACGTACTTTTACGACCTTCCCACGACTCAGAAAACGAGGAACCGGTTCATCATTCCTTCAAATGCGATCGGAGGCGTGCGCATATATAACCTCCCAGAACTGTTTGTTCGCACAGGCTTCGACGCCGGCCCTGGTGCTTTCGTATATCCTCGTAAGTGACGCTCTGCTCCTTTCAACTATACACTTACGGGCTGTGCTGCAGCCGAGGGGGAAACACCCATTACGCTCTTCCTCATCGCTGATTTTAACACCGAGGATGGGCTCGAACTTCTAAAGTCGGCATTGATGTCGATTGTAAGTTCGTCATCAATTCCGTTACTATGGAACTCTTAAGGTCTTGGTACTATAGGACGAAGGATCTGAAACTCGACTGTCGTTCATTCACAATCCAAGTGATCCAAAGTTGGATATTACAGCGCAGCAAACGCTCGTCGCGTGGTTGTTAATGCATCTCATATCTAAGGGACTCCTGTCGAAGTCGTCACCAGCTCAATTGATGACAGCTTTGGGACTGGAAGCCACTTTGTCAACGGATGGAGGAAGCTCACAGTTACCCTTGTCTCAAGAAGGCACCTTTCAGGCACTCGCAGGACAATCGAAAGTGGATCCCAAAAAAATGTCACAGCTCATAAAGAGTAGCCGTTTACTGGTGCGGGACATACAGCTACCTGCAGGTTCCCAGGGTATCCTTGTAAATGGAAGAGTAAGCGAAAGACTATCACATTGACCTTTCTTATGACCAGAAATGAACATAGGTTATTGGACCATTGGAAACTAAAGAGTTTACTTCTGTAGACTTCCAGGCGTTAGAAACGTATGAGCTGCATAGGCGTGTCGATTCTGTGGTATCTGCGTTACATGACATCTTACCCTCTGCTGGCGAGCTCGATCGGCAAGTAAAATCTCCTTCGGACACACATCCAACTTACAGAACAGTTAGTGCGTCGTTGGCCAACCTGGTCTCACTGGCTTCGTCGGTTATATCATCGATAAGTTTGCCTGATCCAAGTGAGGTTGGTCTTTTCGATACAGCACCGAGACCTCGTCAAAGAAACTACAGGGTCCTCGAGAGCGAATATACGTGCGTTCTGAGGGCATTTACTGACTTGCTTTTCTCATTTGAACCATCAGCGGTTTCGAATATGGTGATAATACCACGGCGTTATATCAAATTTCCGCCATTATTGACCCTATAGGCGAACTTGCTCAGCGTTGGTCAAGTCTATTACAGGTATGTCAACGGTCTTCAGACTGATTTTCCATCAGAGTAAAATGTCGATATAGTGGATATCTACTTTTCCGGACACCTACATTGAGATACATTTGAATCCCGGACCACATAGTGAAGTTCGTCTTCGTCAACTGAATCTTAGTACGGGTTTCTGATGGTCCTTTAGATTCCACTGAAACGTTTCTTCCGGTACAATTTGATTCCATCGCTGTCTTTTGATGAAGATGGGTACGTGGTGCAGTAGCGTCTGATTTATAGAAGTTGACCCGAATGCAGACAAGAGCTTCCTGCCCAAACCATCTTCGAAGACCTGCCCGTTGATCCTATTTATACGCTTGCTATGGATGTACCTTCCTCCTGGCTTGTCCGACCGAGAGAGGCCCTATATGATCTGGATAATATTCAACTGGGTAGCATATCACCGGAAGATAGCAGTGTCGACGCTGTGTTTGATCTGGACTACATCGTCGTGGAAGGCCACGCTCGTGAAACCGTAACCGGAGCCCCTCCTCGTGGTGTCCAATTAGAGTTGCGTAGCGGCGACAATCCGGCGGTTGATGACACCCTTATTACAGCAAACTTGGGCTACTTCCAATTCAAGACTAAACCTGGGGTGTTCAAACTGGAAATTCGAGAAGGACGCGGACGAGATATTTTCACTATTGATAGTGTCGGTAATGAAGGATGGAATAGTCCAAGCGTAGATGTCGTAGGGAACGAGATGACGGTTACGAGCTTCGAAGGCTTGACTTTGTACCCACGGTTTAATAGGGAGCCTGGGATGGAGACGGTTGACGTGCTTGACCCGCGATACAAGAAAGCCGACGATTCCGAGGGGTTGTTGGGTGGCATAACTTCAATGTAGGACCAGTATTTTGTCATCTTTTGACACTTTTGACATCCTCTCAGATTCAGATCTGTCTTCGGTTCTACCGATTCCTCCATAGCTGCTGTTAACAAACAAGCCGATATCAACATTTTTACTGTCGCCTCAGGATTGCTCTATGAGGTATGTGGTGACCCGTTGGCTTGCGATGACGATGTCTGAATATGTTATGCAGAGATTCGCCTCGATTATGATTCTTAGCGTGATGCGCAATACCAAGAGCACTGTCAAGTTCTGGTTCATCGAAAACTTCCTTTCGCCCTCTTTTCTGGTTCGTAAACATTGCGGACATTCGCTGATGGTCGTCTAATTTATCTCGTAGGAATTTATTCCTCATCTTGCCAAGGCTTACGGATTCCAATACGAGCTGGTGACTTATAAGTGGCCGTCGTGGTTACGTGCTCAAAAGGAGAAACAAAGAATCATATGGGCGTACAAAATACTTTTCTTAGACGTCCTCTTCCCTATGGACCTCAAGAAAGTTATCTTTGTAGACGCGGATCAGATAGTCAGAGCTGATCTTCAGGAACTGGTGGACTTAGATCTTCACGGTGCACCTTATGGTTACACGCCCATGGGTGATGATAACACCGACATGGAAGGCTTCCGCTTCTGGAAGACCGGATACTGGAAGGATTTCCTGAAAGGACGCCCGTATCATATCAGGTAGGATGCCGCTGTTGCTTCACCCATCGCGTTTTGCTCATCAAATCTTCTAGTGCACTGTATGTTGTTGATCTCGTTCGGTTCCGTCAAGTAAGTCTCTCTACCTTATATGGCTATCCAACTTTGCTGATCCGTAGTAGTTCGCTGCTGGTGTACGTGGACTTACGCCCGCAACGATAAAAAACATTGAGATGCTCAACCTGAACAGGACATATTGCGTGGCCAATACCAGCAGTTATCAGCCGATCCGAACTCGTTGGCGAACTTGGACCAAGGTGTGACCAAATGTTTATTATCTCTATTCTATCAGCCAAAATTTCACGCATGCAGACTTGCCAAACAACCTGCAACGCGAGGTCCCGATAGTGAGTGTTTTTGGGGTAGAGTATATTTAGTATATTTATGTAATGATGATGCTTTCGCTAGTTCTCATTGCACGAAGACTGGCTTTGGGTAAGTCTGCTATTCCAAGTTTCATCCATCTGACAAACATATCCGCGATTCCAGTGTGAAACTTGGTGTAAGCATACAGCGAACTCTTTGCTTGTATTATTCATCGTTCTTCAGGTAGCAAGGACCGGCTGCATAGGGCCAAGACCATCGACCTTTGTCAGAACCCGCAAACGGTAAGTACCGGCAGTGAAGTGATCCTGGTGTGCCCTAATCACGCCATGAATGCAGAAAGAGCCCAAATTAGCCAGAGCACGAAAGATACCTGAGTGGGAAGTATACGACACAGAGATCTCTCAGTTTACTCGCAAGCTTGATGAAGAGGGCCTTATAAGATCCCGCATTGCGACTGCTGATACCAATGTGCTAGCTGGTGCTGGAAGTGCTCCCAGCAGTAGTCCTGGTTCTACCACTGACCCGACGGACAACAGTGGAGATGATTCCGCAGATGGTTTCAGAGACGAACTATAGGATTAAGCTTAGATTTACATACTTGTTGTGGAGATACGGCGAACACATCCTCGCAGGAACGAACGACCAGTGCCAACATGCATCTTGCAAATTGGATAAAAGGATAATATTCATACATACGCCATTTATATTCCTAAAACAACTTGGTGCGGAATTGCGTTCCTCGGGTCGGTTGAGGCAAGCTTCAGCGGAAACAGAGAGAACGTAACTTGCGCTGACTAAAATTGACACCAAATGCTAAGCCCAGCTCAAACTTTTACATGTGCGTATTGTACAGCCCTTCTTCGCAGGATCTACCGTATTCCGACAGCGGCAATAGTGGCTAACAAGTCCGGGGAAAACTTAAGACTCCGGTACTGGTTGAAGATGATGATCATGATCGAAGTCAAAAGCCACAAAACCGGTGAATTCCCGTGCTCAGTACACCAAATTGTTACCCGCCGAGAACATTTGGGTCAAGGCAGTGACGCAAACCTGGACGGCCGCAATATCTGCATGCCAAGGTCATCATGTCGCCAGAGGGGCGGCGGTAGCATATGGCTGCTCGGTGTCGACCTTGAGGGATGTGGCCATAATATGGACTGATTGCGCTGGCAAGAACTTTTTGTTCGGATCCTTAGTTTTGATCGGGGTAAATGCTCTGAATAGCTCTCACAGAGGATGAGGGGTTATATTGCTCTGTGGTAGGCTTCGGATGCACGGAGATGAGTGAAAGAAGTGATGCGTTCAATTGCAAGTTCCAACTGAGTTGATTCTCCATGAGCGACCGTCGTAGAACTTGATGTGATGGTGGTGGCACGATCGACGAGGAAGTTGAAGCCCCGAGACGCAGGAGTTTGAACTCTCGAACCATGCTAGTGAAGTCAGGGAAAGACGCCTAGTATTCCCTTCAGTGCGCCTCAAGGGATCGAAAGGAATCATCTCACGGTGCATGATAATACGCGTCCTTGTTTTTCTGTCTTGGACTTCGTTCTTTGATTTCGACGTCTGACATTTATTCAGCGCATTTCAATCCAAGTTGAATGAGACATCCTTATTGTCGTTTTAAGACCCCTTGATATTACTTCATACTATTGACATGAAGAACATCATTATGGGAGCAATGCGATACGACCGTCGTACACAAAACGTACAGCAGGAACTGTCGTTTCCGCACTCCACCAGTCAAAAGTGGATGGCGTCGTTATCAGCGGCAACTGACCACCAGCAAGACTTTGACCCCCAAAGTGTAACCTTCGAGCGGCGACATTCGCTATGGGGATACCTGCACCCTTGATTTCGTTGTGAATGATAGAGAAGCCGTGAATACTGACAGTCCAGAGGTCAGAGGGGAGGAAGGGGTCATAGCGTCCTTTGATATGACCGTTAAGATGGTCATGAGGTCGGCCACATCATGAATCATGATACCAAAGTCGCTGGACATCTCAAAGTTTCCAGACACAAGATTCCGCTGGACATAAGAAGCCACGAAGATCCATATACCAGGGTTTCCTTTTCCTGTACCGACATTTTCTGTGCCATTGTCGTCTTGTCACTGAACACTGGACAAGAATTCAGTTTTCCAATGTATTCAAACCAGGTACTACATAGACCCATTTGATGTCATGCGCTTCAGGATCCAGGTTGCTATACTGACATAGGTGAAGGTGATGCTTCTTTCTATTCAATCATAGAGCAGTGTACTTCATAGAGAATGACTAAACATCCAAATGCCAGACTGGAGGCAGGTAAAACATACCACCAAATAAGACAGTGATTCCACCAAAAAGTGCCTCATTATTGCAAATATCATGAAGAGTACAATCTAGTCTCAATGTCATGTTGATTCTGCATAGGAACCTCATCCCAAATGATGAGCACAGTCCAATAAAGAAGTTCAGCCAAGTGAGACCCTCTGCAAATACTGCATGTTGTATCATTAAATGATAGAATTGAAGGTGCTATGGCTTGTATATTCTCCAGCTAAGAGAACTGCAGATATACTGGAGGAAGCACATGTCAACACAATCTGTCATTGAGCATGGACTGCAGCAGCAATAGTATTGCAGACAAATGTCTTTCCACCATCTCCAGCACTATGAAGAAATACTGATCTCTCTTGTTGGTGAGCAACTGACTCAATCACAATATTGTAAGCCTCATGCACTCCACAATGAAGGTTTGAAGATTATCAGTGACCAATCACTGCAGAGATGGAATGTCATATATCAGCTATGCTGCCAAAAGAGAGTTGTCCTCATAGGCAGCCCAGTCTATAGTAGAGACAGGCATCTGAGTCCATTCAGAAAGATGTCAGCCATGAGATTGAAGAAGCTTGTTGGTGAGATGAAGGTCAAAATCATAGAGCTGAACTTCTGTCAGATTGGAAATATCATGCTGGTGAAGCTTGTATGCCAGATCATCACATATGTTTTCTTTGAGCTGTTCTCACAGCAAATCTGGCTTTTCTGGCTGACAGAAGAGAAGAAGCATCACAAAAAGTGATCATACCTCCAGCAAACCCATAGCAATGCAGGTCTCTTGAAGGTGGCATAAAGGGTGGGTGGCAGTGCATTGATATTTTCAAACTCAGTCACAATGGGCCATGGCATGGAAATGGCCGCATTTTTCCGTTTACTAAGCAAGTGGTCCACCTCTCTTAACATTGATTATAGATTACTAGCATTTTCAAGGCAAATCGGATGGAATTTGTCGCTGCACCACCAGTGCATAGAGTCCTATGTGCGGACTGTGGTGAGAACCACTTTTGCACGAATAGAAAACAGGATGAACTAAACTCTTGTAGGAACGCCCATCGTCCCTAATTCTGCCAATCTATGTGTAGCGTGCCTACGGAATACGTGCGTGTCTTCTCAAACTTCTGTGCCCGCTATCTAATTTTATCAGGCAAGATATCACCGAAGGCATCCCCAAGCAAGGTGCATTATATTTCAGTACCAACTAATATCTTGGAAAGTTAATTCTTCCTGTTAGCATCCGTATCATTCTGTCGAAACTGTGAACGATTCCTCGCGCCGCCTCAGTCATGGATGCTTGCTAGACCAGAATCCTCCGAGTTGCTCGCTATCTGCCTAAAAAAGCTGAAAGGTCTGAGTAAGGTGCGGCTGACAGAGGCACACTTCATATGGACCGAGCCGCATTCCAAACGGCTGCGTGTGTCATTGACTATTCAAAAGGAGGTGCAATCGCATTTTCTCTGATGGATTCGTCTTAGTATTGACGTATGCTCAGGTCCTCACAAACACCATATTAGAGCAGACGTTCGAGGTAGAGTACCTGGTGCAGCATGGACAATGTCCCGATTGCGCAAAACTTGCCGCCAAAAACACTTGGAAAGCACTTGTTCAAGTGCGACAGAAAGTTACACACAAACGGACATTTTTGTTCCTAGAGCAGCTCATTCTGAAGCACGGTACTCAGAAGGACACAATCTCTGTCAAGGAAGTTCGGGATGGTCTTGATTTCTTCTACAGCCAGCGTAGTCATGCCCTTAAGATGGTTGAATTCCTAGGTGGAGTCGTGCCTATCCGGTCTGAGAAGTTTTTTTTTAACTAGCGCTGCAACTCATTCTTACGTCTTTTATAGTCAAAAAGCATCGGAACAACTGTTGTCGTCTGATACTCACAGTAACACCGCCAACTTCAAGTATACGTATTCCGTTGAGATTGTTCCCGTATGTAAAGATGATCTCGTCTGTATCCCGCTCAAGCAAGCACGACAACTGGCCAATATAAATCCCCTGACGCTCTGTACCCGCGTCGGGAACTCGCTTCAGCTTCTCGATCCATCTACTCTTCAAGCCTGCGAAATCACGGCACCCACGTATTGGCGCACACCCTTCGATTCCCTTGCGACTGTGTCCGATCTCGTGGAATTTACTGTTCTCGACATTGAGCCCGATGGCCGGTCTCGGGGAAAGTACGTCCTCGCTGACGCCCAAGTGGCCCTCGCTGGTGCCTTCCGATCCGGAGGTATGAACACCGATGACGACGGCATGATGGACTACGAGAGCAGTGGCTTTACAAATCAGATATTCCATACACGGACGCATCTTGGGGCGATCCTTCAGGCAGGGGATACCGTCCTAGGATACCACCTGACGAACGCGAACTTGAACTCGGATGATTTCGCAGAGCTTTCCTCTGATCGGATACCAGACATAATATTGGTGAAGAAGACTTATCCGAACAGACGCAAGAAGAACAAGGCCAGAAATTGGAAGTTGAGGAGTATTGGCAAAGAGGCTGGAGAGGAGGGAGAGACTGGGAGTGGACGAGGGGTGGTGGGACGGATGGGAGGTAGAGATCAAAAGAAGGTCGAGGAAGATTACGAGTTGTTCCTTCGGGATATCGAGGAAGACGAAGAGATTAGAGGGGCGGTGAATCTATACAAGGCCGGGGACGTGCAGATGAAATCAGACAAAGAGAGGGCTAGAGGGAAGCGGAATAATCAATATGCGATGGATGTGGACGAAACGCCTGCCGTTGAAACTGACGACGAACAGGAAGAGGCCGATTTCCCGGAGGTCAGGCTGGAGGACTTGTTGGAGGACTTTGACGAGATGACATTGGCTGACCACCACGAGTAGACGATTTCATCGATTTGTTGACATGTCGAGACTGAGAATTTGCGGCGGGTCACTATCATTTGAAATGAAATTTGATTATCGTTGTAGCGCGTCATGGCGGGTCAAGGCACGGTATCCAGAGTAGGTATCCTTATGAAGGTAAAGTGCTTAGAGCTAGGTCCATGGTGTCGAAATCATTTTCATGTCGATGTTCGTTTCGTGGAAGTCCAGAACTTTTGTAGGGGCTGCGAGAGGATTCATTAGACAGAAAAGAGGACATCTTCGGGACAGCAGAAGATCCAGACTTGGTTGAAATGTGAACGTGGATGTGTTGACAAAGATGGGCTGTTATCACTATCGACGAGTGTCGGAAGAGTACGGCGAAACAAATTCATTGAGCAACAACGGAAGGAGCACTAACGGATAATGACCGCAAACCATACCGGTTAGCCAATTTGTGTATACATCTTGAATTCCCTACCCCGCGTGCCGCTTAACGTTTGGCAGATTTTGAATACGACGTGTCTGCTTATCTCTAATCAAATGACCAGGGCCTTATGTTAGGTTCAGATATGCTCGAATTGTCGAATTGTCAAGTCGTGAATATAGACCGTCAACGCGCCTGATTCACGTCATGTGATGATGTATCATGCATGCTTTGCATCAAGAACGTCCAGGCCCAATGGCCGCCTTGCGTTCCACCCGTGATCCACGCTGATGGTCGTCGCTCTTTTACTGTACTGACGACAAGAGCAGTAGTACATCGTAAATCAATGATTCCCACCGCCGCAGTAACGAGGCACCCACGAGACAACAGTAACGTACGTACGTATTGTGATTGGAAGACAGGATGAATGAATGGAGACTTACAAGAGTAACTGCGCGGACCGTATAGCGCCGATATCTTCATGCTATACTGTGCGTAGATGCCCAACGGCGACGTCGTCCTGTTCTCCGTCTGATTGCCGTGAGCGGCTGTTCGGGGTACCATGGTAAGTAAGTAAGCACCTGGGACCCGGCTATTTTACAGATATGACGCATTGAAAAGAGTCAAGCGATGAGGCCGAATCATCTGAGCACGGTTTACTGGCGCCTATAATTAGTGTCTTGTTACCTGTCTCCATTTCGTATTACGGAGATCGACGGGGGGAGATCTGGAGGGGGGTGGGGGGGGCGTCTGCGGGGCTGCATCCTGCTGTATCGTCGCAGTTTCAGGATGAAGCCTACAGGACACCGAACATTGGAACATGTTGACTGCCGCCGGTACAAGTATGTTTTGGGATGATATGTTTGCCGCCACGCAGCCATGGCCAAAAATAGCCAGGAACAGTAAATATAGCACGGACCCCTCTTTTTTCCATCTTCCAAAATGCGAGGCGCGTAAATTTTGGCTGCTGCAAACATGACCCGACCCAATGAGGGGAAGGCGGTTCATCATGATGTCATGCATGGCCAATTGCTTATTATTATTGAAGGTGCTAAGGTTACTCCCCAGCCGACGCCGGATGTTCGGATGTCAGCGTGATGATTCAATGGGTACGATATTCTCGCAGCCTCCAGGGGGTGAGGGATATTGGCGAGTGGATGCAAACCGACACTGAAATCGGATCTTTGGCGGGGAAAAGAGGCGCGAGTCCTTCCGACCATCGTGTGGTGACCGATAAGCCACACGGGTATACGGCAGGGACACTGTCATGCTCGCTGGCCTTGTTTCCTGGCCAAGCTTCAGCCAAGAAAAGAAGTCGAAGGCGGGAAGAACAACGCCACGCTTGGGATACTCATATACTTTATTTTCATCAAATCGTAATTATTGAGTTACGCAGGGTAATACCAGATGCCTGAGACGAGTAGCGGGACGAGTTTCCTTCCATTGATGCACCCTGTGAAATGATCCATGACGACAATCGGCGTAGTAAATGCCCGCGGACAAAACGGACTTGAATAAACCAAGAAACGGATATTCGGCCTTGTTTATCACTTTCTGGAATATTTCTAGTGCTGCCGTCCCGGTACAGCTCGGCGTACAATCTGCAGGCTCGGTCTTAGTGCGACATCAGAAAGCAGCAGGAAGCATCGTAAGAACCCGTAGACGAACCCAATCCTATCAGAGGAGAAGGCATCCAGGCATGGAGGGGGGATAACAAGGGAAGGTCGCGGAAAATGCAATACATATAAGAAACTATTAAACTAAACTATTTATTTTAGAGGTAAAATTCAGTCCAGGTGGCGGCACTGTTTCAGGTTTACATTTTTACCCGATCTCCGACATCCGATCCGAAGCCCTGAAATAAAACCCAACATATCAACCCCCCCGACAGCACTTTCTTCCCCTTCCCACCATCGTCGTCCTCTGTCGCCTTTTTCTCTCTAGTCACTGCGCTGTCCGTCAAGGGACCTTTCCCGCCGTCTCTCTTCTCCCCTACTCCCGCTTATCGATAACACAATGTCCCCCACCGTCGAAAAGGAACCGGGTGACGTCCAGCCTGAGGCTGGCACCCCGCCCGAAGCTGAAAAGAAGAAGAGAGAGTACAAGGACTTTGGCCATGATGAGGAAAAAGTTACGCGTACGTTTTCTTATCTCTCACACCGTCCGTTGCCCTCCTTTGACCTGTCTTTGATCTAGACGCCAATGTGGATATGTCGACCGTAAGCGACTCTTATCACTTCAACCCCCCCCCCCCCCCTTTTAAATTACTCTGACACCGCCTTTGCAGATCGAGTTGAAGGCAGAGGACCTTTACGACAAGGAAAAAGTGGATTTGGAAACCATCATCATTGACGATGTTTTCAAGCTCCTCCAATGCGATGACAACGGTCTTTCTCCTGAAGAAGCCGCACGTCGTCTGGAGCTATTCGGTCCCAACAAGCTTGAATCTGAGGAGCAAAACCCCATTCTCCAGGTATCTTTCTTCGTATTCTTGTCCGCCAAGTTTGCCAAGCATTCATACCTTTCCTCTAGTTCCTCAGTTTCATGTGGAACCCGCTCTCGTGGGTCATGGAAGCTGCTGCTCTCGTCGCTATTGCTCTCTCCAATGGTGAGGGCCGTGCTCCCGATTGGCAAGATTTCGTCGGTATCATCCTGCTCCTGTTCATCAACTCCTCCATCGGTTTCTACGAAGAACGTAATGCTGGAAACGCTGTCAAGGCTCTTATGGATTCCCTCGCCCCCAAGGCCAAGGTCAAGCGGGCGGGTTCTTGGTCAGAAATCGAGTCTGCGGACCTCGTACCCGGTGACATGGTGTCTTTCAAGATCGGTGATATTGTTCCTGCCGACTGCCGTCTCACCGAAGCCATCAACGTCTCCATTGACCAGGCTGCTCTTACCGGTGAATCACTGCCTCAGTCTAAGAAGAATGGTGACCAATGTTTCTCGTGTGTTATTTCTGCGCCCGTGATAGTGTTCTGTTTCTGATCTTGTCTTCTTGCATTTAGTGGTTCCACTTGCAAGCAAGGTGAAGCTGAGGGCGTTGTCATTTCAACTGGCGCCAACACCTTCTTCGGTCGCGCCGCCTCCCTCGTTGGCCAGGACGATGACACCACCGGTCATTTGCAGAAGATTTTGGCCCAAATCGGATCTTTCTGCTTGGTCGCTATCGGTATTTTCGTCCTCCTCGAAATTGTCATCTTGTACCCTCGCTTCCATTACACTTATCGTCGCGGTCTGGACAATATCCTTGTCCTCTTGATCGGTGGTATTCCTATTGCCATGCCCACTGTCTTGTCCGTCACTCTTGCAGTTGGCGCCCAGCAACTTGCCAAGCACAAGGCTATTGTTACCCGTATCACCGCTATCGAGGAACTGGCTGGTGTTACCATTTTGTGTTCCGACAAGACCGGTACCCTCACCACTAACAAGCTTACTATCGACAAGGACACCATACGTACATACGGTCCGTTCTCTGCCGATGACGTCATCCTCCTCGCTGCCTATGCTTCTCGTACCGAGAACCAGGACGCCATTGACTCATCTGTCGTCCAGGCCATCGGCGACACAGCCAAGGCCCGTGCTGGCATCAAGCTCCTCGACTTCAAACCCTTCAACCCCGTCGACAAGCGTACCGAGATCACCTACCGTGAGGAGTCTACGGGCAAGCTGAAGCGCGTCACCAAGGGTATGACCGGTATCATCATCGAGCTTTGCACTCGTAACAAGACTGAGGAGCTCGAGAACAGGTTGGAGGCCGATGTTGAGGAGTATGCTGCTCGTGGTCTCCGCGCCCTTGCGGTCGCGTTCGAAGAGGTTGATGGTGATGACTTCGAGGCAGAGGGCAATGGATTTGAGCTCATTGGTCTTCTTGCCATCTTCGACCCTCCCCGTGATGACACCAAGCAGACTATTGATGATGCCATTGCCCTCGGTGTCAAGGTGAAGATGGTTACTGGTGATCAGTTAGCTATTGCAAAGGAAACCGGTCGTCGTCTTGGTTTAGGTGACCACATGTACCCTGCCAAGGTGCTCAAGGACGGGCCCGCCCCCGGCAGCAAACATGGTTCTTTGGATGAGATGATTATGGATGCCGATGGTTTTGCTGGAGTTTTCCCAGAGCACAAGTACGAGATCGTCAAGCGTCTGCAGGGTTTGGGCCACTTGTGTGCCATGACTGGTGACGGTGCCAATGATGCACCTGCTTTGTCCCGTGCCAACGTCGGTATTGCCGTTGAAGGTGCGACTGATGCCGCCCGCGGTGCTGCCGATATCGTCTTGACGGAGCCCGGTCTTTCCACCATCGTCCATGCTATTCGTGGCTCTCGTATCATTTTCCAGCGTATGAGGAACTACTCAATCTACGCCTGTGCCGTCACTATTCGTATCGTTGTCTGTTTCGCTGTATTGGCTTTCGCGTACCAGTTTGACTTCCCGCCATTCATGGTTCTTATTATCGCGTTGTTGAACGACGGTACCATCATGACTCTCTCCGTTGACCGAGTGCTACCCTCCAACACTCCAGATAGTTGGGATCTGGCCGAGATCTTTGCCTTCGCTGTTGCGTATGGTTTGTACCTGACCATGTCAACGTGAGTTCCCTTTTTTTTTTTTTTTGTGAGCATTTTTGTCAACAGCTAACGTTCTAATATAGGATTTCCTTGGTCATCATCATCATGGAGACCAACTTCTTCCATAACAAATTTGGTGTCACGCTTGAGGAGTACCCTGTCCAGGCCAATGACCGTCAACTCCACATGGTTGTCTACCTTCAAGTCGCCATTATTTCTCAGGCTCTGATCTTCGTTACTCGGTCGCACGGATTCTTCTTCATGGAGCGTCCTTCCGCTGCTCTCTTCTTTGCTTTCTGTCTAGCACAGCTCGTGTCTTCGATCATCGCAGCCTACGGCGACTGGGGCTTCACCAAGATACACTCTATCTCTGGTGGATGGATCGGTATTGTTTGGGTCTGGGTGCGTTTAGAATTGATCAATATCCTGTTTTTTTTTTTTCCTTTCTTTCTAACCAATGCATGTAGAACATCGTCTGGTTCTTCCCTCTTGACTACATCAAGTTCGGTATGAAGGCCACGGTTATCAAGTACCTCCGCGAGCGTCGCGCACGCCAAGTCGCTGCTGCACCTCACGATGCGGAGGGTATTCCCATCACTCGTACCCAATCGCGCGTTGCCTCTATCAACGAGTCCTTGTATTCCAATCGTGTATCTTTCATTAAGAGGGCTGCACGGAAGGTTGGGTTTGGTGGCAGAATTTCGATGAAACCGGAAGAGTTGCAGCGTTTCAGCAGCATCCAAGCACAGCGTGTCGGTGCGACTTTGGCTCGTAACCCGTCACGCACTGCCGCTTAATTGAGAGAAGTTTGTGTGAAGAGTCTGGAGACGATTATCTCGATTTGTTCGCTCGTTCTTCGTTATCTTAGCGGAACTGGTGTCATTTACTTTATTGTCTCTCATTCACGTACTATTAGATCCTCCACGCGCATTATTTTTTAAACATTACATGGTTGCAATGCTAGTACATGACATCGGATATCCCCAAAAGGTAGAGTGTGTTTGTAGGAGTGGCTTGGAGATTGTTCCTGACAAGGACTGCTTGGAGGTGTATAGTTTGATTTCGATACGTATCCCATTCCATGACTTTGTACGACTTAATTATCTACCTCTACACAGAAAAATACAACTACTATTTAGACTCTACTTGTGAGATACTTGAGGGTCTAAAAAAGGTGTCTTGACAACAGAGACCGACATTATATATTATATATTGCATGACTGCGCAGGCACAAGTGAAAATGCAACTGTTTTTCCGTGTTCAAGCTCTGGGCAGCAGTTCGTACCCCGAGTAATGTTACTTGGAATAGCCGAATAGTCCGTTCCACAAGGAAGAATCACCATACAGGAACCACCACCAAGTGCAGGAAGGAGGCAAGCGGAAGGCGGTAACGGGCGGTTGTAATTTAGTTGAATCGATCAACTCATATCCGATACTCACGGTGCAGAGTGAAAAATTTGAGAGGTTGACTGCGACTTCGGTGACTTCTTGAGTATGGTTGAATCGTTGAACCGACTTTTTTTTTTTTTTTTTTGTAGAGCGCCGATGAGTATTCAGAGTGAAAATCAAGAGAAAATGTTGACAACGGCGGGGATGGGCAACAGCCTGGAAAAGAAACAAGGGCAAACTCGTCCCGGTGCCACTATTGTGTCATTACTATTTCGTATAACGTGGGCGGGTCGCAACTCCGGTCATCAATTATGCATTTGAGACTGTTTCGAGTAAGATTACCCTCGAATGGTGCTCTTATCTATTCCGGCTTCCTGTCTTCGTACCGATTTTTGTGTCAGCAAGGGGCCCCGCGTTATGTAACCGCGTTTAGATACACCACCTACAAAAGCGGCAGATTCGTCGATTTCTTGGTCTCCTACTTTCTCCCCCGTCCTCCTTAATATCATGGACACCATCGACCACATTCCTCTCCAGAAGATTCGCGAGGACGGCAAGGACGAAGTCGACAACGCGCACCCTCATTCGCCTGACCATTCTCATCATTCACCCTACCACGCTGATCCAGCAAAGAGGAGACGGCGAAGTGCATCTGTGGACTATGATTTCTTTGACCCTACTGGTGCTGCGGGACTGGAGAGGCGCCTCAGTCACATCTCGACTCGCACCCACGACAACGTACGCCCCACCAACGATTCCGACGTCACTCTATCAATTCCTGCTGATGGTTCATTTGATCTGGAGAAAGCCATGCGCGCTGTCGTGAAGAGGTATGTTTCAAACTTGTCGCTCGCTGATTGTATCACGCTTACAATGTCCGCATTAGACGCGAAGAGGCGAACATCAAGGATCGCCAATTGGGTGTTGTGTTTGAGAACCTCCGAGTCATCGGTCTTGGGGCGACAGCGTCCCACCAGGAGACCCTCGGATCGACGCTTAATCCATTGAATATCGTCGAGAAGATTCGGACCGCGCGCCATCCTCCTCTCCGAGATATTCTTACCGGATTTGAGGGTGTCGTTCGACCTGGCGAGATGATACGTTCGTGCTTTTTCCCACTTTTAAATCCTCTCTGGCGCTGATGCATCATTACATTTACAGTTGTCTTGGGGCGTCCTGGTTCTGGCTGCAGTACATTCCTAAAGACGCTTGCGAATCAACGGGAAGAGTACCACTCGGTTGAGGGTGAAGTCCATTACGACTCTCTTTCTTCTGAGGAGCTTAGGGACCATTATCGTGGGGATGTTCAATATTGCCCCGAAGACGATGTCCATTTTCCGACCTTGACTGTCGAACAAACCCTCAGATTTGCAGCCAAGACACGCGCTCCTCAAGAGCGTGTTGGCCATTCGAGAGCAGAGTACGTCGACATGATGGTCGAGGTCCTTACCACCATTTTTGGTCTGCGACACGCCAAGAGTACAATGGTTGGCGATGCTGCTATCCGCGGTGTTTCCGGAGGTGAAAAGAAGCGGGTGTCTATCGCCGAAGCCATGGCTACTCGAAGTAAACTGAACTCATGGGACAAGTACGTTTGCATCTCTCTCGTCTTTTGAATATATAAATCTAACAACAAAATCTAGTTCTACTCGCGGTCTCGATGCGTCCACTGCCCTTGAATTCGGACGTGCGCTGAGAATATCCACCGACATCGACAATCTCAGCACCATCGTTTCAATCTACCAGGCAGGCGAGACGCTCTACCAACTGTTTGACAAGGTTTGCGTCATATACGAAGGAAGGATGGCCTATTTTGGGCCCGCCGACCTAGCAAAACAGTACTTCATTGATCTGGGATACCTTCCGGCCAACAGACAGACAACACCCGATTTCCTTGTTGCCGTCACAGACCCAAACGGTCGCATCCTGAATCCTGACGTTCCGAACCGACCTCGCACCGCGGCTGAATTCGCCGAGTGTTTCCACAAGTCGCCTTTCGGTCATCAGAATCGCGAAGACATTGCTTTGTACAAGGAAGCCTATGTAGGGTTACCCGACAGAGCCCATTACTATCGGGAGAGCGCTCGCGCAGAGCATTCGAAGAATACGAGGCGAAGCTCGTAAGCATCTCGCTCTTATTAACAGGAAACTGCTCATGTTTCTCACAGACCCTATGTTATCTCCATCCCTATGCAAATCCGCGCTGTGATGCTGAGGCGAGCTCAAATCCTTTGGGGAAGCAAACAGGCGACTATCATGAATCTAGCGTACGCTTTTCCCCCTCAAATTCATGATCGTACGAGCTTGACTTGTTTTGTGTCTAGATCGTTCATTCTCCAGGGTGTGATCGTCGGCACGGTTTTCGTCAACGCTCCGGACTCGACCTCGGCATTCTTCAGTCGAAGTGGTGTTCTCTTCTTGTAAGCCTTTTCCCCCATTTTTTAAACTATGTCTAACTAGAACCTTTGCAGCGCGCTTTTGTTTTCTGCCCTATCAAGTATGGCAGAGATTCCTGCTCTATTTAACCAACGCCCCATTGTTGCTCGACACAAGAGAGCTGCATTGTACCATCCCTTCATCGAAGCTGTCGCTCTTACCTTGGTTGACATTCCTATCACGTTCTTGACTACTACGGTTTTTGGCATCCTCATCTATTTCATCGTCGGTTTACAACGGACAGCCGGGCAATTCTTGTTTGTTTTTTTTTTTTCTCTTCTACCCTTTTGGGATCCTCGTTTGCTGAATATCTCGCAGTCTTTTCCTTTTGTTCCTGGTCACAATGGCATTAACGATGAAAGCATGGTTCCGTGCGGTCGCTGCCGCTTTCAAGGCTGAGTCGGAAGCGCAGACGCTAGCCGGTAAGTCTGCCCCTCCATTTCCTTCGGCATTCCTCACCGTTTGGTAGGCATCATGCTTCTCGCTTTGGTAGTATATACGTGCGTATCTCTAATTACTCCGTATTTGTCTAGTTTTCTGACAGTATTGTAGCGGATTTACGATCCCGAAACCATCCATGATCGGTGCTCTCAAATGGATATCATACATCAACGTATGTCCTCTTTTATGGCCAAGAGTGACTTGGGAACTGACGTCCTGTTAGCCTCTTCGTTACGGCTTTGAAAGCGTCATGGCTAACGAATTCCACACACTCAATGCATCCTGCGCGGTATTTGTTCCTCAAGGAGCTGGATACGAAAATGTCAGCCTTAACAACCAGGCCTGTGACACAGTTGGATCTGTCGCCGGTCAAGCCTACGTAAACGGCAACACATTTATCTCGCTTTCGTACGGGTACTCATACAGCAATACTTGGAGGGTGCGTTGACAGATTCCATTTTTATATCATTCCGACACTAATTCGACAACAATAGAATTTCGGAATTCTCATCGCTTTCATGGTGGCGTTCTTAACCATTCTGTTTACGTACTCCGAGTTCAACACGAGTGTTGCTGGTGAATCTGCAATGGTGCTATTCAAGCGCGGGACGAAGCAACCCGTTTTGGAGCGGGAGAAGAAGGATGAGGAGGGTGCTTCCGTGCGGTCTAGCCGGGACACAATCCAAGACCCTACTACAGCTGCTGTGGACGCGGAGAAAGCTTTGGCTGAACATCCTCCGATGACGGACCTATTCAGTTGGCAACATCTGCAATACACGGTTCCCGTGGCTGAAGGACAGCGGCGTTTACTTGACGATGTCTCTGGATATGTTGCACCTGGGAAATTGACGGCTCTGATGGGTGAGTCGGGTGCGGGCAAGGTCGGTTGTAATGTTACGTTGATTGGAATGAAAGACTGATAGTCTGTCTAGACTACGCTGCTCAACGTCCTGGCTCAACGGGTTAGCACTGGTGTCGTTCTCGGAAATCGTTTCGTCAATGGACTCGCTCCTCCCAGCGATTTTCAAGCGCAAACGTAGGCTGGTTTGAATAATCCATTATCTATGATACTAATACACAGATTCTAGCGGTTACTGTCAACAGATGGACACACATGTGAACACCGATACTGTTCGTGAGGCTTTACTTGTTTCGGCGACCTTGCGTCAGCCAGCATCAGTTCCATTGGCTGAGAAAGAGGCATAGTGAGTGCTGATCGTGTGCCCTCCAGTTATGTTCGCTGAATCCCTTCGCCTGTTTAGTGTTGAAAAGTGCATCAAGATGTGCGGTCTCGAGGCTTATGCTGACGCCGTTGTCGGTTCACTTGGCATCGAGCATCGCAAGCGTACAACGATCGCTGTAGAACTAGCGGCGAAAGTGGGTATTCTGCTTTGTCTGCTTTGAGTCTTGATTTAACTGTTTTTTTTTTAGCCTAAACTTTTGTTGTTCCTTGACGAACCCACGTCTGGACTAGATTCGCAGAGTGCATGGGCTATCATGGCTTTCTTAAGGAGTCTTGCTGGTAACGGACAAGCCATTCTTTGCACGTATGTATTATGTCAATGCACTCGACGATGGAAGTTGAAGCAATTCTGTAGAATTCACCAACCTTCTGCCGAACTCTTCCAGGTTTTCGACCGGCTTCTTCTTCTCAAGAAGGGTGGACAGACCGTATACTTCGGAGATCTTGGTCACAACTCCACGACGCTCATTCAATACTTCGAGAGGAACAAATCAAGGGTTTGTGCTGCAGAAGAGAATCCGTAAGTTTTGGTTACAAATTATCTCCTCAATCTGACGGGTAACGTCATAGCGCTGAGTTTATGTTGGACGTCATTGGTGCTGGGGCGACCGCTCATGCTACTCAGGATTGGTACGTTACCATTGCTTTCAATTGATGCCACCCGTATTGAATTTGTTGCAGGCACGCAATCTGGAAGAATTCACCGGAGTGCGCTAATCTCCAATCTGAGCTTGAAAGTTTGCATGCGGTAGGAAGGAAGCAGGGCGCAGTCGAAGCCACTGTACATTCCGAATTCGCCACGTCTTGGTTCCATCAGTTATCCGTGTTGGTGAAACGTGATCTTATGTTCCGCTGGAGAGACCCAACCTATCTAATCGCCAAGTTTGCTCTCAACATAATGTCGGGCTTATTCATCGGGGTATGCTTCGTACTCATTGCTTCCGACGGGTGTCTAATCGTTTTCATCATATAGTTTACCTTCTTCCAGGCGAAGGATAGTCAGCAGGCGACTCAAAACAAACTATTCGTAAGTGCAATTAACTCATAATACCAGTAAACCTTTTAACCTAAAATTCGCATAGTCTATCTTCTTGGGAACAATTCTCGCAGCTCCTCTTTCTAACCAGCTCCAGGTTCCGTTCATCAAAATGCGCAATGTCTACGAGATTCGCGAGCGTCCCAGTCGCATGTACCATTGGTCTGCCTTGCTTACATCCCAGTTCCTCGCTGAAATTCCGTGGAACATCCTTGGATCGGGCGTATACTTTTTATGCTGGTTCTGGACCGTAGGCTATCCATCGTCTCGTGCTGGCTACACGTTCCTTGTGATGGGTGTCATCTTTCCCCTTTACTACACATCCCTCGGTCAGGCAGTTGCATCTATGGTGCCCAATGCTGAACTTGCCGCGATCTTGTTCAGTTTCTTGTTCTCTTTCGTCATGACCTTGTGAGTGCTTTTGCATCATTTACGGATTAATAATCTGGCCTAACAATACTTTTAGCAATGGAGTTTTGCAGCCTTTCAGTCAACTCGGATGGTGGCAATGGATGTACCGCGTGTCCCCTTACACCTACCTCATTGAAGGTCTACTTGGACAAGGTAAGGAAGCATTCTTGAGTTAAGAATGAATTCTGATTTCTACTCTCTATAGCTCTTGGCAGACAGCAGATAACATGTTCGTCTGTTGAACTTGTATCTGTCAATCCTCCATCTGGGCAAACGTGTGGCGAATATCTCAACCCGTACATTGCTGCCAACGGCGGTTACCTGACGAACGCCGAAGCTACCAGCGCCTGTTCATTCTGCTCAACCGCCACAACGGACCAGTTCCTGGGTAGAAACTTCAACATCTTTTACAGTCACAGATGGAGGAATGTCGGGTTTCTTTGTGTTTTCATTGGATTCAATGTGAGTCTTTTGTCTTCCTGAAGACGTAGTGCTGTTACTCATACCAACTTGATAGATTTGGGCAATTTATGTCTGTACATACTTATTCCGCGTGCGCACAGAAAGTCTGCTAGCTTCGTTTAAAAAGAGAATTGCTCGTCGTCGATAGATGGCTCCACGCTTATTGGACTGATTATTTAAATAAATAAATCTAGGAATTTTACTATCGCTTGCTTAATCTTTGATATCTACATTTTACACGCATAGAAGTTTCGTTGTATATTAACACAGTGTACACCTTACGTCCGCAATGCCATCATGGTTTACTAGAACTATTGTTTTCTTTTTCCTGCACAGAAATGGCTAGTTCGAAATGCCGAAGCTCAGAAATAGACACCGTCTCGTGTTTCAGAACCGCCAAACTCCTCCAGATCCTGGTACAGGTTTCACCTTCGATGCAGCGGATTTTGGTGTGGGGGGGGTGAAATAGATGAGGCCTCTCTTCAAGGTCGTGTGTGCTGGTTGTCAGGCTTTCCAAATATTCTTCGCTTGTTCTACGTTACTTACTACGTGCTAGGAGATGTTCGTGGCTCTTCAGTGGGGATTCAACTAGGCGATTATCAAACAGGCTATTGCCGTTATCTTTGCAGTTTCGGCCTATACTTGGTGCTCTTACTATTGGAATCGGCATTGCAAAACTTGTCCACTCGTTTTCTTTGCCTAAGAGTCCCGGGGAGGTCGGAGCTCTGCAGTGCATTGAGCATCGCACCCTCCGATCTTCAGTCTTGGCGAATCTCAGTGGATAGTTTATAAGTCAAGACTCGTCTCTCCATGGACCCTCTATTTCTTGCCTTCAAATAATGTTCAGGTCTATCCTGGTTGGTCTATTTCTCGGTTTCCCTGCTCTGGGTGCTCCATATCACCACCAACCAGGAAGCAGCTGTGATATCTCTGAAGCCAAACTCGTCCTGCCTCCAGGGGTGAAGCTTCCGCCACCAAGCGAACCTCCTACTCACCTCACTGTCGGTGTGGGGACGCAGAACTATACCTGCTCGGAAGAGGGCACTTATACGTTAGTTTCCAGTATGTATTATTACTATTTCTGACACGAACTCATAAACCCGCAGAAACGTCGGCGCCGTGGCATCCATTTTCGACATCTCCTGTCTTTACGGCACATCTCTCTTCGACAGCATCCAGGACATCCTTCTGGCCGCTTGGGACAAGTCAAACTCGACTTCTGCCCGTGACATTCCACACGGACTCACTCTTTTGGGCGAGCATTTATTTATCATCAATCCCATAACTGGGACCGGGATCAGTCCAAAGTGGGATTTTACTGCTTCGACCGGTAATCCAGAGGCGTTCGTGGTGGCTAAGGTGACAGCAATGAGCCCTGCGCCTACTGGGAGCCAGGATGTCGACTGGTTGTCCCTGGATAGGATCTTGGGAAAACTTGCGGATGAGGTGTACCGGACCGATACGAGAGCCGGGCAGCCACCTGCTTCAGTAGGCGTTCTCTTCCATACTACGTGTTGATTGCTCATAAAGTGTTCCGCAGTGTACCCCAGGATCAGAACCTATCACGGTGAAGTACTCCGCGAAGTACTGTGAGTGTCATCCATTTTTCCCGATGTTCGTTCCTCAGATATAATCCCTAGCATTCTTTGGTGGATACTTGTAGGGCGCCTATAGTATGTATAATTGATGTATTTCTACGGACACTTGTAATGGTGGCGTAGAGTGGACTGCTAATGTATCCCCTTATTACCACTGAATTGTCGTTAGTATGCCGCAATGTTGTAAAAATACATGATTAAATGCTTGATACACGTTGTACTGTCCCAGTAAGTAAATAGTCCGATGTAAGGATATGTGAGTGGATGAATAACAATGGGAGGCAGCGATTTATTTCTATGAACCAGTTTCTATCCATTTGAAGACCTAAAAACAAAACTGATCAAACAGATGGCAGCAGGATGACAATGGTCGTACCGCTCGTGTCATATCTATATACAAGGATTGTTGGACAGCGTGGACATCACCTGTATAGTAAATTCGTTCGTCATGGACAAAAATATACGTCGTAGGGTGACCTGCAATCAAAGTTGAGCATGGAGCATAATATTTTGGCATTTTCAAAGACAGCACGTACTGCCATCGGAATTTGTCCACTCGGCAGACAGTTCATACGTCGAAGGGTCCAGGAAGAACTGGAACGATCCTTTAATTAACAAAATTGACAACACTGAGAAAGGTACTAACGACATTTGTCTCAATATACGTCCCTGTATTCGTATCAAAAGTTAGCGTGTTCCCTGGGTATGCTATGGCCCAAAGTTAGCCAGTGCCTACACCCAGCCGAAAGATAGCAAAGGGACGAACCGGTCACTTGCGTGGTCCGAGCTAGATGAAAACTAGCGAAAGTTTAATGTTGGCGCGGTCTTCCTAGAAATTTAATGCCACCTACTTCTTCAATCCAGGTCTGAGAGATTGACCGAAAAAACCTGCAGTGATGCACATCTTTTCATCCTTGTTCTAGGAGAATTATCAGTTGAATTCGTGGCTCGTGAGAAAGGGCACCAAGCGTACCGGATCATAGACTTCTCCTCCGTACCCATACGCGGTGTAGGTGTACCGTGGAGCAGCTTCTTTCGTATGTATGACCTTGTGGCCATCAACATAACCTACTAGTCGCTGAAGGCCGTGTCTTTCGTAGATGGCGATATAACCAGTCGAGGACCTGTGAGGCAAGTTATTCAACATTCATCAATGGTTGCATCAAGACATTCTTTACCATGTCGGTACTGAAGAGACGACTGCAGATGGAAATACATGTTACTTAATGGCATCAATTCAAAGGGGGGATAGCAGACGCACATGTCGTTTTTCTCATTCTTCTCGGAGCCTCATGCAGAAGCGGGAGGAATGAATGAGTTTCCGACTTTGGCAGTGGCTCTCTGAGGTTCGTGTCCGTTGACGGCTGCGCGCCGCGCAATCTAAACGGATACTGCAGTTCGTTCATGTATAGAGTATCAGGCTCATTGAGAGGTAGTGAAAGGATAGTTTGGAAAGCGGCGAAAACAGAAAGGAAAGTAAATATGTTGGTCATCATTGGTGCGAGTGGGATGGTGAAAATGAAGGCAAAGGAATATAAGAAAAAGAGAACGGCGCTTTATAACCGCATTCTGACGTCTCGACTTTTATTTCGGGAGCTAATTTCCAACGAAGGAGCCATCAAATAATAGAAGACCGTCAGAAAAGGACCGTGAGATACCACCCCACGTCGATCATATATATACTCGTTCTAGTCCTGCTGGCAAATTCAACATGCCACGCCGCCTTTGACCTGTTGCAAAAAAATAAAATAAAATGGGGAACAATTGGAAGCCATGCTATTTGCAGGCAGACTATAGTACCCATCGTCGTACTAGGTCGTGACTGTACCTGGCAACGGTACGCAGCACAAAGATATATTAAGCATCATGGTTTACCAGGGTCCCCATCTGTCCATAAATATTAGCAGAGAACGAACGTAAATAGTCCAAGTGCAAGCACAGTGTCATGGAGAAGAAGAGTCAGTATACGCAGGTGGCGGAAGGTCGGACAATCTCGCAATCTCCCTCACCAACATCTCATTTCTTCGCCGAAGCTCGGCAACCGGTTCCTCTTCCTCCAGGTCCTGCGTCTCGCCACCCTGATCATGTGCATCAGATGCAGGTGTCGTAGCACTGTGACTAGACTCAGAGCCAGAGAACGGCCCTACAGAAGGCTGCATCACCTCTCGCCTTTTGGTAAGGATAGCCACTTGGGAGGCAACTGCAGAGCTGAAAGACGATAGCAGGGAAGCTGACGGTGTGGGCGACAAGGTGCCGACGGGACTCATGTTTCGGATGTTTTGTTGTAAATTGTTCTGTATTTCTTCTAGCTTCGCAGCTTGCGAAGGGAGGACTTCGTCTGCGGCCGATACTGCCCCTTTCCCTGTTCCACCGTTGCTCTCCGAGTGAATTCCCTGACAAGGCCCCGTTGATGTTGCACCAAGGCTTGGATCGTCCAAGCTACGTCTTCTGTTGGCGTAGACTTCATCCAACTTCGTGATCTGAGAAGGAACAGGGTTGAAGTCGGTTGAAGGGAATGCGCTGGGGGCATGCGAAGTGCTACGTTCTGGGGAGGGTGGTTTGATCTTTTCGAAAGTTGCTAATTGGGAGGCGATGACATCCCTATCCGGGGGAAGAGACACTGCGGCCATTAAGATAGGACCAAAAGAACCATACGGAACAACCTACAGCGCGTAGTCCCTGTTATGGCTTTTGTTGGAACAGGAGGTGAATCATCATCAATCCTATGCGATAAAATTCTTCGGCCACTTGTACCCGGCATTCTGATCGTATAGACGTCCTCTTCTGGATCTATCTGTGTATTGGATAACGTCGTGTTGAGATGGTGGGTCGGTAGGATTTGTCCTTGTGCAAATGAAATATCTCTTGATAGTGTGGGTGGGCTATAGGCAACGCTATTGAAAGCACGGACTATTGGCGTGCCAGTCATTTGTGTATATGGACTGCTGGATGCAGACAATAAGCGTGCGTCAGTGCTGTTTGTATCGTACGCGCGTGGTTGATCGTGGCTAGGACCATTTGGGTCGTCAAAGAATGGAACGTCCCGGGAAGATGATTCCGGACTTGTAGAAGGCGCAATCAGAGCAGGCGGTGGGATAGTCACCCCTGCCATACCTCCTTCCGATGACTCAGCCGTCGAGACTAGTATGTAAATTTGAACACCACCAGATTGAAGATGAAATGGAATAACAAACGCACCGACTTTGTATTGAAACGCTTCGTTCGTTCCATCGATCTGGAAATCACTGCCTGCACAGTGTCTTCGCTTCCAGCACCAATAAAGAAGACTCGATAGTACAGCCAACGCAACGAGAGATGCCAAAACAGCGCCGACGATGGTACCGGTGTTGTTCTTAGGGCCCCCGTCATCTGACGATCTTGTTGTTCCTGTTGGGATTGGTTCTGATGTAGACGATCCTGATCCAATGGAAGAAGTGCCAATATCTTCACTTTTCCCATATATTGGCTCGTAAAGAATGTAATCCAACTCGAATACCTGATCCCCGGAGATCTCGGTCAGATTAACAGCCACCTCATGGTCTCCCGAGGAGAGACCTGCCGCACTGAGCAAAGGAAGATTTGCCAATGCGATATCGTTGTCGCCACTTCCAGTGACATTAAACCCATCTTGAGATGAACCGTCGATCTCAAAAGATACGGCAAGACTCCCACTCGCCGATTGCTGAACACCATATACTGATACAGCGCTACCTATAAGCAAAACAAGAGTTGAGAGAACGGGCAAAATGTGTTCGCGTGAGAGACGTACCAGAGAATCGAAAAGTAAATCTGCTGCCGGCGGAGTTGCTCCTATGTACACCGCCTCCGTAGGGAGTGAAAATGATTGAATCACCTGAACCGTTCGTCTTGAAGGTATCATCCGAGTTCTGTGACCACGAGCCGTTGTAGCTGATCAAGGAATCGCTATCATCGATGAGTATGAACACGCCGGGAGAAAGTCCCGGTGGGACATCAGAGTCAGAGTCTGTATCGACAGTATACGTGACATAGTCGATGGATACAGGCGATTCCGAGTCGATGCCTCTGCATGTAACGTTGACCGTATGGGCGCTGTTGCTTAGACCACTGGCTTGGCAAAGTTGTTTGTATATGTTCGACTCTTCATCACCGCCACTGGCGTTACACGTCGTCGCGTTTTCGTTATCAACAGAGATAGAGAAGGACACATCTTCCGTTTCCCAAAGAACGCCGCTCCACGCAAGAGATGTTCCTGAAAGCGACTTGCGTTGAAAAATGCAAGTCTGATAGACATAAAACATACCATAGAACGAGTAGGCAAAAGAGAGCCCGCTGCGCGCCGCGTCATGTGTACTGTCATTGATAAACTGACTGGTATGGCCCTCCCCTGTGCCCCATTGGGAGGAGCCGATGGAGGGATTGTACTTCAAGAGATTGTCATCGACGAGAACGGTACGGGAATTGACCATGTCTTTGCGTGGGTGCTGTGAAGGAAAATTTGTTCCGAACTAGATCAAGAGGGCACACAAGCTTCGAGGGACTGCCAACGGCACCGAGTCTTGAGTACTACTGAGGCTTTCACTTGTCAATCCCGCATTAACGCCACCCATAGTGAAAAATCAACACAGCCTCCGTGCTTCGCAACGCCAGTGCCAAGATGTATATCGTTGAGGCCAAGAAAATAACGCCGTAACAGTAACTCTGAGCCCACGATATCGCCTCCGCCAGTCGAATGTTTCATGAAAGGGAAACTATGCGAAGCCGGACGCAATCTTGCATTATACTATACATTCATTGATATCGGTCGTGAACGAGTGCAAAGAAGTTGTCTACCCGTACACTTTGACCCATGCAAAATCGAAATAGGCATCAATGAAGGCTGCGGGATTGTTGTCGACATAGTCTAGTAAGCGATCAGATGACATCAGAACACGAGAGCAAAGACGGCTTACCAACGCAGGTTGATGGGCAGCTGGAGTCCGAGTATACAGATCCTGCCCAATCACCACCTATTCAGTCACGTACAAGCTAGTGTAAGAAAGATAGCCTCTTAGAGAACATCCACCGCTTTCACTCACAGAACGTCACTACATGAAAAGATCATCCTATCAGAGCATAATCATAATCACCAGCCGGGTAACTGCTCACAGTTGATGATGATGTTGTGAGCACCGAAGTGGTCGCTTATCGAGCATGAGGTGTCCGGGAAGTATGCAAAAGGAATGCCCTGCCCGAGGTTCAAAGATTGCTAGGACGTGTTGCTAGTACCAACACATACCCAGGCATCGGTATCAACACTGGGGTTTCCATCTTGGACATCGGCTGGGACGTTGTTATTGTTTCGAGCCCAAAACCAAATCTTGATGAAAGTATCAGTCCGTTCGACAGCGTACCTAAATAAAAGATGTTCTCGCCCAAGATAACGCAATTCGAAGAGAAATTAACTCGCCATCCTCCACCATTGTCATTAAAGGGTGGTCCGTAGCTAAGCGCGTTCTGAATTTGAACACCGCAGCCGGAGTTTCCATTGACTGCAGTGTCACAATCATAGGTGAGAGCAACTCCTATCAGATCGTGAGAAGATTAGATCAGATCAAAAACTAATCATTACCAGTTTCGTTCCGAGAAGTTGGCATTGTACAACCTTATGCAGCGCTGTAAGACGCGAATGAAATTTCGAAGAGAATATGAACACACCTGGAGAGGTGTGCAAAGTTGCCTGATTATATGTCTGATCATTAACCCCTTCCAGAATATCGATCTCTCCCTTTTAGAAACTGGTGAATACAGTTGTCGAAGCCTGCCGCCCAGAGCTTACCATCGTTGGCCACGGATCAGCAAAAGTCCATACTGCAGGCCAAGTACTATATTGAAACACATAAGAAGTTATGTACTAGTTCGAAGCGCAAAGATATCCACCCGCAGCCTTGCGGCATATGACGAATGTTGAAACTTAAAAAATAAATGAACTCCTGAAGATCACGAAACCGCGTTGTAAGTATACTTACACCATCACCGTGTTGCTTCCATATTGTTCGTTCGATTGCAGTCTAACGGAGTTACGTCCAGGACCAGTGGCTGATAACACAGTCGTGAAGTCCGAGCGCAAAATGAAAGTATCATCAGACGCGTAGGTCAGATTCTGGCTGGCTGCAGTGGCAGCGTTGACATAATTTCTAGATTACAGGAAGGGTCAGAGACGAGTATATAAAACTATTGGGTCCAAAGGACATACACACAGCCGTTGGTTGGGTCAGCAATGGCTTCATATGTGAAGCCACTGTTGAACTGGGACCCTACAAAGCTATCGGTCTGGGAGTAACTTACACTAGCCACTGGGGAGGCAAGTGAAGAAAAGAGGGCGACTAAGACGCTGCTAGTGAGGGAAGGCATGAGACCGTATGAAGAAGAGATTGGACTGGTTTCCAGGTAGCTGAGAACGGGTAGGACACCTTTTATGCATCGCAATTACCTGACCAGCCAAACATGTTTTCAATTGACCCAAACGAGGTTACCAAAGTCACCAGTGAAAAACCCTAAGGGAAACGCATATAGTTTGAGGTCCTCAAACCACAAGGCGCGTCGTTCAGCTGATGATCGTTTCGAACAAACAAGCTTGTGATAGCACAGTCAAGAACCGAAAAAATGCATCTAATGCTTTGACCAGCAAAAAAGTATGAAAGGTAAGGCTTTCGATATTATTACCCATGATCTTACGAGAAACGGGACCACGTAGGAAAGGTACAGGCATAAAAACAGTGTCACTAAGATGAATGTAAACCAAATAGTATTTAATCCTTGGTTGCATAGGGACGTTACCGGTAATTGACTCGCAGCGGTCTATCCATTATTAGACTGCCTACGCCTGTAATCCAGTCATCTTCACGTGATGTATGTGATGGTCTCAAACTACCCGCGTCAACGGCGCAGTATTTCGCTGTTAATACTTGACCCAGGCGGTGATACTTCGGTGAGCATATGATAACTAGGGCACAAGAAAAGGCTCGATAGGAATCAGCAAGCCACACGTTGAGGGGCTCCATCCATATGACTTGGGAGTCAACGAAAGGCATGTGAAGATGCGGTAGCCAACGAACTGGTGGAGTCAAATACTACCGACTGCTTCATACAACAGACAGGCACATCATTTGGGAAGATTTAGAGTATTAGAATAGAAAAACACGCGAGCTTGCCCTATACGCACCTTCTAGAGGAAGTCCTTCAGTATTCCGGTTACCCTGTTCGGACCGCGGATATCCTTAACAGACCATCCCATAGCGGATACCATTCTGCCTAGCGAGAAGTTGATAAGATTCTGTCAGTGATGAAGCTGCGATGGAGAAGGACAAAAAAAGTCTACCATCTGGTGAATGTAGGAAACAGAGGTGCCAGCTCTTGTGGCGTGAGAAATCAGATCCGGACGCGGTCTTGTGACATCACAAACTCAACAACTCAGAAATTAATTCTCGTTGGCTTTGCATCTCCTTTAGTATTTCGTTTCGAAGGGATAGGTCGCTTGATTTTCTATCAACTTCAAACAGTTCTCGGATGCTGCATCTAAGCCACTGGCATGTGCAAAATAAGGACAGCTCGATATGCCATTAGATTGAAGACATGGCGTTTTAATGTTCCAAGCGAGCTTTACTTTTGAATAACATACTGACAGAAACTGAGTCCGGAATCCGTGGTCGGAACGGGAAAACTTTGTACTCGGATCTCTGATGAAATCTCTGGAGCACAGGCATCGAACATCAGGGTCCCATTTGGAATAACAACAGTTCAAAAAAAAAAGAAGACTATGGAACAAATACCCCAAGTGGTGGTATATAAGAAGTGAAGGTTTGTTGATAAGTTCCTCTAGTGTTTCAGATGGATAACAGGTGATAAAGCTAGATCCCGACTCTCATTTGGTCAGACCAGAAAATAAAAGAAGGCATACTGTTCCCTTCTCCGAGAAATGAAATACTCCAAGTCAATCAATATTCTGCCCACACTGTAGGAGCATGGTGGCAATAATAGTTGCATCAAGTAGTCCCAGTTGCATAGCTTCTGCGGCTATGTCAAGGGTGATTGTTCCATGACCACGGCAGATCCTCGCGAGCAGACGGGAAGACGACCCGCTCGAATAAAGCTGCGCAGACATGACATCAGTACACGGTTTTCCGGCGCTAATAGCCAAAGAAACGACATTAATGTATTGCTCTCGCGGAATCCACAGATAACGCGTCCCGCAGACATCCATCGTCCTGGAACTACGCATGAGGTCAACAGTGAGTATTCTGTCTTTGGCAAGAGAAGTTGGGAACGGATACGTACGCCTTGTCCTGAGACAGTCGCAACCAGTCTTTGACTTTTTGCTTGGATATGACTCCACGTAGCTCAACCAGTGGATGCGGTTGCCACTCGACAAGGGCGATGTTCCTGTCCTTCGCGTCTTTAAGCACGGTGTAGGTAGGCATATTGGAGTCCGTGATAAAGGCAAAGAAGGGACGTTGTTGGGGTCCAATGACGGTGCAATTCAGTACCGAAGGGTTGAACGACGTGAGGTAAAAGGTCACGTAATTGGCGGGGCCGGGAGGGGTTGGGTAAGGAAGAGCACCGAACATTGAAGGTGCAGGCCCTTGCCCCCACCCGCCATAAATATCGTTAAAAGACATCGAGGGAGAATTAGACTCTAAAGACGATGGAGAGGGCAAGACAAAGAGATGGCAATGCTGGAAGAATGAGGGGGTTTAAATACCGACGACAGGAAGCCTAGAAAGGACTGTCGAACGGAATACTCGAAGATATGACCCGATGAATGGTGATGCGGGAGTAAAAACGCGCCCTTTATAGTTCTGTGCATGGGCTTGCTAATCTGCATATCAAGCCAACAGAGCCCACCCAGATGGTTCAGAAACGATAAGTTTCAAAGGCCGCTTCCAAACAGTAAATGACTCAAGTCATGTTCATTCAGGCCCGGTTAGAACCAGACAGAAGAGGGATTTCCAATCTAGAAATCCCGGTACCTAAAAAGATGAGTCGAAAACCCGAGCAAGAAAGCCACTCGTGATAGCTCGCTTGTTGACGAGTTGTTAAATGCGATGCTTACTACTGTTTCATTTAAGCTCGGTGTGCGTTTGCTATAATAGTATCAGAGAGTGGCGTTCGGGACTTTCGAAGTCTACGCAGATCAAGAAGCAAAATAAAAATACGATTCGAATCGAAGACGAGAAGAGATCCGCCGTATATAAAGTGAAGTATCAAACTGATAATCAAAAGAATTGTGCTGAGCAGAAAATCAATTTGTGCATAGCATAGCAACGGAGAGATACCGACGGCTTGATTCTGGACCGGATAGAGTGTAAAGATTGTTTGTGTGGTGCCAATTCAAAGGGGGTAAGACTGAGACTGAGAGGTTCGAGGCAAGGCAAGTGAAGTCTAATGATTCGTTGTACAATGCCGACATCGCAGAGCGCTCTTGATGGATATGGATATGGAAGATAAGCCCGAGCAGATAGGCCAACAGAGGTCGTCCAGATGAGCACCAGATTTCCCAAGACGGCGACATAAATGCCATGCATCTAGAGTGAATCATAGTTCTTGATATCCCAATCAGTTTAGGCATAAAGTAGTGAGATAGTGACGCACAGCCGATGCAGGGTCGTGCTCCCGACGGGCGCTTTCCCACAGAAACCGCCCACCAAGCACAACGTGCACACAATTCAGTTTTTGTTTGACTCGCCTCTAATGTTTCGGACGATGTAGCGGGGTAGAAGTAACCAGTTAAAGGCATGAATTGTTGATTGTCGCAAGAAATGATGAAGGGGTGCTATAACAACGACGAGCGATGAAAAATAGAAACCAAATTGATATGTATACATGTACAAGAGACCAATCTACAGTACAACCGTTATGTAAATTGCCTCTCGGCTACATAGCGTACCTTCGAACACCGATAAGCATCGGAAAACAGAGAAATAAGCGCCAGACGTACTTCCTGGTCCACTCCCTAGCCGTTGCTTCGTAGCGAGTACGATCGGTCTTGTACAAGTGAGCAATATCAGGCACAAGGGGATCATCGGGATTAGGGTCAGTCAACATCGAACAAATCGAGAGTAAAACTGCGGCACACGAGCAATATCAGTCTCCAATCGAATACATATTTGGTCAGCGACAAACCTTTCGAAATGGTCAACGCTGGGGACCACTGGTCTCGCAGAATGTCCAAGCAAATGGAACCATTCGCATTGATGTTCGGGTGGTAGATCTTGGTCGTGAAGCTGACCTTGGGCGGCTTGAAGGGGTAGTCGGTCGGGAAGCTGATGGAGAGGAAGAAAACACCACCAGCGTAAGGTGAGTCGCCCTGAGAGAGGGAGAAGACGATGAGCATAGATGTGGCGGTGATAACGCAAGTTACGTACAGGTCCCATGATTGTTGCTTGCCATTGGAACATGTTGTCGCCAGTGGGGCCAGCACTGCAGGACGAGGGCGGGTCACGGCCGAGGTCAATCAATTCCTGAATGGCGACGAAACGGAATATGAGCAACACCGCCCCTGAAACCGCATCGCAACGACTCCAGAGATGATGAAATGACCTGAAAAGAAACAGTAAGGCATACCTTGTTAATGCGCTTGAGGGCCATTGCAGACGATACCAAGAGGCGACGAAAGACTGAAAGATCGCAGGAATCGCACAAGATCACGACGGCGACAATAGAGGCGACAGCAAGGACGATTTCAATGCGATGGGCGACGATAAAAGGCACGATGAGTTCGCAATACAGCTTGGAAGGGAAGGGGAGAAAACTTACGAGCTAAAAGGAAAAATTGACTCTGTGAGCTGGTGGTGGTGAGCGGATAAGGGCGAGTGGCAGCCTTTGTAAGTAGCTGTTTAACCACGGGACGTCTGCTTATGTCATCGATGTAGTATCCGAGTTCACCGACTTTTTCGGTCGCGCATTCTCACTATTGGCCAGGGCCTGGACCCATGGCTCAGCGCTGAAGGTTAGCTATTTTACTTGGCAAGATGATTCGAGAGACGACCAGAGCCCTCAAAATTTATTCTATGCAGGTGCCGAGGAATGCGTCGGAATGTTCTACCGAGTCACTGACAATCACTTCGATTCACAGCAGAGAAAACCATTGTATTTCGTTCCCTTCACCGCAGTCGACAGTCAAGGTTTCCTTTGCGACCATCCGGCACGCAAAATAACCAATGCCATCTCATGCTAACAGCCCAAGACATACATCCGACAACAAACCGTACAAACCTGGGTAATCGGAACCGAGAACCCCTACGGTCACAGTGACTGTATCATTCTGGAAAAACAGTTCATCTGGTTAAAAAAATAAGTAATTGCATGCACACCTTTCAAAATCTTGCACGAGGCACTGGGAGTAGTGCCTAACAAGTTTTTTTCAGAATAAATGCAGTTTGATGGCGAGAATATACATCAACTTCCTTGGACGCATGCCCAACATATCCAAGTCATCACTCGAAGATCGCCAAAGACGGGGTGAAGAGAGAAGAAAAAATAAATCAAGACAACAGAAACAAAAATGTGGAAAATGAAGAAAAACGCATCATAGCAAACCTTCATCGTCGCTATCGGCGTCGTCCTCGTCGTCGCTAACAATGAGAATTCCATTCCAAGAAGCTTCAGGCCATGGACTCTTTATGGGTCTTGGGGGAACGCCAAACGGTTTTGCTGACTTGTTACAATCTTCTTCGGCGGCCCTAAAGTTGCAGCAACAAGCAAAACAAATAAACCCTCAGCCAACGCCAGAATTGCCGAGTTGCCAGCAACCCCGCGAAGAAACGCAAACGCACCGGTTTGTCTCCCTGAGCAACCTCATGATGGCATCCTTCTCTTGTTTTGTATGTGCTAAACTTAGCTTCGCCATAAGAGTCCTACTTTCCGCTATTTGCTGCTCCAAACGGCGCTGTTTTGCAGCAAGTTCTTGCTTAGTGGCGCTAGCTTGGGTTGAGGACTGCTTGAAACCAACGGCGGAAAATGGCGGTGTCGCTGCAGGCCGTTCGTGCGGCGTTTTGAGGGTTTGTATGGTTTCAGTAATGAAAGAAATGGCGAGGTCGTCGAGGGCACTGTCCGAGGGCGATGATGCTTCAGATTTCTTGGGCACCGGATTCAGCACTGTAGGCGGTGGTATAAACGCCACGGCTGGTCCCACAGACACAAAATCTTCTAATGGTCGAGGCACGACAGAAGAGATCGAAACGTCAACGGGAGTAGGTATGAGTGTTGACTTCTGCTTCCTTCTTTGACTTGCTAAAACTAACTGGCGTAACTTCTCCTCCATTGCCATATTGTCGATGAGCTGTTTTGTCGACGAGTCGGGAGGAGTTACTAGTGTAGGTGCGTCGATGTCCATCTTCCCGCCACCGATGGAATTTCGCTCCCTTGCGATTCGTTCCTCCAGTTCCTTTTGTTTGACAGCCATGGATCGGAAGACGAAGGAAGGCCCTTTCGGCACGTTTTTCATGGCTCGTGGCTCCGAAGGGGGAGGAGTGGGTGAAGCGGACGCAGCAGGTGATCCAAGGTTAGATGTAGGTGTGAGTGTGGAAAAATTGTGGCTGGACTCTGACAAATGAGTAGTGACCGATGAGGCCGTTTGGGGGGTGGATGAGACAGTCGAAGATGCCACTGAAGAAGAGGGAATAGTGGCGGTGTCTTCGTTAGATGCGTGAAGAACTGAGCTACGTCCATAACTCAACGGAGGAGATGGATTATTATAGCTAGATGGTGTTTCGACTTCCATATCAATATCGACGTCCATATCTTCTGATTGACTTGCAGATTGGGAAGATAGCGAACTGTGGAGTACTGAAGGTGGTCCCATGTCGTTTGTGCCGACGGGGCTGGCCGTCATCAGCGATGATCCAGGATCACTGTCCAGGGGGGAAATCTTAGCGGTATCGATAGGCGCTGCCTGCCAATTCGAAGCGAGTTCGGATTGAGGAGGAAGAGGGTTCTTCTGCTGAAAAATCTCGGTGGCAGAAAATTGAGGTATCGGTGGCAATGAAGGAGCAGGATGATGAACCGTGGGAGAGAACGGCGTAAATGCGGAAGGGGTGGTCACAGATGAAGTAAGCACTGCAGCATGGACAGGAGCAGAAGCAGGCGAATGGACTTCGGAAACATCAACATAAGTCTTGCTAGCTTTTTCTAGCACTAGCTTTTCCTCCACCTCCTTCATCGCCTTCTTCACTCTCTTCTTCTCGCGCCGGCTTTGGAACTGGGCTTCCTTAGCTGCCTCTTTCTTAGCTGCCTCCTTCATAGCGGCGACGTCTTCGATTTCACCATCTTCTAACTCTTTCATCGTAAATTCCAACGCAGGTTCTGAGACAAGATACCACCACACTCGAATGAGATCTTCCCTCGGCGCCCCCTTAATGGTCGCACCAGATGTGTTGGGTGGGCCCAGTCTGGGGCTGACCCATGCCTTCCGAGCAAGTTCGACCGAAGGAAACTCAATGATAGCATTGGCGTTACTGGCTTCTACAGCAACGAAGATCGGAGAACAGTCGGACACACTCTTGCACCAGGCTCGGATGTAATTGATATTCCTATGTATCTTTGGAATTTGATCCATGACGAGCGTGCACGATGGGTCTGGTTTATAAGGGAACCGGATGGTTGAATCAGCATCCATGTGAGTGGTGGGCTTGACTCTGAAAGTGCGCCGTTTCCCCTCCGGATCACGATCGGACTGCATGCCAATCATTGTGGGGGCGGGTTTGACCTTCGTATTTGGCTTTGAGGGCAGCCTTGGTTTATCTGGAAGCGATGAAGAGGGTGCGGGTGGGAGTAATGGCGGCGGTGGTGGTGGTTCTGCAGGGGCCGGCGTAGGTCTAGGTTGTGTTCCGGACGGTGGTGAAATTTGAGGCCACTGTGAGATGTCTGAGTATATATTCCATATCGGAGCAATTGAGCCTGGGGGAGGTTCCGCAACGCTTGCCATAGAATTAACCCAATCAGATGTAGAGACATTGAGGGGTTGACCCATCGAAAAACCTTGATAAGAGAAAGGCGGGTAGACATAAGGCTCTGGATGCATAAAAAACGGATGTGGAATATCAGTTGTAGGGGGGAAAGGCGGAAACGAGGGTGGGCAAGTAGCCATAGCTTGTGCCATGAGCTGAGCCGATCCGTCGACACGGGCCTTCTTCTCTGTATGCTCTTGACGCCTCCTAGCAGTTCGCTGCTCTCGTTTTCGCTTTTTGGACTCGGATTGCTGCGCGCCACTGGAATTCCCCATTTTGTTCGGTCCAGCAACTGGCATGGGCGTTGGGGGGTCGGCCCTGGCTTTGTGTTTTCTCGCAGGGCGTCCTGTACCCACTGTCAGCAAGGCAAGCGGTATGATAGAACGGGTAGGCTGCATACCTGCCGGCTGAGAATTACTGCTCTGCTGCGAATTGCCAGCGTGGTTATCAGCAGTCCATGATTTCTCCGAGTATGCATTTGCCTGGTCTTGCACCAGGAGCACAGAGCCAGGTGCACTTTGAGGGCTTTCATTGTCGAATTCATCATCCGAAATGAATATGGGAGAGCTGCGGGAACCTGCACCACGGTGCATAGTAGAGGTGAAAGAGAGAGTCAATTATTTAACGACGTGAGAAATGGAACTTCGTATTTCTTTCTGTTTGGGTCTGAGTTGCGTTACGTAATACACCCAGGTACTAGCACGTACGGAGTTCAAGTGACAAGCGCAAGAGTAAAAAGGACCCTTGAATCGGGCAGGCGTTTATAGAGTCTGCTGTACATCATTATGCACTAAATGTATAATTGCGAACATCACTTGTCGCCAGCAGAGCTGCCAGCCTGAATGTCTACACTATATATCAATCACTGCTCTTCCCAACGCGTCCTTGCAGAGGAAGATTTCCGAAGCCCCAAAATAAAACATGATAGCACAGAAGGGAAAACTGCGCATAGGTATAAGAACTTCATCAGATGGTCTACTTTCTAAGGCAGCATTCCACCCCATATAGTACGCTCTGTGCTTTCCTCAGTGAAAACAAAGCGATACGATAACGACACTCACTTGATTTTCCAACGATATTCAGGACGCCTTTTCTAGACAACAAGGGCATGTTTCCTCTGAGTGTGAGAAGGTCATTTGAATCAGAGGAAGAGTCTTCATCCCGATTACTACAGTGACAACCGGCGGGAGAACAATGAGTCGACGACAGATGAATCGCAACCACGACACGAGATAGTAGGGGCAAATCCTGTGCCTCAATGAAAACGTCGATATGACTTAACGTCCCTCCCGTGAACAAATCAACCACTGCACGGCTTTCCGGGCAAATCTCTATGATTATGTTCTGAACAGAGGGACCCATCAATGGACATGGCACGTCATTGCCAAATTCGCCACAAATAAACCGAACAGACCTCAGGTTTGCAACTGTGCGAAGGTCAATGGAGGGATCAGTGGACTCCACTGAAGATGTTTGGTTACCAGGGATAATTCTGGGAATAGAGGACGTATTTACTTGGAAATGAATGATCAATGACCACTTCTTCAAGGTAAGGTGTCGGAATACTCAACGCTGTCCTGACAACAGGAACGTCATCAGGGCTCGTTATGACGGCTACAAATTTCTTCCATCGTAGTTTTGAACAGAAGTTATTCTTCGACAACCAGTCTTCGAAGTAGAGGAAAGAGTTAAGGCCCCCGACCTTCAAGGACTCTAACGATGCAAGATCCCATACAACGTCTTGTTGCTGAAAGCTTGACCATAGCATGGAAAGACTTTTGAGCGAAGGCCACTTCCCTGACGTTGAAAAAATGTCAGCGTAGGGAATGGACTCTACGCCGTCAAGGCATAATTCTACAAGGCCAGCGGCAGGAACGTCATTGAAAATCGCTCTAGTAAGAGGCTCGTCACTGCAGCCTCTAAAATCTATGGAGTCGAGGCCGGCTGATAACACATATCGTTTCAAGGACGTAAGGGATGTTAAGACAGCAGTGAAAATCGACGTATCGACTGTCGGGCGTTGACAGTAGGTGATGTCGAAATATATCTCCAACGTAGTTACGAGAGGAGCAATGTGAGGTGATACGAAGATCATGGTGTGGAATCTCTGGAATGTATGACCGGATAGCTTCCAAAGTGTAGTCTCGCGGACGGCAGAATCCGAAAGAATAAGCTTGATTCGAGAGAAAAGATGCAATTGACTGGATGCAACAAAGGCGCGAGATGCAAGTGCGCATGCTCGCAATGCCTGATTGTCGTCGTGATTGAAGTCAATGATCACATCCATCAGTTCTTGAGGAATGGCCATAAATTCCTGCGCCGAGGGAGACTGAGCCAGCAAGCGCATTTGTAAGATACCACTGACCCTTGCAGTTTATTTGTGACGAAGATTGTTGAGAATTGTCGAAGCGGATTAGCTGAACGCGGCACGGCACGAGGGAGAATCGGCAAAAGCCGAACTACCCACATACACTCCAGGAATTGGAAATAAGCTTACTAACTCGTCAAAAAAGAATTAAGATAATCTGCAGAACGAGTAACCCAAGTTACAGACTACTCTGGGTTAATAAGACTCTTCAGCGGGACTGGGAGATATGCGTTTGGGCTAATCTGAGGTAATGGCGGACCCTCATTAAGTACGAACGGTTCCGACTCTGTAGCCGCCTTCAATCCACCGTTTCCATACACATCCTTGGCCTTAGGTGCCTCAAATGGATGTGCCTCTGTATTAAAAACGTCTGCACGAGGTCGTGAGATCTGCAACAGTACTCAAAGAACGGAAAGAATGGGCCTACATTCGTCGAGACTGATATGATTCGGGTCGTCGAAGGTCAAATACCTATCAGGACGTCGAATAAGACTCTCCAAATGCTAGAGATGAATGAGGCTTACAAGTATTTGAGCACCTCTGCCAACCAAAAGCTTTCCATATCATCTATCTTCGTGGAATTTCTGTTGTTGACATCATTTATGCCTGCGAACGCAACTGTAGCCGGAAGGAAGGTCTGAAAGCTGTTGATAGCACTTGCTGCGCGATCTAGGTACTTTGTATCGCCAGTGGCACGCCAGGCATAGAAATTTGATTCTAAGACCTCCGGTCTTTGGATGTAATCAGAGCCTGTGATGTAGAACCCATGCTCTTGGTAGAAAGACAGCTGATCTGCGTCGATGGCAGATCCGCCAGTGAAATTTCCATCACTTGAGATAAAAGCAAATGTTTCAGGACCAATACCAGTCCTAGGAATGGTCAGACAGAGTTTATTAGTAGTTGGCATGGAAACCAACTCACGCAGTACTGGCGTACGTGTTCCAGCATGCGTCGACGAGCTGCAATGCGATGTCCACAATGGTTTGGTTATTCAATAGCTTGCCACCTGTTCATTGACCAATTCAGTTGTGGTGTTCGAACACAAATATAGATAAAAAAATAAGCATACCCAACAGCCAATTACCGCCATAAAAGCATGCCAGGTGAGAGCCAACATGACGAATAGTCCCCGAAGAGTCGAAATCAGCCAGATAAGCATGATTTCCGACAGTCGATGTCTGCATTGCGCAAACTTGAACGAAAAGACTAGCCACAGATGCAGAATGACATACCCTGAGGAGATATTGAATTGATGAAGAGACGGCGGTAAACCACGTATCGACGAAAAGTGGGTCGTCTGTATTAGATAGTCGAGCATATTTGATCAAGTATTCAAAGTAACTGTCAGACCCGCCGCCCCATGTCTATTGACATTTATGGGAACTCGAATGACAACCAAAAGGCAGTGGGACACTTACAATGTATCCCCCTACGAAATCTCCTGCCGTGGGGTCGATGCCCTGAGCTGCTAAACCTGGTCGATCTTAAGTTAGTACGAGACACGAAAATTATGAACAGGTAAAATACCTGGAAGAGGAGCTGGCTGGAGATTGATAATGAGCAGGTACAAAATTCCAATGATGGGAACCTACAAGATTCGCGATATGACGGACGGCACCCTCAGTCAATTGGGCGTATGTATTATTTCCGGTGTACTCGCTCAACCTCGACCATTCTAGATCCAACTACAATGGCTGTCAGTAAAGTGAAAGGCAACGCGGGTGATAACCTTACCGTCCCAGCCTCAGCAATATTGGACTATGAATAACTTGAAGGTCAGCCACAAGGTAGGCACTGTCTCATAACGTGTACGTACGGTAGCTATGACGGGCGAATTATCTGTAAAATTAATGTAACCATACGGTATGATCTGGTTCTAATGACAGTTTAGCCCCTACGTAGCACCGAAGATTTGTCGCACTAACCTCGAGAAGCCATCCGAATGACAGTTTATCCGCGACTTGTTTGGCCTTTGCAACTAGTACCGCATCTTTCTTACCGTTAAGTTCGTATGCACTTAGAAGACCACCGACGTATCGTATCGTTGTTTCAAATACGCTCACTGTGTCGCCGGTCTTCGTACTATTGAAATCGATAGTTCCAACAAAATCAACCGCCTCGGAGAACAAATCCTAGGATTATTATTAGCCTCAGACGTGATAACAGTACAGAATCTCAGCGTACATCTAAACCCATGATTTTCTGTACAAGGACATGGGCGAGTTCCATCGTGATAGGTTTTGATTGTGACAGCGTACCATGGTATCCATTGCGTCGACAATTGATGCACCCCATCCACCGAGGCCATCTGAAAAGCTTTCGCTCACGGGAGATAGATCGTCATGACCAAACGCGTATTTCCTGCAGACAGTTTGTTAGAAACAAGAATATGAAATATGTCATTGAATGTCGTACTTATATGCAGCATAACTCTCCTCGAAAATTTCCTGGACAGCATCACGATGAGTACACGCGTCTTCAGGAAGCGTCAAACCCGCTTTCTGTACAGGGCCTGCGATAGCCGCGGTACACACTAGTACTGGGATTAACCACTTTGGTAGCCAGTGGGAGATCATCCTGGAGAGGACTGAAAGTCAGTACGCTGTAAACATTGATATATAAGGGGCGACGTATTATTAAATAGAAGACTCAGAAAGCTTCGCTTGCGCGTTGTGGCGGAGTCAAGGATAGTTTGCTACATGACCTTGAGTCGGCGATTTCGGTTGATGCAGATAAAATACAGTGAGATCCATATTAAATATGGCATATACAGATGGACAGCCGGGCACTTTGGCAGAAGAGGCGCCGCGTGGTACGTGGACAGAAGAACAGCCCGCCCCTCGACAAAGAGATTAAAAGGGGAGTTTTCCCATACGCGCATGGGCCGCCGTCTCGTGATATATACCCGGAAGTTTTTTGGCCTGATTGCGAAGATCTAGAAGACTAGTACTGGAAAAGACAGGCAGTGACGTGGCGAAGGAAATAGTAGGGAAAAAATGGAACCGATAAATTCCCGTGGTCATAACAGATTGTTCCTCCCTTAGAATTTCATCTCTGATTCGAACAGAAAACTTTCATCAGAGAAAAGATATAGTTTTATGCATTGAGGCGATAGAGCGAATAAAGGCATACAGTGATTCATGGTCTCATCTATGCATCTATGCCGTGAGTCAGATGTAAGCAAAAGCATAGTGAGTACTTGTAAGCAAGTTCACAATAATGCCATTGACGTTAAAACTTAAATATGTGGCTGTGCCATGGTGACAAAGTAACAGTCACACAAAATCGCAGTCACGACGTACAGGGCCACGTCTTAATTTCAGAGTTCACCACACCGCGGTGTCCTTATTTCATTTCTTGCTGCCTCGTCCTTTGTTTTCTCTGATAATTCGGTGGTCGTAGACGGTATCGAGCATGTCTGTTATGCTCACCAAGTTCGAGTCCAAAAGCAACCGCGTCAAAGGTATCAAAATCTTTCGCGAATACCGTGCGGTAGCTCATTTTGAACAGGGCTTGCATTCCATCCTACGCAACCTCTTCTCGCGGCAGCCCTTCATAATGGGAGCGTACAGCTCTGGAACTACAGAATGGGGGTGCTGGTGGACAGATTCGAGGAGCATGAAGGCTCGTCGTTTACTACCATTTCGCTCCGTATGCTGATCCATATACAGGACCTGTTCGAGGCGTCGATTTTCATCTGAGCCGAGCGCTGTTAGTGACAGGAGGAGACGACTACAAAATCAAAGTCTGGGGTGCGTCGACTTTTCCTCATCGTCCATTCCACGGCCTTAATTGTGGCATATACAGACATTCGGCCGCAAAACAGGCGATGTCTTTTCACTCTAATTGGACATCTCGACTATGTCCGAACAGTACAATTCCACCATGAAATGCCCTGGATCGTGAGTCCTCGTACATTTGGGTTGCTGTGGTATCCAAGATTTTCTTCTCCAGATCTCGACTTCCGATGACCAAACGATACGCATATGGAATAGTACATCTCGCAACTGCATCGCTGTCCTCACCGGTCATTCTCATTATGTCATGTCCGCCTTCTTTCACCCCAAAGATGACCTTGTTGTGTCCGCGTCCATGGACCAGACGGTGCGCGTCTGGGACATCTCTGGCCTTAGAAAGGGCTCTCCGAACACTGGTCCGGGGAACTTCGAGACGTTTGACACATTTTCTACTGTCAAATACGTTCTCGAAGGGCACGACCGCGGAGTCAACTACGCCGTTTTCCATCCCACACTACCCTTAATCCTGTCCGCCGCTGATGACCGTACTATCAAAATATGGAGAATGAGTGAAACCAAAGCATGGGAGGTTGACTCATGTCGTGGGCACTTCAACAACGTCTCGAGCGCTCTATTCCACCTCAAGTACGAACTCATCGTCTCATGCGGTGAGGACAAAACTGTACGTGTCTGGGACTTGGCGAAGAGAACTGCAATACAGACGTTCAGACGGGAACACGATCGATTCTGGGTCCTCGCCTCTCACCCAAACCTCAATCTGTTTGCAGCTGGACATGATAGCGGTCTCATCGTCTTCAAACTGGAACGTGAGCGACCTGCATTTGCTGTGAATGGTGACACACTCTACTACGTCCGTGATAAATATGTCCGTTCGTATGACTTCAATACTGGTTCGGATATTGGCCTCCTGAGCGTGCGGAAGTTCGGCAGCCCCTACGTACCCCCGAGAACCTTGAGCTTCAATCCTTCAGAGAAGGCCGTTATTACGACAATATCGTCCGACAACGGAATATTTGAGCTCACATCGCTACCTCAGCAGTCGCAGGCCGAGGTCAAAGATTCCAGCGTGGATGGCAAGAGGGGTTCTGGACAAAGTGCAATCTTTGTCGCTCGCAACAGATTTGCGGTATTAAACAAGGCGTCACAGGTAGGTCTGTTCATATGAGGAACGCTTCGTGGCTTATGTTTGTTCGCAAGATCATTGAAGTCCGGGACTTATCGAACACCGTAGTGAAAACTGTCAAGCCACCAGTCCAGACGAATGAGATCTTCTATGGAGGAACATCCAGTATTATCCTTAGTTCCACAGCATCTGTTGTTCTCTTCGACCTTCAACAGCAGAAAACGATAGCTGAGATCAATAGCCCTCCTGTCAAATATGTCTCCTGGAGTGCAGACAGTTCAATGGTTGCTCTGATGAGCAAGCATAGTATGCCCTATTCAGATTGTCTTGTTAATCTTTTTTATTGATTTGATTGTAGCGATCACCATCGCCAATCGGACTTTTACACAGAGTAGTCTCATCCACGAGACTATTCGTATCAAGTCTGGTGCTTGGGATGACTCTGGTGTCTTTATCTATTCTACTCTCAACCACGTCAAGTACTGTCTATACCAAGGGTATGTCCATCGTGTTGTGAATAGCTAGGTGAAAAACTGATCTTCACCAGCGACCATGGCGTTATATGCACTCTGGATAATCCTGTATATCTTACTCGGGTCAAGGGAAAGACCGTACATTGTCTCGATCGTTCAGCCCGTCCTCGCACGATTACATTCGATCCTACAGAGTACCGATTCAAGCTTGCTTTACTTAAGAATAATTATGAGGAGATGTTGTACATCATCAAGACGTCGACGTTGATAGGGCAGAGCATTATCGGATATCTACAACAAAAAGGATTCCCCGAGGTATGACGCAAAGCTTTTCATATGCAGGAGCAGATATTGATTGTCGTACAGATCGCGCTTCATTTCGTGCAGGATACGAATACCAGATTCGAGTTAGCCATTGAGTGCGGAAATCTTGAGGTGGCAATGGAAACTGCTAGGACGATTGATCGACCTGAATGTTGGGAACGTCTAGCACAACAAGCTTTAAAGCAGGGTAACCACAAGGTGTGCAGCTTGGCCATTGTTTGAGTTTCTGGCTGACGGTACTATGTAGATTGTCGAGAAAGCGTATCAACAAACGAAAAACTTTGACAAATTGTCGTTCTTATATCTGGCAACTGGAAGCACCGACAAGCTGTCGAAAATGCAAAAAATCGCTGACGCGAGAGGGGATCCCATGTCGCGATTCCATAATGCTCTGTACGCGGGAGACGTTGCGGGCCGAATAGCTGTTCTTCGGGACGTTGGAATGCGTGAGCTGTTGCTTATCCTGTAACAAGAACTGTCATTCATTGTGTTACAGATCCATTGGCATACCTCACGGCTAAAACCAATGGCCTAGAGGAGCTTGCAGAAGAAATTCTTGAGGCGGCCGGACTCACTGCTGAGGATGTAGATGACGTACCTGCGTTTGGGCCTTCGACTCTGAAACCTCCACCTATTGTCTCACAGACAACCGACCTTGTTTGGCCCGTTGTCTCTACTGGAGAAAACTTCTTCGATCGTGCCCTTGCCAGTGGAAGCCTGGAAGGAATCGAGTCTTCGTTCACCAATGGAGATGCAGCTACAGGCAGCTCCTCAGCTTTGGATGCTTGGGCCCAAGAAGAAGCAGAAGCCGACATCAATCCCGAAGAGGACGGATGGGAGCTCGACGCGGACGCTGAGGAAGAGCCATCCGCAGACATTAATGGTGACGTTGAGGTGCCCGAAGATGATGACCTTGGGGCTGGTGCCAACCCAGGAGTCGATGAGACTGAACTGTGGGTACGAAACTCACCGTTGGCTGCTGACCACGTTGCGGCAGGATCATTTGAGACTGCTATGCAGGTACGTTGATCGCGCAGCATCCAGAATTCTAAAGCTAATTTGACGCCCATTGTAGTTGCTCAACCGTCAGCTTGGTATAGTCAATTTTGTCCAGCTCAAGTCGCTGTTCCTCTCTATCTACCGTTCATCTCATACGTACCTTTCACCGGTTGCGTCATTACCGCCTCTACAGCTACATATCCGACGGAATCCCACGGAGACATCGCCTGGACGTGTACTGCCTGTTGCAGTCCTTTCCTTGAAATTGGTTCACACGGAACTCTCTGAAGGATACCGATTTGTGTCTGGGAACAAGCTTGCGGAAGCTCAGACTGCTTTCCGTTCTGTCCTTCGGTCACTTCTATTGATTGCCCTTACTTCTGATAACGAGGCTAAACTTGTACGTTTCCGTGTCTGTTCTTCCCATATATATCTAATGGCCTGGTTTTCTAGTGGAGAGAGACCGTAACGGCGGCCCGTGAATACCTCCTTGCTGTTTCTATCGAGCTCGAGCGACGTCGTATCGCAGAAGAGGATCCGGGAAATCTGCGGCGAAACCTAGAATTGGCAGCCTATTTTACGCAATGCCAGCTCCAACCTCCCCATCTGCAAATTGCGTTGCGGAGCGCCATTGGAGTGTTCTCTAAGGCTAACAATCAAGCCGCGGCGGCCCGGTTTGCGAAGCGTTTGTTGGAACTGAAACCTGACCCCAAGATAGTTGCTCAGGTACGTACATGTTTTTTTTTCCCTTGTGGCTCCTCTTTGTTCCGTGGTACTGATATCTCCCAGGCTCGACAACGCATTGCTGCTGGGGACCGGAATCCTCGAAATGCGGTGGATATTAGCTATGATGAATTCACACCGTTCGAGATTTGTGCTGCGACGTACACGCCCATATATAAAGGATCACCGTCGGTTCGGTGCCCGTACACGGATGCAGCGTACGTACCGCAGTTTAAGGGAAAGCTGGATCCTCTTACGCAACTCACGGAGATTGGGGCGGCTGCTTCTGGATTGCCTGCTCCTTGGTAATATACTTAGCCCGGTGGATGGTTTATTTGTTTGTCCAATACAGAAATTAATTTTTATTCTGGCCATTGTTATCCGTAGAGGACGGATATATAGGACGAGTTTGCAAAGCAGCTGGTTCCTTGGGCGCCCTTGAGCATTTCCTTTCCTTGAGGGCCAAGGTAGGTGCATGTGGTCTGTCATGCCCAAGTATGAGAGCGTGGTTAGTGCGGGGGTAACCGGCTTGGGCACATGCACCACCCAAGGAATTTGCGGTCCAGTAGTGGTAAGAATGCCTCATCATGAGGTTATTTCTGCAGAGAAAATGGTATACCAAGGATTCCTCGAGGCAAGGAAAAGAAAAGCGAATACTTTGTGGAGAAGAATTGTGATTATGCCAAGACTGGACCCCGGTCTTTCCGATTTCGGCCGTAATGAGTGAGCGGAAATCCGACCCAAAAATGTTTGACGCCAAGATGGTTGCATTCCACTTGAAAAGCTGCCAACGGGTTTGTCACTCTGCCCTTACCCATCTGTCTTGCTTTCTTACCTGCAGTCCCTCATTTTCTTAGACATGGCTTCTCAAGACACTGGCCCCCCCATGCACAAGGCCGGGACCTTCTCGACCGTCATCGACGCAGAGGGCGGGATATCACTGTCCAAGGCCAGTGCCAGTAATTTCTGGATGCATCTGAACGAAGAGGTGGATCCTAGCCAGGCAACGGGTCCCTTGGCAGCGTTTTGTTTCATGACCGGCTACATGTGCGTGCTATGATACCTGGCGACGTGGATGCCGTGGCTGATTTGCCTTGCAGCGACGTGATATCTTTCTCTGCGATCTTTGTGTGGTGTGGATTCCAAACGGGAAATTTTGCCCAGGTACGCGTTATTCAAAAAGGAAGGGTCTCTTTTCCTCCGATATCATTTTTTTCCAGCTTGCTATCGCCCTAGCTCGTCTGTTCGAAAACAGGCCAGAGGGCGGCCACGATACCTCATTCCACATGCCTGACAAGCAGGCTCTCACCTCTCTCATTGCCTTCAACCTCGGTGCTTTCGTCGGGAGGCTGGGCGATCGGATAGGACCTCACAAGCGGATATGGCTCATATTTGGGACCTTCCTCCAGGCGCTGCTTACCATGGCGGCGTCGGTGACGATATACAAGAGCCACATGCGTAGCATCGCGGATGAGCGTGACGACCCATCGTGGACGAACGTCCTCGCCTTTGCGTGTCTAGCGTTCATGAGCGCCAGTCTCGGCGTGCAGGGCATCTTGGGTAAACGGCTGAATACGCAGTTTACTACGACGAGTGCGTTCTTATGCCCATTTGGATTATTTCTCAATACTGACTCTTTTGCAGTTGTACTAACGACGGTGTGGGTGGAACTGGTGACGGACCCCCAGCTGTTCAATTTCCGGAAAATGGTAAAGTCGCGCGACCACAAGCTGATTGCGGCGGCGTCATTGCTCATTGGTGCATTCGCCGGGCGGGCTATCTTGGGTTCTATTGGTTCTGCTGCAGCTCTGGGAATTGGCACGGGCATTCGTGTGCTGATTACTTTGTCTTGGATATTTGTGCCAGGGAAGAAGGCCAGACGCTAGTAGTTGTTTATTTTCTACTGTCCATCATGCGTCGTGTGTTTTTAGAGATACCTAGACTCTCTGACAGATACTTACATACCACCACTTGTAATCTTACAGTTCGCTGAATCCAGGGAATCGGTCCGAAATTCCCACACCCCAAATTGTATGTCGCGTCGTGACCCTGAAAAGTCCAACCACCACCACGCAGCGCGTCGCGGTCGCGTAATTTGGCTCTGGAATTGACTCCAGCAGCAATGTCAGTATTCCAGCGCCTTTAACTGCTACGCCTTACGCCTTTTATTAGGACTATCTGTGAAGGGCTGCCGTACAAAAGTCTCAGTGACCATCATTCTCGCTACTTTTCTCTCTTGTCAGAGCTCTGTTTGACAAATGATAACCCCTCTCCCTCTACCAAGGCCCTCATTCGCTCTAATATCCTCCCAGAGTTGCATGCTGACGCGTGTCAGCTCGACAAGGAAATCGATTACCTACATGGGCTGCTCGACGCCGTCCAGAAAAACAAAGACGAGATCACGTCGATGGAGAGAACCTTTCGGACGCTTCTTTCACCTGTACGCATCATGCCAGATGAGATCGTGATGGAGATTTTCAAGAATGTCGCTCGCGACTCGGAGGTGAAGAGAGGCGTGGTGAAGGAAGCAGCCTGGACGCTCAGCCATGTCTGCCGTAGTTGGCGAGCCACAGCCCTGGCGTGTAGAGAACTGTGGACTACCATCTCCGTACGAATTGCAGACTATAATATCAAAAAAAGCGACAAACTGCCGGTCTTGTTGCAAACAGTGCTTGAGCGTTCTGGGAACAGGCTGCTCGATGTTTCGTTTGTACTCGAGTTGTCGCATAGCGATGGTATCAGTGAGGAAGATGCTCTCACGGACATGCAAAGGGGCGCCATCACGACGCTCTTCAACGAATCTCACCGATGGCTCAGAGCCAGTTTATCGATCCCGTCGGGGGCGGTGGAGGATCTGCTCGACCCGCATCCCGCCCTGCCTGCCCTTGTTTCCCTCTGCCTCCAGACAAAACAGCGCTGGGCAACACAAGCATACGATGGGCCGGATATCAGCCTCTGGTGTCCCCGCCTAACCTCGCTCAGCCTTCTCGGGGTCCCACCGACAAGCGTGACCCTCTGTAATTCGCTCTCACACATGTCTGTCCAGCTGTACGATAACCAGCCGACATTCTCCCAGGACTATGCCCTTCGATACCTCACGTCGCTCGAGCCCGCCGTCCTCCAGACACTGTCTTTCTCCTCCCTGTACCGCCGCGAGTACTGCCTCTCTATTGGCGAGCCTATCACATTCCCCCTTGTGGACACCCTACGGACTTTCAACCCCACCATCTTGAACAATGTGGTTCTTCCCGCCCTCCACGACATTCATCTCGGGCCTCCAGAGTACGGGCGCGCCACCCCCGGACATCGGTACAGCACACCCTTACTCCCTGCCCTTGACGACATGTTGCGCCGCTCGCACTGCTTTCACGGAATAACGCGTCTCGTGCTCGAGTACGTCATCCCCGACCAGGTGCTCGTAGACATGCTCGTATCTCTTCCCAACCTGGCCCGCCTTGTGTTGTTCTTCGCGGACTCTTGGTCAGCAAAGATGGAGGCAGGTGTAGCGATGCTGGTGGGGATCTTGGACATAGGATTTGTGGGACGTTTGGAGGAGCTGGAGATGCGTAATATGTTCGAGGTGAGCTATCTGGATGAGCCGCTTGTGCATATGGCAGAGTGGAGATGGAGGTCTTGGAGCGGGGCAGTGAGGCTGCGGAGGTTGAGATTGGGGGCCGCGGGTTACAGAAATGCAGGTACGCTAGGTGAAGTGTATAGGCGGTTACGCATTCTAAGGGATGAAGGAATGGATGTTGTCATATCTACTATGGGAACGTCGGGGTCAGAAGAATTCTTGGTTGGAAGTGGTCAATAATCACATTGACAATGGTACGAGCAGAGGGTCTTGCCATTGCTAGCCGTATTTTGTACTCTTGGATTGTATTTCTTGGTGTGGAAATTACGTTGGGCCTGAGTGTAAAGGGGGCATATATAACCGTGACAACAGCTAGGGTCTTGGTGACGGGAGGGCTTTTTTGCTTAGCGCGATGAGCCTAGGTAAAGATGGCGGGCGAAGGAAAGAAAAGAGGGAACCTGGGATGGCCCCATTTTATACCCGTCGGGAGGTCCGTGCGCGAGGGCGGCGATCTGCGCATCAGATGATCGGAACGCGTCATAGTAAACCCAAACTGACACGTAGCTAGCACAGGATTCTTATTTCTCTTGGTTGTTTGCGACGTATACATCAGATCAAAGATTACTGTAGGTAAGCGGTCGTGTTTTCGCCAAAGAAACACTGTATGACCGTTCTTGATGTCAGTTATAAGTATGGAATTGACAAATTGATTTTCCAACGACTCGGATATGTCGTCAGCTCGATATGACCCGCCCATCTTACGAGTGATGCCCGAGATATTGACATATATCTTTCCTTGGATCTGCATCGCCAACGAGCTGTTTCACTGCTATGACACTCTCTGGGTTCTCTCCCAAGTCTGTCAACAATGGAGAGAAATTGTGCTGTCTCGTATCCAGCACACGGACACTGACGATCCTAATGCGCATCTGTGGGATGCGCTCTTGGATCATTGCAATCGCTGGGGGACCATTGATATCTATCTTACTGAAGCGGACTTGACTTGTCGTCCGCCAAAGCCACAGAGACACGCTCCTCCTTTGCTGGAGCGATTCCATCTTTCCCCCAGTTTCCATCATTCCGGTATTAGTGCCAGCCTGTTTGAGTTCAATGAGGGCGTCTTGGACGCGCTTGCTACAGCTCCCTGTCTGCACAATATCCACGTCATCGGCTTCCAATCCCCATCCTCCCTCAATTCTCCCTTCGTCCCAACTGACCGATACTGATCTTTTCTGCGGATCCTCTCAAGATGACATCAATATTTTATGCAAGACCCCCAACTTGCAACAGGTATCTCTCAACGATCATGCGTACAATCTTAGCCTATCCGCCCCCCTCGAACATACATCGTTGCACAAACTGAGAGCATATAACGTCTACACATTGCCATATTTCACCCTTCCTGCACTCGAAGTATTGTTCACCATGATTTACCCAGGCAGCACTCCGTCGCCTACTCCGATTATCCACAAGTCCATCGTACGCTCTCGATGCGCTTTGCGAGACTTGCATTTGAACAGCATGGATATGGATCAGTCTCTCGTCAATTCGATGAAAGACATACCCATGGTCGCGGTCTTACGCCTCGATATCGGTAGTTCCTCGCTGGATGCATTCGAAGACTTCAGCAAATCCCTCACACATCCAGACGCAGACAAGCCCATCACCAATGCACTGTTGCCTCATCTCGTGAATCTCCATTTAGATGCACTGGCACCTACCTATGAACCATACATTCACAATGATGGTGCGGTCCAGGCGGTATATTGACCAGACACATGCCGTACGGCTACGCATTCTATGTTGCAAGTTCTTCGTAAATGAAATGTCTACTGATGATCAGCAAATAATGAGTGAAATGGATGGATTAAAGTTCTACGTCAGCATGTTTGGGGGTGTCACACTCGGAAATTACGATCCTTATGTTTCTGAAGTGTGAGGTTGCTGCAATCGATTATCCCAGTCAGAGGACGATGATGACGTCACTGTTGGCTGGCTTGGATGCGCCGCGGGGTAAAAGAGACGTTCCGCCCACAATTAGGTTTTTTCGAGGGTCGTCAAAAGGTTTTTGAAGGGGCAGACATGATCGTGGGATTGCATGAAACCTATTCAGCGGTAAGGCATTCTACCAATGGCTATTTCTTGGTCTGAATTGCAAGTATTGGTCACATTTTGTATCGCACCAATTGAACAGAAGCTGCGTAATAGACAACGGTTGGTGCAAAAATGAGGTGTGCAGCGGTGGTCGCAGACAGACACAGCCAAACAAACACTCTCAACTGCTCCTCTCACCTGTATTTCTGGTTTCTGCCTCTACTTTTCGCCCTGATGTGGCCCCACGCTGTATAAAAGATCCTATCTCATGGTCACTTCAAACTGGCAGTCCGAAAAGCGTCTGTTATGGAATCCGCGGCAAGGAAACAAATTCATCGTAGGCGGGGGATCGCAGATAACGCTGTACGAATGGACCGAAGAATACCCTGAAATTCGACATATAACATCCCAGCATGACCTTCAGTACATGAAGGTACGTTGCTCTGGTCGCCTGATACCAGTCGAGTAATCCTCTGTAGTGTTTTGCCTGGTCCCCAGACCCGTATTTCGACGATCTCGTTGCTGTTGGTAACAGCTCTGGCCGTGTGGACCTTTTTCGGCTGGAAGCGTCGAAATACGCGCGTCGAAACAATGTTCTTTCGATGGGACCGACCATTTCTTTCCCGTTGAGGAATACTCGGTCGTGCAACGCGTTGTCCTTCTGTTCGGCGGATCCCAATTATCTTGCTGTCGGGCTCGATAAAGCGCGTGGAGACTGCAGTCTTGTAATTTATGACATCGCTAGCAGTCTTCCCAGTCTTGTTCTGCCTGTGGACCCAGTGGAGACCGTCAGCTCTGCGTCCAGACGCCAACCACAGATTCCTCGAGCGGACCTTGGGCCTCGTACTGACGCACGCATCCTGCAGCAGCATGCTCCTACTGAAATCGTATCTGCTCTTTCGTTTCTCCCAAATTCAACCAATCTCCTCCTTGCCAGCATATCGTCACGGTGGTTACGGTTGTTCGACTTGCGCTCACCTATGCCCGCAACGACCAATGTTGCATCCAAGGTTTATGGCATCGCAACGGATCCTTTTGAACCAAGACGCATCGCCTCCTTTGGGGATGGTATTGTCACTGTGTGGGATACGAGGAAGTTTGTACAGCCCCTCCTCACCTTCACTGAGAGGGAAGCGTCTGCAGCCGATGGCGCTGTTAGGGATTATATCCAACCATACAATATTGTTGAGTTTTCCTCGACAAGACGAGGGACCCTGGCCACATTGGAGAGAAACGCTTTGAGAGTGAGAATGTGGGACATCATGGAAGCCCAAGCTCAATTGATGAACGACAGATCCTCTGATGGAGAGAAATCGCGAGATTCGGCACCTTCAAGCCGGACGACGAAGCGATCGTGGCCAAACTTACCGTGGGGTGGTGCGGCGAATACAGACACGGCTGTACCATCAGGAAGAGAACCAGCGTCTCAGGCGAACATGATTCTGTATGACACTCGCCAAAGTAAGTCCTCCTTTAACATACCTGGTGGCATCCGTCTTATTTATGGCCAAGCCAAGTCATTCGATCGACCGTTGGCATCTTTTGCTCTAGTTCCGTCGACTTGTGCCCATCCTCTTTCATCTAACATCATGGTTGTCAACAAGGAAGGAGATTTAGAGCTTCACGCCGTCTACGATACCCCAAAACAAGCAGCTTGGAGTGCTCGTGGAGATCTTGTTATAGGAGCAGGACTTTCATATCGTGTTCTGTCGGCCGTCAGGGACGTCGAAACCCCTCCGGAACCTTGGGATATCCTCAAGGATGACCCTGAAAGTCAGGCAAAGAGCAATCCTCCTTCGCGCTCACAATCCCGCCGGGGTAGAGAGAGAACCACGCCACCAGATCCTGACAAGTCTGCTACTCCGCCATTGTTTGGCCGTGGAGATGAAGATGGTTTCCCCCCGCTTTCTGGAGGCATAACTGCCACAAAGGCCACCGCGAATCTAGCTGCGACTCGTCCTGAAAAACGATCATTCAGTCCAGCGTCCTTGAGAGTGCATGATCAACACTTGGAAGCGCATAGCGGGCCATTGAAACGTTCATTATCAAGACCACGGAATGACACAGGGGGTACCTCGGATAAGCTGGCTGCTGCACGTCCTTATCCCGTCGGTCGCAGCTTGAGCAGAGGGAAGAAGCAGCCTCTCAAGGGTATAGCCGCGGTGATTCAGGCTGATATTTCTATGGTGATGCGACGACGGGCAATCCGTGGATACGGCCTCAATAGCGTCAGTCATCCTATTTTCACCTAAAGACTACATCACTGATATCTTCTGCAGCCTGATCACAATTCCCTTGTAGCTCAGGACGACCATGATCCATATGATGGCTCATCTCAAATGCTTTCCGATGTTTGGAAGTGGATATCATGTAAATATTCTCATTTATAGTGCTGCGGAGGATTTGCCTAACCCGTGATGCAGATAGTCGTGATATTCTTTGCGTACCGTCGTCAAAGCTTCATGGTTATGATTTCAGCTATGAGGGTCTACTCAGCATTTGGGAGGGGTTCCCAGCGTTCACGCACGCATCTTACGAGGCCCCGTCGGCTTATGGCAATACACTTAATGTCGCTGATGCTTCGGATTCTTACCAAGGACGTCGTACTGCATCGCCTGTAGTTGATTTACAGGCCAACTTCTTCGCCGCTCTCTCGGAATTGTTGGCCCGTAGTGATCTGGACTTGGTCAGGTGGAAGCCTGTAGTGACAACATCCAAGCTGTTGCAAAGACAAGTGGCCCTTCAATTGACAGGTTGGAGCCTTAGGGAAGAGGAATTGATGGCGGATATCAAGAGGTCTTCTTATCTTTCTACTCTTCTATCCCCCTTTTAACTTGTGCACAGATGGGAGGGTGACGGAAAGATCTCTCGAGCAGCGTGCTGGTTAGTTTTTACCAAACATTATGCTAAGGCAGTGGAACTGCTTCTGCGAAGCGAAGGTCAGCGCTGGGTTCATCTGGAGGTTCACGAGTGTCGTGCTCATGATACATATAGATGAGAGTCACCATATGATGTCCGGAATTCTTGCGGCTCTAACGCCGCACGGTTCGTCTGCTGCTTTCAGACATTCGGAGCTGAGGGAACGTGTAATCGTCAAGCTGCAGGATCCCTACTTCCGAGCTATGCTCGTCCACTTGACGTTGGGTGACTGGCGCGAGGTTCTCGACGAAGAGGTTTTACCTTTCCGAGAACGTCTTGCCATCGCTTTCCAGTTTCTCGACGACAAGACTTTGACTTCATATTTGAGACGAGTGAAGGAGCGGAGGGTCCGTGGGGACATTGACGCTATGATCGTCACCGGGTTGACTAAATCCGGGATAGATCTTCTCCAAGCTTATGTGGACAAATCTGGAGATATACAGACCGCTGCTATCATGTCCTCTTATGTTTGCCCAACCAAGTTTTCTGACGTGCGGGTCGATCGGTGGTTGGATGCCTACCGAGATCTTCTGGATGGGTTCAAGCTCTTCCACCATCGGGTGGATTTTGATATCACTCGTGGTCGCCTGATCCAGGGGGCGATTGAGGAGGGGTGTATACCACCTCGCGAGTGGGTGCCTAGGCAAATTCTGATTAGGTGTAACTATTGTAATAAGCACCTCAGCGACGAGGGGCCTGAGAGCGTACGACGTGGAAAGGTCATCATTTTATCAATAGAAGTATGTCTTGGGACTGACGACCTCTTTCCCAGGCTGCATGCCCTCATTGCGGACGTTCCTTGCCCCGATGTTCTGTTTGTCTTATGACTCTGAGCGTTATTCCCGACGGCGCTCGGGATGTGGAGCTTGCGCGTTCGCAGGCTCAATACACAGGTATGCGTATGCGCTAGCTAGCTGGAATGTAAACTCATCCAGTTGGGCAGATACTATCGATGATGCTATTGTTATGTGCCAGACCTGCAGGCATGGTGGGCATGCCTCACATATACTTGATTGGTTTTTCGGAGAGGATGGAGATCAATGTCATGCGACATGCGCCGTAGCCAATTGTGATTGTACATGTGCTAACGAATTTTGATTCACAACTATTGTGGTGCGAATGTGAAAGCCAACAGACGCTGGTGATGATCCTAGTCTGGTTATCGGGTAAGGACTACAGATGTTCCCCGGATTATGGAATGCTGGTCGAACCAGGAGACTCTATTTAGCGTACGCTAACAGAGATGATTTCGTTGTTTCAATAATTTCAATTCAGCGTTCGTCACTTGATAAGCGTTCGAACTTGTAGTTCAATCACTTCTTCCAAGGGATTGCTTCTACTGGTGGACGCTTGGGTAAATGATTTGACAATAGTGAACAACGATTTGGGAAAAGGTCACTTGTTCATCTTCCTAGTACACGACTAGACCCTCCAACTCTTTGTGGACTGAAGTTTCAATGCCATTCTATTTCAACAGCGTCGATGCGAGACCGGGGCTGACCGTGGTCGTGATAGCTGAAGAAATTACTGCTACACGCACGACAGGAAGAGACGGCAAAGAAACCCGGCCGTAGATCGAAGGTGATTCTGCTCCAGCGATTCAGCACTTGCAATAGTAGATTGAGCATCTGTTTGACCAAAAGTTCGTCCATGCTAGTCTCCCAGGGATGTGCAGAATACTCGGTCCAGCACTGTCTTCAGATGTGAAACAAATTCTCGACGGGGGAAAGAATAAGAATCGATGATCTGGACAATAGCCATTACAACTCCTCTCCAAGCGCTAGATGTTGTGCGAGGGTCTGTAGCGCGTTCATATGCGTCATGAACGAGGCTGTGAAGAAACATCTCAATGTCAGGAAGGAGAAAAGACGGTCTCCAGCGATCAAATGGTTGCTTATATCAATATCGGCATGAAGGCAACGAGACAATGTCATCAAAGAAATAGTATTTACCAGGGAATTCCATGCCGCCACCGGCAACTCAATGTCATGACCACGAAAGTATGACTACAAGTCGAAGTACCTGGACGGCTGACGCGTTCTGCCGGAAGTTTATTTCGTATATAACGTTCGTTTCTTTCCAGTGCACACAGATCACTTTTTCAATCATGCCTAACACATCTCGCGTCTGGTTCATCACCGGTACTTCCAGCGGGCTAGGTAAAGCCACTGTAGAAGCTATCCTTGCTGCTGGAGAGCGCGTCGTTGCAACTGCTCGTAAGCCCGAAGTCCTCGATTACCTCAAAGATAAATTCCCCTCAACTCAGCTCCTCGTACTCCCACTGGACGTTACGAACGAGACACAGATCAAACTGGCATTCGAAACGGCGATCAAGCAATTCGGTAGGCTGGACATCGTGGTTAATAACGCCGGTTACGCCGTCTTCGGTGAAATAGAAGCCATACCGGAGGAGGATGCACGCAGACAGTTTGAGGTACAATTCTGGGGGCCAGTGCATGTTATAAAAGAGGCAAGCACCGACTTGGCTCTCGTGGAGTGATGATTGAAAATTACTCTAGGCTGTCAAAATATTCAGAGAAGTGAATCCCAGGGGAGAAGGTGGACGAGTATTCAATGTCAGCAGCGTCGGCGGTTATATGGCCAATCCTACTCTCGCATATTACAGTTCTGGTAAATTTGGTAAGTATCCATTTATGTAAAGCACAGGATGCTACTTACAGGCCTTGTTTCAGCATTGGAAGCTTTCACAGAATCTTTTCTGAAAGAAATGGATCCGAAATGGAACATAAAAGGCACCATCATCGAGCCTGGAGGTTTTGACAGCGAATGGAAGGGCACTTCCGCCGGCCATATCCCACCACATCCTGCTTACACGGAAGATACGAATCCGTGTCATATGTTCCACAAAATCCACGAAAGCAATGGTCCTGTTTTGGGGAGCGCTGCTCGTATGGGGCAAACATTGTACAAGTTGGCGGACGAGCCGACATTGCCCCTGAGAATTCAGTTTGGAAGTGAAGCCCTTTTTTTGGTCAAAACACAGGCCCAGAAGACGATATCGGAGGCCGAGAAGTGGGGCCATGTATCACGTTCAACAGACAAAGAGGACATGGACGGCGAAGAATACGTGAAGGGCTTGATGGCTTCTGGGAACTTCAATAGACTCAAAGACCAATAGCGGCGTCAAGGGGGACGGGTAAGAGCCTATACTTGTACTTCGCAAAGATCTCGTTGAATCCAAGAGTTTATTTTGAGCGAAAAAATGATGGTGATTTCTGGCTGGGACTGACAGACGCGCAGAGGTGTATGTTGAGATGGAAAGTGCGTAATCTCTTCTCTTTTATGCTCTAGTTCGCTCCTTGAAGAATGCTTTCAAGAAGCGCCACCCATTCATGGCTTCCATTTTGGCCAATGCCTTGAACCGAGGAAAATGCCTCTCCCGATCGCACAAGTTTCATCCACTCTCGTCTCAACTCTACTTTATACTCCCACATTCTTTTCTCCCATGGTTCCACTCGCATGCTCATCCCCCCAAACTCGTACAGCCCGTCGCGGTAATCAAACGCTTCAGCTTCGGTTGGCCTATGCCAATCCTTAGCAGGTACCATCAGCTGACGCTCGAGAAGTTCGGCCATCTCCTTGTCCTCGTCAAGGCTTTTTGGATCCCGGAACACCCGCACAATGGCATATGCCTGTGCTTCAAACAACGAGAATGGAGTTCCTCGAAGTATGAGGCCAGTAAAAGCGAGGCTTGTATGGAGGAAGTCTCCTCGGAGGGGGAAGATGTGTTTGCCGAGAGGAAAAAGGTGGTATGAGGAGTTGTATAAATTCGACGGCAATAAGGGAGGAGACTCATTCTGCAAGGTCGCAGGAGAGAAGAAGGGACAACACATCTGATAGCCGGTGGCAAGGATGCAATGATCTACATTACGCTCAATAGTACCATCGACGAAAGTTATTCCGTCACCAAAATGTGTGATAGCTCCACGTTTCCTAAAAGTGGCGGTTGTTTCTGGAATGCAATCGTTCACGGAATACACGACTTTCACTCCGGATGCAAGCAACTCTGCAGCTATGTCGACACCGCTGGGGCCAGAGCCAACTACAGCAACCGTGCAGGCATCTCCTATGCTTTGTGAGTTTCTGTACCAAGCCGAATGAGATGCTTTCCCGTTCTCCAGCCATTCCGCCAAACCAGGGATATCCGGATATCGAGGTACACGAAAGTGACCATTTGAAACGACGACTAAATCAAAATCAAGTGTCTCGCCTTGCACGAGAACATGCCAACAGTTTGCTGCATGGTTCCACTCTACATGTTCAACGCGCGCGTTTAGCCGAATATTTTGAATGAGGTGAAAGTGAGCGGCATAATCGTGCAAGTAAGTTTCAACAGTCGCAGCGGGAGGAAATACGGGGGTGGAGGGCGGAAAAGGGAAGCTGGTATAAGCCATGACTGGGCGACAAAATGAAAAAGACTGGTAACAAAGGATAAGAGAAGGAAACAAACCGGGATGAGGGATATTTGTGGTCATGGAATCATACAGCGGCGTCAGAGGAGGACTATCGGTGGGAAGTGCAGGATACCTTGTATATGCTATCAAGTGAAGATCGCATCGCTGGTGAAAGGGTCAACTCACCATACTCCACCAATCTTGTCTCGAGCTTCAAATACCGTTGGAAGCCATATCCCTGTCTTGAACTCCTCTGTATCGAGGATAACCTTCAACACCGCTAGTCCCGACGGACCTGCGCCAATGATACATATTCGTTTGTGGGCGTGATTCATCTGAAAAACTAATCAGTACGAGGCAGAAACAAACACAAGTAAATGCGCCTCTAGACCATGAAGCAGCATCATTTCCGCTATCGTCGCTGATATCAATAAGCACCGCATTTGATATCTGGAGCTTTTCTATCTCCGTCTGCAAGGTAGCCAAATTTGTACGTTGAACCTAGGAGATGGCAACGCAAAGGCACCGTTGTCGGTTGACTGACCATTAGGGCTCATATATTCCAGCGAGAAAGGCATTGTGGATCAATGAACCATTCGAAACGACGAGGTGTTCATTCATCCGCTGAGTAGTAGTGGGAGTACCTGCAGAAGGGGACAGAAGTTTGGACTGCAGGAATTTGCCAAACAACGCGTCGCGTGTCTTACGTGATACCTCAATATGGTCTTCCACTCGTTCTTGGTCGTCTTCTCAAGTGCTGGAAACTGCCGACCTTGAAACCGCTTCCTGGGACGCGCCGTTTTGTCCTTAACTATCCTAAGTCCTTCTAATAACAAAGTCATCTTGAAAGTTGTGAATGTCAGTCGACGGGTAAAATTCTTGGAATTGGAAAATGACGTCCTCCTCCTGGGTACTTCTAGCAGGCTCCGCTGCGCTACAGAACTTCCCTTACTCGGTAACGGATTGCAATGGATGACTCCTGTTGATTGCTGTGCCTCTCGCCTATGTCCGGAACGACCTTGTTCCTTTATTGAGCGGAAGTCAAATTGGTCGAACCGAAACCAATTGGGCACCTTCCCATAACGGCTATTCATGCGAATTGGTTGCCACTCCCCTACACAGTTTGCTTATATGGTGAAAACCGACTTGATTCTCCCAACCAATCCATCAGCCCGGAGGCGTATAAAGTCCCGCATGTTCAGCCCCCAACTCTCCTTCATCTCACTCCCCCTCGGGTAGAGAAACGGGTCCAGAACGTCCTCCCAGAGCTTCTATACTCTAAATAACTCTCTCCATGTTATGGCTAAGTGGAATGCACGTACAAGGTGCCCCATTTTCTGGTGTAACAAGACACTCTCGCGGGGCGTGGACCTGGAGAGACATTTGAAAACACACACTAAGGGAAAAAAAGAGTGGGTGGATTATATTTTGTCAACTTAATGAAGCTAATTGTTTGTGCTAGCCTCTTGTACTGCTGGGGCTGCCCACTTATGACCATACAAAAAGCGAACCTCGAGAAGCACATCAAGGACCACCAGTATGCTCGTCATCTCTTCTATTATCATTTCGTCGATTTATGTCCTTTTCAGCTCTGGAGACGAAAAGTACAAATGTGCAGATCCATCAGGTTGTCAATTTGGTGCCAATAGCAAAGGCGCCATCAACTTTCATCGAAAAAAGTACCACGACTGTGTGCCACCCGAGAGGTGGGAAATCCGAGCGGCCTCATCTGAAGCGCCTGCCTATGAACGAGGAACTATTATAGAATCGTCCAGCTCGTCGCTATCGTATGCTTCCAACACTCCTGCCACCAGTCTTGATGAGACGCCGGTCGAAGAGTTTTCGCCTCCCACCCTTCTAAATCATTCAGCCTTGGATATGCGTTCTGGTACATACACAACTTCGGTATCCTCTCAGGCCGTAGCCACTGACATGGAACAGTTCCTCTGTACTTCTTTGGCAACTGGCTCGCAACAGAGTGACAAGCGCGCACTACCCGAGGCAAAGGTGCTATATCCTGCTATGAACGTGGGCCCTCCTTTGGATATCGGACTCGAACCCCTTTCGTCACACAGAGGATGCCTCGCAGGAGATGTCAGTGGGTCTTTGGGTGCAGCTTCGTCTCCCTGCGTTGGCACGACGGACTCTTACGGTTCAACCATGGATGTAGCGGCAATTGCAAGCACATTTAGTGTATCTGTTCCTGTCCAAGCGCTTCCTGGTCCCATCATATACCAACAAGCTCAGCCACACCTCGTTTATCCTGTGCCGACCCTGCATTTCACGCCCGCCTACAATTTCCCCGATCCCATGGGCTCAACAATGGATGCGAACACGTTTAACGATCCGTCCCCCGCCTACGCCACTAGTCCCTCCGGATACGGATATGAACCCCAGTCCATCAACGCGGCCCCTTCGCCACCCTCAGTTCCCATTCACGCTTATTCTGCCCCGCACCAAACCTATCAAACAGTGTCTTGGGATGCATCGAACTTGGCCATGCCGCAGCAGCCCGTGGACAATGCACTATTCTCGGTCCCAGAACAACGACCTTGGATGCCGACTTCCTGGATGCTGCCTTTGTCGAACGATGTTTCGGAATACGCGTTCCCAAATGCATTGGGATCCTTTGACAGTGGAGCATACTACGAGGGAAACCATTATCATTAATTTCCCAATGAAGTAGACGAATGGGCATTTTGCCGCCCTTGGGGTGATAGTCCAACCTTATTTAGGTGAGCAACCCCTTCATTGTTCCAAGTCCGCCGCGTTCTCACTTCCTGATATTGCCGTTACTTAGTGTATATCCAATTGGATCGCGTGTGTATGTCTCTTCATTTCAGTACATGTATTCTTCAATTGCGTACTTATGTGATTTCCTATGAGGAAAATTGTCTTTAAAAAATCATTCACTAAATATACACGCATTTGACACCAGAACGACGAGAAGCTGAGATGACGGCGAGATTGCCCATTCGAGTTACTTTGATGGCGCAATTCCTCCCCAATTATCTTTCAAATTAAATGTGAGTATACCACAATACATGCGTGAGATAGCTAGTGACACATATACAGACATTCTCGTCGCTGGTAGCTTCTACACCTCGTGAGCTAAAGCTTGGATTCAAAGGTGAACAAGTTTCCCATATGGAGATCAAAATATAGCTTTTACAAACATAACAAAGAATAAGCATAGCTTTGACCCGACATGCCAAGACGTACCGTTTAAACAACAGAAACATGCCATACCGGATAAGCAGGCCAAGCAAGCTCTCAGGCACCCATCGTCGCCCCGTCGCTCTTGCCGAGTACTGCAGAGGAAAATCAGGGTATGGAGAATGGGTAGATAAAGAATGCCCTACACCAAAACAGTCTGCGGCTGAGGTTGCGGAGCGTACTGATACTGAGGCTGGTACCCTTGGGGCGGCGCATAGAACTGTCCCTTATTCGTGTAATCGCCTTGGTATGACTGAGGAGGTTGCTATTATCCATATGAGCTTCGTCTGACAATGTTTTTGATTCTCGAAGCGAACCTGGGGATAATGACCGCTTTGATGGTTGGGTGGGGGCCCTGATAGTCCTGCATTAGAAAGTGAAAAAAGCCGATGTCCTCTGGCAGAGACTTACCTGCAGGAGAGGGGTAATAAGACATTCAGCACAGGTCGTACTTATGGATGGAAAAGAAACCAGCGTCAGCGACGAGGGGTTTTATGCAGAAAGCGTAGTCATCACATGCACACTGAGATGACACTAATAGTTGAGTGGGATGAGATAAGGGTTCCGATCCGCGTGACTATGAATTGGGCCAAGATCGCTACAATATATTGAAATGATCCGGAGACTGCATCTGATTGACAAGAATTCCCTAAGATAATATGGCCGATCCCAAGCATAGTAGAGATGTGTTCTGAGCAGCTATAAATTCCGATTAGAAAATATCAAAAGATGAAGGTGAGCGATAAAGCTGATCCTGAGCATGAAGTGGTCCAGTGCAACTGTAGACGCGTTCGCCAAGACTCTATCATTCCAGTTCGTACCCATCACTCAACCTAGGCGAGTAACCTACCATCTTCAGATAGTATCAGGGCACATATTGAACCCGAGCCAGAGCACAGAGCGTAACAGCTTAGTAGCAACGAAGGGCACTCGGCAGATGCCGAACCGCAGTTTTTCAGAGAAAAAATGCCGCAGCCTTGTCGAAGCTTGAACAAATACTCCAACCATTATTGAACACAACGCCTTGAAACAATGAAGCATACCTACCTACGCACACACGAACAGTACTTGATGGCATAGACCAGGTACGAATTTTCTCCAACATATAAAACCTCGTCGATTTACCAAAGTTGATTGGGTAGCATCCGACATTATTAGTTGTTCTCGTCATAACGTTTAAACCGCCAGCATACTACGACCTCGCTACTAAGCCGAAAACTGGAGTTGCTACAATGTGTTCCATGACCGTTGTACCAAAAAACCATCCTTGACTGGATTTTTTCATGTTTTTATCTGTAGTCTGTGACCTATGAGGCGTAATTTCGCGTCGAGCTGGCGCGACGTGGCGTGTCGATCGGCCTAGGCTGCGGCGTTTCGGACCGGCTGCTGGATCCCCTCAATTTGGTTCCGCTCCGTATCTTTTAAGAAAAACTTGAATCCTTCCTCTCTCTTCCTCCAGCGACGGATTAGAGCATCTAGTCATCATTATGGGTCTACCAGGTCAGCCTTTCATGTTCACCATCACTTCCTGTCAATGAGCTACCAGGTTCATTTCAGCACACGATACGACCATCTGCATCATTGGTGCAGGTCCCACAGGCCTTGCTACCCTGAAAACAGTCTTGGATACGGAGCAATTCAAGTCAGGGAATTACAAGCCTACAGTATTCGAAGCTCGAGATCAAGTTGGTGGAGTATGGCAAGTTCTTCATTATAGTCCTAAGCTTCTGTGATCTAACAAATAGAAACCAAAGGGAGCCCTCGGAACCTGTGGATGACCAGCCTCCCCTTTCAGCGCTCTATGACTCTCTGACAACCAATATCCCTCATCCCGTCATGTCATTCACGAGTCTCCCATTCCCGCCTTCAACTCCATTATATCCTGTCGCCCGTGTAGTTGAAGATTATCTTCAGGCATATGCTAAACACTTTGGTCTTAACACTCACATTCGTCTGGGGACTTCAGTCGTTGCCCTGCAGTTTGACTCAGAGAGCTCCAAGTGGAAAGTCAAGTTATCGACCAAAGAGACGCTTGACTTTGATTGGGTCATCGTGTGCAGTGGCCATTATAGCAAGCCCCGTTACCCTGACACTCCCGGTCTCTCGAAATGGCTGCACGATAAACGAGCGTCTCATTCCTCGTGGTACAGACGTCCACAGGACGTCATTGGAGACAAGATTCTGGTTGTCGGAAACGGCCCCAGTGGGATCGATATCTCCGCTGAGCTTCGCAGGCATGTGAAGATCCTTGTACGCTCCGTATCAGGCGGAACGGGGGAAGAAGACGGCAATCTGATAGTACGTCCTCGCGCTGTACATTATGAAGATGACGGAAGTGTCCTCTTTGAAGACGGATCCAAAGAGGCTGGTATCGATCGCTGCATTCTTGCTACGGGTTTCGAGGTATCTTTTCCGTTCCTTTCAAACGAAGACCTTGTACCCGGACTTCCAGCAGCGGTGCCTCCTCTTCCACGAGAGTTGTACAACTCCACCTATAACATTTTCCCCTTGGCACAGCATCTATTCCCCTTCCAGTCTCGTTTTCCTCCTACCACGATTGCTTTCATGGGACTTTTAATCAAAGTAGCCCCCTTCCCTCTTGTTGAAGCTCAAGCACGGGCGGCTCTTCATATTTTTGCCCATCCAAACGAACTAGACCTCGCCAAAGAGACTGCTGATATCGTGACCCGATATCAGCAACTCCGAGCCGAGCTCCAGACCGAAGATCCGTTGGCACTTGCAAAAGCCTGGCACGTATTCAAAGGCTCAGAACAGTTCGATTACCGTGATGAACTGTACGCATATACAGCTCCGAGCTTCGGAGGAGATGCAAAAGTGGTTCCTCAATGGGAGAAGGACATGTACGACAACAAGATAACGCTGAAGCAGGTCTGGTTTGACCTCGTAAAGGAGGGAGTGGCCGATGACTGGGTTCGAGGTGTTGGTGAGAATGGGCCTCAGGATTGGGTCGCTCTGGCAAAAAGAATGATGAAAAGGGCGAGGCAGGAACGTGGCGAGGCACTGATACCATAAACTAGTCTCTTCGCTGTTTTCTGTCGAAGGGATTTCCCTTGTACGTCTAAGTGGCTGTGCAAATTTTTTCTGGATTTATCCGTAGTAGCAAATATTTTCAACGATCGCTTCGAAAGTTGCACTGCCCAGTGGCGGTGCCATACGGGGTAATGCACTTCCGACCATACAGCATTGACTTGCCTCTGCACTTCGACCTTGTCTCTGGGCAGAAAATCATGTCACCGCTTCTATGGCTATTGAGGACGCTGCAGAGACTCATTTGTGACCACGTAGGTAGCCACTTGCCGTTGAAGGCCATCCTAGCCCTCTGGTCTTTCTTTCGGCGCCAATTTCAGCGATATTCATGCACTACACACGACAGAGGCCCTAGAAAAGACCCGCGACGTATTTACGACCAAAACACATGCCTACCTCCTAGTAAAGGTCCCACTAATTTCACGATGATGATGGCGGACGACGTCGACGGAGAGGCACCGGTCTCGATGGTAGTGTGCCGTAGTGTCGTTCCATCTGACAACTCAGATTCCATATACAGCATTGCTGTTGAGAACGCCTCGCAGTTTTCGCTGAATACCGTCACAACATTTGCTACGCCTATGACAAGTCGCTCTCAGGTTAATTTGGCGGACTACGCCCATGTAAATCTGTCGACTCGCCGCTTACCTCGTCATGGTTCCCGACCTTCGTCTATTACGCAAGCTCCAACTGACCAAGGTTCTTTACATCCATATTCCTGCTTCAACGCTTCACGATCATCTCAGAATATCCGTCACTCAATGCCTAACTTCGAAATATTTCCACATGTGAACCCATCCTCTCACCAGCTCTCTTGTCCTCGACCCACTTCCACGATTGCGACACCGCTGTGTCCTAGTTTTGACAGCACGACCTTGACAGTCGTAGCACAACCTCCGCCTCCCATTGTACAGCTCGATGGTCCCGATATTGCCGTCCCTGGTGGCGTCACTACATTGATGACCGCGTATCCTCGCTTCTGGCCATTAACACCTGAATTGGTGGAAAGATATGAAAGAGAGCTTGTGTTTGTATCCCTTTGAGTGTCTCTTCTTATTTCTGCTCATATTTATGACACAGGGAACCGAAGGAAACAGAATACTGGATCGATCCATTGACGATTTCATTTCAATCGTACGCTGATCTTTCTTCTTTCGTTCTTGTAAATTCAAGTTTCTTGTGAAGTGACCCTGTTCCTGATGGGTGGGCAGCGTGTGTGCATCCTGAGGGTGCTCGTTACTTCATTCGTGAGAGAAAGATGGCTCCATGCATCGGCAACTATCATGACTCCATGATGTCCTCTGGTTGTCTTCTCCCGTGCATATTCACAGACGCCAACCTCTGCGATCCGGATAAGTTTGAACTCATTACGAAGTTTATGGCCGATATGGAAGACTACATACGGGCAAAGGGCATCAACATATATCCCAACGTTGATCTTGTCTTTGACCTCATTCGAGATCCCGACAATGGTGATATCTGTTGTGCCTATTACCTTGCAAGCCACGAACATCGTTCGATCTTTTGGCTGGACGACTTCAATGCTACCTATTTCAATAGATGGGATGAAGTCAAAGGTGTAACCGCCACATCCCATATTGGCTATGAGATAGAGTCGCAATACTGGTAAGTATCTGCCATAGCATCTTGTCTGCGTGCTGACGGCGGCCAGGTATCATTGCCAACAGTTTCCCACGTGCCGAGAAATGGACATAAATACAATTAACGAGCTGAGAGATATTTTGATCTATTGCATTGGAGGTATGGTTTATGCTGAAATTGTGCTGCATGTCTTGACTAGTTTGTTTTCAAGATTCGATGACTTCGGATACAGCTAACTCCGCCTACGCCGTTCCGGACCTACAACAAATGCTTGCCCTCACGAATGGCGTTAAGGGTGAGAAATTAACAACTCTAAGCTCCATATCCACTGATTTTTGATCTAGAAACCGTTCTCTCCGGTGACTCTCAAAGTCCAAGCTCGGTGTGCAGTATTGGTAAACAGCGACCATTCTGCGCAGACCGGTCCATGTATTGACTATTCACAGGTCGTTTCATGCATATTTTTGGTACGCGCAGCGACATCATTATGGTACTAAGACTTATGATCCTTAGTCCAACAACGATTTTACAACTTTCACGGACAGCCTGCCGCCAGGCTTGAGCGCTCTAAGTCTGTTTACGGTACGAAATCCAAACGAACGCCGCTCATCATTTTGCTATCGCCGCTCTTGTTTTTTGCGCCCGATATTCATCTCGCTTCCCTAAACAAGATTTGGGTTGACGGATTATTGTGCAAAAAATCCTGGGCTTCTTTCATTGAGGAAGTCAGTGCTGAATGGCATGACTTGATCATCAATGTGAGCATTCTATAATAAAATTTCAAGCTCGTCTAACACATGTCCAGTCTACTGTTTTACTCAACGCCAACGTCGCCTTCCTGGCTATTCAGAGTGTCGATAACTCTAGTGCTAAGCGGGGACGGTCCCCGGCGCAGATATCAAGTTACATATCAATAATCGCAAGTATTGGCAGTATCATCTTGGGCTTGCTCCTGATTCGGAAGAATCGCTCGAAAGCGGGTGATTCATCCACTGAAGCAGTAAGTTGTCACCTCCATCACTTCTCAACCCCGTCTGATGTATTCTAGTGGCAATTCCTTCATTCGCAAAATCGAAATTACATTGGTCTGGAGACACTGGCTATTATGTACAGTTTACCTTATGCTCTACTCATGTGGGCGTGAGTATCTATGATCTATGTCTTCGTTCAGTCTCCTAACCCAAATCTAGCATGGTCACCTTCCTATCGGCGTTCAGTCTTATGTGTTTCACTGCGTCCGACATAGCCGTCCGAATGCTTGTGGGTACTGCGTGGTTAGCAATAGCCACTCTTATTCTCTGGTGCATCATGACTTCGTGGAAGGGAAAGCAAAGCGACGACCGTTGGTACATGTTGCTCTCCGCTTTTGGATACAAGGTTTGGCAAAGATTACCCCGGCCACCATCTGTTCGTGTTGTGGGAAAAATCAATAACATCAGTTGGACAAGAAGGAAACATTCTGTGGATTCGGAAGAGACGGTTGTCGTTGTATGATTGAGAGGTAATTGTGTATCATATAAAAGCAATAATGCTTTCCGTGAGTATCTATATCGGGTAGCTGTATGTTGTGATAATCTGTATGCCTGGACGCGACGTGTGTACATCCACCAAGAAACTTGGAAGGGCGACGAAAAAAGCGGCATAAACATTTTTCCGCGGCAGCAGAATTTTTTCCCTGTAATAGAAGCTTGGGAGTGGCTATGCTCAGGGCCAGCCCTGCGCCATGCCTTCAAAGGCCCACCGTGTATTAACGACAGGACCTTGCTTCATTTTACCCGCGAGGATCTCACGAATTGCGCTATGGCGATGGTGGACGACAAGGAACCGGAAGTGTGTAGCAGCAAAGTCCCATGCCCAGGATCTCCAGTCGGCATTTCCGTCGAAAATCCTTCCTTTCAGTCTCTGAATACTGGTGCTCTATGCCCTACACCGATGACGAGTCGCTCCCAGGTACATTTGGAAGATTACTCCCACGTAAATCTGTCGACTCGACGTCTACCCCGTCACGGTTCCCGGCCTCCATCCATTGCGCAGATACCAATTGACCAGGGCTCTATACGCGCCTACTCATGCTCCAATGCATCACGGTCGTCCCAGGATGTCAGACATTCAATGTCCAATTTGGCCACATACACCCACCCGGTCAACTCATCTTGCCATCGGCTCTCGAGTTCTCGACCTGGCCCTCTAGTAGTGACCCCCCCATCTCCCAAGTTTGATACTGCCTTTCTGGTGATGCAACTAACGCCTGCTGTGAAACACGATGGATCGGATTGTGCTATACCGGGCGGCATCACTACGTTGACTGCGGCCTATCCAGCCTTTTGGCCCTTAGCGCCTCAACAGGTTCAAAGATATGAGAGAGAACTTGTGTTCGTGGTCGTTTTTAATATATTTTATTACTTCTGTTCACATATTTCGTGCAGAGCCCCCAACCGAACGGAATACTGGATCGATCCTCTGACAATTTCCTTTCATCCGTATGATTGCCGCCTCTTCCTCATATGCCTTGTATCTGACTTACCCGCGTAGTGATCATTGTCACGACGGATGGTCAACGTATGTGCACCCTGAAGGCGCTCGCTACTTTGTTCACGAGAGGAAGGTACTCCCGTGCACCGGTAACTACCATGACTCCATGATATCCTCCGGCTGTTTGTTACCGAGGATATTCACCGATATCAATGTCTGTGAATCGGAAAAGCTAGAACTCGTTACGAAATTTATGGTCGATATGGAAGACTACATACGGGCAAAAGGCGTCAACATACATCCTAACGTTGATCTTGTGTTTGACCTCATCCGAGATCCGGACAGCGGTAACATTTGTTGTGCGTATTACTTTGCAAGCCATGACAATCGGTCTACCTTTTGGCTGGACGACTTCGATGCCACCTATCTCAACAGATGCAACGAAGTTCGCGGTGTCACTGAGTTGTCCCATATCGGTCACGAAATAGAGGCGCAATATTGGTATGTACCGGCCTGGATGGTTTATCTGAAGCTTACACCGGCTAGGTATCATTGTCAACTGTTTCCTACGTGCCTAGAGATGACCGAAGATATCATTGACGAGCTCAGGGATATCCTGATATATTGTCTTGGAGGTTATTTTGCGCAACATTTTTTTAAATGTAGGCTCCGTTTCACGAGATTTTACAGATACCATGACCTCGCCGACGCCCAACTCTCCCTATGGTGTTATAGACCTACAACCAATGCTAAATCTTACGAATAGTATTAAGGGTGAGGATGGATGTTTTTATTTCTCAGAAAGTCTACTTAATTGCGCCGCAGAGTCCGTCAAAAAAGATCAAAGAGGGCTCCCGGGTTCCGTGTGCAGTATAGGTGAACCTCGATCATGCATCACAAGCTATCCATGAACTGACCTTTCGACAGGTCGTTTCATGTATATTTTCGGTAGGCCTGCAAAGGTATGATCATCGTGCCATGGCTTATATTTTCATAGTCCAACAGCGATTTTACAACTTCCACGGTCAGCCTGGAGCCCGGCTTGAGCGCGAAAAGTCAGTTTACGGACGAAAGCCTAAACGTACGGCACTCATTACCTTGCTATCGCCATTGTTGTTCTTTGCTCCTGATATTCATCTCGCTTCCCTCGAGAAGATCTGGGGCGACGGACTAGTCAGCAAAGTGTCCTGGGGTATCTTCATTGAGAAACTCAATGCCGAATGGCAAGAATTCATCCTTTATGTAAGCGGTCTCTATCGGACCTTGAAGCGAGCCTAATGCATCTACAGTCTACTGTTTTACTCAACGCCAACGTCGCTTTCCTGGCTATTCAGAGCGTCGATGATTCCAGTGATAACCCAGGACGGTCGCCTGCCCAACTATCGAGTTACCTTTCAACCATCGCAAGTATCGGCAGCATCATTCTGGGTCTGCTTCTGATTCGGAAGCATCGCTCCAAGGCTCGTGATTCCTCTGAGGAAGCAGTAAGTCCTAGTGTTTGTCACTTTTAAACATATCTGATGTGCTCTAGTGGCTGTTTCTTCGCTCACAAAAACACAACAAGACCGGTCTGGAGACACTTGCTATCTTGTATGGCTTGCCTTATGCTCTACTCATGTGGGCGTAAGTATTTCTTGAAATTTGCCTTCTGCAACGTGGCTGACCCAAACCCAGCATGGTTTCATTTCTTGCTGCGTTCAGTCTTATGTGTTTCACCGCTTCTAATTCGACCGTCCGAATGCTCGTGGGTAGCGCCTGGTTAGCTATCGGCGTTCTCATTCTCTGGTGTATCATGACATCATGGGAAACCAAGCAGCCGGACCACCGTTGGTACGGGATATTGCTTGTGTTTTTGGATCAGGTTTGGCATCGATTACATGAACCGATGGATTGGAATATCGCGGAAAAACTCAGTAACTTAAATTGGCCACTACGTAGGCCCTCGATGGACTCGAGGGAAACGGCTGTGGTATGATTGAGCGGCGACGAGCTGATAGGTGCTTGTATGTACGTTGTTATAGTGTTCTATTAGTATTGCATAACTAGTATTATCTGTATCGATAGCTTTCTGAATCCTCTAAATCGTGCTTCATCAGTATTCTGTGAACTTGTAATAGAAGGTCATTCGAAAGCGCCACGGCGGCCGTGTGATTGGAATTCCATTCAATCGAATCCAATCGAACTTGATTTGAAACGCGACTTAGATGACCTAATACTAGTAATTACAACTTATAGGTCTAGAATTCATATCATCTCATCCCATCCCAGCCGTTCCAGGCACTGTAGAAACGTTGTCTGGACAGCGAGACTATTGCGATCTAGTTCTCACTCTTCTTGCGCTCTTTCTACATCGCCAATAAATCAATTTTTAACTGTGGTTGTATTGCTCCCGCTATTCTTGTAAGTGAATCATTGACAGAACCATCAATTCAGAATCTCGCCTAGAGGTGGTGAACAGGGATATACTTATAGCTACTGCGGATAGGGAAGTGAAATCGAGGTGAAGTAGTATTTAAAGAAACCAGTCACATAGAATGGTGTAGGGAAATCAACGATAAATAAATGTAACTGTAGGACGGTGTATATGCCTTCGAAAGTCGTACTTAATCTGGATAGATTAACCAAAAAGCCCCGATTAAGCACTCTGAATAGCAGTTAAGTAACGTCTTCCTCAAGAGAAGTGCTAATTCAATATCTGATTGGGGCTCATTGACGTAGCTAAGTGCTAGGCCGTGGAGCAGGCCGTATGGGAGGCTTAGGCTTAGGCTTAGGCCCACCAACTACTGGCGATGTTATCGGGCCCTTGGGTATTATGCTACTCTCCAAATTCAGAAGACAGATAGACTATGAAGACAATACAGAAGCTCACCCTGGTGGTGGAGGCGGCTCCGGGAAGGAATTGTCTAGCTGGGATTTAATACTACCTTCGAGCTTCGTGTCCGTCTTTCCAGGTTTTAAAAGCGAGCCTTGAGCTCCATCGGCATCTTCGACAACTTCCTGGACGATCGGATCGTAAGATGGCTGGGTAACTTTGTCTGGCTGTATTTCCTGCGCACCAACGACGACCGTGGGATCGTCGGTGGATTTGGGCGCTTTCCTAGCGCTTACGAGTGTAAGTGAGTTTAGATATTTCCACCACCGGTGAATAAAAGTAGTAATACCTTGGATCTTCAGCTGGGCTCATTTGATATAGGCTGGAAAGATGTCTGGCTGGGGACTATGATGTGGTAAGAGACAGGAGCTGAATACAACTCGGGCGCTTAGAAATAGTTTATATCTTCGTCGCTGGCGCTTAAGTTGTGCATGAGCGATCCAGCCGGGCGTCGGCACTTTGCGATTGGACACGTTCATGAGAGCGAACGGTCACAAGGCAATAAAACGTCCCAGGAACTTGAAGATGCTGAATATTGTATTCTGCCAGTGAATCGTGTGAAAATCGAGGCAGAGTAAGTACTACAACAAATAGAAACACGGGGAAACTGGATCGACTTAGTGACTTGAAAAATTTACGAGCGTATACGTTCGAACTGGATCATTTCCAACTGCCATTGCAAGGCAATTTGAATGCCTCCCATAATAGTGAGTAATTGATCTTCCAGTCGGGATCCAACTTGAAGCTGCTGCGACAGAGCACATGAAATAGAACGATCATACGGCGATCAAGAGTCTCCAGGGGAACCTCCCTTCTCAGTGCTCCGGGCTGTGGGATGTCGTCACATCTTCTTCTCATAGGTGCAGGCGCTTCATCAATCGAAAACCAGAGTAGACACTAAGATTCATATAATGGGCATGAAACGCGAATAGGATCCAAAAGTGATTTGACATTAGGGAACTGGGTGTAAACAACAGCCAATGAACGCATTAATGGAAGCACTGTCAGAAAGAAGTATGTGTTTAAGAAGAAATCATGGGTTGTCGTTGTCAATGAATAGGAGGGATAGTATGAAAATCCGCGTTTGTTGCATGTTCTAGCGCCCTCCGAGGACGGATCTGTCTAATGGCGATTGTTACTGGAAGATGACTTTGTGGATCTGGAGTCCGTGTTCTGAGTAGACCTTACACCTGATCCTTGCACCTTCTTGCTAGAGGACGACATAGGGTCGGTATTACGGCCACTGTTCTTTGGGGCCTTGCTGTCAGCCTTCTTATCCACCGGGCCGCGAGGACCAAAGTTGCTGCAAGCGTTTGTTCACTTTAGCTGAAACGATTACCCAGCTCCTAGCACTTACTCTGAATCGAAGGTGGACCTGGGAGGAGATGCTAGTCAATGAAGGATGATCCGAATCATGAAAGCATTTATGAACCTTAGTTTCAGGTTCGGTGTATCGGCGGCTGATCGTTGTCCGCTGATGAACGTGCTACCATGAAATGAACATCAGGTGCTTAGTGCTCACAAATATACCACGAGACACTTACCGAAAGTCATCACGAGTATCGACGGCCGCCTTTTTAGCAACGGACCAGATTCTGAAGAATTTAGGCATTTGTGAGATGCGGGAGCCCAGCCACGACGTCCAGATTTTATATCGGAGCAGGACCAAAGGAATAGCCATATTCTGGCTGTTGAAGGCGGTACTAGATAACGGATAACAGCAAGCATCACTGTAAAAAAAAACTAAGGACAAGGTCGAGGTTCAACGAAAAAAAAAAGGTACAGCAATCCATGGATGCTGTTCTCAGAAGATGGACAATTTGGGGTTGCATTGCCTCACTAACAAGTTGCTTGATGAGTGCTTTGCATGTCAAGAGTTTGGGAGGTAGCCTGATTCAGAGATGTTGTTAATTTTTCTTCTCCATCGAAGATAAACTGCAAAAAAATTCAAAGAGTTGCATTCGGCACAGCGCTTACCACTGAAGGATGACATAAAGGTCCATAAAGCGTAGGAACTTGAGCTACTAACAAAAAAGGAGCCGATAAGATCGTCATAAATCACATTAAAAAAAGGAAAATAGGCGATCATTGATAATGCTGTCGACGCTCTTACAGATGATAGAAATTTTTTTCAATGAAGCGCCTATTATGCGCGATCGTATCAAAATGTGATCCAGATATACAGCAGAAGACCCGCGATTTCGACGAAGATGGTCACAACTATCTTGGACCTGGTCTTGGATGGGGTTTGCTACCGCCTCCGCCCGCAATGGGACCGAGAGGCCGTCCTTTGGGTATGATGCTGTTGAAGTGAGTGAACGACACCTGAGCCTGGTTCAAGGTATGGACTTACCTCGGCGGCATGGGGGGCCTCAACTGGTCGTCGAGATCGTCTTGCGGCAGCTGCTCTTCTGAATCTACCTCGACTTCCTTCGGTGCCGGACCGCCCTCTACTACAGGATCGGCGTCCCCGACACTTTGTACAGGCAGTTCTTGGGATGCTTGATCATTAGACAGGTCTCCTTGTATGTCTGCACCCTTGTCCAGCTCTTCCGCCTGTGCTGAAGCTGCCTTGGAAACATCGTCGATAGAGCTGCCAACCTTGGGCGCTTCTCTAGTGAGATCCGAGTCAGTCCGAGTATATCCATTGCCTGACCAGTAAAAGCACTTACTTGTGCTCTTCCTGGGTCATTAACACAATATGGCTGACCGACTCTTGCACCCCAGACAGTATTATGAATGTTTACTATTCTTTGATTACATTTTCGCGCCCAAAAGTTGCTAAGAATAATGCCCGATTTCGGATTCGGCAATTCACGACATTGGCACGTGATTGGATCTGAAATTTACTCCGGGATGGTTTAGTCCGTCCGAGTCCGGCTCACACTGCCCACTGGCAGCAACCTGTGCCAATGATTATACATCGCTTTTTTTATGTATATAAGCCGCCATTCCGGTTCACTCTCCCATTTTCCAAGCGATGGACTCCCAATTCAGTGTCGAAAAGAACCCTATTTTTTCCTCTGTCCTCTCAGAAGGCACCCTGACGCCCATCACCTCTAATGCCACTGGACGATACGACCGCGAATGCATGTAAGTAACGCTGTCTCCCGAAAAATTACCTTATGCCTATTTATCCTTGCAGCACTATCAACTTGAAACCCGCCTTGATAAGTCCGGGATCTAGCGAGCCTGAGTATGTCAATTTCAGTTCCTTGTATATGCAGCTACCTCACCGGTATCCTCCATAGACCGATATATCTCCCACCTCATTGGACCTCTCACGTTCACCCTGAGGGACAGCTCTACTTCTGCAGGGATGCTCCCTTCTTTGTGGTTACCGAGGCCTACTTGTTTCACATCGAAATTATGGCCAAAGTGGCTTTGTGGACCAAGCGAATAGAAGACCTCCTAGACGAAAAGAAAATCAGAGTCTCACGCAGCACAGAGCTCTTTATCAAGATTGAGGAAGATGACTGCGCCTATTATTTCGTTGACCACGCCACGAGAACAGAGTTTTGGTTGGATATCATTGAAACCGATGCCCTCGGGCTACCTGACATGGCTTCGCCATCTCATCTCAGTACGACTTTCAAGACCGCCGACTTGCTACATCTCTGACCTATGCATGTAGGAACTTATCTGGAGAGCTTATACTGGTCCCATGTTGAGCATTTCCCCATGCATATTGGAGGGCTCCCCAAGCAGACCTACGACGACCTCATTGGTATCTTCAGCCACGGGCTTGCTGGTAAGCAGCGCGCAGTAGTTATTCTGGAAGATTACCAGAGACTCACAATTCACGCAGACCAAATGACCTCGGGAGTTTCCACTTTTTTTTATTCACAACAAGAATGCGCCACATTTTTGAAAGTCCTCAAGTCTGGCAAAGGTGCGACTGAGACCGCAGACGTCCAGCTCTCTTCGTGACACTCCGATTGATAGATCAAAATGAAGACGGCTACCAAACTTGTGTTGCTGCGCGACTCTGGAGCATCGTTTGTAAGAGTGACGTATGCTGTCCATTACAGTCTGGTTTTGATTCTGGTCTCAGGCAACCATAGATTCTCGGTCTACTACGGCCAAGAATTTTCCCGTCTATCCCGGGATCAGGCGGTCCTTTACCATCCAGAGGAGAACGTCTTCCTCGAATCCCTGATGTCCTTCATATCTCTGGGGCAGTCAACATCTTATTCCAAGGGACTAGATGATATATTCGTAGATCGCCTTGTTTATGTGGACCAGTGGCGACCATTCATGTCCAAATGCCTGTCAGAGTGGAAAGACGCCGTTCTCTTTGTACGTTTTCATTACTTTCAGGGAAGACATCCACTGACTAAATTTCATGATACCCAGACGTCATCCACATCTATGTAAGCGTATCACTGCGGCGAAGTTCTGCGATACTTAAAGTTTCTGTTTCAGGCTTCACCTCCCGCTAGTTTTTGTCCCGGGTGTTCCGATGTTGACGGCTGTTTCTATCGCACTCTTCACCGCCAGCGTCATAGCGTCAATGCTTCTAATTCACCGACACAGGAGGCTGGAAAAAGCAAGCGCCAACCAGGCTGTAAGCGACTGACAATTACTCCTTCACCTGTCTTTCTGACCATTAGACAGTTCCAATATCTCGTATCAGTTTACTCTCTAAAAAACCAATTTCATCTTGTCGCATTGATGTATTCGCTTCCAACTTTCCTACACCTTTGGGGTCTCGGAGCTCTGGTCGCAAACTGTATTGTTATTGTTTCCCGGCTTTTTGGTTTCATTTCTGGTGTCGTTGTGTCTATTATCCTGGTTTTTGCCCTAGTCGCCTTCGAGATAATTACAACTGAAACAGAGCTTTCGTCCTGGAGGTCCGTCTTCCGTTTTCGATCGCAGAACGAGTCTGGCGATCAAGTGGTATAAATTATGTATACGTTGTCTTGTATTACTGAACCTGTTCGTTTAGTCGTCGCTGGTTTTGTTTTATCACGTTGTAGTTCGTGCGAACTTACCCTGGACAACAGACGATCTCAAGCGTATGCAAAACTCACAACGCTAAGGCCTGTGTTATCATCGAAGAAAAGGAATCAGAAATTTAACAACTCCGGCATGGATACTTCGACTGTATCATTTCTTTGAACCGCTACGACCTCCTTCCTCCCCTGTCGTCTCTGACTATATAAGGACTCAAGACGTTACAGCTGTCCACCCTATTCCTTTGGACACCGCCCAACGGAAAATTTGACTAACACTCTGTCCAACAACGCCTGCGCTTACCTTGCAGGAATCAAGTTCAACTTGACATACAGACTGATTGAACAAACCACCACAAGTGCCGTTCTACCGCAGTCCCTATGGCACCGCCTCAGCATTTGCGGCCTCGGAACTCTAGTACCTCTGGAGATAGACCGCACCCCGCACAACTACAGCTCGTCCGCATTGCCCTGTAAATTTTATCGACGTCCTTCGGATTTGGTGAGTAAACGGTTTCTGTCTGTCATTCGACCCCTCCTTTACCTCAGATCTACACCGATGAAACACATAACCTCATCCTTGGTTTTAGAACCAAACGGCTGAACGCCGATTGAGCCAACCGGCTCCCACTCTATGCCGACAGATTTATGCGAGTAAATGGAAAGCGATTCTCCATCTGAATGATAATTCAGGGTTCCATGTATCTCGAAGGCGCTGTTTGTATCAAGCTGTCTCTCGAAATACAACATATGAATCTCATTGCTGTGCAAGGTTCGGCTTGGTTCTGTACAACATCTAATGGACATACGAGGGGCTGTGTATATGATCCCTTGGAAAGCACGGAAAAATGTGGTTCCGACCTCAAACCGCCCTCGGATCATCCTGGAAAAAATTGCCCGCCAACGCGGTCGAATAATCCCAATTTGGATCAATCTCGCGGCTCAGGTTATATTTTTGCAATATATCCATAGTTTTGATGTCGTCCCTTTTGCCTTTCAATACTGCCTTCTTCGGGATAGGTGGGAGCGTCGTGAAAACACCCCGTGCCACCCGGACTTGCTCTAGATATGCATCGGGCTCCAGCCGATGTCGGTACTTGGTTTCATTTGTGACCACACCTTCGATCGTACCGTGCTCCTTGATGAACTTGTACGCACGGGCGGGCCCGATGTTCTTGATGCGCTCGGAAAAGTCTGTACCCAAAAGGAGAGCGAAATCGACGAAACTTGTTCGAGAGAGTTGTAGGCCCTTACGGACCTCAGCTCCGGATACTACTACAAGTGGCCCCGCCTGGTTAGTGATATTTCGGATGAGAGGAGCCTCGTAGACAATGACGTCCTATGCCAGATATCAGTCGAAACGCACGAATGTAGATGAGTAGAGTTCATACAGTGTCTTCGCTTGCAACATAGTCGGCGAGACCGTGAGAGACAAGAGTGCAAGCAAGAGCTTCAGCCTCATAGGGACCATCGCTTTCGACACAAGCAATGCCCATAGCCTCGAGGATTTCCCTGCATTCTAGGTAATTTTGAACCGTTGGTGGGCGTGTTCTTCGAGCGTAAGATTCAAACATCACAGTGCTCTTTTGATATATCTTGAAAACCTCGTCTTCCATGGAGAACTCTTCTGATTCTTCAACGGCCCCCATATTGTCCCAGACCTTTCCTTCTTCAAGGATCAGTTCGTACTGACCCTTGGTCATGAAAACCTCTGTCCGCTCTTCCGATTCATCAATCGGCGCTTCTTCAGGGGAAGCTTTGTTAATGGAAGCTAGCTTTGATACACTATTCCGGAAGTTGTGAAAGAGTGATATCAAGGAATCAGCGACCATTTCACCCTTAGATTCAGATGATATTACACTCAGATCCTTGGTAGAAGAGAGTGTCAGTTATTTTCTTTCTGAAGCCCAAATGGCAGAGTCGCTGACCTGAGCGGATGATGATGTACGATCAGAGGTCGATGGACGCGTATCAAGCGAAGGTTTAGACTCAGGAGTGGCACTAGGTGCAGAATATGGATCTGCTTTCACTGCTGTATTTTCCATCGTGGTGTCTGTTGTATGAGAAGTGGCTTCGTGCTTCATGGGGGGTGAAGTAATTTCTGCAACCTTCCACTCAGTTCCGATGTAATCTGTAACGCCTGTAAGACATGAGTGAACATAAAGGAATCGAAGGAGAGGCGACCCGACCTGTTTGAACAATTTCGAGCTTTGGAGGTGCGGCTTCGTCCAACGGTGCTGTATCTTGAATGACCTCGAAAAGACGCTTTTTAGAGTTTGTGGGCACATCTCGAAAGTCCGTCAACAGACTTCCAATGTTGTCCAAACGTTTCAGGCGTTCGTTTTCAAAGGCTTCGCGTGCCATGTCGCGTCTTCTCATTTCTTTTCTCCGGAGAGCCTACTTGTCCGAGATATTGGATCGATGACAGTATGAAAACAAAATTCACGCACCTCTCGGGCTTTTGCAATGTTCCGCTCCTTTCCGTCAAATATGCAAACCGCTTCGACGTCGTTCTCCTGCAGTTCTCTGGCGATGCGATACCAACCCAAGACATGGCGATATGGGTGCGGGACAGGGACAAAGTGCAAGCGCTGGGTAATCAGAGTTCCATCGCTGGAAGCACATCAATTATATTTCGAATCAGGCAAAAGCGACACACATTACAATACGTTTACCCTTGAGTTCTTTGAGTCGTTTTGGAAGCGTTTTAATGACTTCGGGACTGAAATAAAGACGTTGCTAGTCTGAAAGAGAGAAGTAAATAATAAAATTACCATGTTTTTAGAAGAAATGGTGTTAAACCCAGAACGCCCATCAACGTCTGCTTCAAAGAGCGATTTTCGGTTTTTTTTTCTTTGCATCACGTGCTACTGGTACGGTAGTGACGTCATGATAAAGAGAATATATATCTTTGTCCAATCTTGGTCCTAATTTGCGCAAAACCAGTTCCAACAAAACGCCAAATTATAGTGGATTGCAGTGCATCGCATATCACACAGATAATTGGTATTTTGCAAATTTGTATACTACAGGTCTGGTCGAACTATGAGATGGAGCAGGAATGAAAAGTTGGCACCAGTCATCGTACGTTTTGTCACAACTTAACCCTAAGAGTGTATCGCTTTTGCAACGTAGTCGGCTAATCCAGCATTTTCCACGGTGGTACTTAATCGACCTCAGGCAATGTTCCATGGCTGAAATCCTAGAAGTGACTGTAGGCATGACTTAAAATCAAGGACTAGAATCAATGAGAAAAATCCCACAGGAAATGGACTCTCCAGCACAGTAAAATTGTCCCCGGCGGTGATGCCCAAATCGGGAACTCAGGGGTCCATATGGTCAATGCCATTTTACTTTGGTTTTCTCTCTTTTTTTTTCTTATCACAAGTCTAACCACTATGGACATGCTACCAATCCTGCAGATGGTTTTACAAACTGGAGTAGGGTTTTGAAATCTGTGGTCTTAGGGGAGAAGCTAGATGCCAGCACTCTAGCTTGAATACAGGGCTTAAAAGAAGAACATATGATGGTGTATCTATTTTGAAAAGCAGAACAAGTGCTATGAGCTCCAAAAATATATGTATAGTCCTATTAAAATGACTACTCAAAAAGATAGAGTGGTGTAGTACAGGTACAAGAATTATCAACAAGATACATACCAATCCAACAACTTTTGATGGATTCAAGTAATACATATCCTTCATCTATTCATCTTGCCATCTGGCATCAACTGCTTCTTGCAGCAATATGATACCATAAAAGTTTTCATTTGTATCATATCCTTCTTTCCCCTGCTGTGGCATTGAATTCTTTGATGAATTATGATATGTTAGTCACACTTTGCTCTACATTTTCTCATGTTGCTTGTGAAGCAGAGTATCTCAGAAAGGGTAAAGAAAACATCTAAAGAGAAGAAAAGGAAACAGACAAAAACTACTTTGTCAACCACATATTCTTATGTCCTTTCCCACCTATGAGGGTTTGTTTTCCAATAATATGCTCAACAATAAACATCTCATCAACTTGATGGCAACTAGAGTGGCCAGTGTTATGGTTCATTATCATTGTTGATGATATCACTGATATAAGAATCTGTTTACAAAGGTTAAAGATGATTAACAGACTGAAGATGTCAGACTTATGTTTATTGAGGCAAAAATAAGTATACAGTTATGATAATATAGATCAAAGACTTATGCAGGCACTGCATATGGCAGACACTCATACTGTATATCATCTTTCAAATAGAGGTCATTTGCAGTCATACTAAGGCAGCCTATATGATATTAGAATCAACATTAATCACTGATAAGTCTCTAGACTCTGTGTGCTCTGAAATCATGGGTCTCAATAATTATTTTTGACTTCTGCTCTTAAGCAGGCTTTCAGTAAACCAATCATTTTGAATTCAATAGCAGTAATTTCATCAAGAACTATCTATTATTCACTGATATCCTCTTGTGCATAAAGATTATATGTCATATGCAAACTTTCTATTTGTCTGTGAACTTTTCTCATCAACCATATGATGCATGAACTTTCTATACCATAATAAGTGCCATAAGTACAGTTAGCACTATGATAACCAATCAGATATACATCATTATTAGTATACATGTGGCATTCTAAAGTGGCTCACAAAGTCTATTGTGATGTGTATATAAGGCTGGCTGTGGATGTCTAAGCTTTTTACAGCTGGCATGTGGAAGAGTAATAAGCCACAGAGGACTAACCATGTGTTTGGTTAGATGTTTGTAAGAAATATTAGAAGAGCTAGCATACTATTGGTCATGCAAACTTTTAAATATGCAATGTTTACTAAAAGCCTCACAGTCTTTAAGGCTTCATATAGTAAAAACTTCACTAGGCTCACTAAGCTAGTACTGCAGTTATGAAGGCTGTTTAAATGTAGCATACTTAGTATTAGTAAAAAGGTAGTATAAGTAGTGTATAAAAGAAATATAGAAAGAGGAGAATAAGAAATACAAAGACTACTCAACACTCATACTAAACTGTATCCCAGTATGACACCTCTCCAATAGAACTAGCTACACAGACTGTCTATAAGTCAATATCCTTCAACTGAGAGTGCTATAGCATCTCAACAACTCTATAAAGCTTATATATGACAATAGCAAACTTATTAATTCATGAAATATGGCCTTGTCTTACTTTATTCTCAAAAAAAAAAAACACAAAAGAGATCTGTTGCCCTTGTGTGTTATCCTCACACTATCTAAACCTAACAAAAGATTTTGAAAGATAACTGGAAAACACTAACTGTTTCTCTAGACCCCACTGGAACTGCATATAGATTGCACCATCCAGTACTCAGATTCTTATGTGATATTTCTGTTATAGAAAAGTTTGTGTACATACTGTGAGTCACTGTAAACAATTCAGAGCCTCATACTCCTGTAGCTGCTTCTTGCTACATCCCTTTGGAGATTAGTCACTATATGAAGGTACATGACTAGATTCACTAAGACTAGTCTTCAGATTCTGTATCTTGGTTTCACTTACCAAATAGATTTTGTGTTTCCTGCCTGCAGGGAGTCTGTCTAACAAATAATTTCTGGTTTATCATCATATTGTACAAACTGATGATATCATAAGCATGCTATCAGAAGGATATTCAAACATAACTAATGTCTGTTTCAGGAATAATCTCTTTTGGCCATTGTAAGGTCTTGATCTTTTTTGGGGTACTGGTTGATTTTTTCTTCATATGTTTAGCAGGCAGAGAAATGACAGTCAAAGATACTGAGGCCAAAGAGCTATCTGTCTGTAGACATTGCTTTTCAGGTTTGTGCAGTCTTTTTGTTACACTACTTGTTTCTTCTATAACTTGTTTCTTGACTTTGGTGTTCAGAAATGCAAGCACAGGTGCAGGGCTTGTAAACATTGAGGGTGAGTTCAAAGAAGTAAGAGGAGATGGCATGGAGTCAGCAGGAAAGGCTCAGATGGGTGTAGTGATCATCTGTGAGACCTGTGGTTTGTCATGCATAAATGTAGAAGGTGATTTCATGTCAACTTCATCTGTAAATAAGTCTGGAGTAGTGGGCTTGGCTGCGTCTTCTACTCCTATATTGCTACCCCAGTTGGAGGACTCTGGGTATGATTCTGGAATAGCAGCCACTTTAGCATCAACTTTGTTGGAAATCCTCAGTGTTGCACAGAGTAGACTCCAGGCTGGTAAGGCTAAATAAAATAAACTTGTTATTCTACAGCTCCTACAGAGCTTGTATTTATACTCTCCAGGCTTATATCTAGAATTTACTACAGCTTTCTCTTTCTCTCAGGCTTACTCATCAACTCTCAGCATAATGCTGGATTGCTCTTTCTAGAACTTTCTGGCAAAATCCCAATAAACTTCAATGGATCAGGCTGGTGTCATAGGTAGCTGCCTCAAAATAAATTGAGGGTCAGTATACAATCAGGCACCCAAGGTGATGGTGATGACTTGAAGAGCTGAAGCATTGGGATACTTCATTGCAGTTTGGAAGCAGCTGGCATTGAAGGGTATAGAAGACATGGTGGCAGGAAATGCAGAGGAGGAGATATTCAAATTAATTGAATAAAATGAAAGCTTGGTGTATTATTCAAGTATTATTCACACAAAACTAATAAATGTCCCGACACAGCGTCGGTTTGTGCCTAGTCACGTTATCGTATTACTAGGTTGGAATTCACGTGGTGGCTGTGCAGAGGACGAATTTTCAAAAACTAGAAAGGGGTCGCCTCCCGGACCAACGTGGCGCAAAGAGGTGGCCCATCCGGGGGTGTCTCTGGGACGACACAATACAGCCTGGGACCTTCTGGGGAGAGATTAGCTTTGAATGCAGCCCTAGAAGTGGCGCTGGGATCGCCTGCATCAAAATTGAGCGGGCAACGGCGAGACTCAGGCCATATTTTCAGTACCTTTTGATGGCCATCTCGCGGGGCTAAAGCTCGCAGACGGCATCCGAATTGAAGATGGCTGCAACTGTCGTCGTTGCATGGTTGCTTGCATGTCTAGTGGCGGCGAACAGGATGCCTCGTCTCCCAGTTCAGTGCCAACAATCGCTTCCTGGTCTTGGAAGCAGGGTTTGGACGGATCGATACCCAATTCGAGGACAAGTCTTGGCCATCTCCGTGACTGATGAATGATCATCTAAAGGCACCGTCGAAGACAATGATAAACACACCTCCAGCTTTGATCCTCTCATAGAGCTCTGTCACAGTCATATCCACCTGGTTCATTAGTGGCTTGAGTGTATCGATGGTCTCGTTCAGCTGCTCCACTTCAGATAGAAAGTTTGCGGTCATCATCCACTGCTGGTTATGTGCTGTCCGCAAGGCGTTCACCAAATTCATATTAGCTACCTCGACCTGCTTTTCAATAATTGTGACAGTATTTCGAACATACGACTCTAGTCTGTCCACCCTGCCGACGATTAATCTGTTCTGCTCCTCCAAAACGGGGATAACTGCCACCATAACCGTCGTCGTGAGATTGTGCGCGAGTTGGTCATATGCCGGTTGGAGTGTCTGAGTGGGCAGCTGGAAGTGGGTCTCGAGGGTGGTCTGTGTCCGTCGTAACTGCTAAGGGGGTTGCTGGGGCTGGGGCAGCATAACTGAAAAAACCTGGAGCTGGGTATGAGGGCGTTATCCTGGCCATTGCTACGGAAATTGGGTTAGTATATTGATATAATGAATGGGCGGAGGGTTGCCCGGATGACGGTATGCCATGGTAGTGGTTGGAGTTGAAGAAGGGTCGATGACGTTGACGCGACGCGTCCAACAAAGACAAACATTTTTTGCCACTCAGCAGTTGTCTGTGCAACTTCTCGCCACTTCCAGCCAATGTTGCTTGAGATGAGGTAAATGGATAATAATTCTCATTATAAAATTACATAGTGATAAATTTGCACTTTGAGTTCCTAACCATCATTGTCCTCGAAGGCGAGGCCTGGGAGTCCATGACTCTGGCTCATATTTATCCTGAGATGGCATCGTAGGTAAAGGTTTTGCAATCTCTTCTCGAGCTGCTACAGAAGGTGGCCAAGACGCAGACTTTTCAGTCTCACCATGCTCCGACGGCGACTGAGACTGCCCCGACCGTGTATCTAAGGGCTGAGCGGTCTGAGACGGAATCGCACCAGGGTAAGACATTCTCAAATGCTCCTCCCTGTCTCGAGCCTCAATTAGTGCGGCATTTCGTGACACCCTTTCCTGGCGAGCAAGGTCTGTCTGCAGTTCCTGAAGGGGGAAAAAGATGAGCATCGGAACAGCTGCAGTAGTCAGAACGTGAATTACTTGAATCGTCGGAGGATCAGGTCTTGTATGCGATAACCAGGCTGACCATTGCACTATTCAGTTTCTTGTCAACATCTGCTGGGTAATCGTTTACGAGAATAAAACATACCTGGTAAGCGCTTCGGGCCACCGATGTAGAGCCACATATCATCAGGGTTACGATATTTGACCGTCCTTTTAGTTCGACGCGCCTCTGAACGTTCCCATAAGCAATTTAACTGCGGGGGAAATGAATCTTATGCATGCCTGGCAACGGGTTATGGCGCTCAAAGAACATGTTTCCTATAAATGAGATGAGTCCTGTGCGACTAGGTAAATATTTTTAGGCTCAACGTGCCTTCCAGATCTCTCCCAACGAATCCTGTCTAAGGAAATTTCTCTATGAAGAACACGAGAAAGTGAATGGTGCTTACTGGATGGCGAATAAGTTTCCAAATCTTAGAAAAGAACGACATTATCCTCCTCCTTCTCCGCTTCAATCCGATGCCCCTGGTACTTTACAGAATTTATGATGATGGTAAGGAAATGACGAGAACCTAGCGGGATTTTATTTATTTATTTACTTAATGTTACGTACAATACCTTCCCACGATACCCAATACGGACTCGCGTTGGACGCGTCACCCAACGCCCACTACACTTTCTACTGCCATGGCCGATGTCGAGATGAGGCCCGCCGTCACTGAACCTAAGGACGAGGAGAGGAAAGAGGACAAGGAGGACAAGAAAGAGGAAAAGAAGGATGAGCCCAAAAAGGAGCCGGAATCGCCTGTCACTGAAATCAAGTCCAATGCTGCCCTCATCGAAAAGGCCGTAGCGACTCTGGAGCCACGGTTTACTCATCGTGTCCTGAGGACCTTGGCCGCGCTAAGAAAGCGTCTGGATGACTCTGTACTGAGGAAGGCCATCGAGGAAGTGTACCCTAAAGGTGTGGAAACGGTCTGAATTAACAGAAGAAAAACGTCACCTAACGTCGTGGCAGATTCTTCGGTGAAGACGACATTGCTCTCATGGTTACCTGCTGCACCCACATCGGATCAGGAAATGGAAATAGACTCGACGACAACGACGGCGCCTGCAAAACCACTTCCAGAACCTGTCTCAGAAGTCGAAATATACCTTCGTCTGCTAATCATTCACCACCTGCTCAAATCCCCTGATCATTATACGAAAGCTATCGAGCTCGCTCGTCAATCAGTGGAGAAGATGCAAGCACTCAACCGTAGAAGCATGGACCCCGTTGCAGCCAAGATATGGTTTGCCGTTGAGCGTGCGTACGAATTTGGTGGTGAGATCGCGGATGCCCGACCGTGAGTACCAATTGTATCCTTTAACGCTTCAGATAATCAATACATCCCATTAGAATGTTCCTTGCTGCACAGCGGACCGCCTCTCTGCGGCACGACGATGAGGCCCAAGCCTCACTCATCAACCGTCTCCTCCGTAGCTACGTCCATTACAGCCTGTACGACCAAGCCGACAAGCTTGTCTCAAAGACGACGTTCCCCGAGTCCGCTGGAAACCCTCAATACGCTCGATACCATTACTTTATCGGCAGAATCAAAGCTGTCCAGCTGAACTACAGTGCAGCCCACACCAACCTACAACAAGCCATCCGACGTGCACCTCCTGCAAAGGTAGCACCTGGATTCTATCAAGCAGTGCACAAGCTCTCCGTCGTCGTAGAGCTTCTGATGGGTGATATTCCGGACCGAAGCCTTTTCAGGCATCCCGTCCTAGAGAAGGCTCTAAGCGGCTACTTTGAGATCGTCAAAGGTTTGTTCTCGATTTTATCATATATCTTGGCTACCTGCTAAATTAGGGCTATTATCAGCTGTCCGCACAGGTTCACTCTCGCAATTCCAAACCACCCTTGCCAAACACGCCGCTCGTTTTGAGGCTGACAAGACTTACACTCTCATTGTCCGGCTACGACAAAATGTCATAAAAACTGGCATTCGGCGGCTTTCACTGTCTTATTCACGTATCTCCCTACGCGATATTTGCGTTAAACTTCATCTCGACTCGGAGGAGGACGCGGAGTACATCGTTGGCAAGGCCATCCGTGACGGAGTCATTGAAGGCCGGATAGTGCATGAGAAGGGATGGATGGAGTGCGGGAGCCAGAGAAATGTATATGGGCCTGAGGTCAGCGAGATGTTCCAGAGGCGGATTGGATACTGTCTAGAGTTGCATAACCAGAGCGTGAAGGTATCTTTTTCGGTTCATGTGTTTTTGACAACTATTGATCATACATCGTGTTAGGCCATGCGGTACCCTCTGAATGCACACAGGAAGGAGCTGGCTGCAGCTGAGGGTGCTCGTGAGCGACAGAAGGAACTCGCAAAGGAAATCCAAGAAGGGGATCTTGACGATGAAGACATGGGCGAAGATTTCTGAGCGTTGATATGCAAGTACGACACTACCGTAATATATTCAATTCTTTTTTCGGCATAGATTGAGATAACTGAAGCGGGGCCATGTTTATCGACAACAAGGGACCACTGGATCTAAAAGTTCTTCCGTTCTGCGTTTGCAACTGCGATTGTAATTTCGTTGCAGGTAAGCCATGCATAGTTTCCTCATCTGAATTATGGAGAAGAGCCTTTCAGATAGAAAGCAACTAGCACAAGATAGCAATACAAGTACAAGTAAAGAATAGTTCTGGTGTCTTCACGACTTGGAAGTAAGAATTACGTCCCCCGCATACTCAGAGAGTTCCTGCTGTTTGTTCCAGAAATATTCCAGATGACCATCGACTGTAGAACGGCGGTTGGGAACCTTCACCTGCTAACATCTTAGGAAACTCACTGTTTCCTTCATCGGTATCCTTGCGCATACGTTCCTTGTAGTCCTGAGATAGCTTGGCAGCCATCATGCGTCCCTTAAAGTTGAAAGAATGTGCATAATCCTTGAAATAAATTGGTGGATCTATACTTGGCAGATTGGTCTTGAGTGCACCCACTTTTTGCCATGTTATCCCAGCAACAGTGTCGCTCGCAATGATGATTCGGATGACGTTGTCTTTAATTGGCTGCTTGTTAAGATCACGCAAAAGAGTCTGGCGATAACTCTGGTCGTCTGGCAACTTGGCAAACACGCGTGTGATTACATCTTCACGTGTCATGAACTGCGAGTCGTCATACTAAATGCAGTGATAAACAATGTTAGGCTTATAGCGACAGAAAGTACATGCCTTTAATGCCTTTCGCGAGCTAGCCTTCTTTCCTGAAGAAGGTACTGAGGTTATCCTCAGAACGAAGCTGGTTCAAAGGGCCTTCAGTACTATTCGTCGGGACTCTTCAAGAGAAGACGGTAGATGCAAATACTTGAGCAAAAAATCCATGGCACCGCTTGGGTTGACTACACGAGAAGCCACTGGAGTCCAAAGTCCATGAGTCGCAGTTAGTGGGAGTGCAGATGCAAGAATGAAGTTATGATTGGCTGCGAAGAAAGCCCAGACTTCAATGGCATGGCGCCATGTATCGAGCCAACAGGTGAACGGCTTGAACACTTCTTTTTGATAGTCATTTGTCATTTCCTTCTCATGATTAATACAGTGGGGCTTATGCTCTGGCCAGTGCTGCTTTTGACATTCTCTAGAACAGTATCTAGCCATTCTGTATGGCGTTTAATTCGAGACACGAGATAATGTTTGCACTGACTTGCACTTTCCGCACCTTTGGAGAACTTCCATTTTTTTGTTACACTTGTAACAAAGCGTTTGGGATCCCAGACACATTACAGCGGAAGGCATTATTCTGTGTGGTAGTCAACGGTTCAAGTTGGGTTCAAGTTCACATGAGAATTTCTGTGCCAAACTTGGACCCGCACGTGGGTCGATTCAATTATATGGTCCACATATAATGTCACATAAGTACTCGCATGCTTATAAATTCTGAAAGCCTTCCTTTCTCTCCAGTTACTTATCTATTATCAGGTCTATTGCACTATTGAGACAATATTCGCCTTTCCTTGCATCGCGAGCGACATTCCGCCAGCGATACAGCATCCTAACAAGTCGAGATGAGCCTATGTGTGTATTTCCACGTATTAAACTGTAGCATTATTCAGGCTTATGATATATCTCTAGGAAAATGCATGACGTCGCCAACAATTATGAGTCGATCCCAGCACGACTGGTAGAAGAGAGGCACCTCGACAAAGCCGATGTCCCATCATCCCGTAAAGGCACCAACAGAAGAAGACGAAAGTAGTTCGAAGGAAGAAAGGAAGAACCACGACCTGATCCTAATCATCAGTCGACCCCACCCATGCCCCCTGGGTAAGTTTTCTATCTTGTTCTGTGGCTTTAAGCGATGCTGATCCATATCAGTAGTGCCACACCCAAAGGACGTCCAAGTGGACGGCAGTAAGCCTCTCACAAGGCCAGGTCCGAGAGATTTTTGGCCGTTTATTGGCTGACAAAACGGTTGTTTTGCTTATTACGTGAAGTAGACGATTGATTGAAATTTTTGGTCGTTGTAAAACGGTGCAATATCCCCGATAACCATGAATATGTAAATCTGATGCGCGCACCTAGGGCTGACCGTTATCTTCGGAAGGTACCTACGCTCTGTTTATGTGTTACAGTTATTGATGCGCTCACTAATCCAGGCGCCTGATTGTAGAAGTCCTCCCGTAACCGGCGCTGCAAGGGTAAGCGCCTTCAGCACTACTACGAATGACAATGTGACTTGGAAGTGTTTGCAGTTCCTTTCCACACGAAGAGTACATCATGGCCATGAAGATAAGTCTCGTATAATTGAGCCGAATCCTGTTCCGTGTCTTCCTAGGCCTGCAGCCTGTTTCTCCTGTCCCAGCTGCTGAAACAATTCAGAACCATTGATCCCTCAGATCTTTTGAAAACTTTCCTGCCAGTGATTAGGCCAATGGAAACTGCCTAGAGTACGCGACCAAACATAGGACGTCACGATAGACACGAGCAAAGAAAACACCTCAAAGTGAGATCCTGGTTGAATTACCGACATAGCATTCGCTTTTCGTCGCCGTTGATGGAAGAAGGCTGAAAATCAAGTTACAGATAAGGCAAGACTAAAGTAGCCTATTTGGCCCGCTCCACCATCTCAATTCTCCAATTTCATGAGTGTTTGTATAATCTTCCGTGATATCTTCATCGGTAATGCATGTGCGTCACTGTTGTCGGATTCCTCTTATAGCGCGCAGAGGGTCATCCGAAATGTATATCGGCAGAAGATTGCGTCGAATTGAAGCAGGATCCCAAATTCTGAAGAACGAAATATCCTTGAAATGCCGCATCGATTAAATGCTGAGACTCGTATTGACCAGTTGGCGCCTCGGTTGGAGACATGAAGTTCACCTGTAATAGTACAGATAAGAGAAGCCACAAGCGTTAAATTTGCACGTACTTACGGTCTTCGTTTTACGATCGCAACTTCATGAATGCGATGCTGTTAGAGACTGCGCCATCCTCGAGTCCACCCTCCAAGACTCACCTACCACTTGTCCTTCCTGCTTGTAGGGCATTGACTAGTGATGAATCGTTCGATGAACGCCAAGTCTGTCCAAAGAAATTTCCATAGCGCACCCCACTCAATACGTAACGTCTCTCCAGTTCTAAATTTTCCAGACGATATTTTCGGTTTGATGCATAGGGAAATGGAAAGAAGGCTGGTTAAATTACTGGCTTTGGTGCTTCTTTCCTCTAAATTTGGCTCATGCATTGTCTTCAACGGGCGAACTTTGATATCCTCATCGATAATTATGACGATACAATGTCTCTTATTTTCCTGATTGCTATGCATAGGAGGGAAAGAAGGATTACAGAGGTTTAAATACTGCATAAATAATCGACAAAGAAATATAGGATGAAGAAGGATTATCAAAAAGGACAGTATGACAAAAAACAGTCTCAGCCTGACTGTCAGTCGTCCATCATGGATACTATTGCGTCTTTTCAATGAAAACCATCAATTCGCCCCGCCGCTCCGGTTGAGCCTCAATGTCCATTTCAAGGTCGGTGCTTAGGTCGGTGCTTAGCATGTTGGTCTCCTGAAAGCTCGTCGTGCAAATTTCGGAAGACGTCTGGAAACGAAGCGTCGACACCGCACTTTCATCACAGTCATCTTCGGGGCGTATGACCCGCCACCACCCTGCCAACGAGCATCGTGGGTGCAAGTCCCTACAGAAGATGTTTGGTATGCGACAAGGGAGTCAAAGATTAAGTATGAATGCACCTTCGAGATGGCAGCGTATAAAAGCACGTAGAGAATCTGAGAGTTCAACTGGGCATTAACAAATTGAAATATACGAGCTTTGTCGTTATCAGTGGGATCGGATGGACCTTCTATCGAGGTTGCCATAGCGAAGGCCATAGCGAAAGGGCATGAATGACGAGGGAGTAGTTTATGAAAATAACACATATCAACCCTCTCGTTATAAAGAGCTCACCGTTGCTGGGTTGACATTGATATCAAGGCCAATATCGATATGGCGCATCTTGAACAGAAGAGTAACCATCTGTATTGTGTCGATAGGTAGCCCCATCACTGATGACCCATATAGTGCTTCAAAGCGAAGAGTGTAGGGTGGATTAACCGATTGTTGTAATAGATCCAGTGCTATCTGCATGTCGACACCATTCATTTACCTACAAAAATGGGGCCATTGCAGACAAGGTCTATTGAAACGTCCCGGTCGCACTTGGACACAGCAGTGCCGACACGGACGCCGATGTTGATGCCTTGCGCGACGACTGGGGGATCAGTGCTACAATTGATCACGGGTGGCTGAAAGCAAAGGGGTTTAGCTGAAACTACATCCGCGGAACCTTCTACTTATTTGCACCCACGGCAGAGATGAAGCAAAGCACTTCGAGGTGTGTCGTCAGGCTGAAAGTACGATCAGTCGTTCGTTGCCAGTACACAGATGACCTAGGTCGAATCAGGCCTTCATTGAGAGCGGGCTGAGCCTGCAGTCTTTAGAATTAGCCGAAAACACAAGGATGATCCATTAGATCCTGGCTTGATGTCCAACTGGCTGTGGTGTCAGAATCATACAACGTACTTCCTGAGAATCGTTGCCAGGCATTCCATCAATCCTTTTACATTTCTCCCCGTTTTTGCTCATTTGAAGATAGTTTGACGTCCCGGGATCAGTCTTTGGCTGTCTCGTGTATGCTAACGTTAGCGTACCTGTGAGAGTGATCTGATGGATACCTTGGGAAAAGTCAGTGCGGTGTGACGGACGACAATGGCGCCCGCTGCCATCCAAAGGACTAACTTGACGTTGTACAATACAGCTGAAGGAAATCTAGGCCCAACATCTAACGGTAAAGCATACCCGCCACCAAATCCAAAAAGGGAAAAATAGTCGGAATCTGCCAGCCGAGCATATGCCGAGCACCGGATCGAATATCAACGAAGTGCATCTCAGCTAGCTGTGTGACATGTGTCGACACTCTACACCCGGCCAGTAGCTTCTATTTCCCTGGCGGTATTCTCACCACCCAAAAGTTCCTCGTCGTCGCTGAAGGATTCAAAATGTCATCTTCAGCAGGTTCATCGAGCGTGGAGGCCAGCACGACTGTTGCCTCTACGACAACGACGACGACGCCAGCCCCGGCGAGCTCGTCTTCTGTCACGACAACCGTACAGTCGACGAGCTCGACGGAGACGTCCATTTTCACGACTAGTACGACCAGCACCAGTACCAGCACCAGCACCATCCCGCCGCCTACATCTTCGTCTAGTAGTGACACTGCAGCTTCCACGACCTCCATTCCGCCTGATACCACGACAAGCACGACATCGGCACCGCCCGTTGACACCGGGAGCAGCACTACTGATATGGGGTCAGGAGGAGGAGGGACAGGACAAGGACAAAGCCAAAGTCAAAGCCAGAGTTCTAATGGCAACACTCAGCAGCACACATCCTTTATCCCCACGACGATTGTCATCACCCAATCCAACGGCCAGCAGGTGACGGCAACCACGTCTGTTGTGGCTCCTTCCTCTTCCTCTTCGGCCTCTTCGGCCTCTTCATCATCGTCCTCATCGTCCTCATCACATACGGGCGCCATAGTGGGCGGAACCATTGGCGGTATTGCTGGTCTCGCTGTGGTCCTCGCTCTTGTTTGGTTCCTCTACAAACGCCGGCGGAACTACCGCTTCTCAGATCACTTTGATGGAAACTTTGACCCCGACAGGATCGTGGCCCGGACGCCTGACATGGGACTGAACCTCGATGATGAACATGATCAAGATGACGGGATGGGTGGACGGCTCGGAGGAGCAGAGATCGGGGCTGGAGTCGTTTCGCCGTTCCCCATCAGCGCAAGCACGAATAGCCAGGGAAGTAACTACACCAACTACTACAACGGCTCGCCTGCATCCCCACCGCCAATGTCGCAGTACTCTGCAGAATCTTATCCGCCTTCAGCGTACAATCCTTACGCCATGGTTCCCAGTTCCCCACCCGGCTCGCCGGTGTCACACACCCCTCCATCCTCCAGCGGTGTCGGTGGGGGAATGTCTGCAAAGGAGCGCGAGGCGAGGCAACACCAGCTGGGCATCGTTAACCCCGACGACCGCTCAGCTTACCTTGTGAATGGCCCCGGTCCAAGCGGGGTTATTGTCCACCAGGATGCAGGCCCAAGCGAGATCCCGCCGTCGTATGATAGCTTACTGCCTGGGCCGTCTAGAGCGGGACCATCTCAGGGAGGCAATAGCTCTTAGAGGGGACGTAGATGAGACAAAGGACTCTTCGATTGACTGATTACTTACTGACGGACGTTGTGTTCTCGATCGACACCATCTAATGCTTCATGACCGCACTATCTTTCGCATCTCTTACTTATCTAATCTCGCTACCCATTACTTATTCCCCCCTCCACATGCTACTACAATGCCCGTCTCCACGTATCGATTCCATTCTGATTGTACTGTATACATGTACCGCTGTACTGATAGTCGCTCTATTCTCGCTATGCAGTCTTGTATGTAGTGCAATATCTATCTACTCGCCGTCCACTTGGTTGGATTTTTGAACGTTGCATGGTGTGATTATTAAATTTGACGTCTCCGTGAATTGCTCCAGCCTCGACATGAGACGCGAACTAGTACGGCCGGGCGCCACGAGCAGTCGAGTTGCATTTATCTCCATTTATTCAGCCCAAGCTACCGAGTTGGTGGTTTGAAGTGGTTTGAAGACCGTATGCGTAGTTACTCATGGATCCTCAAGAAAAGCAGCAAAGGAAGTAAAAAAAAATTAGGATAGGCGGAGAAGGCCTAGATCTTCAGGGTTAGAAAACATACCTGTCCAAGTAGGACATTAGGAGCACATTCTCAGCAGTGATGTGCAACCAGAAGATCTGTAGCGAGATGGTTGATCCAAGTGGTAAGATCTCCAGATTTCCTCTTCGGAAGAATCGGGCCGTCTTCCGTCGTTGGCCGGTAAGCCGAAGACAGGCATGCAGGAACCTCTCCATTGCCGCCACCGCAGCTTTTTCTGTTCTTTTCCTTCGTTTTCACGACAGTATGAAGCGAGATGCAGGAGAGTACAAGGAATTGAAGGAAAATTTTGTCTCTGGAGCGACAGGTTCGACGGTGACCCAAGTCAACCTAATTTCTTGTGCGGCTCTCGTTCGTCGTTTCTTTTGTACGGTCGGTGCTCATCCAATCTCCTTCTCACAGGCCTCCGTTTTTCTATATCATACAATACTCTCAAGAACTTCCTCGACGAGCTTGACCAAATTTCCGATATCATGGGTCATCCTGGTCCTACCCCTTCTCTTGTCTATGACACTGTTCGCCAATATGCCAACGCTGCTCTCAATACTGATGTTGGTTCCGGCTCTGGGACTGTCGTTTCTGCCTCGTCGCGAATCTGGAACACCACTTCCTTCCAATGAAAGTGAACGGGATCCTGCGAGTGCCACGGCGATTGTGGCACCACTGCCGTACTTGACGACATATCGGGCGCATATGCTCCTCATGACAGTTCTTGCTATTCTCGCGGTGGACTTTCCTCTGTTTCCTCGCTCGCTAGCCAAGTGCGAGTCATTTGGGGTCTCATTGGTATGTATGCTATGTCCCTTCACTGATGGTTGGATTTATGATTTATTCCCATCAGATGGACTTGGGGGTTGGCGCGTTTGTCTTTTCTCAAGGAGTCATTTCAGCAATCCCGCTCATCAAGAGTCCGGCCTATCTCGCATCTCCGGTGCTTTCTAAGCTGGCCACCACAATTCGTAAAGTATTTCCTATCCTGGTCCTGGGCATTGTGCGTGTGTTGCTTGTCAAAGGGACAGAATACCCCGTCTGTATGAAAGTTTCGGTCCTACGTATCCATTCTAATGGGCTTGTCCAGGAACACGAAACGGAGTATGGCACTCACTGGAATTTTTTTATCACCTTGGCCCTCCTACCTGTAATGGAGATCCTACTTCACCCAGTAATCCTTCGGGTTCCGATATCCATGCTTGGTATATTGATTGCGATGTGTAAGTTCTGTTCGTCCAAACTCCGTGTATTCTATTGACTTCTCCCGTAGGTCAACAACTCGGCTTGTCCGTCTTTGGGCTACAAAACATTGTCCTCTTCGCTCCGCGGGCCGGTTTCTTGTCGGCAAACAAAGAGGGCATCGTGTCCCTACTGGGTTTGTTCTACGTTGTCGCCTTCGGAGCTAGTGCTGACTGTATGCTGTCTTTCAGGATATCTTGCTGTACATCTCCTAGGTCTATCAACTGGAACACTGATCCTACCTCCTTCACCTTCGTACTTCCGCCGGTTCCAGCGCCAATTCAACAAAACTGGCGAGTTAACATTGGGAGGTGGAGAGAAATACCAAGACTCATATCGTCTCCGACAAAATGATAAAATAGCCACGGAGTTGTGGGCATATTCCATGCTCTGGTGGGCGTTCATGGGTTTAACGAGGTTATTCCAGATTGATGGCAAGGGAGGCGTGTCTAGGCGTGTGGTTGGTCTTCTCTTAGCTTCCTTTCCGAAAGAGTCTCAACGCTGCGTTGCAGGTCAACTTGTCATATATCCTTTGGGTAGCGGCATATAACACGTCGTTTATCTTGGCTTATCTCCTTATGGACCTCTATTTCTATCCTTCCCCATCGAAGTCGAACAGCCCACAACCGAGTGGCGAGGAGGTCTTACCCTCACGCGTGGCTGTTTCTGCTCCTCTTTTTGAAGCTGTCAATAAGAATGGGCTGTTACTGTTTTTGTTGGTCGGTTTCATTTCTCACTATAGCGTGTAATCTGCGCTAATAGATAATATACAGGCAAACGTCTTCACTGGCCTAATCAATTTGACGATACCGACGATGTTCACTTCGGACTTTTGGGCTATGGTTGTTTTGTGTGAGTATTCGATTGGGGTGTGTTGGGCGGCGTGGGCTTTGAGAAATATTCGTGTCTGGAGAATATAATAATTGATCATACTTGAGTTAGATCTGATGACTCGCTTGTCGATTTGAAGTAGACGCTGTTATACACAGGTACGATGTGCTAATGCCTATAAACTTATCAGGCGACTGTCAAGCCACGACAGGCTTAGACCACGAGTCTGACGCCAATGAGTGACTGGCCCTGATGGGAAATTATTTTTCAGCATCACTCTTGGTACGCACAGATAAATTGCGACCTTTAATGTAAAAAAATAATCTAACATTATTGCAGATGCCTCCTTCATGTTCACGTCGTAATGCACAATGCCGACAGAAATACTCAGACCCTTGAGAAGCTCTTTTTGATAAAAATGTCAACTTGAACCCATCCGCAGTTTCGATACAAGTGAGACACTACCTTTCCCTGGTCTCCATCCCAGAATAACTTGGCGCGCTCACTATCAGAGTCACAAATTGGAGAACTATTGGTACCAATTGGGACCAAGTCTGCGTGCATCCGTGGGATGTGCGAGATAACGACGCGCGACTTGAAAAATGTAAAGCATTATTACATAACTGACCGAACGATCGACTTCTGGCTTCGTCTACTTCCATGGATCATCTATTTCCTCCAGTACGCAACGAATTTTTCTTGCATTGCGTCCTGCTGTCCGACCTACATTACGAAGAAGAGGAAATCGAAAAATTAATGCATGGGATCTACGCAAAGTCGAATTTCGGTCCTTGCGGTAACACACATGGATTATTGTGCTGTGCCCATGCAAGTGTCTGTAGGACATTGGAAGCACTACAAGGAATCTTCCGGAGTAGATGCCGCGCAATGGAAACAAGAGATGACAGGCTGAGAAAAACACTCCCGGTAGAGTTAGAGCGGGAAGACGTGGCGGTACCGCTGATAACTGCAACTGAATCCGTACATGGGATAAAGAGGATAGTGGAGATCGACTTCCCGGTGCGTTTCTCTCACTACAGGATATCATTCGCTGGAGTTACCCTTTCGGCCGGCAAGGTTGACTCTGCGGTTGTGCTATTTTCTTTCGCACATAATCCAAGCCCTACGGGAAAATACGAAGAAGAGGAAGGGAACAAGCGAAAGGCCCTCCATCCACAGAGGGATATTGGGAAAACTTCTCTTCCACCTCGTTCACGTTGCTCAGGTTGCTGGCATCTTGATAGAGGCTTTTTGCCCGTAAATTGTCCCAACTGAGCGTACGTCGAGGCTCCCAGAAGCCAGGTTGTAATAAATGACTCGATCAGGATCTATAAGGGTTCGACGGTATTCCGTCCGTCACACAATGTTGGTTCTTTAGGGATCGAAACGGATAAGAGATTATGGCCTGGTGATTAAAAGCACTTACTTACGAGGGCCAGCTTGAAAGCGCCTCAATATGAATCGTGGGATGACATGGTGATACTAGTCTTTTTGTGGATGCTGAGTAGGCAAGAAAGTGGAACCTTTTCGCTTGCTACGTAGTGCGTGCTGGATAGACGTAGACTTGGAGTTAGGCGCCGAAAGGCAAAAGAAGCCGGGCACTAAGCAGGAATCAGACAGGCTCAGTTCCTTTCTCGGTCGTCTCCTTTAACTCATGATAATATCATAAAGTCCAACCATCCGGCACGACAACTCTCCAATATAGAACGCTCGCTCATTACCTGGAGCATCGCCGATCGGGTGAGAGGCATCCTCTTCAACTTGAAAAGGCAGGTCAGCTAATGATTATAGGTAAAAAGTTGGCTTACATCCAATGCATCTATTTCATTTGTTGGATCACCCAATTGAGCCTGTCTCTTCATGCAAAGTGCAATAATGGAAGCTGCGATATCAGCTATAACACGATCCACTGTGCTAGTGAAGCTTTGGTCGTCTAGTCCCTCGCGCTCAACCAAGCGATCCGCTATGACAACGAGGGAATAATCGTAGCGAAGGTGTACACAAGCCAGCAGGGCATAGAACAACCACACATGATGTGAAACTCTTCCATCACAGTCAACGCAGAAGACAGGCTTCCCCGAATGATGACGTACGAGCTCAGATCCAGAAAAGCGATCCTGCCACGTCTCCGTTGGGATGTCAATCGAGCGCCAGGCATCAGTAATATGCTCTGGAGCATCCTCCAGCAGTTCATCTATACCCCAGATGACTTGATCGTTGTCATTCACGTCTAAGATGAAGCCGTATCGTAGAAGCAGTTGTGCGTTGCTGAGGGTTTCACCATATGTGTTGAACACTTCACCGTGGGATGGAATGAGTGTGTTGCTGACCATTTCAAAGTGATCCTCAAGATTCTCTGGCGCCAGCGAAGGCTCATCGTCGTGAGGACATTCCTTCAGGGAACCGCATTCAGGGCAGACGTCATATTCGCTCTGTATCGTGGTGAGGTGGAAGAAAGTAATATATAACAGTCCCATACCTCGAGATGTACATGATTTTCCTGAGAATGATTGAAGCTGCGAGCGGCAGGTCAGAACAAAGACCAAAAAAGAACACAGAAAACGACGTACGCATCTGCGATAGGTACCATAGAAAGGCCATGATACGCATCGATAAGGAAGGCTCTGGATGAGACCAGCGAATACGCGTGGTAGAACCCATGTAAAGAGCACTTGGCAGTGGGTGAGTCTTGGAAATATGCATTAAATATGGTCTCTACAACTTCGCAGTAGTAATGGCGTAGTTCGTCCTTATTATGTGGCTTCAGTCAAGTCCACGCAACGAGATAATTCTACGCACTAGACGAGTCAGGCTATCCACACACGCCAACAGGTCCCTCTCCACCTCAGTCCCCTTTAGCCACCTCAAAGCATCTCTTCTATCCGTAGAATCCATTGAATGGTCTTCTGTTTGCCACAGAATAGGGATATCCACGATTTGCGTCGGGAGTGATTGCAGATAACCATGCCACCGCGATGACTCGCCTTTCACTCTGCCACACGTCATAAACAGAGCTCAAACGCAGAGGAAAAACAACGTACAGTTCAACGTACAAAGCAAGTGCCAAAGAGAGCTGGGCTTCATGTCCAACAGGGCTGGCGACAACGACTGACGAAACAGAGGACGATTTTACCGAAAGAACAGCATCTTTTGGAATGTGCACTACTACGGCCACCGATAATTTAATGAGCAGCTGACCGCATATAATCTGATGAGTATTCACCTGAAGAAAAGGGAGCAATCTCCTCGCCGTTGGAACGAACGCTGATGTTCTCATCATGGCAGACAACGCGCAGCCGTAGATCAATTTTTATACCGTGAGATGAGCACCATTCGAGTAGTACGGATATCTTGTCCGGATGTCCCATAAATTGGAGAATGATGACATAAAAGGAGTTGAAGAATGATGAGATGATAGTGCAAAGGCAAGTTCCAATTGGGCGGCAGGCATGGTATGCGCAAAATTATTTCATTGGTATTATATATATGTTTCCTGTACGGCTTGGATCCATTTCCTGCGACTAAATTCACCGGACTTGGATTGAATTAGTTGCTGCGACTACAGCGTCGTTACCTATTATACGCACATAATAACCTCAATGTCGGCTTGAAATTTATTAAATCCTTCATTCCGACCCAACTGCCGTATCCCTGGGTTCATTGCCTATCCCAGTGCTCTCTGTCTGAGCCTCAAGTTCGCACACATCTCCGACGCTGCTTCGAGTTGAAGAAATGACGCTTCCTTGCCAAGAATCATCCGGCCGTGCCCATCCTGCGACGCGGCCGACCAGAAGTGTTGGCGCAACACCCTACATGACATGTCTATTCAATGTCGAAAAAAGAGCAAGATCATTAAGCTCACCCTTGCAAAGGCCACTACAGAATCCAAGTAGACTAACACCGAATTCGAGCTATCGTAGGCAGAAAGGCCCAGATATAGTATTAAGGACGCCGAATAGAGAAGTGAGGATTCAACCAAGATTTCGATGATATGACGGTAGGGGCCGATCCCGCCATCGGAATTAATTGTCACAGTCAAGATGCGATAGATGATAAGAAAGGTGCACCATAATGTCGTCACTAGAATCAAAGACGAGTACAGAATCACACCAAGTTCATAGGTGGTTGCATACACGAATCGCTGAAGTACATTGATCATTTTAAAGCCTGTATCAACCCAATCAACAACTCGAACACGAAGATCTGGGACATCATACCAATTCCAGACAGGAGAAAAAATATAGGGAATGTGACGACGAGCCAGCGTTGTCCCCATACAATCCAGCAGCGCCAAATCTATAATTCGGATGATAGTGAGCTGAGGTAAAAATTTCCCAAACCGAGGCACACACACCATGGTAGAGTCGGCAAGAATAGTAGAAATGATGGCAGTTATACCGGTCGCTAGTGTCGCGGTGGCGGGACCATTTACTGTCCGATATACAGTCCCGAAACTCTTTCCGTCGACAGTGAACGCAGAGCTTCCAATGGACCAGACGAACGCGAAATCGATGGTGGCCAAGACATAAAGGGACAGGATAATGACGACCATGATTTTCATGAATTTGCTGGCGCATCCGTTGCCACAAATGTCTGTGAGATTCTGGTCAACTTTTAATGCTACAGTAATAAGGTCCACTCACAAATATTCCATAAGGTGACAGCAACGATTCCAGTATATAAGCCTATGTGTGTCCATGATATAACATGAAGACCCAATGCTCGAGGACAACTGCGCACCATGCAACAGCGCGTAGAACACCCCCAAGTTTAATTCTGTGCCAAACTTTTGGAGCAATAGAACTTTATTATCGCCAGTCGGTGAGATATCTGGCTGAACAACCATCATCCGCGTATGTAAGAAGGACGAGCCCACTGATGGAGTCAAGATGAAGTGGTTGGTGAAGACAACAACAGCAATCACTTTCATTATTAAATAGAGCGCCTCGTCTTGATACAGCTCCAGAAAAGATGATCAAAGAAAGAGATTTGATTCTATGGAGAAATTTTTTAGCCTTTCTTCGGACCAATTGTACTTGAGAGCATTCGAGGGCATGATTGTAAACATGTACAACGATTCAAAGGATCGTACATGAAGCGTGATCGATGATCCTGTTCCAGATGGAAAAAGAGACCATACGAACTGAGCTGTGGAGAGGTGAACCTCATCTCAGCACTTAATTATAGTCATGAAATCATTAACCTGGCGGCTTCCGAAATTCGTGATCGTGGAAGTTCTTTTGAGATGACTAAAGTCAACGAGGGGGCCATAAGCGCGGAGGGGCGAAATACTTCGGTTACCTCACGGAATATTATCAAACGGATTCTGGGCTGGGGACGATATCGAAACCGTCCTATCAGCGGTCAGACAGTGGTCGTTAGGTCAGGAAGCAGACGATGTTATGAGTTGCTGTCCTATATACAACCTTTTATTAGACGAAACATAATACATGGTGAATACTCATACCATCACCAAATAGTAGTAACAGGGAACCCCGTGGACATCCATACTAGCACTTAAGAAGTTCGGCCTACCTCAACTACCTGCGTCTCAATCTCTTCGAGACTTTACTATAGCAGATATATTAGGTAAGGAAGTCTCGAAGGGAACGACTATGCATCTTTTGGTATGGCCTATCGCGTAGAATAATTGCCAGGAGACAGCAGCCAGGAGGATGATGAATGTAAGGCACCACTACTTCAAGTCTCGTGTCATGGCCCCATTCGAAGAGAGATTGGGTCCTTACTATATCTCACAATGCCGGCCCAACGTAACGCAATTGAACCCTGAAAGGAATTTGAAGCGCCTTCAATAATTTTGATAGGGTCTCCGAGCATTCCGAGCATCTGCAACAGTCGATGTGTGACGGAGGAGAGCTATGAACGCTGATGCAAGAGAGCCGATGGACCGGATCTTAATATAAGTTGTCCATTAGAAGAGCAAGGACAAACCATGATAATCCGAGAGCCACAAGGCTGGAGTGATCCATGGTGGAAGGCAACTCCTGAAAACGGCGATCACCGCTTTTGACGTTGATGATATCGGTTGGTAGTTGGACAAGGGAATTGATGAGAGATAAAACCAAATAATTTCTGCCCACTACTACAAAGATACTGACTTATTGCATGGCTCATACAAGTTAACATTTTGGTACGAAGGCCCAAAGCCGTTATGTTGTCGATATTATTTCGTATTCCCCTGAGCGGCCTGAATCCATGCAAACAAGTTCTGGTTGAGTTCATCCTTGGCCTGGAACTGAACCCAGTGCCCGGTGTTGTAAACATGAATAGTCGCATGCTTGCACATCCGTTCGACGGTCGCCTTATTCATATAGGCTCGACAGACAAAATCCTGGGAAGCGCCGAAGAAAACCGGCATAGTCAGCTCAGTAGTCTTCGGAAAGTTCTCTATGCGGTTTTAAAATGAGTGTATGGTATGTATTTATACATATGATACAGAATCCTCACCTCTCAGATCTTCAGCATATATGTTGGAAGTCATAACTTTGTAATAAGACAATACTGCTTCTAATCTACTGTTTTGCATTTTCTCCTTCTGGGTGTACTGTTCCTGAAAGAAAAATCAGCCAACGCATCGCCGTGCAGTCAATCAGCTTGCCTCTTCTGTGATGAACGACCTAATCTTCGCTGAATGATTATTTTCGATCCATGTTTTCGTCCCGCCTGGAGGATTCACATATTCCATCCAAAGATCAGGGTCCTCGCAGAACGAAAGACTATAAATGAGTCGAGGTTCTTCGCCAGTTTGGTGTGGACATCCTTTTCAGAAAAGGATGACCAGTACCCGTATAACTCTGTGCCGATGTGTTGTTTCATCTGGCGAAGAGGTTAATACATCGAGACAAAACAAAAATCGTGCCGTCTGCATAGCCTCCTTGTATGTCCCAGGCAAAATAGGAGGGTGATACCCCATAGAGAGGAATCCAAACGCTAAGAAGCAATCTGGATAATAGTTTGCCAATCTGCTTGTTGTAAGTGCGCCCCTCGTGGATTATTTCGAATTGATGCCACTATTCACTGTCGAATAGGCGTGCTTACTCACCAGTCATGTCCGATAGCAATGGCAATTTCTTATCCCGAATTCTTTTCGACTGATAAGCTGAGTGAAATGAGATGGTAGAACATGCAAGGATTCCGACAAATTACTTTTCAGTATGGACATTGTCACTGGGCTTATTTACCTCAGTCTTTGCTGTTCAGGTTGTCATTGGCTTTCTGCGATGTGATTGAATATTCTCTAATGAATCCAACGAGAACCCCTATAGCTATACATATAGGTGACATAAACGTTTAAATATAACAACTCTTACTGTTTCAGACCGAGCTGGATAGCCTTCATCTCGAGTCCCTATAACCCCTTATTTAGATTTTACGAGATTGAATGACGGTATTTGAACTTACCATACGCTTAGATAGGAATCGAGAGTTGCCCAGCTCACCACCCGCAAACCATAGCTAAGGTAAAATGAATAAGAGTCATCACATTTGGTAATAAAAAGAACGTACTCCAGGATACCCAGACGGTTTATAACAGCCTTTCAATTCACCTTCTTCGTCGAGCCCCCAGATTTCTCCGGTTTGATTAATGACTTTTTCCCCAAATATGGACTTGATGGTTTCCTTGACATTGTGATAACCAGTACTACGAATTTGCGTGAGATTTTAACCCAAAGGAAGAACAGAAAAGCATACGCGTAAATCACAACATCGGCATCCAGCATGGAGCCATCGGTGAAGACTACACCCTTGTTCAAATACCGCTGAACCTCAACGCCGTGTTTAACCTTGACCTGACCAGATATGATGAGCCCGGCACATCCAACATCGATCCAGAATCCTAAAAGGATATTCAGTATTAATATATAAACATGTAATAAGATAGCAGCAGTCCTACCACCAGATTTCTCAAAAACCATAGGGAATTGTCCGGATCCATCGTCACCCATATTAATATGCAGACCGGCCTTCCTCAACCCATCGTGCAAGTCCTTCTCGGCCGCTGCGATAGCGTCCGCCTGAGACGCAGCAATCCGTTTACGCAACAAGAGAGGCAAAGCCTGGAACTTGAAGTCGCATGCCTCCACAGGAACATCATCTGGCCAAACTTTGAGCAAGTTGTTGGTGTAATTGGGGTGTTTTGCAACAACGCAAGTCGAGGAACGCTGGACAATGGTCACAGATTGGGCGCCCTGTGTGACAAGATCCTGGCAGATATCCGCGCCCGAGTTGCCTGCGCCGACTACAATCACGCGCTTGCCCACGAAGGGTTTACCTCCAGGGTAATCCGCGGCATGAAGCGTCCGGCCTTGGAAAACTTCCTTATCATCAACGTGGGGGACCAGCGGGGCGCCCAGAATTCCGAAAGCAGTGACAATGTGGGACGGGTGTACGGTAGTGGGGGTGCCTGCGTGATCAATGACAACAGTCCACTTTTTCGTTTCGGGGTCGTAAGTGGGGGTCCCGGTTGTGCGCGAATTTGTCCAGATGCTAAGATCCTGACTGGTGGCGTATTGTTCGAGCCAACTCGCTACCTTATCTCGTGATGCGTAGATCGGCCAGTTCCTGGGATATGGTTGGTACAGCACTGTGAAGGAGAAATATGTGGATTGGTATTTTATATAGGGGAGATAAGACGGAGTTGATGGCCACTTACGTTGAAATTGGGACCTGGGACTATGCAAAGTAAGTGTAGGATATCTAACGCGCCAGTTATCACCGACACGTGCGTGGGATTCAACGACAAGAGTGGGCATATTCATCTGTTGGAAACGAGCAGCAAGGATCAAGCCGGTCTGGCCAGCACCAACTATTCAATATGAGTATATCATGATTATTGCAGTAGAAAGCGACACCCACTGATCAAGATATACGGGTCCTTCTCCACGGATTCTCTGCGCTTTCGATGAACTTCGTCCCAGGATAAGGTGTGGTCTCCGTAGATCCCGAGCTCAGCGCCCTCCTCAGGATGTCCATGGATTTCATCAAGAATCATGAACACCGCTAGAGCCTTCCAAACGCCCTGGGCATCTGGGAGAAGATGAAAATACCCTCGGGCCGTGCCCACCCCAGTCGAGAACGTGAAACCCGACGCGACGGCAGTTTGAGTCGGGGTTACATGAGCAAGCTCGGGAGTAAAGTACTGGCGCTTGTCAAGGACGATGTTGGATATTTTAGCTGCAGCAAAATTTGCAGCGAGATGGTCCTTGATCTTTTCTTGACCAATGAATGTACGGTTGCTCCAAGTAAAGACTAAGACATCGCGAAGCCAGCCGTCGGGAAGAAAGCATGATACGATACCATCTACATCTCCTAGTTCGGTAAACTTGGAGAAGTTTTCCAACCAGGAGGCAGAGATGTTAGAGATAGCGGTGGAATCCAGGGTAGCCATTGGTGAACTGATTTCGACAGTAGCTATTACTCAGGTACTTCTTATACATGGTGTGGACTTATGTGTGGGTGTTAGGTCAGGTCCTCAATCCACCAAGACATTTGATTTTGTGGATTGGTACCTAGTGGGTTAGTATTAACACTTCCGGTGCATGGTATGACACAGACGGACCACCCACCTCTCACCCGACCCAGCGCTGGGTGGTACCCAAGTACGGCTGATGATGCCGAGGGCCAAAAGGTTGCATATAGTATAAGGTACCGAAAACATCAAAGCATTATGTGACGTGTGCAGAGCAGTCCACTTGAAGGTCTCCCCTGCGTTGAGCACGGCAACTTCGTCTGAGTTAAAATGAGCTGTGCGGAGACGGCTCTTGCTGTGGCGACATGAGTGATGTGGGCCAGTGGGTTATCTTGCAACTAGGCCTGCAGAAAACAGATAGAATATAATCAGGCAGATTCTAGATTACAAGGGCTGTTGGGATGTCCTCGCCAGCAGAAGATAATCCCCGGAAAGCTGTAACGTGGAGCAAAACGAGACCACGCCGTAATTCCATGGGGAAGACGTATATCCACATAGTATAAATAAACGGAGATATTGTAATTGTGCTGTGTTTGCATGCTGAACCTGACTGAAACAGTTAGATACCGCTCCTAACGGGCGGTTACGATATTCTTGAGCTTCAGAGGCTGTCCGCCTACGCAAACATTACCCTTATCTGCATGCAATCTCGTATACCACACCAATCGCCGAAGCAAATTTAACCTTCTCGATTCCCCCCGCCATGATGGATGGAATTTTCATATAGTTTTTATTCCCTGGGGACCAATATTGCTCCAGGCGACAATGAAAATTCGTTTCACAGCGTGCCGGTGATCTCATCACTTCAGGAGACTTCTACCAATGAGTTATCTTTGAGTATTCGAGTACCGTCCATACCAGAATCATGCAGAACTAGAAAGATAACGACGGCGGTTGCAGTAATGAGAGTCGATCGTGACGATGTTTGGCAGAGGCAAGGGCGCCACGTCAGAAACACGTACAAACTTGAAGAAAGTTTGTCCTCCACCTACTATCAACACTATGGCGTCGCCTACTCAACAGTTGCCGGCAGGCTGGACTGCTGAATGGTGAGCGGTATTCATTCCGAGTGATACTTGTATTTTGACGGATTTTAGGGACGCGTCGAACCAGCGATACCTGTTCGTTGGTATGGACTTAGTTTTTTTATCCAGGCATGTACATTAACACCCAAGTACAGAAGCGTCGACGGGCCACACACAATGGGATCCTCCAGTTGATCCTGCTCTAATGGTCGACCAGGCCCCAGCAGTCGCGCCTGTTGCAGGCCACAGCTCGAAACGACGGCAGTATGCTGCTGGTCAGACTCAAGCTTATTTCGGTACTACTGGTGCTCCAGACGCGTTAGGCGATGGTGGATATGGTGCTGCAGCACAACAAGCACCTGTTGGTGGCCAATTCTTCACTCCAGGCTTGGCGGGTGCGGGGGTGCAGCCTCAAGGTCCTGGGCAACCATACTATGACAGCAGGCCAGAGTACATAAATGCCCCAGATCAACATCAGCCGCAACAGACCTTCGTGCCGCCTGGCATGGGTGCCCTTGCGGATCAGTTCAGTCAGATGGGAATGGGCGGGCAAAAACCGTTCCAGCTATACACCACCAATCTTCTAACATCACCACCAGATCCTCGAGAGCTGCTCCTTCCTCCTCCTGAGATCCGACTACCGTCTAATGCATCTATTTCTCCGTCACCAGCGGCCAACGCTGACCCATCCTACCAACGATCTACCTTAAATGTGATCCCCACGACTTCTTCAGTCCTCAGTAAATCCAAGATTCCTCTCGCTTTGGTCATCACGCCTTATCGGACCCTCAATGAAGGTGAAGAACCCGTCCCGGTGGTAACAGATACAGTCATTGCTCGGTGTCGGAGATGCAGGACGTATATTAATCCTTATGTTCAATTCATTGACGGGGGGAATCGGTGTGTTGTGTGCCATCGACTTTCTGGTCTATGCTAAATATCTCGTTAGGTGGCGATGCTGCATGTGTAATATGTCGAACGAGGTGCCCCAAATGTTCGACTGGGATCAAGCTAGAAACCAACCAGGTGATCGATGGGCCCGCGCCGAACTCAACCATGGTGTTGTAGAGTTCGTTGCCCCCACGGAATATATGGTCCGACCTCCCCAACCGGCCGTGTACATATTCCTTATCGATGTCAGCCATGCATCGGTCCAATCCGGCATGGTGGCCACTGCAACTCGCACCATTCTTGAAAACCTTGATCGCATCCCGGACGAAAATGGGCGGACGAAAGTGGCCATCATATGTTACGATGTGTCACTCTACTTCTTCTCCATCCCTGTGCGTCATGATCTGCTATTCTGTTATTCTAGCCTGTCCCTTATTGTTCTCTAGCCCGGCTCTACGGAGTCTTCCATGCTCGTCGTATCCGACACTGACGATGTCTTCTTGCCCAAACCTACTGATCTTCTTGTGAACCTTGCCGAGGCACGAGCGTCTTTGGAAGCTCTTCTCGGTAGAATCAACGATATGTTCCAAGACAACAGTATAATCGGGAGTGCAATGGGACCAGCCTTACAAGCTGGTTTCAAGTTGATGGTAAGACTTGACCGAAAATTATTGGCTGAAGGCTAACGCGATACTGACTCATAGGCGCCCATCGGTGGTAAAATAATGGTCCTTTCGGCAAGTCTCCCCAGCGTGGGTCCTGGCGCCCTGAAGAATCGTGAAGACCCCAAAATACTTGGTACAGCTAAAGTACGTCGCCCTTTGCCTTGTGTTTTCTCTGGTATCATAACTTCCGACAGGAGTCTGGACTTTTGCAAGCCGCCTCGACATTCTACAAGATGTTTGCCATCGAATGCTCGCGGGCCCAGGTTTCGATCGACATGTTCCTGTTCAGTACTTCGTATCAAGATGTTGCGACTTTGGGTCAGTGATTAAGACATGTCAGCCAACCAAGGTTCTCATACCCCTTTAGCTTGCCTCCCTCACTACACCTCCGGTCAGACGTACTACTACCCTGCCTTTAATGCTGGTCGCTCGGAGGATGCACTCAAGTTTGCTCACGAGTTTGGCGGTGTTCTAGCCATGCCAATTATGTTGGAGGCTGTGATGCGTGTACGAGCTTCAAGAGGTGATTTTATCGCAACTATGCCATATAACGAAATCTGACGTCGCATAGGTATTCGGATGGCTTCCTTCCACGGCAATTTCTTTGTGAGGTCGACGGATCTTCTAGCTATGCCTGCTGTTCCCCAAGACCAGTCGTATGCCATCGAGATTCAGATCGAGGAAACGGTCACTTCTCCTTTCGTCGTATTGCAAACCGCTGTACTGCATACTACATGTTATGGTTGGTTCCCTAGCTTTTTGGGGGCTCAGTCAATATTTAATCTACCTGCCTAGGTGAACGCCGGATCCGTGTTATAACTACTGCATTACCTACTACCACTAGCCTCTCTGAAGTATTTGCATCCGTGGATCAGATTGCTCTTGCTACGTTGTTTGCAAACAAAGCGGTGGAACGATCTTTGACACACAAACTGGAAGACGCACGGGATTACCTGTATCAGCGACTCGTGGAGATATTGATCGCCTACAAAAGCAGCATGACTGCTGGTGGTGCAGGTGCTAGTGCACAGCTGGCGATCTCTGAAAATATGAAGATGTTGCCTGTACTCATCCTTGGATTGTTGAAGAATGTGAGTGTAGGACTCTTGCAGAAGAATGACCTAACACGATATAACATTAGGTTGGTATACGTCAAAGCGCGCAGATTCCGCCTGACATTCGAGCTTATTCTCAAGCCATGTTGACGTCCCTGCCTTCGCAAGTTCTCATTCCCTACATCTATCCTGCTTTCTATTCGTTGCACAACATGCCTCCCGAGGTATGCGCCTGCCAAGTCATTTGATAAAGGTGTCACTTACGCAATCTCAGGCCGGCACTGTTGGACCCGAAGGCATTATACTACCGCCAGTCCTGCCACTAACGTCTGAGAGACTGGAACGACACGGTCTATTCCTTATTGAAGATGGGCAGACCATCTTCTTGTGGATCGGACGGGACGCCGTGCCTCAGTTGGTCATGGATGTATTCGACCTCCCCAATTATGAGGTGTTACGAGGCGGAAAGGTGGGCCACGCATTTTGTGCTTTCATTACTCTATCTCCTAAAATTTGGTCCTAGTACACGCTCCCGATCCTTGAAAACCCATTTTCGCAACGGGTGAATGCCATCATACAAAAGACGCGTGAGATGCGACGCGGGGTGTATTACCCACATCTGTATGTCGTGAAAGAGGATGGGGAACCGCCGTTGAGGCTGTGGGCATTAAGTGCTTTCATCCAAGATAGGCTGGATGTTCTGCCTAGCTATCACCAGTTCATCGGATCGTTAAAGGAAAAGGTGCGTGAGATTTTTTGATTGTCGAGTTGTTGCTGACCATGATTCCAGGTTAATGGTAACAGTTATTAAGAGCTCGAAGGCGGGATAGAGTTCGCCTTTCTACAGACGTATATAGGATGTGCATATTATTCCTTTGTTTTGTTCCTGTGTTCATCATGTCGCCACAATGAGGCCTCGGAAGTTTAAACAGGTCAGACGTAACTGGCAAACTATTCAAATATTCAACAGTCTAGTTGGAGGTCCCACGATGGTGACATTATTATACTACAGAATCTCTTTTCCGCACTGTCGTCCTGATAGCTATGCGTTCTCAATGGAAAAGAGGTCAGTCAGTTCTTGTTAGATTTAACGAGAGAAACAAAATTTCCGATATCAACACAGCCCTTCTCGTAGACCAAATGATCCTCGTTGATAGTTATAGACAGTGATTTTTACGTAACTGAATGCAATCAAACTTGACTGGCGTACTTTTCACATAGCCTGTAATATCTAAACCTGACCCGAAAATCCACCCAGAGGACTGTAAACGTTATGATGAACCAACCTCAGCGACTTAAGTCACTATTCAGCCGAACGGCTTCTCCCCTGTAGTAGATCCATACAGGGAATGGAATGCCTAGGAGGATGCTTAAGCCTACACAAAAGGTACACATGAGAATAATTCCATATGATAGATAAGGCTCAAGACTTGCCAGCCAATAATGAGTTTCCGCCTCCAAGTCCGAGGACGTTAAACATCTGTCCACCGAACAAAGGGAATGCGAAACCCAGTAAAGAACGGAAGACCTGCTCATCACGTCAGCGACGTATTCCGCCTTGAGAGAATGAAAACTACCGATGCAGCAGCAAGTGCGCTAGCGGCATACTTGAACGTATCAACAAGATATAGTTGTATGGGAATGCTATAAAGAGCACAGAATTATCTTTGACAAACTTAAGGGTACCAGAGGAAGGATCGGCACTGACAATGTTGTCATCGCACCTACAGCGCAAAACAATAAGAATGGGAAAAGGTTCACGTTAACGATGAACCGTGTACCAAATCCGAAAATACCAGAACCAACGATCGGCATAATCCAGTGAACATGGGCCTGGGCAGACCATCCATACCAGCTGATGAAGACATTCATATAGGTGCAATGCGATGCACAATTCATTGACTTACAATAACCCAATAGGCACAAAAAAGGATCCAAAGAACAAAGCAGGAATACGCATTTCAGGTTTACCGACGCCGTCGTTGTTCCTCTTTGCTAACTAGGCGGACAGAAGAAGAATAAGATAGATACCTTCCCCAACGTATTATAGCTACGGACTCACGTAGTGGTAGATCTGATCAGCAGTTTTAGCACCGAATGCTGAAGCAGCAAAAAAACCGAAGCCTATTCCAAGGTATACAAGTCCTCCGACACCGGTGTTGAAGCCGTATATGTCATTAAAAACCACTAGACAGAAGTGTCAGTATTTTTAGCTTCAGAACATGTGGGAGTATTGACTCGGGAATGTCGTAAACATCAGGTAGTAGATTCCTGCGTGTTGTGTGCTGAGATCTAGTCACAGGAGTTTTGGAGATTAGACACTAACCATACATGCTATCAAAAATTAATATTAGAGAACGAAGAGGGTGTGACAAAGGAAGAACTTACAACGCCATGTACAGACTCAGAATGAAGCAGATAAAACTCCGAAAGAGTAAAATGATGGGCCTCGAAATATTGACCCACAGATACTCCAATTTGCTCGTTTGTGCAGTGGGAAGGTGGAAATGCGCTGCCTTCTCGGGGTCGCCCGGGCGTTTAGTAAGACGCTTTCGGATTACCGGCGAGTAGGTTTCCTTCCTCTGAATCAGCATACGGGGAGGCTAGAAAAAGCCCAGTCCAACAAACCTCCAGCAGCGGCAACGCAAGTACGGCGGACAACAGACATAATCCTAGAAAGAGCCTCGAAATCAAACAGGATAAGGAAGAAATACAGGATGGCATAGTACCTGAGATGATCACAAAGACATATTTGGTACCTATCGAATTAGCGATGAAACCGCCGGCGACGGGGCCAATTGCAGGGCCAAGGAGCGGGCCAAGACTGTAAAGAGCCATGGCAGAAGCACGGTCACGCTCTGAGAAGAGATCTCCAATGGTTCCTCCGCCACACGCTATAGGTGCAGATCCCGATAGCCCAGCTAACTCCGTTATGCCAGAACCAATCAGACTATCAAGAAGAGAAGAAAAGCACAATACTAACAGAGGAACCGGAACCCAATCAAAACCTCCGCGTTAGGCGCATACGCGCACCCCATATTAAAAGCCAGGGAAAGCAAGTTTCCAGTGTGCAGTACCTGACATACAATGATCAGCAGACATCGGACACGATGTGTTGGGGGTACTTACCCATGTACGACCGTACATCTCTGACAATGGGGCTAGAATTAAAGGCTGGAGATACGAAACGTGTTAACTGATGTACATCTGATTCGAGATGTCAGAATGTTTTCTCACCCCAAGGGCGAAGGCGATCAGGAAGATGCTGAGTGTCAGAGGGATGACGGTCTCATTGGTGATCTGATATCGCACTGCTAGAAGCGGTAGACCTAGATGGCATCGTGAAGAAGTGTGTCGGTAGAGTGGACATGTTATACTCACCTGGCGCCATCATGGAACTAGCGAGTGGCGAGAGAAATGTATAGAGAGAAACCTGACCCATGCAATTTACTCAAAGTCAGAAAAACAACGAAGGGGGAACGCACGATTGATACTGTGATCCATTTCTTCCTCAGAGCCCAATTCCGAGGATTTCTGGGATCGTCCTCCCAGCTGTCCTCATGCCGCTCAATCTCTTCCTCCTTTGTGTCAGTGGGAATGGCAGATTCTCCATGACCTAGCGAAATGTTATTCGGCTTTGCATCGGGTGGGAGAGTGATCGAGGAATGGGCAGAGGGCACCCCAGGTCTGTCTTCAGCTTCGGCGGCCATGGTGAAGAATATTTATTCAGAAGCAAGGGAAGGAAAAGGGGGGACCTGAACGGTGCTAAAACTCTCATCGCATCCTTTTATAGAAGCAAACCGACGCCATACGCATCTTGACGTTAGATCCACTGTCAACATGAAGGTTGGCGGCCCGCGTGTTTGATCGAGGCGTCGGCATATCAAGTGCAAAAAAAGCTTCGACACCGATTCGACACTCCGAGTTATCCTCAGCTGAGGCCTCTATATCCCCAGGTAGGCTAAGATACCTACTTCGCAGTCCCAGGAGATCTAATCCAGCGGCCGGGGCAAGCATATTTACGCAGTTCCGCCAAGTCCGGTCCATCATCTGGTATGTATCTATGACGCATAAGAAACTGAATTATCAGGAACAAGGGAACGGATATTCGTTATGAAGCCAAGTCATACACCGAGATGAAGTAGGAGCTGATTCTTACTAATTCAGCCCTCTAAATTTTAAAATATAACTTCAAAGGATACAAGAGGTATGGAGAGAAAATTATGGCAACACTATGTAACACATGTTTGCAGACATATTTGAAGTTTGATATCTCACCCATGTCTTCAGTATATAAGTTATGGTAAGAAATACGGCACAACAACCCAGACCCAGGCGGTCGCATGAAGAAGGGGATCGTGCAAAAAAAGCGTCGAGAGTCATAAGCGTACAGGTATGTACTTACGTATGTTGTAGAGAAAAGTCTAGGTCTAGTGCTGTAAGGATCCGGTAAAATACGCGATTAGGACATGACCCCCGAAGTATATCAATAAATATGCAAGATTCTTGATGTGATTGCTATGCGATAAGGTCTCACGAACGAGAAAGAATGTCACGGACAGTCTGAGCAACAAGGTCAGCATTCACCGTCATCGTCGCCTCATCATTCTCGGGCTTTGAAATGGGTGGTAGGTTGTCCGACGTATATTTTCTAGAAGGGAAAATAAACATTAGCCCGGAAGACAAATCGCGACAGGAATGATTTACTTACTGGTCATTGCACCAGGCAACGTAGTGCATCCCTAAACCGTGCACCATGGTCTCTCTATCCCTTACAAACCTATCCGGCGGGAAAAACTCTACCATCGTTGTCTGCGGTGTTCGTCGCATGAACATCCCATCCATAAGATCACTCCCGTGCGCACCCAGAAGCACCGTAGATCGCATAATCGCAGATATCCTATCATGCCACGACGTCTCAAAATCTAGCGCTGAAACCACGTTGAATTCATGACCATAGGAATACGCCATTTTTTCTAGCTTCTTCACCAGTAGTTCATGGTCTTCGGCTCCCAGCTTTGGAGCGGGTGGCTCCCAGTCATACTGGGGATACTGATTCTGTCTGTGGACGTATGTGATGACCTTTTTCTTCGACTTTTCGTTCTCCAAGTTCAAGTATGTCGCCAGCTGTTTCCGGACGGGCTCCAACCAATATGGTGACACGACCTCTGGTAAAACATTGCCCGAGTTTCGGTCTACAATCACCATTCGCTCAACGACGTACGGGACCTCCATAAAGTGGTAGTCCATCCAATCTTGGTCAAACATAACCGCCATGTGGGGGAAGGCGGCCTTAATGAGGAATGGATGGAAACCAGTGTCGGTTCGAGGACGGGGCAGCATGGGATTCTCATAAGGCGGGTCTGGGTCCGTAAAAGGGTGGAAGAAAGGCATGAAGATTCGGTAAGGCTGTGGGAGGATAGTCCTTCCCTCCGCGTCAATAGACGGGTCCAAGGCACTATATGTCCGCCACAGCTCGTATAAGGTAGAATTGGCAGGAGAGGGGTCGGTAGATATAAATGATACACCTCCCAGACTACTCAATGAGAATCTATATCATATTTGGCTATGAAAGTAGCACTCACCGACCGCCATAAGTACCAAATTCCTCAATCGCCTCAGCGGTGGAGATCTTCGACCAGAAATTGGGCGGTGATACGATGGAGCCGAGAGATGGGAGGCCGCCTGGGTCATCGGTTACAAGGTACACGTTGCCCTTGTATAAGATGACGTTATCAAGGACAGAATGCCCTACAAGTGAACGTCAGCAACGACCAGAGAATGTACAGTAGGGACACGCACCTGGGGTATGTTGCAGAACCTTCACCGTTGGTACATCTCTTCCCCACGACACGAATGGCTGCATTGCTATGCCATTGACCTTGGGCACCTCTTTGCCCGACATCCACATTACGTGGTGCGGCTCAACGCCGAGGGCCTGACTCCTCTCCAGGCCGTCTCCAGCAATATGTCCAGAATCCCAGCCCCAGTCGCCAAATATCGAGTTTTCAACAGCATCTCGCCATCTAGCAAGCTTCCTTCCGTCGCTGCCAATGATATTTGAGGCGCCAAGGCCGAGACTGCCAAAGCTGAGCACGCTCTTTGTCGCAGCTGCGTCAATACCAAGAAATCGAGTAGAGTTCGTGAAATTGTAAGCGAAAGTGAATATCGTCAGGCAAAAGATGATGAGCGTGAGTTCTCTACGATCTGGAGGCGCCAACCACCGCATGGAGGGAATGAAGGAGATGAAGAAAGAAACAGGAATAGAGTAGGCGGCGAAAATGCACCCGATAACCGCTGTCTTCCTAAAGAGTGAATAACAAATAAGACACGACGGCATTCAGTTGTTGGCGGAGACTGCGGTTAAACTAATGCCCATACTAATTCCATACAGAAACGAAGTGTACAATGTTACATGATAGAATAGAAAAGACATAAAATATAATATACCCAATGATACTATACAGCCATTACACTTCTTCGCCTTCTTTACGCCCCTTGCTGTAGAGACCTGATCAACACAGGCCCCACATAGAAAATTTGAGAGCTTACCCAGACTTGGTTGGCAGAAGTTGGGATTCGATATGGGGTACGACACCACCCTGCGAGATTACGACGTCACCAAGTAGTTTGTTTAGTCTAGTGAAATGTCAGATTCCTAAAAGCAATAAGAGTAGAACAGGGCGTACTCTTCATCGTTCCTAATAGCAAGTTGTAGGTGACGGGGAACGATACGCTGCTTTTTGTTATCGCGGGCAGCATTACCAGCCAACTCGAGAATTTCGGCAGCAAGGTACTCCAAGACGGCAGCGAGGTAAACTAAAACAGGTATTCGAGATGAGCAATGAATTTGGAGATGATGAGACAAGAGATGCACCTGGTGCTCCAGCACCAACACGCTGGGCATAGTTGCCCTTCTTCAGAAGACGGTGAACACGACCGACGGGAAACTGCAGGCCCGCCTTTGCGGAACGCGACTGCGACTTGCCACCTTCTCCACTGGCCTTTCCACCGGATGATTTCCCAGATTTTCCTGCGGCATCGTCAGAAATCTTGTCACCATGGCAAGAAGTAAGTTTGCGTACCCTTGCCAGACTACGAAAAATGCATTCCATCAACACTTGACAGCCAACAAGAATACTCGAAGCATACCATGTCAAATATTTAGAAAAAGTATGCACAAGATGTAAGTGACACTGAGATGGTGGTGAGAGAACAACAGAGACCGAATCAGCAAACACTAGCACGCGTGCTTATATTCATTACTTCAGTCACGTGCATTCCGGGTGCATCCGTCACGGCCAAAAATGTCAACCTTTGACTGACCTTCGGACAATGGCGACTTTTTTGCATGTTGCTCGTCAATGGCAACGTCGTGATGTTTGCTGCCGTGCTTTTCATTCTACTAGGGTGTTCTGGAATGAAGCACCAAAATCTACGTTAACCGAAGGTGTCGGGGAAAAGAAGGATATCTACCACGAACCGTACGACGAAGAACCGCTACCGTATCTTAGCAGGCCTCTAGGAGTGCGGCATCGACCGACGACTTCGCGCCTGAGTACCACGGAAAGGCTGAAGGGGTATATGGATGTCGACAAAGTCATGGCAGAGCGGGAACTTTTGTATGTTCGGTTTTCTTTTTTCGAGTCTAGTCCTTACTGCCGCTGTAGAGTAAAAGAAGCTTCAAAAGGGTATTTCCACGATTTGAATCGAACAAGAAGACATGGAGGAAAGACCTGGCTCGCTCCCAAGAGTCTGATACGCGAAGACGTTGGTGCCACCTTGGTTTTTCATCTGAATACTACATGACAATTGTCCAGCAAGCCCTCTATTTCCCGGACATCCAAGGGAAGAACCTGAAAGGATTCAATCAGCACACGACAAATCTCTGTATTGGCCGAGTAACAGTACTCGCCATAATCACTACACGAATATCCGAGGCGCGTAGCATTGAATGTTCTTACCGCCTGGGTCCTGATGTATACACAGTTCCATGTCAAGGGTTTTTCGGAATCAACCAACAATCGATATCTGTCCAACCCATTATACCAATTTGTCCAGATCAATCTACAAGAAAACCTCCTCAAATCGTTGCTGGTTAATCTGTTCGCCACCTCTCTACGATCCGTCATACCTCCAGAGCTCCACTCCACGTATCTCGTGTCGAGCCAAAACATGGAGTACGAGCGAGATCCACTAAGCATGACGAATAATCGAGTGGGCTACGTGTACCTTGTCGATGAAAATCTTAAAATTCGCTGGGCTGGCAGTGCTGGTGCCACAGTCCAGGAGGCACAGACCCTCGAGATATGCACAGGTGTGCTCTTGAAGCGTCTGGAACAGTCCAAGCGAGAATCTGTGGCTTAAGAGTGTGTAAGCAATTGAATTGAGCTTTCTGCCGAGCTGATGTTGATATTTCTCCGTCCAGCAGGCCCGTCATAGTTATTACCCGCAGGGCCGTCACGAGCTAGCCCTTTCGACGTTCCGACGAGCTTAACCGTATGCACTTGCAACGGAGTGGCCCGGCCTACATAATGTTGACCAATCGGTCACCTGTGCATCCGTTGTCGTCACCGTCACTACAATGAGATATGCAACGATATACTAGCGAGAGCGTGTCAACACCATTACTAAATGCCCAGCGGACTTGGGATTTTTTTCAGGCCTTTGAAGGCTCAAGGCGTTCATGCGGTGCCCTGAAGGTTCCGGCCTCTCCAGACGCCTTCTCCAGATTTCTTCAATGTCAGTTAACTGATTTTCCAGCGAGCTGACGTCATATTCTCATCAACAAGAACTGCCCGGGAGAGTACGAGCCCTACTAGAGGGAAATCAGAAACCACCGTTCCAGAAATGATATGGACCTTGACAACGCGACCATGAAGAAATATTGAGGGTCAAAGCTCGAGCAGTAAGGGGGTTCAACCTCCCATCAATCGCGTATCCCGTGTACTTCGGCTGATCAGTTCATTCGAGGTGATATTTCCAATGTCGTGACACCGCTTAGATGTGAGATCCGTATGAGTCTTGCCACCCGTGGCTTCCCAGGTCTTTCCTTCCCTTAATGACCACGATGGCTTCGAAATGCCTATGTGCGCATTGTGCAAGATGCGCTGTAACTATTCGTGAACGCCATTAGTAGCGATGTGCCCTCCGAACTGCACTAGAGGTCGTTTCTGCGTACGAATCATTGGGTCGGTCCACCACTAGAAGAGCCCGCAAGAATACCAGCGTTCCAGCAAGCTGCGAGTTCCATGCCGCCATCATATTGAAATTAATATTGGTCCTTCTATTTAGTGCTCCATTTGACAAGGGCCGTGGGTAGACCTTACAGGGAGTATAAATGAACCGCTTCGACCTCTTGTTTCATCCAAGCAGCTGGCTTCGCAAGGCGATGGGAGAGTATGATACATTGCTTGGTTAGTCTTTGTTCTCGTATCCTTTTTACAGTATGTTCTAATCAAAGACGCAGGTACATTGTTGGTTGGCATCTTTTGTGAGGATTTTTTGCTCGAGCTATGAATAAGAGCTGACTGGACTCCAGTCAATACATATCTTTTCGGAATAGTCACTTTCCAGTTCGCGACGTATTATGGATCAAGTGAGTTAAAGGCGATATCTTGTGGAAGACAGTTGCGAGGTGACCCATACGTATAGAGCACAAGGATCCATTGTGGATCAAGTACGATGAAGCTCGTAGCCGTGCTATACCAATCTAGGGCTACAGTGCTCTTGTTGTTCCTAAACGATTCAGTGCACTCTGCAGCGTATGTGCCGCCACAATGATGCAGTTTCTTTGCTCTAAATATGTTGTGCAGGGAGATATACATGGCTTGGTTTTACTGGTTTGTCACGTTCTCCTTGAGATTGACCGCTTAGCCTAATGCAGAAGGCTACGAAGCATTGGAAATTATACCAACCCCGAAATTCTCCTCAGTGAGCTTCTCCACCGTTCTATCCTGAGATATGCTGACGTTAGCCTTATCCTTTTACACCCATAAGTGAGACTATTGCTACGACTCTCGTTCACAACTTTATGGCCTTTCGGTGCGTCACGGTGTATCTTTGATCTTCGATGTTGCTCAAGTTAATCATTTCTTTAGTCTATATCGGTTGACGGAAAAGCTGTATTGTATGTCGGCGTAATGATATGTGCTGTTACAGTCTTTGGGTTTGGTATAACGATGGGAGTCAAGGTGCGTTCAGTTATGGCTTTTGCATCTTCTACGTTGATCGTGTCACATTTAGGCCTGGATTATTGGTGAGTGGGTAAAGAAATTATCGCAGATATTGTTCTCATGAAGACATGTCTGTCAGGATGCTAAAAATGATTGTTTTAAAACCTATCGTCATTACATGGCTCGTGGGTCAAACAGTGATAGATTATTCCTGACAAGTGAGCTCACCATCTCCGCCTTTCGATATATGTTATTACTAATACAAGATGTAAGGCATGCTGTCGTTCGTGCTCTATAGATCTAGAACAGGATTCAAGACAACGGTTTCGATTATCAATCAGCTCATTCGTGGCACAATTCAAACCGGAGTCTTCTCGAGTATCTTTCCGATGGCTGTTTTGATCTGCTACCTCAGTAGTGCCCCCATCTGTTTCTTTGGTTGTAAGGCTTACCAGGGTTGTAGGTTCTCCGGTGACAAACCTCTATGGCATGTTTGCAATGCCTTGTGGATGTATCTACACAAATGTATATCTTCACTCTATTTTTACATTTTTTGACTGATATTCATAGACCCTAATGGATACACTGATGCCAAGAAAAAAATTGAAGGAGACTTTAACGTCAGAGCCTATTGATGTAGGTCGCCGCTATCATTCTCCTTTGCCGAGTCCTTAGGGTCGCGTCGTTCTAGGTCACGTCGACGGTAATTATACGAATGGTCAAGGGTCGACAAAGATCCCACAACAGCGTTCCAAATCAGATACCAGTCGTGAATGTCCAGCGAGGCATCTACTCTGGGATGGGTGCTACAGAAATGAACCGGCTTGACTCAACAAACCGAAAACACCAGCCCTTCGATGATCATGAGGATGAGAACATGTGGGCGTCGGGCTTGAAGCTGTGATGTCAATCCTTTCGGTAAAATCTATTGTGCTATTTAATTACCATGCCTTCGATTGCTTTCCACTGGTTCCAGGTGTACAGAATACATAAAAATTTACAGTAAAGGTTAACGGTTTCTCGCTAAATTTTTGCCGTAAGTCTGTCTATTTTGGGAACTCGGTCACCACATTTGGACGAACACGTCGCACTGATCATTTCAGTCTTGCTCCTTCTCCATGACCATGTTTTCCTTTGCGTCCTTGCTGCTGCTTGCAGCAGCGGTGAACGCGTCTGTACTAACTCTACACTCTCCCAGATTCTCTGTTACCTCTTCTGGCGGTCCCCATCTGCGTTCAGAGCCGTATGTAACCATCTACCTGCCTTGCGCTCATTCGACCTGAAAGCCGGCCTAGCATCTCATTGGTGCACAAAACACCCGAACCTGTCACTCTTTCACCAACGGACATGCTAAAATTGACTTTCCAAGTCATCGATGCGGATAGTGGAAAGGGCGTACAACCGCAGCAGACGTTCCTTCGTTTCTATGATGAGGAGTCTGGGGAGGAGGGCATCCAGCCTATCCGGGTGACAAGTGGTGGTAAAGCAAAATTCGAACTGGTGAGTTCAGCTGATACCTGCCCAATTGTTCTTCTGAACTCGGTGGTGGAATCAGAACATGGCTAAAGTGCCGCCGTCCCTGCCAGCGACGTCAAAGGCGGCCTTGAAAGTCTCGTTAATCATTGGAACACCCAATTACTCGCCCTTCAAAATTAGCTTGTTCGACCTTTTCCTTCCACCGTCTCATCCCGTTACGCCCCACCCAGATGAGGCGTCGTTCCATCCTCTTCCTTTCATTGAACACACATTCCGACCTGAACCAACTCAGCCGCCCAGGCCCATTTCTGCTTTCTTTGTCGGCCTTGTCCTTTCTCCTTGGATTGTTTTGTTGGGATTGGTGCGCGCTTTCGAAACTTGGCTTAACGCCGTTTATTGACAAAGAGATAGTGGGTACAGATATCACCTCGCGTGCCTCGGCTATTCTCTGCCAAAATACTTCCTTTCACCGCAACCCTTGGTGCCTTCGAGGTTTTACTTCTCTGGTACTGGGTGGATCTCAAACTGGGAGAGGTCTTATTGTACGGGGGTATCCTGGGCGTTGTCATGCTTTTTAGTGGAAAGTATGCCCTAGCTAGTATCTCTGAACGTAGATTGGGATCCCAAAAGTAGTACTAATAGAATGACCTGCACTTATCGAGGACAGTTCGGTATTTATGGCCGTACCGGGCCGCTGAATTAAAGAGACCGGCCTTTTTTTTTTTTTTTCTTTCAACTGCCACGGTTTCAATGCAGTGCCATTGCGGTTTATCATAGCGAGACAGTTGTACAGTATGTGAAGAAGGTACTTTGAAATCGGTATACTGACTCTCCTTAGATGCTGAACCGCGTCCGAGTCCTTCAACAAATACCTCGGCGACATTTTAGTTCTACCCTCAAGCTTTCATCCCCCAAAAAATGGCCCGCCTTTCTTACTGAAGATGTTCCCAGTGATACAACGGCCTTGGCTCTTAGGACGGCATGTGGGCGTAAACCATATGGTCCCAAAGTGATACAGAGCCTGCCACAGCTGGAAAGTCTTGAATTCCAAGATATCCACATGGACACCATCGGCGAGGACCTCTTGAACGCATTATACTCGCGGCCGGTCCAATCCATTCGTTTTTCGAACGCCAAGTTCGATGATCAGCAGAGCTTTTCGAGGTTCGTCGGGCTTTTCCCACAGTTAACGAACCTCGACTGTCATCAAGTTACCGTCAAGAATTCTCATAGGATGCCGGTTGTGAAACACGCGTCTGTTCTTCATACGGTCAGATCCAACCAGTCACCAGACATATGGCGTTTATTTCTGAACGGATCTTTGGGTTCGGATGAGACTCTGCGCAAAGTCACCTTGAACGATGTTACCTATAGTGATATTCCATTCGTCGGTCTCTTCCTTCAGCGCTCCTCTACGACTGGTATGCTCCAGGAGTTCAATGTAATGCATGATCATGCTCGCCAATCGGGTAAGTCATCTCTTCTATTCCTCTCTTCTTTCCTAACCATACCGTACTTAGCTGCAGTCAAACACGCTTGGAAAAAAGAGCCTCCGGTTCTTGATGTCTCCCACGTCAAGAGGCTCGGTATCGACATCCATGGTCGCGTCAGGGCTACCTGCCTACGTAGTCCTCTCGAAGTTGTATTACAGTGGTGGATGAAATCACTCGTTCCGCCTGGGAAAGAGTCGTCTCTGGAGTACCTGAAGATCGTCGTAGGGATGAACAAGGGAGCCATCTACATTGCACAGGATGCTGGGAATACATGGAGAGCCCTCGATTCCCTTCTTACCGATGGTCGATTTCCTGCTCTCCGAATTGTCCATGTCATCATCAAAGTGTGGAAACCGACCACTCTCCAAAAAGGTGAACGGCAAAAGGGACTGATCCAGAGAAGCTGCCCTCGTTTGAAAAGGTCCAAGAGGTTACACGTCACTATTGGTCATGTCAAGACGAAGAATAACTATTTCATGGATACACACCTATTCTGATGAAATGCTGGCTGGCGTGCGTAGATGAGATTCCGTTGATCGAGCCGATACTCAAACTTTCCTTAGTCTAGCCTTCGAGGTGTTAAAGGACAGACTACGCGAAGCGGCCTTCACCCGCTTGAAGGTACAACTCAAAGTCTACCTTGCCTTCAAATCCGATACAGGTCTGACCAGAGCGGAAGAAGAGACCTAGACAGTTGGTGGCGACTATGAGAACCAGTCATTACTGTGGCTTCAATGTGGTATTTCCCTGTATTTAACATCGGTCTTCTGGTTACGCCAGCACCATCGACGCTCTAACATTCTATATATCCATTACTCAATCTTGTCACCATGTTTCCTTGCCAGTTTTGAAGTAACAGGTGTTTGGACAGTTTCCTCTATGGGTCTCAAGAAAATAGTATCGGGTCCATGACACAAACCTCTTCATCTCTTTCTCTTCTGGATGTATGGTCTTCTATTTATCCACCAAGCCAAGTTGAATAGCTTTCATTTCGAGGGCCTAACATGGTTATTGATAAGCACGCATTTAAAATCGAAGAGTAGTAAGTCTTACCATGCGTTTAGAGAAACATCGACATAGACTTATATCACCGCCGCCAAACCAGAGCTGAGAGAAGCGTAAACCAGCGAAGAACGATGATGTGCAGATGTCCTTACGCCTGGATGACCGGAAGGTTTGAAACAACCTCTCAATTCGCCTTCCTCGTCAAGGCCCCAAATTTGACTTGTACGCTCCATGATAGCTTCGCCGAACACATCCTTAACGGTATCACGGATGTTATGATAGCCAGTCCTGCGAATGATGAATGATACTATCAATCTTGAAGGGCTTTAAGAAAGGAACCCACGCGTAGATCACAACATCAGCTTCCAGCTTGGAACCGTCAGTGAAAACGACGCCATCACTCAGATATCGCTGAACCTCGACACCTTGTTTGACTTTCACTCTCCCTGAAATGATAAGCTCTGCGCAGCCGACGTCAATCCCTATAGAATCATCTCATAAAGCTTTGACCTCTGTGTATCGGAATTAAGACTCACAATAGCCCCCCAATCTCTGGAACACCATTGGGAACTGGCCCGACCCATCCTTGCCCATGTTAACATCGAGACCCGCCTTCCTTAGACCTTCATGCATCTCGCTTTCAACTTCCGCCAACTCCTCAGCATGAGCACTGGCTATCTTTATTCGCAACGGTAGAGGTATGGAAAGGAACTTGAAGTCAGATATCTCAGACGGGACATCCTCAGGCCACAAGCTCTGCAGGGCGTTGGTAAAACCAGGATGCTTCGCGACGACACAGGTCGATGAGCGCTGAACCATGGTTACGGACTCGGCACCCTGCACGATAAGGTCCTGACATATATCAGCGCTAGTATTTCCCGCGCCTACGACGATAACTCGTTTGCCGCTGTAAGATTTCCCACCACCATACTTCTCTGCATGAAGGACGGTTCCAAGAAACACATCCCTATCTTCGATGGCAGGTATCCTTGGAGCACCAAGAATTCCGGACGCGCAGACAATATGAGTAGGATGAAGAATAGTAGTAGTACCCTCGTGGTCGATGACGATGGTCCATTTCTTCGTTTCAAGGTCATAGGTGGGAATACCAGTAGGTCGAGAGCCTGTCCACACATGCATGTCCTGGTTGATAGCGTAGTGCTCCAGCCAATTTGCGACCTTGTCACGCGAGGCGTATATCGGCCAATTGGACGGATATTGGTGATACAGGACTATTCGCCATGAGTGTCATTTAAATAAAGCACACACACATTACTCACACTGAAAATGAGACCGAGGAGTATGTAGCGTAAGAGTCGGGTATCGAGCTCTCCAGTTATCGCCCACATGTGGGTTAGATTCTACAACCAGGGTAGGCAAATTCATTTGACGGAAGCGGGCTGCGAGTGTCAAGCCTGTCTGACCAGCCCCAACTGGGAAAATGTCATCAACACTTCGATACATAAAATATGGAAGACACGCGCACTTATCAAGATGTAAGGATCCGCCTCGATACTTTCCTTACGTTCTTTGTGAACGTCTTCCCAAGCTAAAGTATGCTCCCCATACACTCCAAGCTCAGGACCGTCCTCGGGATGCCCGTAGAGCTCATCAAGCATCATGAGTACGGACAGTGCCTTCCACACGCCTTGCGCGTCAGGGAAGAGATGCACATATCCACGTCCTGTTCCCACAGAGGTGCTGAATGTAAATCCTGACATGACCGTCCCGCTCACTGACGCGTACTCTGGCGTCAAGAACTCTCTCGTATCCAGGGCTACATTAGAGACCTGTGCTAAAACGACTCTGTTATTGCCATCGCTGTTAAGATATGCCGAGATCTTCTCATGTCCATGCAGGGAGCGGTTCGCCCAAGTGAACACAAGGATATCGCGAAGCCAGCCGTCGGGGAGGATGCACGATAGTGTACTGTGGGTTTCACCCGAAGCAAGAGCTTTGGCGAAGTTATCTACCCAGGTAGACGCGATATCGGAAGCGTAAGACGAGGTATCCTTGAGATCGATCATGACGGACAATGCGATTCATCAGCGATTGCGAAGCATTCTTATATTCCCATCCAGTAGTCTGAATCTTTCATGGGTAGTAGACCGTGTGGTTTCCGTCATCATCTGATACAATGCTTACAGGCGCGAGAGTGCCCGGCAACAAATAGTGATATCCTTTACCCGGAAACGGAAATGAACAAGAGATAGAAAGTGGCCATGACCTTAAGAATGTTATGAGAATAGTCAAAAATCATACGGTGAAAAATTATAATCTATTATGTAGGAAGGAAGTTGCTTTTCTTAGTCGTCGTGGCACTGCGATGTCAAAAAATAACCTGCAGATTGGGGTCATCAGACCAGACGATTTGTCGGACGGTGTTGGGCGGCAGACTTGGTCCGACTGACCGTATCCCAATATCATGGGCTGAACCATTTTCTGGTATAAAGGATCGCATGGATCAAGATGATATACATTGAGATACATAACTTCAGCATGATAGTAATCATATAGACGCCAGTCAGGTTGCTGCGCCAGCTTCCTTCCAAGTCAAAGGCCCGGAACAATAAAAATCCTCGTCACGAAGGTCCACGACTTTATGCCTATCCAAAGCATTCATTGACTTTGATCGCTCTGAAAGTATAACTAGCACTCACTTGGCCTTTAAATGGGACCGCAGTCCATTGAAAGTCAGGATGCACTCTTGTCCAGATTCCTGCATAGGCTTCTCTGTCGACGTCGTTCGCACCTGTAGACAATGGCGACATCCATAGATCTTATTCTCTCGCAACACCTTCGCACGATCTTCCGGACCCATAAGCCTTAAAGCAAGCCCCTTCGTTAGCGGATGCTTTTCGAGGATCGGGGTTAATAGAAGGGACATTTGCATGTCCTCATGACGGTGGGAATGGCCAGCCTGTAAACGAAGGAATCACCATGTCAATTTTTATGCTTTCCGGTGTCGAGGGGGAACACTCACAACGGCGGAAGACTGCAAGACGATAGCCGCAGTGCAACTATTGCACAAAACTCTCGCATCAAGCGCCTCAAAAGCATTGATAGACTCCGGTGACTCGGTGTTGATTGAGCCAAGATCAGCCAGCTTCGAGACGGCCGCACAGGCCTGCAAGGAAATGAAAATTCACGTCATAGGGATTGGAAAACCACTGACCTTGTCATCTTTAAGGAACCGTGTAACATTCCATTCTCGTTTCCCCCGAAACTTCTTTGAGCATTGGTGAGAGCAAGCACCGAAGAAATCAAAACACCCGTCTTCTTTATACTTATTCTCCGTATGAGCACACTTTTTGCATCGAAAGTGGGCATTGATCCTATCCACAGGATGCAAGCGTTTGCTACTTGCAGACTTCCAATTTGCGAAACCCAGAGTAGCTGCTAAAGCGTTCTTGGCTTGGTTTCTCCAAGCTGACAACTCGCTCTTAAGAAGTGTTGCAACAAGTGGCGTCTGCAGCTGTTTAGCAACGTCAAATTCAGGCGAGGGGGGAGTAGTCTGAATAGTATGAATGATAGGGATCTTGCGGAAACTGGCTAGCGGCGGCAAAGGGACCTCGAGCCTCTTGCATCGAAGTCGTTCGTAATGTTTCTCAACGATCTCTCTTGACTGCCTGTATTCTGCTTCATGTTTGGACTGCTTTCGTGCCTCGGACGCTTTGAGAATTTCGGCTTCTACAGCTTCGTGGATCATCCTGTAGTCTGTTAACTACATGAGAGTGGGTTTCACGAAGGTCAGGAAATACCGCACCAGAATCCGTTACTCTTTCTAGGGTTATATTCTTACCCCGGTGTCGTCTAGCGTAGCTGGGCGCTTGCATAAGGTCCCAATAATCATAGCCAACCTTCGCTGCCAGGATCTTAGCGCTGGGAAAGTTTAAGAATGGCATCCATGGCGTTGAAAGAGGGAATGACACTTACAACGCTTCGTTGGCTGCTTTGTTTGTAGCACGAGCTATATCATACTTCTCCTTCCATTTAAAAAGTTCCAAAAATGAGGGCATCATCAACGATATCCTTTTCGCCATTTTCACTCGTCGCTATGATGAACATTCAGTGGGGCAACAGTATAGCATAGGATCAAAACAGACCTCCATTTCAGCATCCAGGTCCTCGGGAGAGTGAGAGGCATCAAGATATTCTTGCACGGCGGCGGTCCACTCGTTGGTACGATAGAGTTTTTGACGATTGGGCCCTGGGTGTGTATGAGCTTAGAGATGAGAGCCAACTAGGAAAAGGATATACACGCTGCATTGTCATATAAATATGAAGCTGAATCTGATATATGTAAGTACGTGGAAAGAAAGAAATCGTTTAAAGAAAGCGTACGAGTACAATTGGCGTGTTCAGGAACTAGAAGAGATTCCGAGATGATTCGATGGTATTCAGGTTGTGCTTGTGGGGCAGTAAGTTTTGTCCTAAGCATACAAGTCAGCGTAAATGACCTAGAAACGGCAGGAAATTTTACTTGGCAAACTGCTTCCGGCATTGGGTCTAAAGCGGATCAGTGGATATGAATATTTCTCGAAAGAGCCTTACCTGGCCGCAAGTGCGAATCCTCAAAGCGAACGAGTCATACATCAACTTGGTTTCCCTCCCACATTCCTACATTTGGATAATAAAATATCTAGCCAGTGGTGATACAAGTATCTCACCTCACATTTGCCTTCGTCAAACACAAACGCAGCATACGATGCCTCTGTGAAAATCTGCAAGGGCTCCGGGAGGGGCCCCGGCCTGCAGTTGGTTCTGGTATATCTCCAGATGTAGTCCGAAGATTTCTTAACGAGGGTTGCGCAGAAGAACTTGTTGCATCGAGCCAGTGCAAGAACGTCCTTGGGTGACTGGGTATACAAGAGCACTTCAGCGATAAGCTCAAAGGGAAGCCGTGTAATGTAGCATGGCTTGGGCTGTTCGTCTTCGTCAGTAGGCTTCGTTTTGGCTTTTTTCCTGATATGAGGCATGTCGTGGTTGTGGTTAGAAAGAAAGGAGTGAAAGGAGGGTAATCTAGCAACCCCTCATTGGCTGGACAAGGTTCGCTCCCTGTTTGTCTCGGCAATCTCGGCCCGAACAATGTAGTCAGGTGATCTTGACGCGCAAGAATATCACGCGTGCGTCATTTCTCCCCTGTCGACCTTAGATCCCGCCTCAAAATCACCATGCAGCACTCAAGGGATTGAGATAAGTGCAGATTGATATTCCATCATTCCTCCCGGTGGCCGAGAGCATACGAGAATTGTGGACAGCAGGAGCATCACATGACCTGCCCGGTGCCACCCAAAGATGGGAAGCATTCGCAGACACGTTGGCTCTCGCAGAGAAGCCCAAATGCGATGCAGTTGTTAGAGCCACCGAGGAACAGAAACAAAGGAAGGCCCTGAGAGCCCAAAAGCGCCGTGATGGAAATTCTGGATTGAACGACACAACAGCCTCGGTATCTCATGACATCGCACATAAGGACTTCTCCTCGAAGCCTAAATTCACGAACCATCGGCCTCGCCCCACTAGAAGATATCAAGGTGGCTTTTCCAAGCGTGGTCGCTCCTTTCAGTGCCACTGATTCCAAAGGTAAAGTATTCCCTTCTCTAAACCCAGATCGTTCATCTGAGCAGATGTTCGCTGCTCCAGGGGAGTCATTGCCCGACACAATCTCACCACCTCTTGCTATGGTCGTTGGATTGGACTTTGGCTGTGTAAGTGAAAGCTGTGCAATATGTGTCAGGCTTGTCTGATATTCTCCCTTCAGAACCAATATATGGCTGTAAAGGAAGCAAACACGATGTACCCGAGCGTGCAAACGAATATCATAGGTGTAGTCAAGTCCGCATCGGAACCATCCCTGACCTCTTGCGGTGGTAATATTCTGCGTTGTGATCCTTTTTGTCCATACCGACACTGTTTGCAGATTGGACCTGCTCCATAAAGATCCTTGATCCAAGTCTTTTCTCCTCTGAAGACAGTTCACCGAGCGGTTTAAATGCATTTGTTTTACGAAGGAATACAAGTGCTGGCTTCCCGTCATTCTTCATGACGTCAAGGTAATGTAATTTTTCATGTACAAGTATGCTCGACTGAATTTAATGCAGATTGGGAGGCACGACGGCCATTCCTGTGCCATAGGATATCATGATAAGCTTCAGTGGGAAGTCTACAAGTAGGAAACGGAAGAGATAATTCACAACAGAGGTGACGTTCCCCTCTCTGCATGTCTCGCACGAAACGGCATTGGCGTTCGATTCCCGCTTTTCCACAATACACAGCCTCAAGAAACCGATTATTGCTCCAAACTCTTCACTTGGTGGGGCGCAATACTCGAGAAGGGGCGGGAACGTTTCGAATTAGGCTCCATTCATCAAATTGATGAAGGGACACGCGGACTTGACATCTCCGTTACTCGACGAGTACATAGGCTCATCGGCGATGTAGATCACAAAATATTCCAGGGATACTTTTGATTGTGTAGTCGAGGTAATCTATTTCCATTTTGCTTTTTGCAAAACATCTTGTTAACAAATTTCTGGGTGCTTTCTAAATCTGACAACGGAGGAAATGAGCTGTACGAACTCTATGTTACCGACTACACGAAGAATGATCAGGTCATTCCAATGCACTCCGAATTGTGGTCCTCGTCTCTGGCCGAATCTGTACTGAAGATCAAGATGTGGGACCATGTACGCCCAATGGGAAAGACGATAGAACGGGGAAGAACATACAGAATCAAGAACGTATGAATGATTATCGGCAGAAGTGGGGGATTCGAGGCCAAGATATTCGAGCGGAAGATTTCCGAGCTCGATGAAGATGATGCCAGTTCTGATGTGCATCCGCAAGAGTTTCTAGAGTAAATCTCTCCTCTGCACATGTATATTGTTTTCGACTGACATCATCATTCAGACGCAAGAAGCGCTGGAAGACGATTGAGTCGCACAACCGCAAGCCGGCACGATTTGATGCAATGTTTCTGTCACGATACTGACCTCACCTCTACTTTATATTAGACACGAAATGTTCCTACTATAGCCACTAGAATTACGATATCATCAGTGGATTAGACCCCGGGCGAGCAGTGATATAAGTAACGTAACGTGGTCCCATAAACATCAACGTTTTACGCTTCCATGGTGACGTTGAGGCTGTCACTTCTTTTTCGTTCTTATAAAGGGTGCAGCTTGTATGATAACGTTCAACAAAAGATTTATATAATACCGCGGTCTACAACTCATCATGTGAATCCTCTGTAGCTGGTGACATAATAGTATCGGTTGTTGTAGGAATAACTGCATTCGTTAAAGACGCTATTGTTTCGGTAGCAGGGTCCGTTGCGCTGGACTCCCACAGAGAGTTTGAGATCGCCACTTCAACAACAGAGGACACAGAAAGAGAAGATATTGCCGCAGAGACAGAGCTCGCGGCAACGGACACCAGCGTCGTAGTCAATGTCGTTGCTTTGATCCCTTCTTCCATGGACACCAAGGCTTCATCACTACCAAAGTCCGGGATAAACCGCGTCCACCAGAACGCTATTCGAATACCCCGATCCACCAACCTCTGTTTCAAAATGAGGAGGACCACAAGGGCGAAGAAAACCAATCCGGATATGATTAAGACTCGGTCTATCCAGTCTGTCTTCTCCAGGGCGGTGATAAGTTGCTTTGAGGTGTCCATTATGTTCGTGAGGGTGTCATGAGTAGACGATGTAGCGCGCAGGGAGGCCGAGGATGCATCTGAATACCACGATGAGCAAGAGCAAGGCTAGAAGACAGAGACCCACCTAACAGCTGAGTCGATGCAACCGACCTCTCCAGTTCCACTTGCATGAGACCAATCGTCCGCCGGAAGGCCTCCGTCACAGTGTCATTTGCCTGCATTAATGCGTCTTCCCTGCAAGAAAACGTCAAGAGACATGGAAGAATCAAAAAGGATGCACGCACGTTACTTTCTCATTCGATTTCTCAGTGACAGCCGACGACTTCAGTAGTTCTTCTCGACTCGACCTGCTCAAAGCGTCTATAGCGCGCTTGGACTCCAGAAGTGCTGCTCGGGTATCCTTTCGAAGACTAGGAATATTATCAGAGCTTGCCAACATACAATGCTGCAAACTTTACCTGCTATGCACGCTCTTGAGTCGATCCACTATTTGTTGCAACTCTCTCCGATTCTTCTCTCCTCTCTGGTCTCCTACCAGTAAATCTAACCCCTTGTGAGACCTAAGAAGAAGAATTACGGCGAAGAGGAACACGACACACCTCCACTTGTCGTGCGATGGCATCAAGGTCCTCTCTCAACTCTGCCGCCAGATTCTGCTGAACACGAAGGGGTCCTTTGCATGTACATAAACGTGGTATTTGGAACTGCGAAATATCATTCTGACGCCTCTCGACAGAAGCAATCGTCTGCGAGATTTCTTCGTCGAACGTGGAGGGAATGGGAGGCATTAGAAGGTCGCATGGGTGTCGCGTGGCAGCTTCAACTTGAATTTGAATTGATCTTCCGTCTAGTTATTCCCTTCCTCGAGGGAGGCGATCTACATACACAGATGCCCAAATGAAGGCCCCTTTTCACCGGGATATTACGTCCTCACAGGAATAGGTAAACAATTTCTTGCATTATCATAATTTAATATTTGCTGTATGCCCGAAGTATCTCGTTTTCCACTACTATTATGTGTTGCCTGCAGCTGCCTACAGGGATTTTCGGAAGTAAGTCATTCTCTCGATATCCGTCTTTGATCATCTGTCGACTAGTTATTTTCGCATAGCAGCCATTATTCTCTTAAAGATGCCGAGACTGCCACGGTGCTGCTGCGCAGTTCTCAACAATTTCACAGCCGATGATCTCCCACCATTACATACCCCCCTGTTGACCCTGCCACCTACTCTCGTACTGTAGCAATGCGTTTGAAGCTGCTGGCACTGGGTTACTGCGCCCTTCTTGGCCTGCAGGGTGTCGAAGGTGTCACAGTCTACGGGCAGATTCCGCTGGGGGAGACTCAGTCAGCCAGTGGTACTTCCACCTCCTCAGCCACTGCGGCCACATCAACACTCGCAGCCTACGATGATACTGTATTGGCTGCGCCCTCTGTACCAGATCCTGCGCCTTCAACAGCTTTCACATTGACCATACCCGCCGTTAATACATCAGTAACAGGGCTCTCGATCGCTCACTCGACTGACTCCTTCTATGGCTTCTCAATCGAGATGTCTGTCCTGACCCAAGTCCGTAAGTGACCATGCCGTTCAGGACATAATTGCACTGTTTGATATTTGCATGCAGTGGGGAAGAACTCGTATGTATCGTTTGGTCCATAGGCGCTCAGGATAATTACTAACTTAGTTTCAAGGACGCACATTCAACCGATCTTCTTAAATCTGATGGCTCTCATCGCACAAAGGGGCGGCCGCGTACGGCTACGTGCAGGGGGTAATACACAAGAATACGCGACATACGAAGAAGAGCTTCCGGATGCCAATGGAAAATGTATTACTAAACAATCAGTTGACTCGCAAAATCCAGTTTGTATATGTGCTTCATGGCATTAACGGAATTCTCCAACGCTTTGTTCTCTATAGACAGAAACACCTGCGGTCATTTATAACATGGACATGTTCTATTTATTCGCCAATATATCTTCGTTGGTTGACATCGCTTGGTTTCTAGGTATGTACACCATTGTCGGTATCAATGTCCACTTATGTCAGCGCAGGTATACCTTTCAATGATACTTCGAACTGGAGATTTGCCATTGCCGAATATGGCGAAAGCGTCTTGGGCGACAAACTGCTAGGACTTCAAGCCGGTAATGAGCCAGATCTTTACGTTGAGTGCGTCGTAGTCGCCGTGGGTTCCGTTTGCGAGCTGACGAATCGTTATTAAAGTCATGGACATCGAGATGATGGCTACGATGCGACATCGTACTATGGCGAAATCCAAGAACTGATCAGTGCCATAAGCGCTGACGGAAACATACCCACAAAGAACAACCTTGTGGTGCCTAGTGTGTCTGGAAATTGGGCGCCTGAACTCGTTTGGAATACAGGCATACTCGATACATGCATTGACAGCCTCACTGCTCTCAGTTGAACAGTAAACAGTCCTCACTACGTCTCTAATTCTTTAAGGATGCTAACCTCCACTCCAGTTATCCGAACAACAACTGCTTCGCCATGTACGGGACAGGCTCATACGTGGATCCGCAGACTACATTTCCTGACTATCTGAACCACACTTCCGGCGTTTCATTAGTTGAGCCATATCTGAATTCCACCTCCATTGCGCAGACCTACAATCGGCCATTTTACATGCTCGAAATGAATACAGCATCTTGTGGTGGTTTCCCTGGGATCTCGGATAGTTTCGGTGCGACTCTGTGGGCACTTGACTATGGGTTGCAGATGGCCTACGGCAACTTTACCGGAGCTATGATTCACGTTGGAGGTCAAAACGTTTATTATAATGCAAGTTATACTTCATTCCTTGGTTTGCACTGCATTGGCTTACAATCGAATCCAGCCTTTTACAGGTTTGGACGCCGTTGGTTCCTTTCTGAGCCACTAATAAAATCCTGATCAATAGCTCCCCCGACAAATGAATCGACCTATCACCAATGGACGATCGGCTCGATTTTTTACTCTGCGCTAGCGATTGCTGAAGTGTTTGGCACGTCAGGAACTTCACAAATCATGGATCTTGGAGGAAATGATGACAGCATCTATACCCCACAGTATTCCATCTATGAGAACGGAAATCTGGCCAAGGTTGCCCTATTCAACTACATTACGGACGAGTCCGGGTCTAGTGATTACACCGCAACGATTACAATTGACGGGGGAACGGTCCCTGAGCAGGTTTATGTCAAGTGAGAAAGACCCTACTTTGCTGGTTTTAGGATCTCATCGTCAAAAGATATCTTCTATCAGATTCAGTATCAACGAAAGACAACATTACATGGGCTGGTCAGGTAAGTGTACACCCTGTCCTCCTTTCGTCCTCGCTCATCCTTTCCTCCCCAACCGCAGACTTTAGGAACAAAATACACTGTTGACGGTATCCTCAAGAACGATCTAAGCGTCATTACCATCACATGTGATACCTCCGCCAACACTTGCAGCGTTCCTGTGAACGCCCCCGGATTCGCCCTCGTCTTCCTCACTGAATCGGAAGTCTCCGAAGTCACTCCCGAGTCAGCTTCTACATTCGCGACGACGGCATACACCAAAACTATCAACACACAGACAGTCGACGCAAGTGTCCTAGCTACTTCTAATGGGCACTCCGGTGACTCGTTCCCAGTTTATGGAAGTACGAGTAAGAAGAGCCAGTCTGGTGCTCTTGGGTTGAACGATGTTTTGAAAGGTGGATCAGTGCTCTTGTTTTCAATGGCTTGGGGAGCAATAGCTGTATTATTTATCCGATAAATATTTCTAATGGTGAACGCTATCTCATTGTTTTCATGTGTTGTTTAAAACCTTCATCTGCTGTTCATCTACGTTGGCTGGGTCATCAGGGACATTTTACTCTACGTTCGACACATCTTGTATTGTAATTTCGTCAATCAAATTTACACACACACCGGAAAGATAAGAATTTGAGGTAAACTAGAATGTGCACAATAAGGTCATGTTTTGGGAGGTCGATCTCGGCAGATATTTTACATAAATTTGCATGCTCCCGCAATCTATCTCTGGCAGGCTGCATGGGATTGAGAATTCTCCAAAACGCGAAGTTTATTGACCCCAAACGATGCTGCTAAAACATTACAGTTGTGCTCAAAATTCAGGTTTGTCAAAAATGTCCATCTTTCCGGTGTGACCCTTTATGTTTCCTGTAGCTGTTCAAAGCCCTACTTGTATGAGTTCAGATTAACTGGCACCTACGATGCATATACAGTGGTCGCCTTCCGCAAATCCCTGAGGTTCTCGCTCATGCTAGGTTTCGAAAAGATGATGGAGTCCTCGACTTCCCTGTCTCTTTGAGATGATAGTCGGGGGATATTTTCGCGTACACACACGCTTTAGTCAGCGCAATGTGACAGTGCTCAGAAGGTCGGCTCAAGAGATAAAGAAAGTACTCGACATCAATCTGCGAAGTAGTCCCACTGTAAAGTCGGGATTCAAGAGAAATAGACTTTTTAGTCCTCTCTTTTGTAAGTGCTCCTCTGACGTCGTCCGCTCTTTGCCAAGCCTGAGCTCCCAAATCGTGGAACTGCACGTCCTGTTCATTGTCTTCTTGGAGGCTGGTCTGATGAACACTCAGAGAATTCGTCCCAAAGCGAAGCGACTGGTAAAACATGCTTCCCTGTCGCGAGCTACGAGAAGTGCTGGTGCAATTCCCTGCATAATGTTTCAGTTAGATGCCATTCATTCGCAAAGATGATTTTCGGCGATCGCACCAAAAACGGGAGGCTAAGAAAGATCAGAGTGAGCAGAATCTTGCAGAGAGATGGTCGCCTTATTCCTGAGATCCACAACTCAGGATAGTATTGAGTCTGCAACGCAGTGATGTGGAAAGTGGGTCATCACGGGCAACCTCAGCTCAAGCCTCAGACTAATGCGGCCTTTTGCCATGCAGGCGACACCTGTTCGGCGCGCCGGTCAGACGATCAACCAGCGCTTACTGATACGGGACCTACTGCTAGCACTGTGCTTTGATGTCCTTGAAGCAACAGAACATTGGCTGAGAATACCCTTCTAAGACAAAAAGGTTACGCACCTCAACAGCCCAACATATCTCCTATCAGCCAGAGAACAACGTAAGCGACCATAGCCAAGCGGCGAAATTTATCATACGCTGGATGCTTCATGTTACCTTGACTTTTATCCAAAAACCTCGTCACTGACATGCAATAGACAAAGTAATTATTTAGCTTCTGTAATCATACCGTCAACCCAGCCATGCTTCTACCTCTAGCCCTCGTCACAGAGTCATAACTGCGAATGCCCGCTCCTTTCTGCATCCTTCTCCCCGGGCCCCCAGCACCATCACCCATACCCAGTGGATTATGCCCACTCTGTAGCATCCGCAGCGCACCCTGCAAAATCAAAATCGGGTTCCGGCTCTTCCACACCTTGGCACTGATATCCTTGATGCCTGCAGCTTTGAACAGCCGATGCAGCGTCGGTCCACACCTCAGCCCGAACCCTAGTGGCCGTGGTCGCATCAGGATCCTCGTTGAACCAAACTTGCTTTCTACCTCCGTCCACACTGTCCGGTCTTCGAACCGGTCCACATAATCCATGTTTTTTATCGCCTGAGAGTACGATTTAATGGTGGCGAGCGACATGTCAGCGTGGGTACCCCGACCAAGCCCGACCAATCCGTTCCCATTCCCAATGATCGTGAAGACCTGCATGCTCGGTATCCGTCCTTTACCTGTCTGCTGGATGACCCGGCGAGTGATCCTGTATAGGTGGATACTGGGGTCACGTAGTTTGAAGCGTTTTGATATGCCGGTCCGTTCATATATCTCAGGAGCCGACCTACCCAAGTCTGTTTGAACGGGTTGGACTTTTGGGTCGTCAAAGTCAAAGTTATTTTCTTCCATCAGCTCATGGAACATCGACTTGTGATTGCGGAGAACCACCCGGTTATGGAAGGGATTGTCCTTCGTTGGAGGGAAGTCTACAACGTCTCGGGAGTCCATCAAAGGGTCTGGCGTCATAAGGTTTGGCCAGTGGTGTCCTGGTGGGATTTCCTCTTGGTCGGGGTCTTCGTCTGTGGGAATCATCAAGTTGTGAAAAGATAAAGATAAAAAGACCATTTACCAGGAAGGATGGTGTGGCCGGTCTCCACGTTGATGTTGCGCTCAGCCAAAAACGACAAAGCAAAAGGCAAAACCATTTCATTTGCTGCTCCTTCCGAGTCCATTTGTGCGAGAATTTTTCCGAATTCTGTCTTTTGGTCAGGCTTCAGCCCTTTCATGGCCGCTTGAACTGCAGGCTGTGACAGTTTCACAAAGAAGTCGTGAACGAAAACAGCTTGTTCAGGCGTCCATTTCACGGTCTGCTGGAAATTAGGTCTGCTCGGAGCAAAACTGCCAAGACCCTTGAGATAGACTTGTCGTTTCGGCGCTTCAGGCTCTGCCAATGCAAGTTAGTTACAGCAGCATTGTTAGAACAGGAACGCTTACTCATGTAAAAATGCTCTGGAAGATCAGAAACGTTGAGAGCAATTCCACGCTGAGATAAGAAATCCACAATTGCGGGGAACCACTTTGGATCCGCAAAGTTCGTTTCCGAAGCATTTGTTATCAGGCTCAGCAAATCAGTTCGGGTATCGTGGTCAAACTGGTCGATGGCCTTATCGACAGCAGGTTCATTGAACTTGTCGAAAAAGGTCTTGACATACTGCTGATGCTCTTCCGCAGGATCTAGGTTGGCGGACGTAGAATCTGCGTCCGGAGGAAGTGGTGAATCCTCTGCACGGACACATAAGTACACCTTTCTCTATACAACAGCAGTGCTCACGTTGTGTGGTGGGATCCGATGACTGTAATGATTCCGAAGGTAGAGCTTGAGACAATTCTAGGACATGTTCTGACGTAGCAGAAGGTTCTGCGAGCGTTTCAGGTTCTGATAAATCGAATTCCGGGGTAGAAGATTCCAATATCGGTGGCACAACCGACACAGGCTCAGATAGAGGTGGTTCCGGTACAAGGGATTCAGGCGAAGAGGGATTTTCCAGGGTCTGTGTTGAGTCCTTTATAGCTGATTGAGATGGCCTCAGATCTGAAGGCAACACTGGCACCACTTCCACGTTCTGGGCAGGCGGTACAAACAGTTCAACTGGAGGTGGGAGGTCTTCCGATAATGATGGTTCTGTCGTGGATTCACTAGAACTGGAAGCTATAGGAGGGAGTGGCGGTGGCCCCTCTAACGATAATAGCTCTTCTGGTTGTGGCAGAGAAAATGAGTCGACTCTCTGAAGAGCGTCTTCGTAGCCAGAGAACAGAATTTCAGGCTCTTCCGACATTGGTTCTTCGGGTACCTGAAGATTTCCTATAAGGATGAGTTAGAGGGACGTCAGAAAAAATGATGCGAAAATAAGTGCAGACATAGAGCAATATGATGCACTTCGTCGCGCATACACAACAATGAAAAGAACTTACTTTCATAGAACACCTCCGGCAAGTGAGAGAAGTCAACGTCAATTTCATTCTCCCGCAGAAAGTCGGCAATATCGTGGAACGCGCTCAGGTCCGAAAAGTCGTCATAGGGTAGCGCAGACTTGAGATCCAATAGTTCGAACTGCTTTTCCTCGTCGAGAGACTGGAGAGCATCCTGGACATGTGGTTCTTCCAACTTCATGAGAAATGTGCTGGCAGCCTCAGGAAAGTCGATTTCTACAAGAATCCTAAGAATAAAACTGAGAAATTTACGACGGGAAGCAGACGCACCATTCGAATCCAAACCGCCCTCCAGCAGGAATGCCAATTTCTCTTTATTCAGGCCAGGATATTTCTCCTCAATCTCCGCGTACACAGCATCCATGTACGACGGTGACGGCGCTAGCACCTCCAATTCCCCCACCAACGCCGTCAATTCATGGGTAGCCAACCCAGGTCGGAGCCGCGCGCGAATTTTGGCAAACCGAAACTTTCGCTCTGCATGGGGGTCCGTGAGGCAGCGTCGAGTTACGTGGAAAGAACGAAGGGCATGTCGGGACTTGGGCGGCAGCAGACGGTGCACAGATGTGCGTGTTACGAGCTGCCTCGACAGCCGTAACATGAAAGAAGGAAAAAAAGTGCGTCCTGATTTGGAAGCTCCCTGTCGACGACGACGATGACGGAAGAGAATTCCATTGCTACAACTCTGAACGGCCTGGAGCTCTCGAATCTCTACGGGGTAATAGATAAAGACAAGTAAGCTCTCTGCTTGCTCTTCTCGTGCAATTCAAGCGAATGTGGGTCTCGTCAAGTGTCCATGGCCTCAATCTGACTGTTCCCGAAGATGCGAAAGCCGTCGTCAAACCTTGGCATCAAAGAGAGGATAACGAGAAATATGCAGAATCTGGTGTGGATGACCAGGTGTGAAATGAGCAGTTGTATTCGCGTGCGGGATGCTTACATTGACGTCCAGATCATTATACACGTACCATTCTCGCAGAACGTCAAGATAAAGTCCGTCCTATTGAAACTGGGTGCGCCTTTGCATTGTTGTCTCGTTACTTCGTTGTGGTCCTAACCGAAAGAAAAGGAAGAGGAGAATCGACGCCGCGTCACCTACGAATTTATGCCAACCACCCTACTATCGTCGATTTTGCGGATGCCGAGAGTACCAAGCCTCAAGTCAATATCAGTCTCTTAGAGGGAGAAACGGGAGTGACTGAATACCCTTTGCGAGTTGCAGCATTCACCAGCATAACTTCGTTGAGCCTATTCTTCGTAAGTCTAAAATGTCTTCACGATACTCTCATTCATTTGGGAGTCATTAGAGTGAATCAGTAGGCGAAGAAGTATCGCGAATATATTATCTAGGCTTCAAAGGCGAGCTACGGTCTCCACAGAAGGATGCAAATACCAAACTAGATATACCTGCCGCAAATGCGGCTGACGCACCGCTGGTGAGCAATCCGAGGGGCGCAAGTGGCTCGACCTATGCTAATACATCTTTCAGTTTGACCGTCTATCAGAAAAAGCTGGGGGCCAGCAAACGACGGCACGATGAAACAGAGATTCAAGAATATTTTGTGCTCAGAGCAGAACAGGTATTGCCTTGACGAGAATTGCGACGGTGTATAGATATCAGCTCAGTGTTTTGGCCCTATGACATTGTGCATAGAATTGTTCGTACTAAGAATATATGTTGCTCCAAAGTGTGCGTTCTTGGATGAAACGTGAGCAAGGTAAATGCCAACCCTGAAATCACGATACTCACTGAGCTTGCAATCAACGTGTAGTAAGATTCCTTTGCTATGTAAAAGAGGCATATTGCGTATAACCTCCGAGACATCAATACTATCATCGGCTCCACAGTCGCAGATGGCAAGGCTACAAGTTAAGCCCTTGGAAACGTGGATATTAAGTTTGACCAAGCATAGCGACGGTAGATCCTGTTCCCCAATCGAAGAATCTATCACAGACCAGTTGCAACAATCCGGATATGACTGCGATTTGAAGGACACTTCCACGGTGATTTCCTGCACGGAACGACTCAGGCATTTAAACGGGAAAAGGTCAAGAGGTATATCAATCCCAATGTGCACCACCCGCAGGTTGCGACACAGATGCAAGTCAAAGTAGATGTATCTCTTCTGGAATTCTATAGCAGTCACTATCATCAGGGTCAGAAATGGAATGAAAAGATGCGTGAAATAAGGACTGACTGTGAAGCATCATCTCCAAAGCGAGATATTCCAGCGTGTCTGAGAATTGTGTCAAGAGGTCCTGGATATTAGGTACGACAGAGTCGTCGTCCTTCAACTCCATGGCAGCAGAGAACTGCCGAACGGAGCTGATATCAAGACCAGCGCACTGAGATTTCTTGGACTAGGTCGAGATTGAAATGCCCAACGGTAAGAGATTCCAAGTGTGGTGAACAGAAGGAAGTCCCGTCACTGCTCTCCCAGAGCCGCTCGGGGTAGGACCAAAGAATGGATAAATGCTTCAATAAGCCCCATCCACCCATTCTCAGACGACTGCCTTCATCGAATGACATACACCCCATGGCCTCTATTTGAAGGTTGATGATCTTGGATGCATGCCAGAATGCGACCAGAGAATTTCGAACGTGGAATGGGAGAAAATTCCAATTGAATATTTCATCGGTCGCCGAGAAAAGGAAGAATCGGACGTTGCATAAGAGAGGCAGAAATGAGGGAATTTTCTTCGCTATGACAGTGGAGGCTCAGTTCGAAGGAGGTAATGAAGGGAGCGACATGTAGAGAAGTTGACAGTAGAGTATGTAAATTCTCGAAGGAATGCCCGCGGAGGGATGATGGAGGACTGGAAGAGACATGAACACAAGAAAAAATGTTGAAAGCAGAAAAGCCCTGGACGTAAGTGTGCAAGATTTTAGTGAGGATATATCTCCATGAAGATAGTCGATAATCAGATCCACAAGCTCCTGCGGCAGCATAGTAGCTATAAAATATAATTCTAAGACCATGACACACACGTCGTTAGCAGAGATTCTGGATGATGAAATGACCCGGAGATAGCGGTCCGAGTCCCACTGATCTGTTGTTTTTCCGGAAAATTGTACCTGCATCGCGCCACGATGTGTTCTGTGACTTCCAATCTGCGATGTTACCCAACACATGACCATCACCTTACCTACATTTTATCGCGAATCTCGGTGCTGACGACTTGTGACGAGCTACTAGAAATTTTACTATAGTAGAAAGGTCTGTAAAACCTTCAAGATTAGCGCTACGACACTACTTCGACGATGAATTCCCACGTCGATGACTCCTCTGACACGGAAAAGCAGATTGCGCAAGAGGATATTAACGTTGATGCCGAATTAGAGGCCGCATGCGGTCTTCCTAAAGACGATAATCCGAAGGACTTTAGAGTGCATGTGCAATTCACAGCCCTATGCTGGTGTATGTTTCTCGCAGGATGGAATGACGGGACGACTGGACCTCTTCTGCCGAGAATACAAGAGGTTTACGATGTGGATCCTATATTTTCAAAGTGTCCGATTTCTGTCTGATCTGCGTCGCAGGTCAATTACACCATCGTATCATTGTTGTTCGTTCTAGCTTGCGTGGTATGCCGCCTGTGAGTTCGAATCTATTCCCTATCTTACATTCCCAGGGATTTCTCTCCGGTGCTTTCATAAATATTCCTCTCACGGAAAAGTTAGGCTTCGGCAAGATGATTGTACTTGGTGAGTTGTTATACTCATTCGTCCGCAGCTTCAGTCGCTCAAGCAGCGATCAAAGGGTCTATGTTTCAGGTCGTCGCCTATGCTCTCCAGTCTGCTGCCTTACCTTTCCCCGCGTTTCTCATTGCATATACCATCAATGGCGTCGGCATGGCCTTCCAAGACGCTCAAGCCAACGGTTACGTCGCATGCTTTCAGAAGGATCCTGAAACAAAGATGGGTATTCTGCATGCGACGTATGGCGTAGGCGCTCTATGCTCCCCTCTTGTCGCAACACAGTTTGCATATTTTCCGCGATGGTCATTTCATTATTTAACATCCCTCGGTGTTGCGTTGACGAACACAATTTTACTATGGGCTGTGTTTCGACTGAAATCTCAGGACGAATGTCTTGCGGAAATAGGACATCCTCCCGGGGAGAAGGGGAACAACGAGCATAGTTCATTTCGTCAGATTCTCACCCTGAAAACCGTCCATCTCTTGGCTTTTTTCATCCTGGTGTATGTCGGTGTGGAGGTGACCATCGGAGGTACGTTTCTTCTTTGTTTGTAGAAATCTTTCTAATAGCATTTCAGGGTGGATCGTCACCTACGTCATAAAGTTGCGGAATGGTGGTGAATTCTCTGGGTACATTTCGTCGGGCTTCTTTGGGGGGCTCACGCTCGGTCGTGTCGCACTGCTGTGGGTGAACAAGAAGGTCAGTCAAATATTATACGTCGTTTCGGGCTCGATGATTCAAATGAGCACTGTAGGTCGGCGAACGACGAGTCTTATTCGTATACTCCTTTATCGCTATCGGGTAAGTGTTACATTTTAACAACGTATCGTTCGCCAACGTTATCAGGCTTGAACTAGTGGTATGGTTGGTCCCGTCCCTTATCGGAGGGGGAGTAACTATCTCCCTCGTCGGCGTGGTGCTGGGACCCATGTATCCAATCGTCATGAACCACTCTAGCCGTATCCTCCCTCCTTGGCTACTCACAGGGTCCATCGGTTGGATAGCAGGCTTTGGCCAAGCAGGAAGCGCACTCTTTCCTTTCATTTCTGGTGCGTTGGCGAATTCGGTTGGTGTCTCGAGTTTACAGCCCTTGTGAGTACACGAATCTACTGCTGAGATCCATTGGATTGGCGGCTGATCGCGACTGTATAGGCTGGTCGCTATGATGGGGTTCATGATAGTGCTATGGGCGCTTGTGCCAAACAGTCGACTCCAAAGATGACGCTTCAATCTACTGCAGATGCTGCTGAGGCTATTTAGACACATCCAGAGCTGTATAGAATATATATGAATCTACGAAGCACCTGTTGTATATATTTTTGCGCATTTCATGTCGGCAATGAGTGTGGGAACAACGTTCAAATCAGATTCTGATATTCGCTGTTCGCACATATCAACCGTGTTTCTGTTTCCCGATATTACATGTGATGCATACCGTTTACTTTCGCACTTAACTCTCGATGACTTCGCTGAATCTTTTCAAAGCTTGATCAAAGCCATGCTCAAACTCCCAAACCATCTTGCTATCCCCTTTCTCACGTCGGTGAGCTTCAGTTCTCATTTTCCTCCACTGTCCTTTGAACCCAATCTCCGATCCAACTAGCTCGCCTGTAGTCGAACCCCAGTAAAATGCCAAGCAATCCTCCCATCCTTGATAGTAACCCTGCTCGAAACGCCAGTGCTCAAACGCCCCGGGATTTTGAGAATTATTTTTCCACCAACTAACATGCCCTTGCGCGGCAGTCTGGAGTTCACCAGAACCGGCGCTTCGCAGATGTTCGAGTGAATGACGGGGGAAACTGTCTTTCGCTCGGTCGAGAGAAGAAGGCAGAATGCCTTTCTCGACAGCAGTATAGTAACACCATCCAGGATCAGACCCTCCCTCCTTTTTGAGAGTCCAGAAGAAATATCCGGCACAGAAATGCTCATACGCTTCCCACTGAGCATAACCCCATTCCCGTTGTGCGGCAAACTTCGCACCTTCATCTTTATAGAAAGAGAAAGATGCGGGATTCAAGGCAGCACTCCATTCACCGATGATAATTGAACCGTTTGAGGTATCCGAAGCACCAGACAACATAGACGTAGATGGCGCCTGCGGATTCGCAGGATGGACATTGGCAGCATGCTGTGAAGCTGATAACACTTGATCGTCTGAGGTGAAGCATCGGTAAAGATGATGGTCGAGAACCAAGAACGTCCCCGTGTTCGAGCGGCTGGCAATGAATTGTGCATAGTGTCCGGTGGCCCAAGCGTCTGAGATATACAGTGGCATCCCGCTGACCTCTAGTGTAATACTCTGCAACGCCGAAATGGCCTCCTCGTACCAACTCTGCAGCCGGTTCGTATTCTTCGGTTCATTTAGCACTTCCAGGCCCACTACATTTTCAAACCGAACGATCTCTTGCGCCAAGGCCACCAATATCTGTACGGTTTTCCTTTGCTTCTTCTCAGAGTGCCAAAGTCCGGCATCACCGGTACTGAGGCCGGAGTGGTTATCCGGGTTCTGGGCACCAGGTGCAGCGTGGAGATCAATAAGGACCCCGATCTTATGTGCTCGTGCAGTCTCAATGGCGCGTACGATGTATCTCCACGTATTTACGTAGACATCGGCGTACGGTGCGTATTCCGTGCCCTTCATCAAATCACGCACTTCCGGATTTGGATGGCCCCCGAGGAAATGGAAGTACCCGATGGGTAACCGGACGGTGTTGATGCCGTGAGATGCCATCCATTTCCAGTCCCCGTCGTCAACGAAGTGCCCCCAGTGGTGCTCAAGCATGTTTTTGGCCGCATCTTGAGACATGCCTTGCAAGATGTCCATCTCGCTGGACTTGCGGCCGGCTGCTTGTTGGAAGAGACTGGGGGTAAGCCAGTCCTCCAACGTGAACCATGAGCCGAGATTGACCCCACGCTGCTTTCGGAATCGATAGATCTGCTGTGAAGTTGGCGGTTGGGAAAGAGGAAGTACCAGTGGGGTGGTAAGGGCCAAAGCGCGTTGGCCAGAGCTTCCCAGACCGAGATGTTCCTCGATTTTTGCTTTCAGATACTGGGCAACAGGAAATGAGGCTTAACGCAAGCATCCATAAGAAAATATACTCACCTTATCCATTATATCTCAAGTACACTGTCGTAGTATCTGTATTGTCGTAGCAGAGAAGCAAGGAGAGTTATGACCAATGCGATGACATCATTACGGAAGCAAATGTGCGAATGCCAGGGTTCAACAAGATATTCAAAGTTGGACTTTTGACTGGGAAAAAATCAGCGTTGCAAACAATCTAGAAGGGTCAACGCGCAGTGGTATGTAACCAAAGGCAACTAATGTCCGCCCCGGCTTCATCTACCTATTAACTCCCATCCTCCTAAGTCCATTGCAGTAGTTATGGCTCTTGAGCCATTGTCCGAGCTAGGAAGGTAAATTTTCGCATGAGGATGAATGAGCAAATGATATTCACTTACTGGGCTTGGGCTTGACAACAATATCCAATATACCTCTTCACCTCTTCGATGCAATATGGGCATCTCTCGGCGAATTTTCTGGAGGTTAGCACTAGCCTCATGCAGGTCACATAAACAGTAAGTAGGAAGGCAACTGTCCCTCGTTGAGATGTGGACTTCCAATAAACGAGTCGATATTTGACCACTCAGTCGTTGTCCATAAGGCATATTCGTCTAGGTGATATGTCACCTCTAGTAATGTCTCGAACAGCGGGACTGAGCTTGGAAATTGGAAAGACATCACATAGGGTATTCAGGATAAGATGAACGTCGTGTAGATCATGGAATGCATGCAAATCCATGTAGTCGAACTCAGAAAGAAGATGAGAAGCGGACACCGCATGGTCATCAGAGAGTAAAAGACGGAAGCGATGTAAGAAAATATACCTCGAGTCCTTATGTCCAAGCAGATACGTTGTAGAGTGCTGGAAACCTGGCACAATAGGGCATAAACTTGGTCAAATCGAGGATCGAGGATGATAACGACAGATAACTCTTGTAAGGACTGAAGATCAAGACAATGAGAGAATGAATCAAGTAGCTTATCGCCAAAAACATCGGTAAAGTCGGGTTCGGTATATATGGTCAGAACTTCTAGACGCGGCGGATTGGATCCTTGTCTTCAGGGCTCCAGAGCTCATGGATGTGACACCAAAGAAGAGAAAGATGCTTCAGAGCTCCCATTGATCCAGTCTGAGCCGTCTCTTCCCTCAAAGACGATGAGATAGATATCTTCGAGGTCAAAGTCCACAATCTGGGATGTTTGCCAGTACTGGACAAGAGCATCTTGAACGTGAGGTGAAAAATAGCGCCAGTCGAAAAGCTCGCAAAAGTGTGAGAAAGGCGGAATCGTTTGACTGATGTCATGTACGGCAATATCGGTGTAATCTGTACTAATTCCGGGTCTCGGTGATGGACGTTGAGTTCAAGAGATGTGATCAGGGGGGGGGGAAGATGTGAGGGGGGCCTAACAGCAAGTCAAGAAGATTCTTGAAGGTGTGACCACTGCGAGAGGGCGGAGGCACGGTAAACACTTCGATGCAGGAGAAGATGCCTTTCTGACTATACGGAAGAAGAATGAGACGAGGGTGCATGCTCTTACCGAAGGAAGGTCGTCATGAAGATTAGACAGGACGATATCGACAACTTCTTGAGGTGCATGAATGCTTTCGCTCATCTGAAAGAGTATGAGATACGAGCGGGCAATGTGAGGCAATCAGCCACGATAAAAAGGCTCGGAACTGCGCACCTGCAGTCGAGCTGATCTCTGTTCCAAGACTTTTTTTAAAAAAGAGAGGGAATGTGTGGCGGCGCTGGGCTCGCTTGCAAAAATGAAGGACCTGATCCTGGTGGTAGGGGAACAGAAGTCTTCGATTTGACCATGTTTGGCAGAGCAATTCGTGGTGTCAACGCTCGTACATCCATTCTTCCTTGACACCGCTTATTTAAATGGTACTTGCACCTTTTTATTACCACACTACGGTTAACATCCGTCGTCAATCACCAACACGCTATGTTTCAACTTACGTTTGCATAGATTCAGCGCGACGCGACCGTCACATGATCACGTATTTGCCAAACAACAACAAATTGCGTGAACGTTTCTTGTTCTTGTTTCATTCCTCCGGTGGTTACTCAAGGTGGTGACGACAAAACTCGCTGCAATGGAGGACGTACGTACTCAGCATTCCTCCCGTTTTAATCCAACTCTAAAACACTCACAGGAGATTCAATACGTCCCCCGAGGGTACCTCAGCTATTTCGATGTCACCGACGAACTTTTTCCGTGGCAAGATAATGTTGTCGAAGAAATAGAACGACGACGAGCGTCACTCAACGACATGCTTCTTTTTGACATTCTTTTGTCGTTGGGCGGCATACGGGAGCCCGATACACTTTACCCGCCACGAGATGTGCAATCCCTCGAACGCCTATTGAACGCGATTTCCGCATCTCAGTACGACGTACTCAAAAAAGACTGTCTCGTTTATTTCCTTCTCAAGTGGTATGAAGATGGACGGGAAGGCAAGTTCGAGCAGGCCCGGTCGATACCACCTCAGTTTTGTGCGCTTTCAGACGCGTACTGGCATTTGGATGCGGGGCTCAACGTACAGGTAAGCTTTATAGGCTTTCTAGCTTCCTTTTCGAACCAATTGGATTTTTAGCGTGCGGTTGCCCTTCTTTCCGATTCGCGCCTGAACCGGGACTATGCTTCAAAAATTCTCCACGCCATCTCCCTCTCCGGCGACCCGACGAACCTCATACTCAAGTACGTTCGAACGGCGAAGCCTCTTTTGACGGAACCAGAGGATATGAAACTCTACACACTTGCGCTTGCCGATTCTAATTTCTTTGAAGCATGGCAGTATCAACGATCATTCAATGAATCGGATGAGATGAGGCCACGTCTGTTTAATGCTTTGTTGGAGTGGTGCATGACGCGTCAGTCCTTAGTATTTTTTTATTCCTGATTTCTTCTGACACTCCCCCAGCGTCACCACGACCTGGTGCACTTTCGCAACTATTGGGTCTGCCTCTGTCTTCCTTTGAGCAGTCCATCCTTCACACCTATGCGCTCCAACCGTCATTCGATCTTCCTCCATCAGCTATTGCTGTTCTACAAGACCTCGTTTGTGTCCGTCTTATTGAAAGCGGTAGTTATGTTGAAGCTATCAAAATCGACCGACAATTCTCTTCTATCTCAATGCTTAAGGGTCATCACATCACCCAAGAACGAAGAGAAATGATCCAGGAAATTTACGCTTCTTTACCTCAAGTTGAACGTACAGTATTGGACCTGGAATTAGAAGCCCAGGATGCCGCTTCTACCAGTTTCATGGGATCCAGCAGTCGCAATGCTGGTGATATCAGCATGTCAAATTCATGGGAGGATATCAGGCCATCACATCTAATACCCACTTCAATCAATGGCAAGACTTCCCCCGTACAACCGTCGACTTTAGATCGGTCAACAGGTTTCCGGGTCATACCTTTCGGATCGACAAATAGCCTTTCTCAATCCTTCTCATCGGTTCATTCTATGACGGGTTTGCCAAACGATGCCTCATCCTCAAAAACGCGTATACCTCCGCCTTCAATACCACTCTCCTCAACATCTTCGACCCTCTACCAATCATTAAATCGATCACAACAGTCAATACCTTCCGCATCGGCTCCTCCATCGACACTCACACCTTTTGAGTCTGCAACCAAGCGACAAAATGCATTTTTTCAGCCTCAGGACCGCAGGAAGAGTGGGGGTCAGATGTTCAGTCTGGCCAACGGCAGTGCCCGTGCCGAAAGTACCATGGAGCAAAACGAAACCATTATTCAGATGCATGATGAGTATCATGAGTCGATGAGCCCCGACGAAGATGACGGTCCACCTCCTCCAGAACAGTCGTTCTCTGAGTCCTTGTTTGGCATCACCCAAAGCGTTTCTGAGCCCATGAGCAAGGTGAGCAATGGACGACCGCCGATAACGAACAATACATCCAAAATGCCTCCCGGGGCATTTGAAGAAACGCATACTGACGAGGAGCTACACCATGAAGTCCCAGCACGGCCGATGAGAATGGAAACACGGCATCGTACTGTCAAAGTGCGGGACACGAATCTGAAGCGCAGTATACCTGGTGCATTGATGGATGAAACCGATGAGGAGGAGGATGAGGAGGAGGATGAGGTAGCCCCGTTGCGCTCGCCTTCACCTCCGCGCAGGGCGGTTCGGAAGGGGCGCGGGTCCACAACTGAAACCCCAGCCACAGCAGAGCCGAGTAGAAGGCGATCATCGCGTTTGTCCTCGGTGCCTCAACCAGAGCCTGTTCACCCGCTCAAAAAAACGAAGTCGAGAAAGTCGACTGTCACCGCCACGACTACGCCAAAGGCCAAGAGGAAACGGTGATACATTAATTGTATTCACATGTTTATAACGTTACTGCGCAATGCGGTTTATATATCTTATATATCCGACCGTTAGTAGTCTCGTAAACCAGACTCAACGATCCGTATGAAGATAAAGCGTTCAATGGATGTACGTTAGTATAATCTTGACGTGGCATTTTACGCTGTCTTTGTTTTGATCCATTACATATGGAAGAGATGTTGCAGTGTCATCCCTGAACCCGAACTGGGTGCTCTACGCGAACAACCTGCTTCCCGCTGGCACTTAATAGTATCAAAAATCTCGTGAGTCCTATTTATACCATTCTGTTTCACTTGGTAAAGATCACCCTCAATACCATTGCGATATGCCTGCATGAGAGAAAATTTTCTGTTCGCAATCTGAAGAGTAACTTGGAAAGTTCTCGATATCTGTGGCAAAAAAAATTGAAAAGTTAAAATTGGTCTGTCACCGTGTCATGTTTGTCACGTCACGAACCGGCCAACAACCTACTCTCATCCCAGCAACTAGATGAATGCTTGATTTTGAGGCAGTCAGTGGGTATGTCCATGGTTAAAATATTACTCTCACCTGACACAAACTTCTTTCAAGTGAACCGCCATTTCCATGCGACTACCATGCCTTGAAGCTGCTACCATTCCAAGAAGGGCGTTACTTCCCATTGCAATTGCCTCTACAGTGCTAAAGGCTCGCCGCTTTACACACAGTGACTTCTACATCACTGCTGAAGGCCAGAGGAAACTCATCAAGTCCCCCGATTTTCTGTCTTTTCAATATCTGTCTCAGGAAGAAAAGATAAGACTGTCCTCTCCTCCGCCAGACCCTAATGAGCTTAAAGACCTGGTACTGCAAGGACAGTATGAAGGCGCTCGACGACTACGCATCCATTTGTTATCACTTCAGGTACCCATTCAACGTGACATCGTATATGCCGATGCTGCCTTCCATTATATCGAATCCCAGCCCAAAAATTTCATGCAGGAATTCGTAACGTGGTTATCCCTTGTTCCCCCGAAGCACGAGGCGCCAGATTGGCGATGCCCTTTCTCTAGAATACAGCGATTTCTGTTCAGTACTGGTGTTCCGGCCGACAGTTTCCCTGTCGTGACTCAATTCAGTATGGTTACTGCATCGATGGGGTACCTCAAGGACATATGGCCCCGTCTTGGCCACACGCTTGCTCTTCTCGCTGACCCGGCTTCGGGTCTTAGTTATCTCATGGATTTAGAACGGGCGGTGGTTAAATATGAGAAGGAACTGCACCCTGAACGTGTGCTACAGATAGAGGAGCGTTACCGCTCCATGATGATCAACGCGTGCTGCCATATGGGGTGGTTGCAACAAGCCGTCAACCTCTTACACAAGAGTGGCGGTATTCGGCTACCCCTGGACATATATCAGTTGATATTGGACAAGCTCAGGGAGGACGGCGACGAGAACGGTGTCGGGATTACGATGAGGATCATCGCCGAACAGGAGGATAGTGTCGCGTGGCAAAGGCGGTATACCCTGCTCATGCCGTCTCGTTATCATCGTTACTACGGTGCAGCAGATGCTCAAGCAATCCAGAAGCGTTCCGGGAGCAAGCCTTGATATGCAATATCAACGGTGAGCGGGTCGGCTGATGGCTTTGTAATTCCGCCCTTTAAAATATCTTTGCCTAGCTCCACCATGGTTTATCGTCTGGATACAATGATCGTCCTATATGTCAGGCCGATTTACGACCTACCCGAGGTCGCTGAACGCCTTGTATGCATTGAAACCCGTCCTTCATCCTATTCCACATGCGAGGCTTTGACCCGAAACATGTGTTAACAACTACGCCGATGAAGATGCTTGTTTCAGCGACCTTCTCGGATGGTTTTGTGCGCAGCGAGGTCAATGTTTCCGAGGTGTTCTGGAAAGTGGTCTGAAGAGGATGGAGATGATAAGTACCGGAAAGGCGACGTTGTGGAAATATCTTTGGTAAAAAGCATTAATTATAGATGTGTATCCAACACGAAAAGGGCAGGGCGCTGGAACTACTCACTTCCTGCAGGGACCGAGTGAGCGCGGTGGCTGATCCCATCAGGTCCCACCGAACTTTGATTAACACGGTCACCGGTCGCCACTTTGCCCGCCGAAATGACTTTTAAGCGTGTGTACACTCATGATTTCGTCGGCTGCCGGGACTTAAAATAAACACTGAGCACTTTGTTCTCATCTAAGTAACTGCGATAGAGCTGAAACAGTGAACCAAGTAATCTGATGATCTACTTGGATAAACAATGGTTACAGGTATTTCAAGGCACGTTCTATCTATAAGATAAGTTAACGCAGTGGCCACTGGTGTAATGATTTTGCATCGTCGAAAGAATTGCTAACAACCCCTACACGCGTTGCATTTTCCGGGGACCTGCCAGTAGCATGAGCAAAGATATGAAAATGGTAGCAAAATGTAACTAACTACCGCAGTGATTTTCCTGACGGGATTGTCATAATACCGTCGACAGGAGCAGGGGAACTTGCTCGTTCCACAGCGTGATGGATGTATCGAACTATTGAAACACTTTGGATATCGACAATCAACAGCTATCTCTCCGGTTTTGGTGAGATGTGCGCAGTCCTTTGACTGTTGGAATAGTAGCTGTCTATGGCACATATTTCTGTATTGTTAAATATTAAGCAGAGGAACATATCCGTACAGCCAACACTCACTTCTATCGAAAGATGTCCAGTAATAATTGAACTGAGAAGGCCCACAGGTCGAAGTAGCCTGCCACCGCTAGTCACGATTGCATCAGGTCAGGTGTCAGATCGTACAGACAGCTTGTGTACATACACAAATCTCTCCAGGAGCAGTTGCAATTAACAGCGAGCAGAACCGTTTGGCTAAGCTCTGTGAGACCGCATCCTTTTAAATGGCAGCTCACGTATTCAAAGCCCGACTTGAAGAGCGACCATGGAGTGCAAGCATAAATAAAGAGGAAATAATTCCTTGATGAGAACAGAAGGGTAGATACGAGGTACCAGGGAGGGTCATCGAGAACATGAGGACCGGGATTGTCGTGTGATTGGCAATTGTATCATGGACGACTCGTCATTAGAAACGGATGCCACGGTGGAACCTCGAAAGCGCGTTCATTTGCCGTGTCTTGGAGACGATCGTCCACAGGGTAGAGGAACATTACGCCAAGCGGAAGAGCGACCAGAAGGCTCTGAGTGGTTTTATGCCCAGGCTCGTCAGTCCGGGCCCCTCGGAGCGCCTGGCAAATCAGCCTTTAGGTTCGGTGAACATGTTCCAGCCCCGCCTCTGATTCAAGGCTACCTCTTGTGACTCACACATAAACTCGGAAGAACACAGTCGCTCGTTATAAGACTCCCACAAGAAGGATGTCCAGCTATGAATATGAGACGTTGCATAGCTTCCAAGGGACATCATCCCGTCCGAACGCGGGGTTTCAAGGTCCTATCATTGGGTAAGTTGGACAGCTCATTCACACCTCAATTAGCCTGCCTCGAACCGAGACGATATACCTGAAGCAGCGTGAAGGAGGGGCGCACATGGTAAGGGTTTGATGGTTACATCGTTGAAACAAGTGCGGGTTTCATAGCAAGGATTGCTTTTAGTCAATGTTGTCTAAAATGACGTGAAAGGATGTCTGATGAATGTCGAACATTCAAAGGAGGTGGGATAGCGGGTTAGCTAGAGAAAGCGGAAGTGCAGATAGAAAAGCCTTATGTCGCACTGCGCCCTTTCTCCAATACTAGAAACCCGGAGGAAAAGTTCGACATACATGGTAAATTACAGGGCCCAGGACCCAGGGCAGTAATCAGCCCGAAGTAAGAACCTAAAGAAGTATACGTTGAACTGACCGAAGGCATATAGAATGTGAACAATATACCTCTAGTAGCATATCTTGTATTGTCGTACAGGTTAGTCGAAAAGAAAAGCTTCCGGTTTTCGGTCCGTGTCCACCGCGCACAGTGACCGTCACGGGCATATCGGCAAGGACTTGTCTTGTAATCAGAGCCCTCGGGCTAGACATGCACTTGCCAGAGGACTAGGGAAATTTTTTGTAGGAATCCATTCTGCGCACCAAGTGCGTCTTTTCTGTTCCCAACAGCGTTGGGGCCGCGAGTGATTTACCTGGAACCGGGTGCTGATTCAGGGGATTCCCGACTTCATCATGAATATAGAGTCGCGGCCATTCACTGAAGGTCCTTTCTCCATTGGTCTTTTTCATTTGGGGTCGGCCCCCAGCAAATTGATGACATACACATCCCCAACTCTTCATAGACCTAACGGGACGCCAGTTTGTTTTGTATACAATGCATTGTCTGGACTTGTCTCTGACTAAAAATTCGCTAAAATTTTCATTGCAGAAGCTTCGGGGGCTATCTGTCACCATGCACAAAGTTCGGGAACATTATATGTAACTGCCTTTTAGGCATCGAGGTAAAACAGTCCATTTCGAGGATTAGATTTCCGCTTTGCCCCAGCAAGCTATGTGCTACTTGCCGGGGTCCCGAGTTTCTTCCTAGTAAAGGCCTGAAAGGCGTAATTTCTTGATACAAGAAAAGTAGCAACAAAGAGCTCGCATGGATAATACCGCTTGTCAGGTCGCCGTTTGTTCACCAAGTCTGCGGGATTTTTATGTCGTCAGTTCTTGCGCATACCGTCTCTTATTGCACTTGTGATGGCCTAGAATATTATTGCGTTTACCGGGAATTTACCAAGAATTTACACACCTTTTCATGCAAAGATAGAACGTTCGTGTGCCGTTGAGGTCTCTCTAGCGGTCATACGACAAAGAGGCTCCGTGACGCGCCCCTAATTTCTGCTTATGTCAGGGCCCCACTTGTACATGCTTCATCTCTCTCTTTTCATTATCTAGCATATCCACGAGCAGGACGCTGAAGAATGGCAGCGCCTTTGTATACCACCGCCTCTGGTCTTCTCTTTCATGCCGGAAAGATCCTGGTCATCACCGTCGGCTTACCAGCACGAGGCAAGACGCATATATCTCGGGCTCTGGAACGATATCTGCGATGGATGGGAGTAAAGACACAGGTCGTATCACTAGGAGACTATCGAAGGAAAACTTTGGGCGGTGCTCAGAAGCTTCCGCCGGATTACTTTACACTGGGTAACGTCCCTCAGCATGCACTTGAAATCGTGATTTCATGGTACTATGTCTTGTAGGCGAAAAGAGCCCTGAGACCATCGCGCTTCGCAAGAAGGTCTCCGATGGCTGCGAAAAACTTATATGGGATTTCTTCGAGACTGGACAGGTCGTGATCTACGATGCGAACAACGGGAGCCGGGCTGCTAGACAGGCGTTGGCCGAGAAATTCAATAAAGCTGGAATTCATGTCGTTATTCTTGGTGAGCAGTTTTTGTTCTACCTTGGATATATGCTAAAGGAATTGGTGTAGAATCTCTGTGTGATAACAAGGAGATCATTGAGAACAATATTCGAAGTGTAAAGATTTCTTCGCCAGACGTGCGTTCTACTGTTCGGCCGGTTACCTGTGGACCCTTATTATGAATCAGTATCGTGGATGGGACCAGGACAAGGCTGTGAAAGACTACTATACGCGGATTAATGACCACGAGAAACATTATGAGCCTGTGGAAGAGACAACATGGCCGTACATACGAATTCTCAACGTGAGCCTTGAATGATCGATTTCGCTGTTCGCATCTTATATACGCTGCTAGGTTGGAGAAAAGATAATGGTCAACGTGAGCATGACCTTGTCTATGGGCCCTTGCCGAGGTTTAATTGTGGTGGCCGTCTAGAATATTAAGGGCTATCTTCAATCTCGTATCGTCTTCTTCCTCATGAATATACACAACAGATATAGGACGATCTACTTTGCTCGGGTGCGCTCAATTTTGTTTTCTGTATCTATACCTGTGTAACCTTTTCATCTCCAGTCCGGGCAATCTTTAATTGAACATTCCTACAAGGCAGATTCGGATTTATCCCCAGCTGGTTGGGAATACGCCGAGAAACTCAAAGAGTTCGTCTTAAAACGCCGGGCAAAATCACTTGAACAGCGTGGCCTTGACCCAAACTCTTCTAGGCTTGTGGTACGCTCCTATCTACTTAATCGCTCCAGATCCCAATTGTGAAATTCGCAGATCTGGACGTCGACGAGGCGCCGAGCCCATCACACTGCCTGGCCATTCCTAAATAACCTTCAGTTGACTCATTCTCAGACTGTCGAAAGAATACCAGGTACACCTGCAGAGCCAGCTCCTGGTCACAACACTACGAAGTCGTCATCCATATATGCACCTGCGCTAAATGTAAAGGTCATCGAAAAGCCGCAAATGTCCGAGATAAACCCTGGTATTTGGGACGGCCTGTCGCCCGACCAAGCTCGAAAGTATTACCCACAAGATTGGGAGCGCTTTGTCAAAGATCCCTATGCGTTTCGGGCTCCTAGGGCAGAGAGTTATCATGACCTTAGTGGTGTGTACCAGCGATTGCCATGGGAACGCGTAAATATACTCATCGTACTTTTTCTAGTACGACTGGAGCCGATTCTTATCGAGTTGGAGCGTGAGCGAGAGGATCTTCTTATCATTGGACATGCCTCTGTCATTCGCTGTCTACTTGCCTACCTAATCGGCCTTCCGGCGTCAGAAATCCCTGCAATTGAGATTGCAAGAGGCGATCTACTCGAGGTTGTCCCGGCCTCCTATGGCGTTCACAGTACGGCATTCCATTTCTGGGACGGACCCGGAAGACATGGTGGTGAAGACACGGAATATGCTGGTAGCGACGGTGACAACGAGAACAACTTTTACGAAAATTATGCCGAGGATACGAAGGGGAAACGAAAAGCGGTTCCAGATTCCGGGAGTCTTGATGGCCTGCCTATCGTCACAGATTGTGTATAATTTGACTTTGGCATTTGTTCATAGGTGTAGGTTGGGCACAGACTAGATAGAAATATCCGACAAGAGGTACAGTAAGCTTATGCATTATAGATAGTCCTTAATCTCATCGATCCTGTCCTGGGTGAAACATTCTGGGCGGTCGTTGTCTTCTTCAGAACTATCCACTTCGTTGAACGATGAAGCCGCGCCGGGAACAGGGAAAGCGTAATTGAGACCCCAGTAAATTAAAGAGGAGACACCGAAACCTGTGAAGAAGGACATGTCGTATATCCTCGTGGCCGCAATAGGCACATTTCTTCCCGCTGAGGACCAAATCAATCGTCAATACAATTATTATGCAATTACCGAGACGACTTACCTGCTCCAGCGAATCCCACGACCTATACAAATATTCGTATCGTGAGTACTCTGGAGAGAATTGATCGACAGACATACATTGATCAAAATTCCTCCAATATAAGCGGTATAGGCACTGCATCGAAATCGCCTGATTTAAATCTCACCTTTATACAAAAGATTCACAATTTACCGCAAGTTAATCCCGAACGTATAATAATACCACCCGTCCTTGCCTGAATGGTACAGGTCCGAGACACGATAGTGCCCTTTTCGAACTACGTAGTATTCTGTGATCTGACCCACACATTTCGATCAGAGTACGGATGAGAGAGAAGAAGGAAACGCACCATTACACCCGCTATCGAGCTTAGAAAGACCGAGTATGCCGAAAGGTACGAAGTGAAACTATTACTATCTTTGAGGACTGAAAGGGGTGTGTTGGTCAGGACACAGTCAGATGACGTGTTCGCATGAGACCTACGATTCCACGGGAGCATACAAATCCCGACAAGGGCAGCTACATAGCCTCCTCTCCGGATGTTCTACAAGGTCCTAGAGATGAACCCTCGATATAAATTGAAGAGAAAATACTGAACGCACAATATATCGCGGAAAGAGCGCGGTAAGATCGCAGCCCGCACTTACGGAGTTTGCGGAGATATTGGTTCTACGAACGTGCTAGAATTGAAGATAGAATTATTCATGAACGTACCCGAGCTGTCAAGATCTCAATTTTCAGTGGAACTTAGTCATCTGAAAAGCCCTACCTGTGCAATGATAAATGACGCCGAAATAAACCAAACCTTCGATAGGAAATAAATAAACATATTCCTCCGATAGCAAGCAATTATATACACCAAATCGTGTCGCACTTGATGGAGAATCGTCCAGGAAACGCCCGAGAAGATCGATAGGTGACCAGATTGCCTCCCCGAATATCGTCTGTGACGAAGAACTTACGACAATGCCTACAAAGCTAACCAGCGAAAATGTCAACGGCACTGAAACCAGTTGCGGCAGCAATGCTGCTGATGGACTATGTGCGCGCGAAGCAAAGTCAGGCGCGTTTGTGACGAGCGTGGCCATGTTGCTGATGCACGACATGAGGCTTATAACCATCTCCCAGGCCAACTCAGACCCTTGAATTTGGGACGGTTGGGACATGATGGGCCCGATACCCTTGGCTTTCACTATGCACCAAATGAAGAATGTGATTCCTGCTGTTGGAGCAACGATGGCCTTGAGTGTAAAGAGGTGTCGTCTGTAAGTTTATTGTTAGTCAAGAAGCACCGCAGGAAAAAGCCGGGTCACACATTTGGTGGATAGGGAACCAGATAGCTGGCAAGGATATGAGCCAGAACAAGAAGAAACACATGAAGTCTCTAGTCGTCGTTCCGGACGAAGCAGGGAGATGGTTCGCTAGACCCGGAGGAACGTCATAATAAGTTTTTAACAAAGGGTTCAACACTAACGTATATTGTTAACGCTCGGCCACATCGCCCTTAACATGACCAGAACGCAGGTGCCGCCAATGCTTGCTTGTACCCCGTACCATATACTAGGACAAATCAGGCACATTGACGAGGTTCAGACTATGGACGTACCAAGCCATAGCACCACGATTAAATGTGCACCACAAGCTTCCATAAAGTCCAAAGCTCGTACGCGCGACGACAGGGAATGTAACATGAAATTTTGCACCAGGCCTAGCATTCAATACGATAAATGGCGCGACGACACTATAACCGATCCAAACGCAGATCCACGCTTGCCACCACGACAGCTTGCTCTGCACCATCGACGAAACGATCATCCATCTATATCTGACATCACTTTGGTTCTGAAGTAAAGTAAAGAAGGAACAACGTACGTGTTGATGTTGAAACTATCCGCAATCCAGCTGTCGAGACTTCGTCATTATACGATCGGGCGGAAAAGGCGCACACTGGGACCCACAATGCGACAAAGTTGATGCTTTTCCATGTCCGTTTCTCCGGAGGGACGGGCGATAGATCCTCATTCTATGTTCAAGGATGAGGTCCCTAGTCTTCCCATGGCAGTGCCACTCACGTTTAGAAACAGCTCGCGATTCGACAACCCCGGCTCGTGAGGGATTTCGAGTCTCTTGAGAATACTCATCGCGTCTAAACCTCTGCAGTTCGACGATAAGAGGGAAGCAAGAGCCTTGGCATCGTCTTGCCATGTATTATATTCGCTATCTGGGGCGCATATGCTCCTTCAGTTCTTCATGTTGATACATAGATAAGTAGTAGCCGAGATTCGCCCCGGCAGTCGGCTTCTAGAAGTAACTTTGATGATCTCAAGTCGAGGCCATCATATCTTAATACCGGCAAATTTTATGAAGGTTCTACACAAAGGCCAGTCAAACAGTGAGGACACAGATAATTGAAGACAGCTAGAGTAAACACACCAATCGATGCCTTAATTGATTGCTTCCAGCACTTCAACATCGCTCTAACACGAGAATATAGGAAGAGTATGATTTTGAATCTACAGAAATGTGGAGAACAAAGCAGAACGATGCAGTACGATAAAATGAAGATGATAGATAATGATATAAGCCAATGTATGTGCGATGAATGAGAATATGAGGATGGCAGATGGAAATGCATGATGCAATACAATTATGTTGATCGATAGCAAAAATGTACGCGTATGATGCTTGTAGATGGATATAAATGATAAGTTGACCATGTGAAAGACGAGACAATTATGATTCTGTCTTCGCGGGACTCGAAATGATGAGCCGCGGAACAGATGTTGATCTGGTGATTTTAGCAGGGCACACAGGCGAGGGAGATGCGAATGTGAAAGTATGATAAATTTGTTTGCGATCGGGAGTGGTGAACACTTTCGGTTCCTGAGAACTGATAGTGGAGGCAGAACGGCTAGAACCAGCGCTGGCATAGCCCAAATGAACGGGAGTGAAAAAGTCGCGTAGTTCGGGTTCCTGAGATGTCTCCTGCACAACAAAAGGTTGGATCCAGTAATGAGAAGCATGGAGCAGAAGACGCACCTTAACGAACTGAAGCTTAGACTCAAGGTCGTCTTCAGGAACATCTGCGAACCACTCTTCAGCACCCGGCGCCTGCTCAAAAGCCTGGGTGACATCTGCCAGAGGCTTGACTGTGAGCTCATAGCACTTCGCATCAATCTCCGCCCGCGTCAGAGGCAGTGCTAGAGCAATATCGCTACCCTCTGGGACAACATTCTCGGTGGACTCTTCCTCGACCGAAGGCAAGCAAGGAGCTGCGTGAAGCTTCTTGCTCGTCTTACGAGTTGAGCTGGGAGCTCTTTTTCCTCCCCTCCCCTTCTTTACAGCTGACGAAGCCGACGACTTGCGCTTCTTCAACTGAGATCCTTGGTCTTCCTTGAGCTTTTTCGTTTCGATGGAGGCAAGGGCCTTGGAAGACGATGTATTATTCTTGCGTTTCTTGGCGGTGCCTTTAGAATTGGCATTAACTCGCTCGCCAGTCAACGGGTCAAGATTTTCCTTGTCTGCCTCTGTAGCAAGACTGGGGAGTGTGCCGACTTTATCAACGTTCGTCGTAGTCATGGATGAGAGAACCGAGGTTGTGGCCTTCAAGGTCAAGGTCTTTGGTGATGATGGGACGTCCTGGAAGATAGTGAAGGAGCGAGTAGCCATTGCTATTGACTCAGAGGAGGTAGGAGACTATCGTACGTGACGTGAAGGAGGAAAAGAGACAACGCTGTGAAGGTCAATGAGCAAGGAGGATATCGCTGACGATGGTTAACGAAGACAAGAAAGAAAGTTGAATCTCAGTTCGATTTAAGGAACAGCCACGTGGCTGACAAGCAGACTGCAACAATGCAGACGCGTCGGAGACGCGGTCCTATCACGTGACAAAAGATTTGTAATCGCCTTTTTAGGACATGGCCATTGGCCATCATGAATAGACGTATTGTTGGTCCGGGACAATGGCCTTGCGGTGTTGTTGAAATGGCACTAGGTGAGATTGTTAGAACAATAAAGGAGAGATAGACTTTATTTTTTCTCCAATTTGTAGGCCTTGCTCTGCTATACGTGTGAATTATACTGACCGCCTGTGATATTTAGATGCCTTGCCCCTAAGACAGTCACTTAATTGACACTTTAAATTTGATACCTCGGGAGGGAGCTGTCATGGTCAGCACTAGGACTTTGATACTCCTCTTGGTTCGGACTTTGCGCTGTTCAAGAAGGTGTATGATGTTATACTGCCTCATGGACTGGGACACCGTCGTAAAGCTTGCTTGTCACCCTATATTGGCACGTGTACGAGAATAACTCGTGCTCTTCAGCCGACTCCAGTCGTTTTCAGTGCGTCTTAATGACCAGTCAAACCCCTGTACCCCGACTCCGGCACGTCTAAAACCTAGTCCTTGGTTCATCGTGCAAATTACTACCACTGCACGTTCGTACCATGATCCGTATTTGTCCTCTTGCTTGGACATGCACGTCGTTTCGGTACCTCATTACCGACTTTCCGTGCTTTTGCTCCGTGATCACTGCGATGATCGCCAGATGTGGGGCTTGATTCACTTTTTCGTCTATTCCTGGTACTTCCGCAGGACTTATTTGGATCTATATAAAAACGATCACATCCCTCCGACTTGGCAGCAATATATTCATTCAGCATAGCTCATATGCAGCACACCGACCTGTCAGGTCTCTCCCTTCCCCCCTTCCTCACCGTCGTCCGCGCCCGCGAGAAACATTTGCGACAGGTTTCGACGTGAAGCTTCACAACCATCACATCGCCTGCCTCTGACCGCGCGTCGGGTAAGTAATCGCCACAACACCTCATGTCCTCCACGCTCCAAAGGAGTGTATGTCACGTTTGACCAAAGTTCGCTGTTTTCCTCCTTTATATAACGGGACTCTCAGTTCGTTATGCACTAGGAGCTGACCGCGCATCCTTCTGTTTCCAGACTTCAACGACTCCTATGCCTTCCAAGACTACGCCTTCTGTTTCCTCCTCCAACCACCCAGCCCTGGGTACCATTATTGATGAAGGCACATTAGAACTCGTCGAGGTCCTTGGAGTTGGAGGTTATGGTGTCGTCTACCGCGCAGAGGATACCTTTACCTCTTCCCCAAAATCTTACGCCGTGAAATGTCTCATGCACTCAAACATTCATTCATCCCGCCAGCGACAACTCCATATCCGAGAAATCGCCCTTCACCAAATCGCCAGCGCTCATCCTAACGTCATCTCTCTGCATCGTGTTGTCGAGGACAACAAACACACCTACATCATTATGGACTACGCTCCCGACCATGACCTCTTTTCCCAGATTCGCAACAACTGTCGCTATTTGGGGCGCGACCATCTCATAAAGCATGTTTTTCTTCAGCTGCTCGACGCCGTGGAATATTGTCATTCTCTTGGCATCTACCACCGTGATCTGAAGCCCGAGAACGTGCTTTGCTTTGACGATGGCCTTCGGATAGCCATCACAGACTTTGGTCTCGCTACGACGGACAAGGTTAGCGCAGAGTTTCGGACAGGGAGCGTGTACCACATGAGTCCTGGTGTGTTTCATCTTTTATCAGGCCATTGTACTGTCACTGATAAGTTGTTTGTGGTTCACAGAATGCCAGGGCGGTGAATTTGCCCTTTCTGGGACCTACTCGCCCATGGCCAATGATATCTGGTCGTTGGGTATCATCTTGCTGAATTTGGCTACGGGCCGAAATCCATGGAAGTCTGCGACAGCGTCAGATCCTACTTTTCAGGCGTACCTCCGCGACCCCCAAGGGTTCCTGCCTACAGTGCTTCCCATCTCGCAAGAGATAAACAGCGTCTTAATTCGGATGCTTGATATCGATTGGCGGGAGCGACTGACGTTGACGGAGCTGCGCCAGCTCGTTGAGGACATATCGTCGTTCTATTCGGACGGTGCTATCTTTGAGAGCAGTATGGCTCGTTGTCCTTGGGAAGCCGACATGGATATCGACACAGACTCGTCGAAGGAACTACTACCCGTCAACTCTCACCACGCAGAACTAAAATCTCACTGGAGCTCAGATACCGACTCCGACATCATTTTTGCCAGCCCGTCCACGACAGCTGAGTCCAATTACGGCCAGTCTTGGACACAAGACCCTGCCTGCCAAGCTATGTGGGAGATGGACAGCGTCGACATGAGGTCTTTGTTTGTCAGACCATGTACTCCAGCATCGTCCCGCTCCCTTTTATCTCCTTGTAACTCCGGTTCCGCGTGTTCCTTTCCAAAAACTCCGAATAGCGTCGACCACAGCTTTGGGGGCAGGGCTCAGATTCATGATATATCTCACCGGAGAGTGCCACTCACCATTGACACCAACTTCTGTCGCCCACAACACTATACCGACCCCAGTCCGAGCATGAAGTCATTCACGACTGCGTCGTCCGTCATGCAGACTGCGGTTGAGTACGATCCTTACGATTCATCATTCTTTCTTGCCAGCGCTGCATCGCCTTCTAAATTATCCCAGATGCCAGAATCTGTGATTTTGGACTCGTTCTCGTGTGACGATAAGGCCATGTCTTCGCCCTCAGTGTATTCCGGGACGGATATATCTCCCAATTCGAGGTACTCCTCAACGAGGAGTTTCTTCGAGATCGCAACAGAGGGACGTTCAGACTGTGTTTCGCCGAGCATTCATACACACCCATTAGTGCACATCCAGCATTCCCCGTCATTGGGTGGTTCTACAGACCAGGACATAACGCCTCCTTTCTCCCTCCCGCCGAAGAGCATCAAACTTCTCGGCGAGAAAACCAAAACCAGATTCCTTGACCTTTTTCCGCGGTCTCGCTGCCCGTCACGTTCCCCTTCCCCCCTACCACCTTCCATCTCCCACTCACCCCAACATACCCATGATTCCAATTTTACAGATGCTCCTCTTCCTGACCCTTTCACGACATTTACGTTCGGACAACTCACCCCTTCGCCACTTATGGAGAACTGGCCGGGTTTAGCTCTCCCTGAAACTCCTGCAGTTCTCGAACGGCAAGCTTGCTCACGCACTACTTACATTCGTTCACCGCGTTATTGGTTTTTACCTGGTAAATTATTCACTTCTTCTGGAGCTTCTTGATATCGGTCCATTCCCTTGTTGTAGCATAAATCTTTGCGTAACATGAACGTCTGCCGCACGTTTCATCTCTCGTCAATACCTAGAATGCAACTTCTCTCCTTTGTAACTATGTGTAACACGCGGAATTTCAGAATACTGTAAATTACTTTTGACGGTAAATCAGTATCACCATGTCGACTCATTCATCTCATGTATGATCTCAGGTTTCAATTAATAATTCTCCACCTCATCTAACTGTCGGCCGTTGTCAATAATTTTACGACTCAACTAATGAAATGTGATGGTGTATTCCCTTCTACTTAGCACTCCAAAATAGCTGGGGGTTATAAATTTGAATTGTAGATGATGAGTGAAATACTTAATAATTGCATCTATTAACAGAAGAATATGAGTTAGAATCTCAGTCGGGCACAGCGTAGGTGAAACGACTGAGGTATCCGGATATCTACGGCCAGTCTATATAGGTGATCGGGTAAGGACAGGAGTAATGTATATATGATAAGTAAAAAGGAGACGATCGAAAGGTAAGATAAGGGTATAACATACGGATATCCTCCAACAGCATCTGTGTATGACCAGTAGCGAATATTTGCGGCATCCTCCACAAGAACTGCTATATGCACTCTCTTTCCTCATCCGCCTCGTTTTCAGCGGGCCAGCTGATGCACCTCTTGCAAAGTTACAGACTCGCAGCGTCAAAGACATATCCCTGATTCCCATTGGGTTGCTATAGTGTAACTGAGAATAAAAGGCAAAGAAACAATAGCAAAGTCGATCTGTACTTCTCAATTAATGTACCATGCCGGATCTGGAGAAAACTCTTGAATAAGAATAACAGAGGCCGAATTCCCGTTGTACTCACTGAAAAAGCTCAGCATTCAAACGATTCCAGTATACAAGATAACAGACCAACAGATGGCGGCGAGCTGAAGATTCGCCTTCCTCTTGTACTAGCTTTTTGATTTTTTGGAATTACGAACGCAAAGGTACTGTGTGCGTGAGAATTCTGCTCGACGGAGCACTCAGAATTACTAGTTGCTCCTTTCTTCAACAAATCAGGATCAATAGCGATCGTTGCCAGTGCTCGCTGAAAACTTTGAAAGGCAAATTTATTTGTTCTTGTGTGGCTACAACGTTAGCGGCAACCAAGTAGTAACGCTCGAAGGGACGCGCCTACCTTGCACCTTACAATGTCCTATCGGCAGTCGTCCCACACTCGTTACAACGCCCTTCACAGCCCAAAGCAACAGGTCCTCGGAAATAGTGCGGGTCATGTCCCTCCAGCATGGCGAGTCGCAGGGTCGTCGGGCGTAAATGCTTCCATTGGGAAGGGAAAACAGGCAGCGAACCATGCTGGTAGCAAAATTTTACTTAGCAGATTGCCTGTGGATGTGAGTGAGAAAGAGGTAGAGGTAAGTGCACCGTGTCGTTTTAAACCATCCATCTTAATGTAGGTCCTTCTTTCGACGTGAATGATTACAGGAATTGTTCAGGAAGACTGTGGGGCCATTGAAGGATTCCTTCGTCGTATACAACTCCCAAGGGAAATCCAAAGGGATGGCAATAATATCCTTTCAAAAACTTGGTGACGCTGCTATAGCTCGATCAAAATACGACGGGAAATTTGTGGATGGACGTAAATTACCGTCTCCGTTTCTCAGTGCATGATATCTGATAGTACACCAGGACGTCCAATCAAGATTGAAATTATATCGGACGATATGTCACCAGCTTCGATGACTTCAACTACCCCTTCACTGTTCGATAGAATTGCTGGGCCCAAGCCCATTGTGAATGGCAATGTGCCTACTGTTGCTAATGGGTATGCCCCTTCTGTGGTATATTGAATTGTGTCTGATGCGACTTTCCATCAAGTGTTAAGAGCCCTGTTCAGAATCATGCTCTGCCAAGACAGGTGGCGGCAGCGGCGTCTATAGCAGCGGGACTACCAACACCAGCCGCTGGGCCTCGACGACGCTTGAAGAAGGGTCCACGACGGCTGAAGAAACAGGCAGTCTCAAAGTCTCTCAAGCAGCTTGACCAGGAGATGGAAGACTATCGGGCAGCTGCTGACGTCGACTCGTGATGAGAAGAATATTTAGCGCGAGTTTTCAGCTTCATTTCGGTCCGTGAAGACTAAATCATCTATACCTTATTTTAATCTTGTACGTCATAGGGTCATCGAAATGTTTTGTATTGCAGTATTTCTTTTGGATAGTTAGTCTTTTCTGTGGCCAAAACAAAGGGAGCTAAGGAGCTGTTAGGTTCATGACTTCATTGATAAGCGCTATCAGTACAGCGTCTTCTGTGGGGAATAAAAGCTAAACCATGGTACAGTCACCCTTTCTTTCCGCTGCCATTCACTTTAGTCTGTTGTATTATTTGAGACAAAAGGTAACATGTGCGTTTTATTCGTGTTGGTCAGAACGAGTGTCGATGCCTTCTCAATGTCATTGATATATCCTCCTCAGCCGGTCTCGCTATCGGCTTGAAGGAAAAGTGCGATCTCCCGTGGCAGGAAAAAGCCGAATCCGCCTGATTGAACCGGTGTTTCCCAGGCATGAACCCTGAAGGCCACCAATATTGTCAACACTTGAGGGCGCTGCTCATCTTCTCTTTGGTTTGCAGAAGGTCTCCAGTTTGGAATGGATAACTGCACGCTAGATTTCTGGAACTTGTCTTGTTGTCAACCTGCAAACTCAATGTTGGCCTCCATCTTTCAGTGTTCACTGACAACTATCATACTGGCCAATATCATCTTTTTTCATCAAGGTGGTGCTGTCGCAGCGATGTGGCTACGAAAAGCGCGCAAGGTTTGAGTCCAACAAATGTATGATATAAGGTTCGAAAGAGCCGACTAATGTTCCTAGTACTTATAGGCTCACCTTATGGTTTGAATACTACTTGCCTAGATTTTGCTCCAAGCTGTCACCGACCTCTATCGCACCCGGCGGCCCCGTCAAGCTTCTTGATTTCCTCCCCTACATCGCTAACTACTCCGACGACAGTCAAAATGCTAGATTGCTTCTTGTGCTGAGAGAGACATCCGTATACATACGAGTGTTAGATCATTTGACTCACCACAAGGACAACATATCATGCATCTTTTACTGTCTACGGTAAACGCGATAGCAGCCGCTCGCCGCTATTCCCACGAAACAATTTCTCTTGGAAAGTACAACACATATTGTCTTATGCTACTTGCTTCCATGCGTGATGCAACGGATCCCAGGATACCTTTTTAAAGACGCGTTTCTGGATTTTGTACTAATCGATTTACAGGGCCATGTTGACTGTTTTCTTCCTCGTCGTCTGCCTGGCAGTTACTTACTCTTTCTATAAACGATGGACTCGAATCTCGATTTCTCATATCCCGGGGCCAGAGTCGAAATCTTTCTTGTACGGTAGGTTATTTATTTCCGTTTTCTTAGTGGCGCACAATTCTTAGACGTTCTGAACCAGGAAACTTGCCTGAGCTTTTCCAAGCACAAGCCGGAGAGGTATAGTCTCCCTAGCCATCGACGGGTTCGTATCTTACTCATTGAACCACAAGATCGACTTCAAGTGGCAGCAAATGTATGGGGATGTTATCAGGATCCGTGCACCTTTGGGTGTAAGGAAGACCCCTTCAAATGAAGTGACACTCACTTTGACCGTGTCGTTTAGGAAGACCGTCTCCTCATTTCGGATCCTAAGGCCCTTCAATACATATATCATACTGCGAGCTATAGATTCCCCAAACCTCAAAGTCGGGTACAGATATCGCGCCTGACCTTCGGACCAGGAATTACTAATGTCGACGGCGAGTATTTGATAGTACAACTGGTCCACTGCGATGGCTGACAGTCTTCTTTTAGGCGATGACCACAAACGTCACCGAAAAGTAATGCTCCCTGGTTTTGGTGGTCCAGAGTCGAAGTCGTTCTTCCCAACGTTCTTTGCGTGTGCGGAGAAGGCAAGTCGGGGTAATACTGATTCCCTGGGGATTTATAGCTAACTTGAGTGACGTTTGTAGATGGCCCAGCGATGGAAAGACAGCATAGAAGTAAGCCCTGACCAGTCGACTGTCTTAGACGTCTCTTCCTGGATTTCTCGTGCCACCCTTGATGCCATCGGTCAAGGTTTGTCTGCTTTGTTCGCATGAGCAAGAATATACTGATCAAGCCTTGGTAGCCGCTTTCGATTACGAGTTCGGTGCCTTGGACGACTCTGACAACGTCCTTGCGAAGGCGTATTATAACCTATTGCACGTCTCGACATTCCTTTGCGAGGTAGAACTAACACAGCTGCACCAGCTTTGATCTCTTTGGTGTAATGACGAACCGCGCTATTCTTTTTCTGTCAGTCATGGACCATCTCCCCTCAAAGATAATCCCTTTCCTCATGAAAAAATTCCCCTCGGGCCGTCTGGATCATGCGCTCCTGGTTAACAGGCTGTCTACTGCGGTTGCCAAGGAGCTCGTTGACGAAAAGTTCAATGCTCTCCTGGAGGGGAAGGGCCGCAGAGATGTTATGAGTCTCCTAGGTAAGCCCTGAAATTCATTTGACGCGTCAAAATCTGAGTATTTCGTAGTCAAAGCGAATGCATCTGAGAATGCCAAGACACAGCTGGAAGAGAGGGAACTGCTCGGTCAAATGAAGTCTGTCATCTGATACTGGTGCTTTAAACTGCTCCTGACGCATCACAAAAGCATCATCATCCTTGCAGGTCATGAGACAACGTCGAATACGCTGTGCTTCGTACTCTTTGAAATGTGCAAGCAGCCGGAAATGCAAGAAAGACTACGCAGAGAAATACGTGCGACTGAACGGGTGATCCATGATAGAGGGGATACACAGTTCTCACCCTCGGACTTTGACTCAATGCCGTACTTGTCTGCCGTGGTCAAGGTCCGTGAATTCGGCTTTGATGTTTTCCTCCAGCTGATGTTGGGCAAAGGAAACCCTTCGCTTCCATCCCATAGCCTATAATATTTACCGGGTTGCTGCAAAAGACGATGTACTGCCTTTGAGTATGCCTATCACTACTACATCAGGAAAGGTCCTACATGAGCTGCCAATACCAAAGGGACTGCATATCGACGCGTCTGTAGCCGCGTATAACAGGCAAGTACCAGATTCCCTTCACGTGCAAATTGGGCTTGAATATTACCGTCTAGGAATAAAGACATATTTGGAGACGATGCGGGCGTTTTCGATCCTGACCGTTGGTTGCGTAATGCATCTCCGAAGACCAAGACTGCTTTGGGCGTCTATGCCAATCTGTACGGCGCCAATTCGTGGGGATTTGTAGAAACTTGACCCTTCAGCTAGGTTCACCTTTGCCAGCGGCTCTCGCTCATGCATTGGTTGGCGTTTCGCGTACGTTACTTGAGCTTACGGATATATATTGATGTCATCTGACCTTCGTTCGGTAGTGTGATGGAGCTCCATGCCTTTATGATCGAGCTTCTGAGCAATTTCGAGTTCTCGTTTGCAGAAGTGCAGGGTATTCGCCGGGAAGCCTGTGGTGTCATGACTCCGACAATTGAAGGGCAGGTTGAGAAAGGATCACAGCTGCCTCTGAAGATTAAGCTGGCACAGAGAGATGACTGACTTTATGCAAACGATGACGTTTTCTTATCCCCATACAAAACACGCAGGGCTATTGGATAGGCGATAGCTCCGGCGTCAGAGAAATGACGTCGCACATTTGAGTAGGCCAGACTGCAAGGCGCCGAGTAGTTTGGGTTCGACAAAGTTCCCAGCAATGCCGTGATTAAACAAATCATCATCCATATATCTGCAATGTTAAGCAACTAGCAAATTGTACAGAGGGATGCCATTCAATGTGTAGCTACGAGAAGCGTCAGCACTGCACAGCAGACCCAAGGATTGCTCACTTATCATGGCCCTTCGACGGCTGACAGCTTCAGTCGCTGTCTTCCATAATGCCCCCGACTCCCAATGGGCAATTGAATCGTATTTACATCTAGATCTCACCAAAGCGACGACACGATCATCATCTCCCCACGGGTGATCCTGCCCGGGCCGCTCGTCGAAATAATACAAAAGGAGATACACGACTTCCAAGGAAGTGTGTTCCTCAAGGAATCGTGGAATGAAATGATACTCCAGGCTATTCGGAAAATCCAGAAAGCCGAGGTGAGTGAGTGAAGGTAGAGCTAGCAAGCGTTCTGCCATTGCAAGCTGCAAGTGATGCAGTTGAACAGCTGGGATGATGATTTCCAGATGTGTTAGACGACAGTGCCAGTTGCATGTCGGGTCATTGGAGATGGGGATATCCATGAAATAGGTGACTGGGATAGATAAATGACGAAGAAATCTGAGGCTTGCGATGGAATCTAAGGAGCTGGGAGACACAATAGTAGGGCTCCAGCAAGCCAACGAGATCATTCCTGTACACTGGTGAAGCAGATGCATCGCTGATTCGTTATGAGCATGGTACGTCAAACAGAGCCGCTTTACGACGCGCCCAAAGAATTCGGTTGGCTTGGAGTCGACCATCTGCAAGAATTTGCAATGGGAACCGCGGTCCATCATGGGTGATTCACCGCCCAGAACCACGATTTCGTACAGTATTGGTTCAATCCTGGAAGAGATAAGCTGCATACAAGAACGATTCCAGGAAATATCGTACCAGGAATGTACCCGTCGTGCGATCAGCAGGAGCCCGGGAGCTTCTGCGGGATAAACGCGTGCAGTGAGCTCGAATATTTCCCATTCGAGTTCGAGTGGTAGCAAAGGAAGGTTGGTATGCATCGAAGGAGTGGTTAGAGAAGCAGACCCGATATTGATTTACGTGCACATGCCTACCCGGGCCGGTTGCCGATTTCCATGTACCCGCCGAATCGAACCTCTTAAGGTCCATCCTTGAGAGCAAAGAAATTAGGCTTGATCAGGGTACAGAGTATCGTTTGCTCGAGTAAGTAACCGAGGCCGCAGTGCTTTCATCGGGAAGTGGCGGCTACAGAACAAGTCGCGAATGCTCTGTCGTACGGTGACTCATTAAGCAAAGTCACTACTATAATACTAGTTCCCTGTGCTGTACGGCCTTCGTAATCATCAAAATCGCAGTATGAGATTCGTAATGCTCCTTGTTGAAAGTATAGAGTACAGTACAGTACAGAGGATTAGATTAGCCTCTCGAGAGAGAGACATCGTACTTAAATACATTTTGTACTACTTCGAGAGCTTTCTACGAAATACTATATAAGTCCCGATCACGGTCCAAGTCAGCTGCCGCTGATTGACGTAGTGTCTTGGGGTACTTTCTCGTACTCGCTCGGGATTGCTATCCCAACACTCCCTTTCCTAATAAGTTCTACTCATTTCTGATGTAGGTTGAAGTTCTTATCGGTGCCAAAGAAGGCTGGCGATTATCACGACGCTTCACCTAAGATTGTCGCGTGCAACGAATGTCTATCAGTACTTACCGCAGCCATTTTTATGTCGAGACTGACTCGAGGTCGCCTGTGTTATCCATTCTCCGAGTTTATGTTTGGTTAGATGCTGTCGACGGAGAACGATCTCAAGGTAGTAATTCGGAACAAGGAATGTCCAGCGGCGTCTCGCGCACTAGTGATAATAGTGATATTACAGAAGTACCGGCCCATTTTACCATGGATCCTTGCGCCTGCTTGCAGCTTGGCACTCTAGACCATCTTCTTGTCCCCAAAACTACTAGCCAGGGCCCCGTACCGATGGTGATGGTGATCCAGAAGAGGCAAATCCTGCCAGATGTAGCAGGAACTAACTCTCCAAGGCTGCGAATATTTCTGAACTCCGAGTTAGTCGCAAAGATAATATAAAGGATCGTGGGCAATGAGAACAGTCTGGCCAGTCTCCATTATATAAAAACTAATACACTAGAATTTTCAGCGTTCGGAAACGCAAGGTAATATATATTTGCGTGATCCAAAGATGGTGGAAAAGACATCCTGAGTTGAATGTAGAGATCTGAATAATACGACTTCCAAAATTTCCAGCGAAAAGCAAGTCCTATAGGAGGCAATGAAACGAAATCCGTGTTTGCGCAGTGACTAACGGCGGTTGTAGTAAGTTATTTAAATATGTCATTGGTGTGGGTCGCTAACAGCGTCTGATCTGAGGATCCTGCTCTGAAGGTAGAATGTGTCACCTTCAATAGTGAATTTAGTTGAACAAAAATTGATGATCTCCCGCCACACCTTGCTACCGGCCCAGGAACCGTGATTGCTTCTTCCTTACTGCCACCAACGAACTTGCTCTCAGTCATTGCCACGACTATAAGATGGATGGTGCCTAAGTAGCAAGAAAAACAAGTTCTCGTCTCGCCGTTGAAGAAGGCATGCTTGGTGCCGATACCAGCGGCTGTCGCTAGGCAGATTTGTTGACTATGACGAGACATGAAAACTATGTTCAGCGAACATACATATCCATCAGTCACCAACTGATCGTTACCGAAATGTTTGCTGGGATGATGTTCCTATGAATGTCGTTTTGTTGTTTTAGCTCACCGTCGCAGAAGGTTCTCTTTTTTTCCCTGTTCATTCGCTTTTTATTGCACTCTTTTACGAATTCGCTCGTGTCCTGATGTTCATCCTCAACACTACCATAGACGATTCGAGTCCACTCATTATCTATAGCCCTGCTGGAGACTGGGCCCAAGGAAACGCGGATGATATTGAACTGGGAAAGTACGTCAAACCCATCCTCTCTACTAATCGTTTACTCAAAAGTTCTATGTAGATATTGGAGAGAATCATATACATACACGTGGAATGCAGGCGCTCAAGCCTTATTCACTTTCAACGGTACTGGCATAACGATACTTGGCGCCAGAAGAAGTGTTCGCGGGTCTTATACAGTAGACTTAGATGAAATATCGGAGGTACTAAACGCAACCGCTCCTGATCCCGGGGAATATCAGGCGGTCTTGTTTAATGCCACTGGTCTACAGCAAGCCCAGCATACTATCACAGTAAAGAACATGGATGCATCGGTTGACATCGACTGTGTGCGTAAACTTTCTCGTTATTCACAGATTCTTGAGCTCCACGTATACCAACAGATTCGTTGGTGGTCAACAGTGGGTAGCGGAGAATTACAAGAACCGTCGGCTGAAATGAACGATGATACTGAATCCACGTTTCTCTGGCATCCGCCAGACGCATGGTCAATTCCACTGAGCAATATCTCACAATTCAATAACGGAACTGGGCAGTTCGTCATCTCCCCTCTACTTTATGCTCTTCGATTTATCGAGCTACAGCTCCACGTCTCAAGCTGGGGCATCAGTCAATTACACTTTCTCAGTAAGCCTGCCTTGTTTCTAAATACGATGATTCAATATCGTCCTCCCAGGGTGCATAGAATTATGCATATACGTCTCGGCAACTGATAATGCCTCCCAGGTGATGCTGTATCCGTTTTCGGTACTTCAGGTCCCCAGAATAGGAACTATACCGTTCGAATTGACGACATGGTCTCCCCACCTTTTTCTGCAGAGAGAGACACCTATGAAACCAGTGTATTATTGTTTCAAGCAGATAACTTGGGGGCTGGAGATCATATGTTGTCGTTGGTTAACAGCGCCGAAGGAGGGCTGTTACAAATTGATTACGCGCTATCTTTTACCGATAATACCACCGTAACTATAGATACGTCAAGGGTACCGAGCTCCACGGCCTCATCCTCCACTTCACCTTCAGGCTCTTCGGATACTCCTCCACAATCTTCGTGAGTCTATCAATCCATGCATCAAAAATTCTTCGCTTAATTTTATGGCAGTCTAAAAGCAGGCGCTGCTGCAATCGTAGTGGCTTTAGTTGTCTTCATTTCTCTTCTGGTCGCCATCTGGGTAAGTTTCAGTCTATAGAGAAACTTTTTAAGGCGGCTTGATTGATATGACATCAGTTACTCCTTCGTCGGAATAAGACACTCTGGATGCGATTGCAAAGCGGATACATGGTCCAGTCCCAATTCGATTGGGCTTACTCATCTACGAACGCTATAAATGCTGTTTCGACTGCGAGAAATGACCACGCTTTTGCAAGAGGTACTAATGATGTCGAAGTGCACTATCCAACGTTACAGGCACATCGTCAGCCCTTGATGTCGGAAACACGGTTGGTGCCTGACAGACCCAACAACATCCCGACATCACCTCTGGATCAGCGATCTCTTCTTCCTAACAGGCCCGCCGATATTCAGCGACCGGAGCCAGCTCGCTCGGAGTCTATGTTGACTGCCTCGACCTTGGTTGCCGAAAATGGGTCGGATGTGAGTCGGTCGAATACCAGGATGATGAAGGTTGGTATTACCT